CTTAAGGGTTGATTGATATCTAGGCAGATACCTAATACCTACGTCCAATACATTCGATACACCCAATACCTCTCGGTTGATCGCATTAGGCAACAGAGACGAGCCTATTCGCTATAAAAGTGATATATCCGGGGCAGAGACGAGTTCACATGGGCAGTTTTTTAAGAGTCATCTGAATGTACCGAAGCAACGAAGGCTCTGGCATGTTGCCACCGTAACCACTCAATCTTAATAAGATATGATTTGTAAGTTGATCGCCCGCGCCGCATCCAACCTTGAAGTATGTATCATAAGTGCCTCATGATTAGCGTTACACCGGAAGGCATCTAATATGTACATATTCCCTTAAGATTCCCTCGTGAATCAAGATGGCAGTGCGCAGGCGGCAGCGTGGCTTCTGATGACGAAGGATCGGGTGTGTGCGGGTTTTAATGGTCGAAGGGTTGAAGGGCTGCGACAACTTCCTTCTCCCGTCTCCCGTCTAACCCTTCTCCTGTCTCGCGTTTGTGTTCAAGCGTTCAATGTTCATGACATGACGCATACTATTGTAGCACAGTGAATGGCTCATATTAATCGCCAATAATATCGAGTTTGGCCAATAGCTTCGGTTATTCCATGACGCGACTAAAAAGGTAGCGAGCCGAAGAGATATATCAAAAAGCCTCGGAAACTAACATTCGCTTTGCCGCATCCTATTCGCTATCCTCGGCCAAATGCTCGGCAACCATTTCCACGAATCCTCGCGCCGGTCGCGTACTTTCGACGCGGAAAGGTACAAACTTGTAAAAGTCATATGAGAATCTTGATTTCGGCCAAGATCTACAAGTTTTTTCAAGTAAAAAAACTTCTAGGCTTTCTATGATAATACCGTAGCATAACTAGTAGTATCCTAGAATCTAGATATCTTAACTAAGCTGTTTCTGGATAGCTTTAGTCACGGTACGGTTGATGCCGTCTTGTCTAGACTTTTAGGATCACCGATATCAGGTACCATATGTAGAATCTGGGGGTGGCTAAAATGCTACTTAATACCAAAATATGTACTAGAATACTAAAATACCAGAATACGTAGGTACAATTGTTGGGAGCTCGTTTCGGAATTCTGGAGCGACATGGCGATATGGCGACATAAGAGATGTGAGCAATAGAAACTCCAGATTTTCCCCTAATGGGTACCGACAGCTGCAATACGAGGCGGTCAACGTGGATCCGGAGCGATCACTCTTTCTTTCTAGAACAATGTCGATGCAACCCTGTTGACTTGGGTTTGTGTGTTTGTTACCTGCACTTTGGTAAAGGGATCCCTATAAGTCGAATCGGTCGAACCGGTAGGACATATCCACCTCAGCTACATGCCTTAGTACCCTATTCAACCCAGCTCATCCCAGTTCTGTCCACTACTATGCGTGCCTAGTAGCTATTCGCAGATGTGTACAATCCATACAATACAATACGTACGACACCGCCTACGTACAATATGCATATGTTGACTGCCTATCGAGGCACTGTCCCGATTATACGTTTACCTCTTGCCCTTGATAGGAGGTTGCTAGGAGGTCGCTAGAACCCCATGTAACAATCTGTTCAATTGTGTGCGCGCGCAATCTTCAACACCGAAACTACAAAACCATCCAGGACCGGATATCATCATGAAAAGAGGAAGCTCGACATCATGATCGCGAAATGATAACAAACATTATCCCCGCGTCGAGCAGGTAATCTCCTTTGTAAGCACGAAATGCGCAATCAAAGCCCGAATTACGTTGGTCGTATGGTGTTGTAGTAGGAATAGGAAATAGAGTAAGCGGTACTTCGATGGATCAGATTACGATCCTTTTCTGCCACGGATATAGAACGAACGAGACACAAACACAAACACATACACAACCTCAGATTACACAGATTACACACATTTGCGCGCAGTGACACACACGCAGTATGCGTACACATTTGTACATGATTCTAAAGCATCCAAGCATCCTACGGGCGGTGTCAAATCCGACGTTGTGTTGCGTCTGAGTCAGGATTAAGATCGATAAACGGTCTCCCCCATGGGCCATGATTACGGGACCTTGCTTACCTTCTGGGGATTCTGGGAATTTCTTACGCACATACACAGGGAGACAGGCAGACAGGGAGGTAGAAAATCAAACGCCGAAAATACATTTTAGTGTGTGTAATCTGGAAACGGTTGGACCGCAAAATCCCACCTATACGAGCGCGCGCTTTTTTACATACTACAGCGTACATATGTATGGTAGGCGGTCAGGAGAAATGCCGGTATTGGTTGACACAACGAGATTGTTGCGGTCAGCCAACTCACCTTCGACCTCTCTGTCTCCCCGTTGGACGAACTGGATCAACTAACCGTTAGACAATGTCCGTTGCTGTCATCGCCAGTCGCCCATTGCTCAGCCCGGCGAAAGCCCTGCTGACGGCCACCGTGGCGCAAAGGGAAGCCAGTTGCGAGAAATTGTAATTACCTATACGACCAGCCAGCCAGCCTAGTCGCATAGTCGTCATCGTCATCAATATTCAGGGAGCTCTCTGGTCGCGGAAGCAAGCCTAAAAAGCAACGCAACGCAATGGTAAACTATTGCCTTACGTCCGCTCAACCAACCAACCATCGTGAACAATTCGCATTAAGTTGAAACTTTTTTTCTTGATTTTCGAATCCCGAGAGACGAGGGACCGTGCTGGTGCCGTCGCTGCTTTTTCCAAAAAAGCCGAAGCGGCGGCGGCGGGACGATGCAATGGACGCTCGGACGGCACAAAAAGGGGAAAGCAAAATAAAAAATTCAAAAAAGGAAAATAAAAAATAATTAGGGAAAAAAAAATTAGAGGGGCACAGATGGAAGGAAATACATTGGCTATTATTGAATTCTTGGAAGTATCCCATGTGTAAATGAAGCAATCAATGCAAGCCAGCGGAACGGGCGTTGGGAACCTTTCCCCCCATTTTAAGTCGTGCACCAGGTGGCCCGAGGTGAACTGGCTGGCCGAGGACCAATCGAAGGAACGCCTCTGTCGTCATTAACAGCGATTATTAGGCGGTGTCATGTGCGTAACGTAGAATAGTAAGAAACTATTTGTGACGGATCGTGACGGATCGTCCCCACGACGGCACTAATCTCTCAAATAACGGCCAACAACCGAGGACGAAACGAATAGCTCGGCAAGCTAGGATCCCAAAGTGTGCACAATTTAACCCCGTAGCCGTTTGGGTCGTTTAGGTCGTTTAGGATATGAATTAAACTGCGAGTTTCGGCACCTGTCCGTCTTCAACACCATCCTTATTACATACAACGTTGTGATTGCTGTTGTATCGACGGGAGCCAAGGGATTTTGCATCCTGCTGTATTGGGGAGTTTCGTTATTGTGTGTAGTATGTGTGTAGTATATTACTTTACTTTCCAGTAATCAACCAGACTGAGGTTGCTACGCGGTACAACAGTACCATATCAGCATATTATCATATTAACCTCCGGCTTCGAAATCTACATTGCCAGCTGGTAGAATGCAACCCCCAGTCTTTTCCCCAAGCTTTCTAAGCTTCCCAGAACCGTGAACGCGTTACGGAGCTTACTATGGTACGGTAACTGTAACCTGGGAACCAGTTACCAGATACGTACCCCTAACCCTTTTACCCTTACACACACACGGACACAGACCTTGTAACCAGGACACGGACCTAAGCCATTCATAGGACGGGAGATAGACCCGGCCGCGGCAGTCGGATAAGACAGTGCTGGGCAGTCCAAAGTGGAGATGTGTTGAACCCTGATCGTCATCGCTTTTCGACGGGACCCATGGACCTTGTTCAATGGGGCCATGCATGGGCAATCCCGCGGTTTGGCATTATTATAATTTTTCTCTCTCATTGCCTGCCCGGGTTGCCCAGCATGTGCCCAGCTCGCGCAGCAGCAAGCAGTAGCAGTAGCAGCGGGCAAAAAATGTTGCCCTAGGGACGATCTTGGTCTCCTGGCGATGCCTATTTCGGCGCGGTGGGGATCTGCAAACGAAGCTTGCCGGTGGAAGAATGGAAGAAAACGAGAGGGTAGGGGAAGCCCAACGATGTGCTGCCAGCAAATGTTATACATACGTGCGCACACACACATATTATTAGGTACATATTACAGATATTCCGTGCTTCGTCGAGTTGGGTCCAGTCAGGTCCAGTTACGTCCGTTAGTTCTTGGGAAGAATAGGAAAGAGTAGGGCCTTCTTTTTTCTTTTCTTGGTCTGTTTTGGCGGTGTCTATCCGCTAACATGGTTTACTTATTTTCGGCTCGATTTGATTGGCAGGGACTAGGCTCGGGGAATGAACGGGCTGCTGGAAAATGGGATTAGGAAATGGGATTTTGGGGGGGAAGGTTTCAAAGCTGACTCCGTTAAGGCGGTCTGGGCTGACTTGGTGTGGTAGACATGGGAGGACTAGAGAGGTCTAGGGAAGACATGGTAGACATTTCCAGAGCCAGGACACCTTTTCCCTACGTCCCGGACCCAAATACCCACACCCCCTTTTTTTTCGCCCGCATCCTGACAGGCGGTCTGCTAGGATTATTTGCAACGTGGGGGATGTAGCGAGCGTACTAGAAACGGGGAAACTGGAAAATAGGGCATGTAACACACAGAAAAGTACGTAGCAAAGTTGTGAAGTACCTAGTAAAGTAGCCAAAGTAGCAAAGTATCGAAGTAGAAGAGCATTGCCCCGGTTGTTGCCTCCGTGCGGCGGCGATGATTCACGAGTACCTCCCACACGGACACGCACACCCTCCCTACTATATATTTGTTCTCATGGCCATCCCATGCGCTCCCGTCCCATGCCTCCGTTTTCCCTTGCTTAATACCCCAGATAATCTACAATAGCCATAGAGCAGTAATACATAATCATCAACCATCGTCATCCAAGCTAGATCATTACCAGATCATCATTAGCTTTCTTCAACCATACTGCTATACTGCCATACTACTACTACTGCTGCTACTGCTACGCGATATCGTCGATTCCAGCTATTACGCACTGACATATACGCGATTCACAACAGACCCCTGAGACGCAAACACGCTCAGCAACAACACTTACACACATACCGAAGCAAATCGTTGCTACGAAGAAACCACATTCGAAATGTATAGCCCATACGGCTCTTACAGCTCCATGAGCTCGGCTTCTCAGCCGATGGAGATCCCCACCAGCAGCTATCTCTCCCACAACTACAACGGGTCCTACAGCTCGCGCTGCGCTTTCCCCTCGTGGCCGCAACGCTCATCCCTAACGGACGAGCACGAGCAAAGAGCTACATCATACCTTTCTGACGACGACCTATTCCCTTGCGACGACTCCGACGATGCGCACAGCGTATCCAGCGCCGGCAGCACGACTCCTACTTCACCCGTGGCCACAACCGAAGCCGACATGTTAAGGATGCAGCGCGAACAGATGGCGATGCAACGGGAAGCCATCAAGTTCCTACTCAACGAGAAGGAGCGACGGAAGCAACAAGCCTCGAAGAAGCAACGACGCAGCTCATCAGGCTCAAAGAAGAGCAGCCCGAAGACGAAGCAGGCGCATCTCGACGCTATCGCCGAGGCCGGTGAATGAAGGAGTCTCCACAATTAAGCACGACGATACGACTTTTTAATGGTGAGTTTCAACATTTGACTTTTTACCTACCTCCTGCATTGGGACGACGCTACGGCATCGATGCCTCATCCCGCATGATAAACCTGGGAACATTGCGCTGACCGCTCTTCACATGTAGAAATTTGTATTTTTTTAAGCAAGCGAAATGTTACGACTGGATATGATTACGACGAATAACGCCCCCCCAATTATGATACCCCCCAATTTATACCCCCGATGAGTCACCCTCATCAGCATTAGCATTATTTAGCATCAGCATCATCATTACCATCATCAGCATTATTATTACTATTATCATTGTTATCAGCATCATCAGCAGAAGCAGCAACCATTACCCATCGGACGGCCGGACAATGCGTCGCGGGATGTCCATCCCCGCGCCACGCACACGGAGTTCGGATGGCGATGGAAGCATAGCATAGCATTACACAGCAAGGCAGCAGCAGGAGTCATCGCACTGCACTGCATTGCACAACCCATCGTCCGCGCCACGGCCCGCAAGAAAATAATTCCATCATCACACATGCAGTTTAATCTAGCGCCTGGCCGGCACCCTCCCCCCATCTTTCCCCCTTCTTCCGTCCTCCCCCCCTTTCGCTACGTCAGGATACATATCTAGGTACATGCATACATACACGCATATCTACCTAATCCACTGGGCCATTTCCACTATTCGCGGAAGCGTTCGTTCGTTCGTTCGTTCGCGCGATATTTCTCCGCTCCGCTGTCTCAGCCACTAGCTGCGATATCTTCCGCGGGGGGAAGAAGAGATCTGCGCTTGTACCCATTGCCGGTCGGGAGAACGGGGGTTACTTACGAAGTGTCTGCCTCTGTTTGATTGAGGGGACGGGAAACGGGAAAAGGAGGAGAAAACGAGATCCGCACACCCAGAGGCTTTTCCGAAGCAGGGTTGTTGTGGCTTGTGGGTTCCGTTCTATTCTATTTTTCTAATTGTGTGTGTGTTTTCGCATTTGGCATGTTCCGGCGGTGAGAGGAAAGGAAGGAATACGGATTCCGGTGTGTGTATTTTTTTTTGTGTTGTTACCTACCATGTACTAGGAAAGGGAAGAAGAGGAGAACGTTAGATCTGGTCTGGGCTGGGCTGTTTTGGGAAAGAGGAGACGGATGGACCAGTTAGGAGCGGGCAAGGCGAGGGAAGAGGGAAATTTGGAGCGAGTCGACTTATGCGTATGCGGATGACCCGGGCTTTCGGGTGTTGCTGACTCGATTGGACTGCGATGGAAACCTATTTCTGTCGCACGAGAATTCCCGGGTCGTCTGCTTATTGGCTGACGGCATGTATTTCTTTCTTTTTGGGGGGATGATGGTGGGTGGGCTACGCGCGATGATATGGATGGGTGCGGTTGGGAGGACGAAGGAGATGGCGAGGTGCACAGGACCTCGTAATGAGGAATCATGTAGTGTAGTTTAAATCAGAGGATGAATTAAATCTAAATCAATATCACCAATAATACCTAAACTTAACTATCCGTGCCTCCGAATTGTTCGTGTGAAATGTCTTTGAAAGCCTAACCCTCTAACGTAGTTACTAGTTGTTGTATGTACCTGGTAGGTACCTAACCCGAGTGTGGCGACGGCACGGTTTACGATATGTGGCTTGTAAACTATGAAAGCCACCGGATGTAAGGAGACATACTCCAGCTGTCCGGATCTACTCATTGGGAATAGCGTAGGAAGCGATGTTTGTATTTCCAATCACTTTACGACGATTTAAAGTGTGTTTTTAGGGTTGTGATGATCGGTTGTGATTGTTGATCTCTGCAGACGGGACTGCCGTTGACAGGCATGGGGTACGCATCCATAGCACTACGGAACTGCTCGCCTATCCTTCAAGTGACAAGTTGTTGACAGGGATGAGATAATACACGATGATATGTAGAAAAAAGCCCTTACCCTAACTTGCTAAACTTGCCGTGGGCATTGCAATATCACGTCGCTCTAGCTTGTGATTGCTTCGAGAGTGGGGTTTAGACGTTGAGACACAACTTATCTAGTGTCTAAGTAGGTAGGTAGCTGTCTAGCACTAGTAACGGTTTGCATTTGCATTTACATACATACATTAGGTACATACATTACATTTGCATGTGTCTGTCGGTGAATGAATGCCATCAATGCCTGATCGATAGTTGCCCTAAAGTGGATTCGCCAAAGGACCAGAACCAGGTAGGTGGCTATCGGAAAGCGCATAACCCGCCTGCTGGAATTCAATTGGCATTGTTGAGCTTCTTAGAGCTTCTTAGAGTCGGGAGAATATCATCAATCAGAGCGAAGTCGATGTGGGGGAACGATCGCGTGGTGTAGTCGTTGTCGCCAATCAAGGAGATATATTGCCTTGACCGACTGCCATTTGTCCTTCGCCGATTCGGCTTGGTTGGCTCTTGACCGCCAGCGAAGACGTTTGACTCATAGGAGTTGACGTTGACACTCACTTAATCCTTCAAGACATATTAAGTAGTACCTATTTGTGGATATGAGTTGGGTAGAACTGGAAGGAAGACACGATGACGATGACGAGCCAAGGCGAAGCTCGACAACCGATCGTGACAATTCCGGAACATCTTTGAGTCAACCTTCAACTGTCAAGTATTGAATACCGACTAGGTAGGCAAGTAAGTATGGAACATGTACCCCACACAACAGCTACAGCTAAGTGCTGGGTACGGTATTCAAGGTATTATTATATTATCTTGTACAGTACTTCGGCTTAGCATCGTCTTAGTGTCATCTTACTAGGATTGGATTGTCAGATTATCAACGGCGTGGCGCCCATTATCCCACGCTAATTAGGAGCTTTATCGGAATCACAGCCTATTACGCGATGAAGCTTGCCCTTCATCAGATCAGCCCAAGGTCATCCGACTCAGCTTCCATATATAGGGGAATCCTTAAGGACGATACAGAGTACAGTCGGAGTAAACGCGGAGTCCATCTCGACTCGAGTGTGTGATGAGATAAGATGTGCGAATTCGATATTGGCGACGAGTTCTCGGAGCTCCCCCGCATGAAATATTCAAGCAAGGTTGTAATTTATTGCACATCTTATCGAATTTTCAGGGGATAGATATGGAATATGTAGGCTGACTTTGCAAGAACCGGAGTTGGCGGTCAATGCTCTTCAACTTATTAATTTCGACCGTCCGTGCGCTGCAGGCGAGGGGAAGGGGGATGAAATCGTCAGCGAGGTTTGAGATAGCTAGGTGCTGGGTACTAGGTATCTATTTGCTTGGGTATGCTCCTGATCGCGACATATCTACCCAGTATCTAATTTACTATCTAGTCGACTAGGTGGGGAACCCGTTCAGCCCGTCTGGACTATTTCTATTAGTCGATGGAGCGGAACGTAGCCGAAGCAAGATTCCCGTCTCTTTTCCATCCCGTCATGCCCGTCGCCTGCTTGGCTGCTAAGAGAGATGGCTTATTTTTTTGTGACTGTCATCCTAGACCGTCCAATGAGATATACCGTGCTTGATATTTCACATACCATGGCGTTGATCATAACTGGAATCCTGGGAACTAGTAACCAACGGCTGTAGGTCAATCGTATTTACTGTAAAACATTATGGGGTTGTAGTTGTAGTTGGTTGCTAGTCGTTGCCAGTCTTAGCCTCTTAGGTGACATGCTAGACGGGCTAGACGGGTTAGACGGGAGAAGGTTCACTTATATGTATGTACAAATCACGTTAGGAGTTCTCAGCCTGAGAAGAGTTTGCATTTTGCATTTTGCACTTTGCAGCCTTGCGAGTTACAATGATGTAGCGTGGTATCTGTCATTTCGCTTCTGAAGCTCTTGGTTACGTTATTGACAGGTTGATGTGGAGGGTCGATGGTATCTTAACTTCGATGGAACAGGGGGGATGAGGGAATGGGGGCAGAATAGGGAGAACATTCGATAAGTATCGGGGTTGCCCCTGGCTGACATCGTATCTTGGGGTATGACAATATGCAAGGGACTGTTAGGTGAGGAGTAGAATGCGTAATCGGCAAGCTTTCGAAATGAGGCTGCTATTTGATACTAGCAATTACCAAGTAGACTAACCTTCATTTTGCTTGTATATGCTTGTATGTAGGTCGCTGTCGTTGCGGCCTGCGGGGCCGTCATGAAATAGAAAAAAGTTCCTAATGCGCGACAGCTGCAACCCCCGAACCGATCCTAGGCCTTGGGTTGCACAGGGTGCTCTGGAATACGATCTCACTAATTGTGAGGCATTTCACATAGAGTATCGAGGATTCGTGCGAGTTTGGGAGTGGTAGCACAAACGCCCCCCGGCTTCGTCGGTGAGTGTCGGTTGAAGACCTAAAGCACTGGAGCCACTAAGCCGATGAAGATCTGCCCAAACTTCTATGTAAGTTCTGAGAAATGGTTGGGCTGTTTGAGGTGATAAGAGGTTTGATGTCGTCCCTCATCGGAACATGTACTGGTGACAAGACAACGCAATAGGCCAGAATCTGACTGTTTCCAATGTATTTTATATCATACTCCACCAAGCACCAAGCACATGTGAGTATGTATGCCATCCGCATTGCTTAAGGCATGTCTAAGATCATGCTTGAACCTACCTATTCAAGTATGTTTGGTATGCGTGTAGGGTATGTTCAGTCGCAACGAGGTAATATGCATACTTAGATCTGACTATTCTTTCCTAATCGAGCTCTGTAGCTTTGGTTCTAGATGCCACCAGCCTCAACTTTCCCCATTTCCCCATCTTCTAACCAACACGTACCTATTTCTATTTTAACGACATATATTTCGTACATTACCTACATATCGTCAGTTAGTAACTAGTATCGCCGGCACCGCATCATACGCCGTGCTCCCTTAGCTCTACAGGTATGTAAGTAGTTAATTAGTTCAAGGTTAAGCGCACAGGAAAAAAAGAAAGAAGAGCGCGTGTTACGGGTGAGGTAACGTGGATAAGCAGATAGGATGCTGGCACCCATCGGTGAGGAAGTGAGAGCCACGGCGTCCATGTGCGCCGTGCGTGGGATGATCATCATGGTGGGGTAGACGATGGCTTTTATGGTCAGTTCAAGCCTTAGAGCGCCTTAAAGCGCCCTATGAGTAACCCTTGAAGGCTTAGAGGGAAGGATTAATGTCCGATGGAGAACGGAAAGTGGAGAGAAAGACGGGGAAGAGAGAACGAATTATAACAAGAAAAAGTCCGTAAAATATATATTCATAATATATATTATGTGGAATGATATCCATGTATGTATGCAAATCTTGGTATTTTTAAGGTGTTTGTACAGTACATGGTCTTATTAGTTGATGTTGATGAGCATGAGGTTGATGTTGTGGTTGTGATTATGGTTATGGTTGTCTTCGTCGTTGTCTTTTTCTTTTTCTTTTTTTTTCTTGTCTCTTCAGGGGATAAACTGGGATAACTGGTCAACTAAAAAAGAAGAAGGCTGTTCATGTTAAATCGCTGTCAGCGACCCTTGCATCTATCTACCAACGAACTTCCTCGTCACTCTCTTTTGCCGCCGCGCCGAGCCTTAGTAAATGCATTATAGCCAATCATCCGTCCTGGCTTGATCCCCCCTTGCCGGCAACGGGCCAATCCTAGCTTGTAACCGCCCTTTCACCACAGTCGGCGCTACTGCGAGGAACGACGTTCGTCAACATCCATTCTCACTTGTCCATCGACTCCATGCTAATCCACTTACGGATTACCTTTTTACCCAACCACATGTCACAGCTACCATTCTCCTCAGCACTCTAAAAAATAGCCAAATGAATCTCCAGCAATCGTCAGGAACCTCCTATCTATTACTACGGAGAGTACTAGAGAGCTGGAGATGAACCAATTCATGCTCCCAAGCAACGCTGTCCAACGAAGGGCTAGTGGCCATTCTTAAACAGAATCATGCTACGCAATCATGTCCACACGCAGTGGTCAGCGTGGTTGTCCTCTACCAGTTATCCCGCCTCATTAGGTGCTAGCTGCGCCTTAAACCTCAAACCGCCCCCGAGCTTCCTTTGGAGAAAGCTGGGTCCCCAAAATCCAAGAATGGGAATTCCTGGAATAACCATAACCATGGGTTTCTTACCTTGTTACCAACGAGTCTGCAAGTACGCTTTTGATGCTTGGTAGAGAAGACGTAATACCCATGTGGCCAAAATGCCGCAGAGCTCATGCGACTGACACTTTTGGTGTTCATGTCGACGTTATACATATACATACCTGCCTATATATCTATTTCTAGCTATACTGCGCAAGTGGCGAAGCTAGACGAGCCTCAATGCACAAAGCAAAAGTGCAAGAATTAAAGGTGAGGCTAATTATACCAAATTATATACTATTACCAATTATATCGATGTCATGTACATCGCTCATGATGTACCTACTCTCAACTATTCCTAACTATTCCCTTCCGGTTCTCTCCCCCTGTCTTGCATGATCCATCGCACTACTGTATTGAGGACGATTCGATCACCTTTACCTTGCTACCCTGAACTGTACCCTGTCCACTCGGCAGGCGATGGCTGATCAGACCCCTGCGAGATGCTGCCAATGTATGTAGACCTGGGCTTAACCGGACCCGTATCCGCTCTAGATATGGCCGCTCGGTTCTTTACTACGTAGTATATGCGATCTGGGCCATTGAGAGCTCAGAACAACTCCTCTTTAGGCGCTGGACTTCTTGACAGGCGATACACGTTTTATTTGCTCTCGCACACCCCCCAAGCTTCGACCGACGAGCGCCTTTCTTTTTTTTCACTCCCTCGCCTCTTATTCATCGACGCAGTCGTCCTTTTCATGTATACACTATACACGGCCCCAGGACCTTTATGCATCAGACAGGCATATCTCCAACCCATTCTGATTCAAATATAGTGACACTGCCGCTACCGTAGCACCCTCCCACGAGGAAATAATCGGATTAACACGCCTCTGTGCTACATACCCGATTCTCTCACTCTCACTCACTCACCCTCTCCACCTCGCAGAACCTGCTCCCTCAAAAACAATTCTAACCTCTACAACCCGCTCTTCCCAACCTCGAGGGTCTACAAAGAAAGTCAGGAGCATCAGTACCCTTCCGAGCCGGCGCAACCATAGCAACGTGCTATCGTGGAACCCGACGCCATCCCTCGAGCTAATTGCGCATCTAGTTCTCGTAGAAAGATCGAAAACCCGATTTCATAGCTTTGGCACGAGGAAAAACGAGGAGAGAAAGAGGCCACTCATCCGGGAACGGGCAGGTTTTAGGTGTTGCGTGTGATGTTCGGGGGCCGAATTGTGTAGCGCCCCCGCTTGCTTGGAAACTGGGAGTATTATCTCGCGGATATACACGCAAGTCGAGGTCAGTTGTTCATCTGGGCACTTGAGTGTGTTCACTTCCAGTTCCGGTTTCCGGTTTCCGTCCAGTTGGCTCTTCTCGTTCTTGCGCACCGACATGATCTACAAGAGGGCCCGTCCCCAATTCGCTTCCCGCCTTAAGCGATGCTACCATGATATTAATACTCTTTCTAGGTGAATAGTACTACGATGTCGTCCTCGAGCTACCAGACGATGCCGCGGCATCGCAATGCCTCCACGAGCTCGGCCGGGCGCTCTTCAAGAAAGGGAAAGGTTCCCGCCGAGCCGAGAGACTTCACATCGTCGACTACCTTGGTCAGATACTTCGAGCCAACAGCGGCAACGGCTTCAATGCTGTTATATGGACGTGAGTAGGAGATGTTGTTTAAGAATTAACGAATTAAGAGTACGAATTGACTTCTTGCGAACAGAGGGTAACTCGGTAGTCGTTGCGCACCACGATAGCTTAACGATCGAGAGGCGATTCTCACGCCATTCCGCAGAAATTCATCTACTAGCCGTGGATACGCAAAGCGAGATTGGAGCGGGTCGATTGGTAGTGAGTTACGATGCGGACATGACCGCAATCGTTTGGGACTTGATGACAGGTGACGAAGTTGCTCGATTCGCTTCCTATGAAACTCTTACGTGCGCAGCTTGGATGCGGAACGGAAACGTCGCATTCGGTATGTCTCTCTCTCTCCGTGTTTCGCTGTTGATGAAGCTATCGTCAACCACATGCTAATATGATGGGTATAGGCAACACGCAAGGAAATGTCATTCTCTTTGAACCGACTACGTCTGAACATATTTCCGCACGAACCATTGACCAAATACCGATAACGGGTCTTGCTCCTGCGGCTGATTGTAGGACCTTTGCTATTGGGTAAGTTTTCGATAGTCTCGCCTCTCCTGAGTTTAGCCCCGTGTAACTATTAAAACGCCTTTTAACTAACGCCTCCTTAAGATATCAAAATGGATCGCTCCTTATTGCTACACTCCAGCCACGATTTACGATCCTGCACAATTTGAGCACGTCGAGGGCACCGTCGCCAATCGTGAACCTGGCATGGCATGCCTCGTCCTCTCGGCAGAAGTCGGACATGTTGGCTGTGCAGACCAACGATGGCGACCTCAGGGTCTGGAGCGTGGCGAAGTCGTTCAACAGCGAAGATCCTGCAAAGGTGGTCAGGATCTTAAAACGCACGGAGAATTACCAGAACGGACCCAACTGGATGGGTTGGTCTAAGAATGGTCGCATTATCCAGCATTCTGAAGGGTAAGGCCCACTCCACTCTCTATGCATGATCACAACTACGCGCGCGCCAAGTCTATATGCAATGCTGATGATATCATTGGTTATAGGGAGACCCTCTCGTGGGATGTTCGAACAAAACATGTCACCAAGGACAGCATCCCGACTCTAGAGCATGTCCGCGGCCTCGCCGTCTACGGCCCGGGTGCGTCATTGTTCACACTAGGGGCCAATAACACTGTCCAGCAGTTCGATCTAAATACGCCATCGATGATGGTCGCTAATGTCCAGCATCCGGCCAACCTTTTGCCACCGTCTCCTCCAGTCTCGATCGAGGAGCAACCCGAGCAGGGTGTCGTGATCATCGGTACTTCTGAATCAGACTCGTCGATCCCTATCAACCCTGAGATTTCCGAAAGTGACGATGATCACATGTCGCCGTTTGCGAGGCTCACCCGCGGTGCAGACTCGACCACTGACACGATCGAACAGGACAGGTACATGGCGCAGAGCCCGGTTTCTTCGAGGAGCCACTCAACTATTTCCAGGTCGTCTCACGGCTCCGGTGCACGGGGTCGATACCCAGCTTCGGTCATGTCACGTGGAATGACCGAGAACACGTACATCTCTGCCGGGTCATCCCTTAGGTCTTCGGCGATGCCTCCATATGGTGACAAGGACGCCTATTCGATCAGCAGCATCAGCTCCGCTTCGGTAACTTCGTCTTCACGATCTCATCGCCGGCCTTCACGACTAAGGAACGAGGTTCTACCCAGCCCCGAGGAATCCAAGGTCAACGACCTCTTCAAGTTCACCAGGAGCCGTCTTCATGACATCCCTTACAAGCACATGCCATTGGTTGACCAATCCCGTCTAACTAACGATGACCTCCGTCAACAGATGCTTAACATCATATTTGGGTGGAACGGGGAGATCGAAGATCTGATTCGCGATGAGATGTCCCGACATCCACTAGGTTCGCCAGGACGTATTCTTCTTGCGAAATGGCTTGGCGATATCGACGCGGATGTGATGACGGCTACATCCGAGAACATGACATCTTCGGACTGGATGTTGCTAGCTCTAAGTGGAATTGGTGGTCAAGCTTCTCAGCATAAGCTCGGACGTGCATACGTGCAACGTCTCTTGGAGAACGGTGATGTACACGCGGCAGCAACGATCATGATTGGAATGGGAGACCAGAACGATGCTATCGAGATCTACGTATCGCACAGGAAGTACATGGAAGCTCTTATCTTGCTCTGCCTCTTCTTCCCTGGCGTGTGGGAACGACAATCTCAGATTATCAAGAAATGGGGAGAATTCGCTATCCAGCACGGCCAACAGCAGCTGGCAATTCGATGGTAAGTCTGATCTAGAATCCCGAGATTATCAATTCATCACCGTACTGACAATTTGAGCAGCTTCGCTTGCACAGGAATGGAGTCAAGTGAGCCATGGACGTCGCCGTCTGCGGCGCAGCTAACTTTCCAATCCATGAACCCAAGCATCCCAGAAATTCTAAGCCCGCCCCTATCTCCTCCTGGCTTGAACCGTGGACCGCAGCGTAGCATCGCGAAGACGTCGGCATTAAAACTTATCACCTCTTTTGGCGACCCGGGAAAGAAATCGAAGTTCTTTGCAACTGGTGGTGATGGAGGTCAGACCCCCATTGCGGCGGGTGTCACGCCGATAGCCGAGTCTGCTGTTTCCCCTGGTGTACATGACCCTAGCACCGCATTCCTACGTCCCTCGCAACGAAGCGCCTTCAACACGCCTGCTACCGCGAAGCCTATTACCCCTGGTGGATTTGGACGACAGCGTCTTCCCTCAATAGGGGAGATCCCACATGATGCCCTTCCCCGCAACCTGAACAATGGTGATCTACCAACTCCTCCCAATGACCAGGTTCCTGAAATGGTCCAGGCCCAACGTGCTCACCACGCGCATAAGACTTCCACTGATGAACGATACGATACTGGGCTTTCCGTACCAAGAGCTTCCACCGCAAGCCCAATGATGATGAAGGACAACCACCGACGCAAGGAGGCACCACCACCGTCGCCATCCCCGCAGTCCCTTGCTGCATTGATGCAACAGGGTCGTTCGAGCCGCAACGGGGCTCGAGAGCGTAAGCCTGAGGGTATGGAATTGAGGCTCCACTCTATTGAGGCCGCCATGAACAGTGACGTAACCTCCCCAGAACAGTCAGTGGCATCATCTGCTCGATTTCATTGGCCAAGCCGTCGTCGTGGACCGGGTTCGATCGCAGGGTCCGTCACATCGAACTCCAGCGCAGGACGAAGTTACCGAACCGACCGGACTGGCAACGGAGGCCGTGGCTTAAACGAGTACATTCACAGCTTGGACACTGCATCCCACTACTCCAAGAAGCAACAAAGCCGCGAAAACAGCCGTACTCGCGAGGACAAGAATGGAAGAGGTCGTGAGAATAATCGTACCCCTCTCGATGGTGCGCGCGAGAGCTCGGAGGACAGAGGTAGGGGTATCTCCCGGAACTGGACGCCCAAGCCAGCTAAACGTTCGCCCACTTCTCCCGTGCCCATGTCTCCCGAAGATCTCATCAACCTGAGCACCCCAGGGCGGAACGAATCCGGATCTAATGAAGAGTTCGAATCTGGCGAGCCGACTACTGTTCGCAAGGCTAGCCAAGTTAGACGAACCTCGCCAAAGAACACCCGCATTTCCAGCCGTGCCTCGAGCCGCACCGGTCGCCAGAGGAGCCTAGAGCGGAGGCCTCCAGCGCTAACACTAGAACCTCGTGGTAGAAGCAAGAGCCGCGGCGATGGCTCCTTGATGAGGTCTCCATCATCGCCATTACCGATGTCGGCTCCTATGAAGTTCTACACGTCGGATGACGAGGAAGACTACCAAGCTGCCCTCGCAGCACAGGAGCAGTTCAGGAACAGGCATAACCGCAGCGGCAGCCAGAAGGATCCTTCTTCTCCAGCTGTCTCCCGAGCACGGGACCGTTCGCAGAGCCGTAGAAGAAACAAGACACCGGCAGAGCAAGAGGAGCCTCTACCCCTGGCCCCACCGGTGCCTAAGCAGAAGGTGCAGCTACAAATCCAGATCCAACAGCCGCAGCAGCAGCAGACAAGCGCTCCCCGAGCCGGAGACCTCAAGTTGATCTCGGCCGAGAGACAACTAAAGAAAGAGGCAGCGGCCCGCGAACTAGAAGAACGTCGCAAGTCCCTCGCGCGTCGTCCCTCGGCACCGCCAATTCCTCACCCGGATGAGTTATCCCCGATCGTGTCTCGCCCCCCGAGCGCATTCGAACTACCTCAGACGACTTTCGTGCCTCCTAGAGATATGCCAGCCAGAAGTCATACCGCGGACCCCCACAGGAGCTCCCACACGCGCAGCGGAACCGTTCCCATGATCGGTCTCCCAGCAACGCCCAAGGCCATGCGTCTCCAGTTCCAGTCTAACAAGCTCGATGTACCAGCGATCCCAGCCGCTTACAAGTCCTCGTCCGGGTCTTCGGGCCAGCCGTCTCCTGACCGGCCCCTCACAGGTAACAGCTCGCCGACCAAGTCTCCCAAGAAATCGCCAGGAAAGTCCCCCGAGAAGGAGTCCTCGCCACCCCTGACTCTTCTCCCTTCGACCGTCTACTCTCCCCCCGCGCGACCCAACATCCCGCGATGCATGTCCGCCCCTATCCCCGAGGAGCACCCGCCACACCTCTCCCACTCGGCCCACCAGGGGATGCAGGCCAGCAACCAGCCTCCCCGACGCGGGTCCATCACAGCGAGGAAGATGAGCGGCGATTCCAGCGCAGGATTGCCTGGTATCCAGGAGACTCTGGGAGCTGGCAGACACTCGAGGAGGACCTCGCGTGACGACCAGATCCCGCCTCCACCTCCACCCCCACCACCAGTCCTAAAGGAGCTTCAACATCTGGCTATTCCTCCTCCACCTCCTCCCGCGCCTCTCCCTGGTGCAAGGTCCAACGTGTACACCCAGCCGTCAGGCTCCGGAACCATCGAGATCGTGATGGACGAAGAGGAGCAGAGCGCGGTCCCAGCACCGATCATAATCCCCGAGCAGCCACCCATGCCAGCCTCTAGCCCTCCCGTGATATCGCCCGTCCGGGGCCACAGCCGCGGCGCAAGCTTCACCGACAACAGTCTCGCGGGACGAATCGGCCGCGTGACCGAGAAGATGCGGTCCGCGAGCCGTGGCCGAACAAACTCGATCCTCGGGAACAGGACGAAGTCGCCCGACACGACGAACATCCCGTACGAGAGCGTGCCGCCGCCGGTAAGCATGCACAACACCGGGTTCACGTCGCCCATCAGCCAGCAATCCGTCGAGCGCCACCCGCGCGAGGTCCGCGCCGCTTACCAGGAGCGCGAGTACGGCAGCGGGTTGCATGCTAGTGAGATGATCTAAGCCGTCGTTTTCACACCCACCTATATTATCTATTTCCTCTCCAATCAACCTACTACGAATTTGCATAACCGATCTTCTCTCCAGCCAACAAGCCTCGTTGTTCAACAGCTTGCCACATTTTCGATTTATCCACGACCGCATATCATGGTATTCTTCAGCATCCCAGCATCGCTTTTTTGCATGGCGCCGGCGTTTTTACATCATCTTCTTCCCTTCTCATCATCATTACTCATTCGTCTTCATATTCTCCTCATTGATACCACTTCTTCCTCTTTCTCGGAGTCCTTTTTTATTCCCAACGCCCGCCATTTTTACATTTATTTTTGCGCATGCGACGACTAGTATTCGAAACAAGCTTTGTATGGGATTGGATGGATGGATGGGAGGTTGTAACCCTAACAGACCTACATAATGAACGGGCAAGGAAGAATTGACGACAGACGTAATACCCTCAATACCCTGAATACCCACACAATACCCTTCCCTATTTCCCCATACCAAGCAAGAAACGATTCTTCTTCTCTTCTTCTTCTGAAACGACACTTTGTACACTTCTTCTAAACCGGGAAAAAAGACTCGTCTCACCCCCGATGTTACACCATCCTCCGACCGCGCGCGAGCGCCGTCGAGGAACCTCCACCTCTTTGAATTTTTCTATTTATCTATTTTTTGACCTTAACGACTTATGACCTTATCTACATTCGGGGGAAAGACGGGAAACAGAAAAACGGAAACCGTGAAAGAACCACCAATACCCTTTAGCTTGTTTGGATTTTTTGGAAAGCCCCCCCTTCCCCTTTCCTTCCGTGGTGAGACGGGAGAGAGGGGTAGGATGAAGAGGGGTTTGAATTTTTTGTATACAGAAACGTGACGGCAGCAGTTATATTATATGTGCGTGCGCGCGAAATTCTGACGATGATGACCTTTGGACGACGAGGAAAGGGGAGAGAGAGAAAGGGGGAGGTTGGGAAAATGGGTAACGAGATGAAGTTCCCAGAAGAGAAAAGTGGTAACGACAAGAATGGTGCTGCCTCACGGCATCTTTGTTCTTCGCTTCTTTAAACTTTACCTGCTGCTTTGGCTTGGTATAGCGATTAAGCCAGGCCCGAGTTTTTGGTAGCTTGGTTTCCCTTTTTTGACGAGTCTGTTATTATAGTATACCTTAGTCTTTGCGCATAGTCAATTAGGAGTTTATGGTGATTGTTCGGTTTCTATATTACTTTGATGTTGAATATGATGGCTGTGAATGCGAAGTTGAAAAGTAGGAGACGTAAGATTGGATGAGCGGTGGTGTTGCTATCGTCAATTCTTCAAAACAGTATTTTCAAGGTGATGGGTTCGAATGCGACTAGAAAACATCTTTTGCAGCCTCAAAAAGGGATTGTTACGATATCAGAGCATAGAAAAAAAATTTCGTGAACATTTGAAAGAAAAAACAAAAAATAATCGGAGTTGACATCTCCATCTCTTTCCGCTAGCCCAAATCCCCAAGCCAACGTTATCCACCACACCACGCGACGGGGGAGATACTCTGCAGAGTGAAACCTCCCTGAAGGTTACTCTCCATTTCCTAGGATCACCTAATCAACACTGGTTACCCAAGTGGATAGGTGGTCACCGCGGCGTTTGCAGTGGGCGTGGCTCGAGGGTTCTGATGGAATTGGGATTAGTGGAAGAAGAATTTCAAGCGCCTTCGCCAAATGACCATCACAGTCAAAGAAAAATGTTCAAACTTTACATTATAAGGGTACTCGCGGTAAAACTTCGGGTAATTTAGGTTCGGCACTTACAACCACCGATCGCAATATCGTATGAAGCTCCATGGCTTCAAAGATTCTGTCAGATACACTTTTCTCTCCTTGTATCTGTCACGTGGAATTAGGTATTTCAGGTGGTCTGTGCTGAATAGCTATCCTGTCTGTGCTTTGGAGATATTGTCAAAATCTGGTTACTCACGTGACCTCACTGAGACAAGAAGAACTTTTCCTAAGAGTTTCTGTTTGTAATAATAGAATCAGAAGAAGATACATCTTTGATCAATAATTGAATGCTTCAATCCAACAGATTCCATAGACAATCACCGAACTTTATAACATACGTGATAGTTCCAATTGTTACAATGAGCCAATGTCGTTAAGGCACACATATCATTACGATATTCCCATCTCTGATTCCAATTGGTATCCGACGATATCTCCATATCGTTCTTGTGCTACTTTTAACCAACGATAGCTATTCCTAACCAGCAACAATGTTAACGACGACGCCATACTTACGCATACGACGACCCTCCCCTACTACGGCCGAATTCGTTGTATCGACGCTACCTCCACCCACACTACCGCTGCGCATTACCCTCGCGGCCATCCACTTTCTGCGCCTCGTACTCAGTCTCGGCGTATTACTACTACTATACTCAGTCTGGACCCAAAGTCCGTACTCGACTCCGACAACAACCCTCGAGCAGATCTCGTCGTCAACCCCTCTATCAAGTTCACCACTCGACGTATCTACACCATCTGGCACCACTGCCACAATAGCGACTATCGATAACAACAACGATGCCTCCCCATTCCTAGCCACCATCCAACAAACCCTCCAAACCATCCTCCATTCCCGCATCGGCCAGCTCTGCAGCGCCCCCGCCGCCTCCCTACCCCCATGGATCACAGTCCTCTGCTCCTTCGCAACACTGTATCTGCTCTCCCTCCGCATCGGCGTCGAAGAGCGGCTGCTCGTCCTTCGCGGGCTAGGAATCCAAACCAGCTCAAGCGGCGAGACGATCTTCTCGCCCCTGAAAACACGTTTTATCCCAACCGACAAGATCCAGGATATCCTGATCAACGAAGCCTTCCGCGGCTTCGAGGTGCGGCATATACTAGTCGTGATCGTCGAGGGCGAAGAGCATCTCGTCGTCGTATTCCCGAAACTCCTTCCGCGCCCGCGTATCTTGGAGAAGGTCTGGAGGGGCGTGCGAGGGTGTCTGTACGAGCAGGAGGGTCGCAAGGTAGACGGCAAATTCTAGCAGTATGTGACGTCGGTGCGTAGCCCCGTGCAAAGAGATATTCATTGGAAGTCGGCATAGATAGAACGGCGTTTGGCGTGGAGTTTATTTGCTCATGAAATATGATACCCCGAAGGTGTTTTGTAGCTTATTTATGTATTCACGAGACAGTAATGTATTCGTTATGCCTTTCTCTCTACCCAACTGCCTCCTCTAGTACCACTTCCTCTATCGGCGGCGGCTCACTTATTTGCGCCGCAACCTGTGCTCTCCTCTCCACTGACCTCCTTACATTTGCTTCCTCCATCTCCGCTACGCTCGCATAACCTTTCTTCTTGGCTTCCTTGTCGAAAAGTTGCGCCGGTGACATGAGTCTGACCTTTTGCATTATCGGTTGATACTTGCCTACCAGGCGTTCCGTATTACCGCCTTCAAACGTCCTTGTGGTGGCTGAAAGCTGCATCCTTGCTCTTGGGTCTTTGCAGAGCGTGATATCTGCCTGGGAGGATACTACGTTCAACAGCTGGCTTGCCAGAAGTTCGTCGATCTTTCTCTCGCGCCAGTACGCCCACATGATGTTCATAAGACCCATCATCCCGTGCTGGTTTCCCGGGCTGTCGTCGCCTATATGCACCCAATTTAAAGCGTTCTCAGGCTTCTCGGTCCTAGGAAAGATGCAATCCCACAACACCAACGGTGTTTCCTCCGCGAGTATGTAAGTTGGTCTTCCTGGCACAGCCTCGATATCCAGAAGCTTGTCTACTATCGACGGATCTTCCAACCCCTGACCCACCAAGAATATTACGCCCGCCATGCACCGTATCTGATGCCACAGGAACGCCGTTCCCCGAACGTGTAGATAGTATACTTTCGGTAGTTTGCCTTGCAGCTCCAATCCCGAACTTGGATCAGGTCTAAAGTTGTCGCCATCCAAAAACGGAAGAGCAGTTCCGGAGTCTTTGACCTCTACTATATCACTCTCGAACACCTTTCTCTCAAAGTTCATGTTCGGTTTACACGAGTCGATCTTGCAAAAGTTGCGGAAGTCGTGAACGCCTTCAAATTTCTTAGCGGCCACCCGCATAGCCTCGATGTCCAGCCAGCCAGCTTTTATCTTCGTAGTTTTCGCGGTATCCGGGTTCTCCATACTCCGAGGCAACGGTGCGAACGCGGGCTGTGTGAAGAAGTATCGGTACTGTCTCTCTCGACAATCGTGTCTCGCAGAGAAGTCCGCAGGCGTCGTGGGACACCACGCCAGCATTTGAATATCCGGTGGTAGAAGCCTATTCAACATCTTGCAATACGGTAACTCATCCCGGAAGTCGTTGAATTCATGCTGTTCTTCTGCCTCTGATTCCTCCCCTTCGCCCCCCTCCACAGGTCCCTCCTTCTTCGGCAAAGGCCTATTACTCCTAACCCGAGCAACAATGACCTGGCCAAATGCACTCACGCCTTTATCCGTGCGCCCGCACTTCGAGTACTCCCAACTATCCCAGTTAACCACTTCCGGATTCTCAGGAAAGATAAGACAGGCCTTCACAAACGCCTTCCACAGCTCCTCCTCAATCGACGGGATATTAGCATGAAGCGAAAATTCAAATCCGCCATAGCGCTTGCCAAAGTACGCCAACTTGAAGGCGACGAGGCGCGTGGAGTACTTCGACGGATCGATCGTCTTTTTCTTCTCCGGGAGGGCTGGGACCTCCGGGGGCAGCGCCACACCTGCCGCAAGACTAGCTGCCTCTAGGGCTTGTATGCGTTTAATAAGCCCCTCCTTCGTCCATTTCTCGTACACGCTCTTCTTGCCCATCTCGGTTACGGGCGCAGCAAGTTCTGTAGAAAACCCGCGTCGGGCCACCCGACGGGAAGAAGAGGCAAATACGAGTCCTAGCGATGTCGCGAGACGCAGGCTATTGCATCTGCTGCTGATGGGTCTCATTCAACCCCCACTTCGGAATTTATATCTTGGCAGTATTTCTGTGTTGAAAGCTTGAGTTTGATGGGTGTATGTGCCTCGAATAAAAGATGAGTAAAAGTTGAATGTCAGTATAATGAGTAAAAAGTGGTGCTTATCGATAGCGCCGGTCACTAAAAAGCTGCTGTAGGTCAATTAATCCAGGACCCCAAGTCGCTTATATCTCATCTCCATCGCTTCATATCGACATGCTAAACCTGCTTCAATTACAAGACAGTTAAATTCAAAAGACAGTATAATATTTGTTGATGGATGAGGTGACAGTTAAAGTCCTCTTACTCGGGGATGATAAAGTAGGGAAAACCACATTTTTATCGTATGCAAACTTCACCATTATGTCCGTGGAAATTATCACTTTCACTAATAACTAGATTAGGCGAATTAGTCGTGGTAGTAATGGCCTCGAAGGTCATGCTACGATCACACTCTTACGAGACATAGACCAGCCCTTCATTTTCGAAATACGGAATCGCAGACGCACATATCGTCTTGAATTTTACGATACATCCTGTCCTGAAGATTGGCGGCTACTTAAACCAGACTTAGTCTTGATTTGCTATGATATCAGCCAGAGACTGAGTCTCATCAATATGCAGAGACTCGTGAGCATAATTCATCCCTTCATATAACTCTCCATTCTCTAATATCCCCCCTATAGTGGATTAAACAAGTCCACAGCACCTTCCAAACAAGCGACAGTCTCCCAATCATGGTCGTTGGCCTCAAGAGAGACTTAAGGTCCGAGACTGATCCAAACGGAATCATATACCCTCAAGAAGGATACAAAGTGTCGCAAGAGATGAGGGTAGATAAGTATGTCGAGTGTTCAGCCGTCACGGGTGAGCTTCTTAAGCTTGCCTTCGAAGAGATCTGTAATACCGCGGCGAAGACAGTGACTGCTGAAGGCGGGCAAAGCGAAGGCGGATGTGTAATATCGTAAAGTCCGAAATTGATCTCATACTCCAATCATTTCTGGTCCTTGAAGATAACGAGGGGCGCCATGTCGAATGTCACCACTTGTGGTATGACGGATATGTTCGATCACCTAAATGGATCGCCCAAAGTCTTTGAAGTCCCAATTTCCTTCTATTCTCAGCGATTTGATTATGAATATCCTCGCATATTCGTAAACCTCGACCCCAGAGATTCTAATGGCATGCATTCCGAGAGGTAACTTATTTGCCCAGAAATGACGCCAAGGCTGATCCCAAGATGTTTGTTATTTCGCATCATGACTCATTCAGTCGTTGAATCTGGAGTAAACACTGGTGGATTCTTTTGGAAATGACTTTATCGTTACTGATCCTCTGTGGTCTGCATAACATCATCTTCTGGAAATTGTCCGAGAATTTCAATGACAATATCGAGAATCTCTTGTTGCTGATCGGCATTGAAGCGGTCTTCCATATTCTCTATGATCACATTGAGGACTGCGACGTTGGTAGGGCGAATATTCAAGATCATGATACATTCGCCCTTGGAGATCTCGTATGGGCTTAATCTTTTTATGACCTCGGGGATTGCCTTGGTGCCATAGGGCAAAGGCTTCTGGCTCAAAGGAGCTGGTGAAGACTCGAAATACTGAAGGACCTATATTTGTTCGTTAGAATTGTGTTGACATAAATTATCGATAAGTGAAATTTTATCTTACCTCCTTACGAATTGTCTCAAGATTCGCTGGACCCTTGCGCTTTTGATCATTGTATTGCTTTGCTTGGTTGGTCAGAAAGGTGTAGACCTCGACATTCGTAAGCACGGCTTCCTGGGTATTTAATATCTTCATCGTAAAATTCGGATCCTGCACAACTTGGATGCAAGAGGTCTGGAAGGTCTGGAAATTGGATAGTAAACTAGAAATTATCGAATGCGAATTGAATGTTGAAAGGTGCTTGCCAACTAAATTTTTTATAGTTAAGCTACACATGGACCCTGCAACTAACGTCAAGATAGCATGTGGGGCAGTGGAGGTTCCGGGCTTTGGGGAGGTAGCGGCACCCGTAAATATGGTGGGGGCAATCTCGTCAGCTCTCCAGGGCTGCTTTTAATTTGTATCTAAATCATGACTTAAATTTTACCTCTACATCAACTACTACATGTACTTGAACAAATCGAAGTTGTCTTTATGGTCAATTATATGTATTCATCAGCTACCCTTTTCATCCTTATGCTTTGATTTTCCCGCTCTATCAAAACCAGCACTCCAAGATTCAAGCTCAGCTTTGACTTTCGTCTCCCTATCCGTTGGCGTTGTAGGCTTCTGGTTGCTCACTACTCTTTCGACCGCAGACGTTGGTGGTTTCCGTAGATATTGCTCCAAGTTGTAAGACGGATACGTAGTAGTTTTAGGCGCCCTATCATAGCGTTCTTAGCGTTCAGCACAGCTAAACCATATGCATCCATAAGTTAGAGCTTACTTACCTGCTGCTACTAGACACCATAGCTGGAAGGTTAGATCTCGTCGACATCAGGTAAGATTGTGTGGAATATTAAGATCATAATCATCGATATTGTTCAATGAACCCTCTTCCTGTAACCCCTCACCGCTCTTCGGTTATATATCATTGGATTTTCCATCATATTTCTAGCAGAAGCACAATGATTGTTCGTTTTGCTGTTTTGCTAGATGACTAGATTGAAGTAAGAGTCAATCATAACTGAAACCGCATATTTGACACAATTGTGTTTTCAGCAAGCAAAGTGATATGTATTCCCGATACTAACATTGCGTTTACGAATTCGGTAAAATATTATATTTTATCCTTTTCAATTATGAAGAATTCTTAAAACGCATATGTGCTCCGCTGAGATCAAGAAATGAATAAAAGAAGTCATTGACAAATGGCTAGGTACCTACATTTTATGGCACCTAGACGGCTAAGCCTAGCAAGAGCACCGTTGTGCTCTACTATAGGTAGTCTTAGATAATAATATTCCATGACAGCGCCTAAAGAACCATCAAGATAACAAATCGTGTTCGAAATTGGCTTAATTACCTAGGTTGGTAGGTAGGTACCTAATGATAAACGCAAAATGCTTGAAATATTAGGCGAAGCACATAAACACGATGATTCTAAAGAGGCGCATTTCTGCCTGTGAGCGCATGAACAATCTACACACAGCTAATGGTCACATCGATATGTAAGACTTCTGGTAGTTTGACTGATCTTCCATTGAGTCATTATAGACCGGCTCGGAGTCTCTGTAACTGGCTCATTATCCCGTAAAGTGGTTTGCTCTCCGCGGAGCCTGAATCAGAGCCAGTGGCTGCTTTTCTAGAACCGTTATCCGATTCCGCCCTTCCATCACGACGTCCATTCTGTTCTACTTCCCGCAACAACTCTTTATGTCTATCCTCAACCATCTTAGCAAGGCTATCGATAAACTTTGTCCTTCCTTTCTCCTCTGCTGTCCCCTTCCATACTTTTGTTAATTCCTTGAGCTCTTCTATGCGATGCGCCGCCTTTTCGATTCCTTCGACCGGATCGGTACCCTTCGTGAGCAAAGTAGATATTTCTTCTTTGAGCTGTTTGAGAACTTGCTGTCCTTTTTCTTCCGTGCTATGCGCTTCTTTTCCAGGCTCCGGCGCGGAAACGGACAGGAAGGATGAGCTGACAGAAAGCTCCGAGGGTGGAAACACAAATTCCATAGCTTCACCAAATGTCTTAACGACAGTGTCCAGTCGCGAACGTACTAATGTCAAGGTTTGAAGTTGACTTATGTACGGTGGATCTTGGTTGTTACCATTCGGTGGAACAGACTCTAGATTTGTGGGTGCTATAGCTTCGGAAGCACGTCTAGAGCTAGCTTGATTGCTCCCGCTTGCTTTGGCATCTTGCTTTTCTTGTATGCCACTCGGAATAAATTTCGCGATGTCTTCATGTAGACCTTCTGACAATGTCTCCGAAAGACTCAATGTCTCGCCTCTAAGGAGTTCAACTTCATATGCCAACCGGCTTCCGCTTCGTAGGATATCATCAGTCAATTGTGTCAAAGTGTTCGTAAGCCTTGTCGTGTGAGCATTTAACTGGGACAATTGCGTCTGAGCTTGAGTAGATAGCTCTGCTAAAGGTACTGTACCGTCGGTCGAACGGGCTGATGTCTGGAGCGGCGGGAGGGAGGCATTGAGGTATTCGGCGGGGTTGAATGACGGAGAGAGGAAGCTATCGAGAAAAGGGTCAGTAACATGGTGAGACCTGGGATGCACTGGCTGCTTTGATAGTTGTCGGGTGTGATGTGGTAATGCTCTAGAAGAGCTCACAGAGCTATTCTGACGCCGTCTGGTGACGGATTTCGAGTCCCAAGACATTGTTATTTTAAGCTAAATCTTTCCAGCTTTAAACAGAACAGCGAAATCAAAGATGGGTTTAATAGGTATCGATAGTCAGGTACTAGGTACCTACATTCATAGATGTACGTACTGTACTAGGTACTTGCACGAAATAAAGATTATCTAATGCACACCCCGCCTTAGGTACCTAGATACATACTCGCCTCAAACCCTGTCCCTCGCTAGATTATCCGCTCTACAACGGTACATTGGTACATAATCCCAGGGCTTCCGGTCTATTTCGCGGCTAGACAGACTACACTTTCCCAACAACGTCGCCCTCTCCTACTAGATATTTGATATCCATTATAGCTCGCAGTTTACTAAGTACCTAAGCGCCCCAAAATAAGAGGTAGAAATTCAATATTGGAACCTACCTAGTACTTGTACATACCTAACGTACTACTCTACTTAGGTACACACTTAATAAACAGATCTCATTGACGGTAGAGCTTTGAACCGGGTTATGTGTTAGTATCTGCACCAACTCCTATTATATAAATGCACCTAATTCAATTTTCACGCCTAGGCACGTTTTGTGAGACGAGGGAATTCATAATTGGTAGGTACTCGATACTGGTCAGTGTCCAATATCTCAGGTACGTACACGCGTTTAACCTACATGTAGTTACCTACCTAATACTATGTACCTACCTATAGGTATACAGTATCGGCAGATACATGTAGGCAACAGGTTATGGGGCTGATATAAAAAACAAGGTTAACTAATACAAAACCGCAGCCTTGAGACCTATATCGTGCCTTCCCAAGTACGTCTAATGTCAACCTGAAGGTAATAGGTATGGGAAGGTGGCACTATACCTACCTACATTTAGTAGGTAGGTACCTGCCTAGGTAAGTAGAGGTAGGTCTCTAGATTATTAACAGACAACCCATCGTACCTACCTCACTTTTGTCAACATAATCAGCCGGCCCCAATAGACGTATAACAGGTATCCACGATTAGAGTTTCGTAAGGTATTGCGATCTCTCAGTTTTAACCACAATGCCCCACATGTTTCCTACCTAGCAACCACATATATACCTAGGTATGTACGAGGTTGAGGTCAAGTCAAATTCACTGCCTCAGTCATGAGATCTAGTACTCTTTCCTTCTACACGGTCAAGGTAAAACTCGAGGCACCTTGGGAAATCGTATCTTGCCTTACCTAGGTAGGATTCCATACGACATTTGAAGTCGTGCTTATTCTTTACCTCTTAACTTCCTCTTTCTCACCAACTCGTACCTGCATTCTACAACACCATTTCTATTTCTACAAGACCCATTCATATCGCAGGTATTATCTTACTTAACCCAAGGTAAGCCTATATATTCCTTTCTGCATTTTCAATTTATGTACTCTACAAATTAATCATATACACGATATGAACCGTGTATTTTTTGAACAAAAAAATACCACGTCTATCTAATATTTACTATACATGATACCGTTCACCTTTGGCTATCAACAATTCTCAACTAACGTTTGACATAGAGAGCACTTGCCCACTAGGGCATTTGCACGAAAATCTTCCTTTTCATTCCACATATCTGACGTTCTTTTCCCTCCTCCTTTTTATCTATCGAAAGGGAGGCCCATCATGGCGCCTTCAAAGGCAAGATCACGCTTTGAGGCTGACTTAAAGTTGGCTACCGAGAAAGATTATACCAACATCACCAATGTCCGCAAAGGAGATGCTGAAGATGGATTCACATTTGTGTTTAGTCATCCAAGCCTACCTCATCCCTCTCAAGTTGAGGTACATGCTCAACCACAAGGTTCGTATTAACATTTTACAGACTCATACTGGTGTGGATTCTAGTAAGCTAACAATGTGACTATCAAGATATGGGAGGATACCCGAGTGATAACAGCTTTCTTGTTTATACCAACGACGATATATCGCCGACAGTTGCACAAGTTCTAGAGGCGTCCATGTTTGAGACAATGGGCATGAAGGTTGATAACGTGATCGCCGATATTTCACGAAGACTGAGAGTCGTTTTGGAGACCGACAAACCTGACGACATAGGTGATGTGACAATGGCCGATGCTGATGCTGGTACGGATATAGATGCTTCCGATTTTGATATGGAAGACGCATACGGCGACAGTGATGAGGATCTTTCTTTCGAGCTCGATGAAGACGGTTACGGCAATAGTTTTGTACTTGGACAGGAGGGGGATGGCCCGGAACCCTCGACATCAATACCGCTACCCCCGGAAGTCTTAGATCGACTTCGACGAGATCTCCGATCAGTACTCTCTGCAGGATTCCATTCGGGGATAGTATATGGGCTTACCAATGGCACACCCAGCGGCATTATCTCCATTTCTGTTCGAGTGAACAAACTTTGTCTCCCTAAGGTGACCCGAGAGGCATGGAGTCTTGTGCCGTCGGAGTACATTGTCCTACTTATCAGATACGATGGGCATTACGCGGATTTCGAGAACGTTCTTTCTAAACCAGTCGGGTATAACAACATGAGCTTTCGCCTGAGAAAGTGCTCGGAGAAAAAACCATCATATCAGCAAGCCAGAATAGCTTTCGCATCTCAAGAAGCCAGTGGGCCTAGTGGAGAAGAGTCAGACTCGCCCGATTTACCGAACCTCTGGATTAGCAAGTCCATGGACGAATTCATGAACAACGAATTGATTTCGTTGCTGAAAATAAGAAAGCTCCACAATATGTCCTGGGAACAAGCGAAGGAGAGATTACAGTCTCAAATAATCCGAATAGATGACGACGTTAAAGACACCCATATGGACGACGAAGGAGGGCCTAGTAGTGAGCCCCAATTATCACCTCTACTTGCGGACGATCACTTGTTGGGTGCTGGGGAGCGCTCCTTACCACTAATTGCGATGCAGTTCGCCTTGCGTTACCTAGTCAGATGCACCGATTATTGTACCGTCTGTCATCAGAAGGTAAAAAGCAATTTTGCTGCCCTGATGCCATATGTCTGCAGCGCGCCTCTCTGCCTTCACCAGTACATAAATCTAGGCTTTGGTCCAAGTATAGACCACCAGATTATTAACCATCCAGAGGTTATTGATCTGTTAATTAGCTTCACCTTCGCATCTCTGTGTAAATCTGCCAAAGCATCGGGGGGTATTATCGGCATGCGTCACCTTCCCACAGGGCTTGGCCTACGAGTACCGAGGATCCGGAGTCCTGCATTGAAATCACACTCTGCTGCTCAGGGTACGGATTCGGTAAACGGAAACCCCGTGACCTTCGATTCAGCATACCTCATGGATCCTATTGATGTATCCTTCGACTGGGGAGAGTCCACCGCTACGATACTTAGAGATGATGTAAATGATATCGTTGGAGTAGGCCAGTGGGTGGTCGTCGCGACGAAAGCCGAGAATCGTACTCATGCTTTTCGACCAAAAAGCGTGCTACACCATGCGCGCGTCGAATTGGTATCCAAGGAAACATTGCTGTTAAACGTCGTATCGCGACATACGATGCCCAACTACACTCACCAGGTGCAACCTTACGTCGAAGATACAGACTTAGCAAACAACCCCAGAATTGACTCGGGCTATCTCGTACTATGTAACGACGAGTTAGATGATCTTGACGAAGTGCTCGAAAAGGCATTCTCCTTGATTATTCTACTCGCAAGTATGCCATCAGTTGCGGACATGAGATCCTACTTGATGAGTAGTCAACAACCACTAACTAAATGGGATCGGATGTCACGAGCAAGTGTGGACTTACTAAGATGGGTCATCGCTTCAAATCGGTCACATATCGTAAAAGTTGGGGAGGATACTCGACATCCCGAGAGAATTGGTGGCGTTAAAGATTGGATCCAATTTAGGTTCACCCAAGGATCTCCAGAGAAAGAGAACCTCTTCTACGAGGCTCTAGAGCAAGTCAGAGCCCCGCAAAAGACCATTCTCGCATGGCATGGCAGTAGCTTCGGAAACTGGCATAGCATTATTCGCGAAGGCCTAGACTACGCTACAATGGAGAATGGCCGAACATATGGCGACGGAATCTATTTCGCTAGAGATTTCGACACGAGCCTGGGATATGCACTTAGCGCTGAGGTCAGCATATGGTCCCCAACTCGATGATACTGACTAGATTTCTGTACTAACATCCTTCACAGAGAATGGCATGGCCGCGATCTCATTTAAGGGTAAATTGTGTCATTAGCTTAAACGAGCTTGTCAACTTGCCCTACGATTTTAAGAGCAACGATCCGTACTACGTCGTACAACACTGTCACTGGACTCAGTGCAGGTATATCTTCGTCCAACCTATGGAGATGGTCACTGACCTGACGCCTGTCGACCCCAACGCCACGCAATCTGTTGGTACTGATGAGTTCCAACAAGACCCCGGATGGACGGCGACGGGGCTTAGGGGAGCTCGATTATCGATTCCAAAATATGCGATCCCCTCTGCTCATAAAGCTGGGAAAGGACCGTATGAAAATGAGATGGAGGAAATCGCGTTGGATAGCAGCGATGAAGATGAAGACGATACTATGTTCATCTATCATGAAGGCGACAATGCTCAAACAAGCCTAGTATGCGATTCCGATTTCCGCCCCGGGACGCTCGATTTCTCTTCCTTGCCACAGCTAGCCCCCCCGTCGTACGCTGACTATGCCGCTCAAAGGGCCCTAGGCCAAGAAATCAAGAAGCTAGAGAAGATCCAGTCCTCAATGCCTCTTCACTTACTTGGATGGTATATTGATTTCGAGAGACTCAATAACCTGTTTCAGTGGATAGTTGAATTCCACTCCTTTGATCGTGACCTCCCACTCGCGAAAGATATGGAGAAGGCAGGCCTGACTAGTATTGTCCTAGAGATACGTTTTCTGCGCGGATTCCCAATTTCACCTCCATTTGTGCGAATTATTCGTCCTCGATTCCTTCCTTTCATGGACGGTGGAGGCGGCCATGTCACGTCGGGTGGCGCCTTGTGCATGGAACTCTTGACGAATTCGGGTTGGTCACCAGCCAACAGTCTGGAGAGTGTTCTTCTCCAAGTTCGAATGGCGATTTGCAGCGAAGATCCTCGGCCAGCACGCCTAGAGAGTACGAGAAACACCCAAGATCAATATGGTGTTGCGGAGGCAGTTGAGGCATATAAACGAGCAGCTGCAACCCACGGCTGGGAGGTTCCCGCCGACTTAGCTGATGTGTCATTATCCGGGCAGTAGTTGCTGGCTTAGTTATAAGCTAAAGGCCAGAAAGGAGGTTTATTAAGTTCGGACACTACCACCTTGATCCCCTTTAAAGGATGGAGATGTATCGTATCGTATGGGTGGCCCTACATCATTCGAAAATTGATATTCTATTTTCGATAAGCTCCTATATGAGGATGGAGGTAGATAGTTACGTACAGAAATAAAGCCCAATTCGACGTACTAAGTTCTTTTACAATATAATCGTTCCATGTCATATGTCATAGCGCTATAGGCCAAAGTCTCAATAGAGAATCCATTTTAAGACATACGCTTTGACTTTGGCTAGTTGCCGGTCAGTTAGCCACAGGGATACGCCCTCAACAGTTATGCTCTATCCCTTCCATTCTTCGTCCTCTCTTTCATCCTACCTGTCTAATACTGTAAGCATTAATGACAATCCAGCTCTCCTCGTTGACGAAGTGAGCTTATAGTATTACACGAACGCTACATCGTTGTTAGATCTTGGCGTCGAATCCTAACTGTCATCCCGATGTCTCACTTACCCCATATTTTGCTACCTAAATTTATCGACGGCGAGGCCCATCCTCACACCTCCATACACAGAACAGTATTACGACAAGCAACCATTTTGATCTTGATGGTGCTATCATTGGCTAGCTTTCTTGCAATACACCGTTGGAAGGTGAGTACACCAACGCTTTCCCTGTATTCATCTTGGTGCGTAGTACATAGGTTAGAAGAGGCTGATAGGAACTTGAGTAGTTGCTCGAATATAAACTACAGCATGTTATAATCCCGTCGGATACTTTCACGGGCGGGGAACAACAGAATGGGGCCAATTCTATGATACAGTCGGTTTCAGCGGATTTGTCTGATATCGTGAAGAGCGTCCTATTTAGTGATTAGGGATGGAATAAAGTTTTCTTAATTATCTAAGATTTTGAAGCTCGTGTAGAGGGTAAAAGGTTTTTTGGGGATCGCCATCCCTAGAATATAGGTATAGGCAAGAGAACAGGTCAATAATTCCCTATTTTATATCTTATGGGATAATTCCATGATCTGCTATTGAGGGCCGGTGTTCCGCGGGGAAGTACAATGTACATAGAGGAGACTCGATTATATGTAGAAACCCGCTATGATAACAAACCGAATTCAAACCAAAATTGAAACTTTATAAGCCGATTAGATCCATCCATGGATCATGTGTGTTAGAGATCGGGTAGGTAACTTCGTACCTAGAATTGGAGATCGGTACCTACATGTACTGAGTGGGGGTGATGAGATCATCTCCCGCTGCCGTCCTTGCACGGATACCTACCTGCATACCCGCGCCACCCCCCACTATGATAGGCTCAGGGGTTACCCCAAATTCTTCCAGCCCTAACCAAACGATTCCTTCTAATAACTCCGAGCGCAGGATGACGAATCTGCTTGCAGCGTAAGCCGCCACTGCGGCAAACACACCACACCGCTTCGGTAGACGACTCATCTGCTACTACCCTTCTGCTGTCGTTCTGGAAGACTCCGACGGCACGCTGACACTAGCACTGCTACTGCTTCTAAGCCAGGTGCTGCGGAGTGCGCGCAGAGAGACGCCGGCGGCATTGGATGTGGCGACGACCGCTAGATATTCATCTACCTGCCGCTCTTGTATACCGAGTCCATTCTAGGGTGGGCCGGCGGCGTCGGGCTGTATCGGACCTTGGGGTTTTCCGGCTACGACATGAGCTCTACGTACGCGACCCAGCAGAACGCTGGTTGACACATCACAGCATCAGTGGAATAGGAGAAGTTGTAGCTACGACAAGCAATATGAAACTCCCTGCTCTATAATGAGAATTGTTACATAGCGATAGTTGTGGAATGTCTATAGATATTTTCTAGTCTATTGTACAATTTCCCACCCCTTCCGTCGAGTTTCCCTATAATTAATATGCTATCCACCATTGTCCGGCCCTCATCAAACTATCGACACATAACCCGCCGGCTTCTTCGGGTCGTGGTGATTCTGAAGTGAAATCTCGCCAGTTCTGGGGCATGTGCCCAAATTATATTCCGTCCTCAAGATACCTTGCTGACTTTGACTTAAAGCCTGTTCTAAACTCATCATCTGCATGCTTGCCTCGAAAGCTTCCCTATCCGTGGCGCCCGCGATAGCAGAATAACACCGAGAGTTTGACTGGCCGGGCGAAACACCCAATGATGACTCTGCATTCCCCAATGGTGATGATCCTGTCGTGTACAAGAGTATGGCGTCCTTGATCGTTACGATGAGCGGTCCGATAATTGGCAAGCATGCACATATCAAGCCAATGGAATTTTCGATGACCGCCCATAAGTAGATATCAGCAATTATCCAATTTCCATCCACACCCGATTGGCTCCCAAGTATCTGATATCGTAACTGCACACACTCGGCAGCGATAGCACTGATGGTGTCAGCGTCACATATCATCGGTGCTTTTCAAAACAGAAAATGAACTTACAGGACTCCCGTTCCGAATATGAGCATAAGGCCAATCTTTTGCGAACACTTAAGTTGTAACCGCGAAAGCATGGTGATCGGCAATATAAATAGACCAACTTCTATTACTATGACCATGATGTTTGAAGCCATGGCGAGAGCGTCGTTGTTGACTCCGCAGAATCCTTGGGCTGAGTGATTCAAGCGAACCCGTTCCCAGCTATACGATGGCGGTATGCTATATGGTGTTAGCGAATACGTATATAGCTGTTTGAAGTGGAAAGGTAAATGATTTACCATTGGAACACAGAGCCGATGAAGGCCGCTGTAGCATGTGCGATGATAGAGCAGAACAAACTATACCACGCGTACTTAAACCACTTGTAGTTCATCGTGAATACCCGTCGGTAGAAAAGAATGAGCGTTACTTTGACGAGAACGCAAGCAATCGGATTGATGAGGGAACTAATATATTCCATCTATTCTAGTAAGTATCCCCTGTCTTCGAGCTGAGGGAAATCACCATACCTTAACAATTCTCCACGAGGTACTATCGTCAACGGCCCAGTCATGTATCCCCATGCCACGACGGACGGCTTTATTCGGCTGGTCAGGAGGCATCGCTTGAGTAAATTAGAACGATCGGAGACATACAAAGAATTACGGTGGCAGAGAAGCCGATATCGATTATCTGTAATCATATGTGAGTTTACACTATCTCGGGGACGTGTGAAGCTTCCAAAGACGTACTAAAGCGGCGACGGAAAACCAATCATCGGCGCCGAATCTCACCCGGCGGCTGAATCTTGAAGCGAAACGGAGCAAAACTGCAACGGTAGTAAGTCCGATGAAGAGGGATACGACGGTAATTACGGTTGGTCCTCTTTCCCCATAGAAAGCGGCATCCTTTTCAGGTCTGAAAGGAGCATGTTCTGTTGCCATGATTGCGGGAGTTATTCAGAGGTAAAAAGGGAGATGAGGATATCACTTAACGAGATACTCTATCACGAAATGAGTGATAGAAGACATAGTTAAATAGAGAATGATATCTCATCATACACACATAGCAATTGCTCGGTGGTGAGCCTTCATATCAAGTAAGCCGCAAGCAGGCTCTTGAAGAGACATCTAGGGATACTAAGTACTTGGAAAACAAGGTTACGTCGTTAAGTGCTTTTATTGGGAGCACGACAGCGGGTAAACAAAAGTGAGAAGAAATGCCATTTCTCTAATTGGCGGTTTGTCATGTAAATGTGAATATGGTTTGCGAGATAGGTGGTAAGCACACAGCCTTGCGATGCTATCGGTTATAATGTAACCCAACGCGGAATGCCGAGGTATTGAACTTCGACCAGCGTATCAACAGCTGTGACCTATTCGTAGATTTTTATGACTGGCATAAGCAGTTTGGCGGCGAAACTAACTTCTCTTAGGAGATGTCAAAGGGCCCCCTCTATGGAGCTCTTAGTGAGCACAGGTGGCTAACATTGGAGATATAGAGGTGGATTTGACCCTCCTCACTCCGAAATTTGATGTCTTAGGCTGAGATCGCTGACAGTTGCACCATTCATTGAGCCTCGGCTTCAGCGATGATAAATAGAAACGACTCGAGAAAGTGGGCTTAGCACTCGTTACTACGCCATGGTGACCGAAGACTTTGTTCGAGCAGCTTTAGATCCTATAATACTTCATCATCTGACTTGTTGCCTAGGATAATGAGGTCTATGAACAGACGGGGACCTCCTAAGAATCCCGGCGGCGTGCGGATTTATCAAGGTTAGACCCTGCGATTCGTCGAATACTATGTAGGGCTGGTGGCAATCTTTCATGAGGACCGCCATTTTCACTACCGAAAGTATATCGCCTGGGACTTCGGCACGATCAGGCCTTCAATATATGCTATACGCGAGCTAGCTACGATAGCTTTGTGACAAGATCCCGAGGTTTATGAAAACCGCCGAAGTCGAGCAGCGGGGGCAGCTACGTGATGAGATGCCCACGATCGAGAAGCATTGGACGTTCTGCCTACTGCCTGGGTACAAGACCTGTCTACATTAGCCTTGTGGTTAGAGGCCATCGCAATAATCATAGTACGGCTAGGATCATAACCCTCTGGCATAAACTTATTGTGAAGATCACGTTCTTTGAAGTGTAGGCCTGAGGAATGAATGGGTTGTTATAGAGAGTCCGAGTTGCGAAAACATGACTGCTGTTCTTAACAATTATACCGTGGCGTTAGAAAATCCATGGCTGTGATGTCGAAGCCCTCTTGGACTTCGATATAGTACGAGGAAACGCTGCCTTGATGACACAAGGTTCCATAATTCGGGTTAACGAAGAGTATAGTACACACTCATCTGAAGAATCACTCAAGTCTCAAATATATCTCTTCCTGCGGGTAAAGTTCCCACTGGTGTGATTTGCGTAGAATTCGCTCCCGATATAACTCCCTCAGATAGCTGCACAAATCTTTACCGGATTTCGCCTGATTGTCATTCTAAGATGACGTACCGATATGGAGACTGTAGCAGTAAGTACATACACCCTGCTTGGCTTTGGACTACGACATTGTAATTGCTTAGAGCCATAATGGACCGCCGTGAACCCGGTAGTAATCAGAATAGGAGCAGACAAACCCGAATCACCAGCACGTTGGCTGTAGACGAATGGAAAATTGACTGAGAGCATCCATGGATATAATTGAGATCGAAGTCGTTGTAGTCGGTGCTGCTCTGCTGCTTAATTTGCCAGATCCTGTTTTGGTGGATAGCGCACTCTATAGCGACGAAGGGCTGTAGCTTGGATACTAGGAACATAAATTAAAGCTAAGAAAAGGTCTATCTCTTAATAAGCCACATCTGGTTAGGTAAACGGTCTATGTATTTATGTACCGATGTACATATGTATATATGTGCAGTGGCTCAATCACGTGCCTGGTATTGAGCCGTAAACGGTACCTAGGTACCTCGTCATAACCACCTGAGCAAGTGCATCCGTGCATATGGGTGTCAATATAATAAGTATCTAGGTACCTTTTACTGCCGTGGTACCTGGTATTGATCTTGTAAGTGAAATCAGCTTGCGACTTTCACCTTCATCTTCAAACTTCATCGCACTGATTGATTACTTGACAATTTAGAACTTCACACAATCAGTACGCTCATGGGGTTTACTTGACATCCCCGCAATCTCTTTGAGAAAAAAATATCCAATCTTCCTTTCAACAACTTTTTCTTCCGCACCTTTCACTTTTGCATGCTCGTTACCAACCAAGCAAAACCTTTGATCTCTACTCTACTTTCAAACTTCACTCCAATTACCCGAATTCACTTTCTACTTTACTTCCAACTTAACTTTTCCACTAACCGAACTCATTTTCCACATTACCTTTAAGTTTCTCTCCAACTGAACGAACTTATTTTCTACTTTATTTTCAACTTCTTTTCCACGATCGGAATTCATTTTCCACATTACTTATAAACATCTCTCCACCTAACCAAATTTCTCTCCCACTATCCGAAACCATTTTCCACCTTACTTCTAACACCTCTTCTACCATTTGAACTTATTTTTTACTTCTTGTGCCAAATTTCTATATTCGGAATTCGCACTCGAAGTATTAAATATTCAATAATCAATATCGAACATTACAAATTTCTAGTTACTAGAATTACACCCATTACCTCTTTACTATGGCTACCGCCGAACCTATTTCGTCGTCAGCTTTGGTGACAACTTCCAACAAGACTATCCGTCCCTCTCCTCCGCCCCCGTCGAAGCGCGATAAGAAGCGACAGGCCTTGAACGATCGCCTAGCTGGTATGCAAGACCAGTACAGTCGCGATAAGGACAAACATTACAGAGACGAGCTCCATAAAATCCAAATCGACGTCAACCTTGTCGCCCGAGTCGATCCTTATGCCGAACGTCCTCTAGATGTAATCGACCGCGAATATCGAGACATTCTACAGTCCGCAAAGGCGCAACTGAGTGCGAATGCCAGCAGCAATGGAAGTCCTAAGAGGAGCCTCCTTGAGATGGCGGGCCCTACATTCTCCGAATGGGTTTACCAGGTAGAAGATCTTGTCGAACACCGCGACTATGAGATGACCTGTCAGAAGGTATGTTTTCTTTCTTGCATAGTTCTTCAAAATGAAAAAATCGCACAAGTACTAATTAATATTTTTTCAGATGGAGTATGAGAGAAAGACCAGCGAACACGAGAAGGTCCGCGCCTACAAGCTTGAAGTAGCTAAGCGAGAACACCAAACTCTATCGAACACTCTCCGAGATCGCCTTAGTAACGCTATCTCGGGAAAGAAGTTCCGATTAGGCAAGGAGAAAGAGGCCTTAGACATCTCAGACGGCTCGGCTCTTCTACTACACCCTAACCAATTCAGCCTTACCAACCCTGCGAGCCCTGGCGGAACGCATGGCAAACGAAATACTCGACAGCGAAGAGAGATGGATGAAATGCCAGGTTTCTCCGAGAACAAGAAGAGAAAGAGAAATGGTGCAGATGACGAAGGCTCTCCTGCTCCCAAGAGAGGTGCTTTGGACAGCTCTAATACCACGCCGTTCTGGTCAAGCGATAGACTTCGAAGTGGAAGCGGGGGCACCTTACGCAAGGAGTCAGGCCCGATCTATAGTGTAGATAAGCTTTTCACTGACAAGGAGTTGGCTATGACCTACAACGTCTCTGCATTGGCAGCTCACAAGCACATGGTCCGCCGTGACACAAACGGCAACATCATTACCCCCGATGAGAACGGCCTCGGCAACGGAGAGATCAACGACGATGAGGACCCATCCGCAGTTACGATGGAACGACAGCCGTCTCATACTACCCGAAGTACTCGAGGTGGGCATGGCCAACAAAACTTCTATGACGATCAATTACTAGGAATAGAAGGATTAGCCAACTTCGAGATTCCGGGTAACCTCGACAAGATGGGTACATTAGAGCCTAAGCTACCCCCTCTAACCCACGCCCAGTACTCGAAGGCCTACCGGCGAGACGACTCTAACACTCCGCAACCCCTAAGTGACACCGATCGAGATAGAGACTTGTCGGCTATGAAGCTGCTTAGGGCGTATCAGACGAAGCATGGTGTGGGAGCCAACCTCAACGTTAACAACGGAGGGCGCCGACTTCTTGAAGCTATGACAGCTCCATTGCACAATTCTAAGTACGTGGCTTATATTCAGGGCCAACGACCTTCCGCCGAAGCAATGTCAGAATCTTTGGGCATACAGGAGAGTGATCTGAGAGATGACTCAAATGCTAGGCCGAACAACACGGGAAATACTACAGAGGCCAAAGACTCTCCTGCGGAGGCGAGGGATTCCGCCGCTGGCGTGGCGATGAGCAGACAGAGCAGTCTTGGTGGTGCTGCGATGAGTCGCTCGGGAAGCGCTCGTAGTAAACGAAAGACATGATGGAAGCGACATCTGGTATACAGAGACGGTTTAAGGGAAATGTTCCTGGAACGAGCGAGCGATGATGCAAGTGCCACGAAATATGGTGGCCGGATGCATCACCCATGCGAGGTATTTTGTTTTTATCATGAATGTGCTCGTAGCACTTAGCGGATTTCACTATGGTTTGGTTCATACTGGCAGGCGTTGGGGGGGATCAGATTTGCATTTCATGGTCATTCAAGGTATCCATGACAGTGGTACCAACAGTGGTATCAACAATGATATCAAATAACAGTTCGATTAGTAAATGTACTAAATGTCCATTCTGCTCATGAGAAAACACATAAACTATAAAGTGACTTGTCTGGTATCCATATATTACATCATCGCGCATCTTCAGGGTCCAAAAACTAGAGCCCGTACCTCAATGCTCTCCCTCCCCTCGGCATCCGGCCTCGTCCTAGGGTCTTCGAACGCACTGTGAGGCACCCGTCCACCAGCTACACCGGACCCCTCCTTCGCACCCTCGCTATCGTAGCATTCGAGCAGCAGACGCTCGTCTCCCGTCATCCCGCTTAGGTAGTACCATTTCTGGTTCGGGTTATACGTAATCGCAGCCGTCTGCCCGACATATCCCTCGGGGTACCTATGCTCGACCGGCACAACATCCGCATCCTCAAGTGTGGAGCTCGAGGCAAACGCCAACGGCATGGATTCTACGGGGTTCTTGTTCAGCGTGCGCCATACATTGACGATACGGTACCGTCCCTGCAGAAGCGCCGCCGCGTCGTCGCCCATATGCCTCTGCACGCGCTTCGCGGCCGAGTACGCCGTCTGGTCTACGTGCACGTTCTGCACGGCTTTACGCGGCGCTGATGCGGCCGCCCGCCGGATCGTGTGGTCGAAGATGTGGATCCGGGTGCTCCCTGGGATCGCGTCGAGGAGGAGACGCTCTACTTCCGGGTAGTAGTGCGTTGCGATGGACTTGTCGTCTAAGAAGTTCGACGCGCTTTCCTCCGCGGACGGGGCGATGTGCTGCAGGATTTGGAAGGCGTCGTGGTCGAGGCTGAAGTCGGCTTCGCGGCCCCGGATGTCGGTTATGTTGACGGCGCGCGGGTTCGGGGTTAGGTTCCGTTGCGGCTCCCCGGCGGGCGGCGTGTCTACGTAGTTGAAGGCGGTGATGCCGGCCGGGAGCGGGTGCGAGAAGTTCAGCTTGGCGGTTACGGGACCCCGGGGTACGGGGGCGGGGTGTGGGGTTATGGCCATTGTGGGATAGGGGGGTGAGTGGGTTACACGCTATGTAACTGGATGTGTGGGATGTATTAATATGGGAAACTCGACTGGCTGAGATGCTCTTAGTGTATTGGAGTATGAGAAGGCTTGGTGCTTGATGATATCAACAACTCGACTTTGACTTCGACGTCGAAACAGCCTGACTTATATACCTGGACTGTCTGGACATCATGGCTCTACATTTCTCCTACCGTGTCTGTGCCTCGTTGTAGTGTATTTCAAATCAAACGGGCTCGCATGTAAACTCCAAATCACGTCATTCTTGGTTGCTTCGTTGACTGGACTCCCCGGCTGTATCTGCACGCGATATGTAAGCAATGTTTCGATGACATGTCGTAAGGCGTAGAATCTCGACCGATGCCTCTTAGTGCGCCTTAAGATTAGTATTCGTCGAGACGATTCTTTATTGATATCGGGAATATATCGGGAGAGATGACGTAGTACGTAGTCAATTATCCAATAGCTTTTTGAATCTTTGCCAGAGTTTTGCCGGACCGTACGATTGATTAGAAATCCCCGCTTAGCTAATGCGCAGATTCGTGCCAGCTGGTTAAAGTCCGGAAAATCAAAGTACTACAGTAGCATCAGCTATTTTTATTGGTGGACGCGTGGAACTCTATTTGAAGAGACCCCGCTGGTACTTAGGTACATACACGTGTAAAGTGAAGCGCCACTTCATCATAGCCTTGTCAGCCTCATTTCTCAACCAATCAGATGTTTTTACTCGGACCAATTCAATGTAAACAAACTTCTTCTTTTGGGATTTCGGAGGGTTTGGGTAGGTAGCTTTCCGCGGCGCGTCCCCCCTGCATGCAACTTTACACAACCTTGTGTGTACAAGAGCAAATATCGATGTGCTAATTGCATTACATACCTAGGCACCTCCATTTTGCAATCGTCATTCTTCTAAGCATCCTTCGATTAGCTAGAGGTTATAATTATTGCCGATTGCTTAGCTAGTCATGGATGACTTGCCGTCGTCTCCCGACCCGCTTGGGGACGAACCTCCTAGCTCGGCGCATTCTACGCGACGAACCGGGGGAAGTAACTTCACAAACCACGACCTATCCGCGATATCCATCCCTCGATCTCAGATACGGAGGTCATCTCCCGCGAAACACTCCCCTAGGAAACGGACTTTTGAACTCGACGTTGGCGATAGACTCTCACCGCAAAAGATCCTCGTCACCGTTGAAGCAGAAGAGGCCATGAAGCGGGGTATCAACCGAAAACTATTCCAATCATCCTCTCCGACCCGAAGCGATTACCGTAGACAGGCTATTACCACTACTACTGTACCTCTCAATGACGAGATAGTGAACGACTCTACACCGCGACGACGTGGCCGGCCGCGGCGGACGAGCAATGGCACACCATTGCCGAAAGGGAGGAAGAGGGCCGGAACACCTATTGAGCAGGCTTCTAAGCGGACGCGACAAAAAGGCGACCCAGAATCTGAAATCAGTATAATGAATGATGATACGCCAAAGGCGACAGATGCAGGATCTACCCCGAAGCCAAAAGGGAGAGTCCGGAAGACACCTAGGAATGTTTCCGAGAACCAGATCGTGCCATCGTCACAACTCTCTAATGCGACAAAAAGGAGGCGAGGACGACCACGAAAAGCGCTAATGCCAGAAGATGTTGCTGAGTTGGCAGAAATGGGTGATCAGTCGACTGGCAATGTGGCGAATAATAGTATGGTTCAGCCATCACAAGAAAACTCGAAAATGGACATAAGTAGGAATGAAAGAAGTCGGCGAGACATGACTATGGATGACACATTGACTCTCATCGATGAAATAGCGAGAGCTAGCGATGATGGAACGCCTACGCCAGCGGATAGATCAAACTCGCGCATGTCAGGAAACATACGACAAGATATAGGATCGCCAAGAACGTCACATCAAGAAGAAGAGTTATATGATGAAGACCTACCTATATCAGATGCTTATCCGCCATTGATGGAGCAGCACAGCGATGTTGGGTCGGAGTTTGATGATAACCACGATGAACCCTACAGTGGACAAGACACACTTGCACATGCATCCGATTTCAGCATGATAGCCGTGGAATCGCTCCCATCCTTCCAAGCGAATAGAAGCGCATTCCCGACCGATCCCCCGGATATGGGTTCCGAGACTAATATGATAATAAACGAAACTCTCGAATCGTTACGAAATAGTATTCAGGCGAACGCAGCCCAGCAATCACCGGAACGATCGAACGGTGATCACTTCACGGCAGAAGAAGACCAAACAATTATGCCAAATGGCTCATTGGCAGATGTTAGTGAACACAATTTGATGGGACGACCAAGGAGTCCAAGGAGGCAGAAGAGCATGCCACTAAATCGTCAAGTCCTCACTGGCAAGACAGCTCACACGGACGACTCCTTTTCAAGCATTCCTGATAGTATTCTCAAAGCTGCAACGCCGGCGCGTCTGCCTATGAAGCCGATATCCGCCAACCACCAGCACGATGATACCGGCGGGTACGACGATTCCTTTTCTGAAGTACCAGAAGCAATCCTTGAAGCCGCCACACCAAAACCGGCAACTCGTACAGTAGCGCCTGTTGAGGGAAGTTATCTTGAGACTCGTCAACCCGGTTCTGTGAATAGAAGTACGGGATCGGATTTTGGGCCGACCAGACTTCCCACTCCAGATGATACGTCGTCTTCGAATGCTGGTTCTAAGAGGGCGCCAGAGGATGAGATTGGCGAATCCTCGAGAGCCCCAACCCTTACCGTTCCTAATCCTAATATAGATATTCATTCCTCACCTCCTATTATGAATCGACCACGTTCGATAGATTTTGGGCCGCCTCAATCAGATCGAGAGATTACCAATACACCGGAACCACATCATTCTTCTCCTCAGCTACCGCCCTCTGCAAAAGAAGTAACCGAGCCTCCTAAATCGCTGGAACCTCCTCCTATCAGTAGACCTTCTCTGTCACCGATTGTGCGAGTTGGAAGAACCCTTCAAAATGTGATGTCGGATAGGTCATCCCCCGAAGTTCGTGAAGGCAGTCTAGGAAGTCCCTTCAGGGGGTCCAGCAACAATGAGTCAACACGGCCAATACCTTTTGATCCCTCCAATCAATCATATATATCTAGATCACCAAATCGAACTAATCACGATATATCGGCTTCATTCAACGCTCGGGCTTCGTTTAATCCCTCTGGTACATTCATTCATACTATAAGGTCTAATTATCCATCCGGTCACCCACTTGCGCAAGGCGGAATTGTTAATAATATGTCGGATCCGTTTGTATCAGATAGAAACGATCATTCACAAACCAATACATTGAGGGAAGGTGCATTCAATACTAATGAGCGAGTATCACAACATAACCATTCTTTGTTGCATCCATCGATGGGCGGCTCAACCAAAGCAATGCCCCCTACCAGTTACAAGACGAGCTGGGCCGCAGATGATGATGATAACCAGCAAGAGGAAACGAGCCGTTATCCAGACTCACGGACATTAAGCTCTCACAATTCAGGTGTTTTTGCTACACATAACTCGAATGTGGATCAAACATTGGCCGAGAATATTGATGCCGATGAGCCCGAGGCAGGAATGGAGCAGGAACAAGGACAAGAGGAAGAAAACAATGACGACGCAACAGGTTATGAGGCAGAAAATACTGATCTCTGGGACTTCGAGGCTTCAAGGCCAACCCCCAGGAGACCAGATTCAAAACGACGTGCGTCACAACTATTTGATCCGCCTCCTCGACGGAGCAAGATCCTGAGTCCTTGGAGGAGATCAACAAGACGTCTCATCTACAGGGAGGAGATTGCGAGTCCTTCTCAAATAGAGATTGAGGAGAACCCACAGAGCGAGACGGAAGACCCCCCAGTAGCACGTCCTAAGCCACCACGGCCTTCAAATGCTCATTCGATACTACTAGAAATGGCACCTTCTCCAGATCCCGATCCTGCTGAAGTCAACGAGCATGAGTTCCATTCACCTTCACCTTCACCTTCACCTGAACAACAAGATCCACTGTTTGAATATGAATTTGAGGAACAAGAACAGCAGCAAGCATATGAGCATGAGCATGAGCAGGACCAGGAGCTAGAGCATGAACATGAGAATAGGCATGAAGAGGAACAGGAACAGGAACAGCCAGAAAAACAGTCAGCAAAACAGCTAACCGAGCCCATAGATGCGTCTGAGTATTCGATGATAGCGCAGCCAGAGAATGTGCCATCTACCCAAAAGAAACCTACACCTGCCAAGTCTGGTTTGTTTGGTGGATTTAATATCTTATCTTTCTTTTCGTCGCCGGCTACACTGCCCACAAAGGCTCCCGAAGCAGGACAAGAGAGCACAACTCGAAATACCGGAAATGTCTCGCAGCCCAGCCTCCAGAGAGCTGCGACTAGGGAAATGGAACAGGTTCCTAAAGAACCACCAAAATCCATCTGGTCTACGGGACTATTTCCGTCGATTCCACAAAAGGATTTTCAACCAAGCCCAGAGCGGCGCACTGATTTATTCTCGCCAGCACCGCCCTCGCAAGCAAAATCAAACAATACCGTTCAGGATACCTACGAATCTCCCTCGCCTGCACCGTCTCCCTCGTCCGGGGCGTCGCTTTCACCAGCGCCATCACCTTCCCCTGAACCTGCCTCCCCAGAGCCGCTAGAACAATCACCTGAGCCAACACCTGAACCAGCGTCCGATATATCGCATGAACCATCGCCTGAGATGACTCCTGAGCCATCGCCTGAGAGGTCGCCTGAAGTGTCGCCCCATCCCTCGACCCCTGATCAACGGACGTACCCACCAATCGCACAGAAGCAAAACTTCACTCCACGTCCAGGGTCTAGTCAGTCTCTTTTCAGGACCGGCCCTTCTACCAACCAAAACAAGAATCATGACGATGACCTTCCATCGAGCGACGAGGACGAGCTACAGGAGACCTCTTTCCTTACGGATGGAACAGAGTACGAGCGCGTGCCGCCTAGGGAAAAGCCGTCTCGATGGGATAGGACTCTTTCACCATCCAAATCCTGCTTCCGTTCCCCCCTAAAGCCAACCACCCCCGGGCGTGTCGTAGCTTTCAAGCCTAGCGTGCCATCTCAGCCGGAGGCCTTCATTGAAAGGCAAATGAATGGTAGTAACAAAAGCAATAGGCCCTTACTCCAGGGCCCGCCTCTCATTCAGCCCGCCCCCGCACCTGTCGCTGTACCTATTCCTGCAGCTACTGAGAGCCAGCAGGCAAATCAGTCTTCCTCCCGTGTCTTTACTCGAAGTAATACCGCACCTATCGCTCCCGCAACTAATATGAATCCTTCTTATCCATCCCTACCCACCTCATCCGTATATAAGAACAATGCCTTAAGTCCGGCTAAGAATCCAGCCATGTCAAGGTATAAGAGCGATACTTTGAACCCCGCCGCGCCGCCGCCGCAACTACAACCACAATTGCAACCGCAGCAACAACAACGACAACAACAGCCACGCTCTCTCACTTCCACTTCCACCTCCACCTCCACCTCAACCTCAACCAAACCCACCAACTACAAGATCAGCCTATCTCAAACAGAATGGACACGCAACCACTGGCTCCGCCTCGACGAAATGCTACACCTTCGCCGTCGCGATCCCCTCGCGTTCCAACAGCGTATCCCCCTACCCCCCCGCACCCACCGCAAATCCTTCGCCACGCTCCTCGGGAAAGAGATCAGAGCCCAAGGCGAGTGCGTGCCTCTCGAACCATGGCACCTCGAGGTCGTTGAAGCATTCAAGCTCGAGGTCGGCGGCTGGGATGAAAGATCCCTTGCGAAAAGGGTGTTCGCGCTTATAGTTGGCGAGCAGAGGAGGCGGAAGGCTAGGGAGATGAGGATGGGGACGGGGATGGGGGTTGGTGCTGCTTAAGGGGTTGGGAAATTGTTTAAGGGAAAGGTTACTTCTATCGAGAGGGGGAGTGCATTTATTGGTGTTATATATACCTGGGCATTACCTAAGGTGTGTTTAAAAGCATAACGGCTGGCGTTATTTGGTTGTGGGCAAGTGGGTTGAAAAGGCTTGCATTGAGATTGTTTGATTGATCGGTTGGCTTACCAACTCGCTGGTTCTCTTGTTTCTTCGCATAAGGCAAGGTAATTGGAGAGGTCTTGTATAGTACATTTGTCTGGAGGCCAAGTCATTGGATTGGAGTCGATTCAAGGCGTTACGGCGAGCAAAAAAGCATTTATCTAGGGAGTTACTAGTTCAGTCATCCAGCTACCTTAGGTTACCTACCATTTCAAACAATTCGTTTAATTCACCAAGACGAGACGATAGAATCACATGTGCATGTAACACTTTTAGACAGCATGATGTGACCGACGATGGGCAAAGCTATAGCCTATGTAATGTGCGTGCATAAGCCGTAGAAGCCGCCACAACGCCCTTTATCTTCGTTGAACTAGTGCCAGACGGCTCCTAGCTACCTAGCTCTCTACCTAATGCAGTGGTAATATTACACCAGAGGGCATCCCGTTTCTATCCCGCCTAAGCTCACGCTCAAATCCGCATCAGCTCAAGCCAACTTGAGAATTTTCCCTCAACTACCCTTTTTCTCCCAAAGATCGGTAGGGTAAACACCTTACTCCAACATCGAAGCCTGGTTCGTGTACAGCACATCAACAACGTTGCTCAACTTCTCGATGGTCTGGAGCGCGGCGTCGTAGGACTCGTCGCGCTGGGTCTCGTCGAAGATGATCAGACAACCGGCGCCCTGGTCAAGGACACCGATAATGACCTTATCGAGGATCATCTGGGAAAGCTTGCGCTCGACCTGCTGGGTGTCGAGGCCGACCATCTTGGCGATATGGGCGATCTCGACGCGGCTGAAGGGCTCGATTACCTTGATCAGATTCTGTTCAAGCATGGCGTCGTAGAGGCGGGCGAGGTGGCCACGGACGAACTTGTCAGAGCCGAGCTCGTATCGGTAGGCGCCGAGGGCGCGCTCGTACTCTTCGAGCGAACGGTTTGAGTGGGCGCGGGCAATGGCCTTCATCGCCTCGAGGTTCTGGCCCGCGTACTTCTGGGCCTGCTTCGAGGTCATCAGGTTGTTGACGTCGTCGACGAGGTTGAGCATGATCTTGCACAGAAGCATGTACTGCAGGGCAGCGGTGGCCTTAGCCGTGTCGTCCTGTGTGTGGTAGCCGTCGAGCGCCTCAATGAAGTACGAGAAAGCCGTGTTGAAGTCCTGGTCCATCGTATGCAGCATACCCGACTGCATGTCCAAATTCGCCTGCAGTAGCGGAGGTGTGTAAACGGAGGCGGCACTGGTTCGTGCGCTGGTGAGGGCCGCGCGGGCCTTGGAGTTGTTGCCTAAGGCGTGGTATACCCTAGATTCTAACAGCTGGACCTCGACGAGAACTAGCTTGTCGTCAAGACGCTTAAGCTCCCGGAGGAGTCCGTTGATAAGAGTGAGGGCTTCGTAGTAGGATTGCTTCTTCATATACAGGGCAACGAGTCTCGTCTCGAGATTCTGGCGCAAGAAACTTCGCCTTTCGGACGTGGCCCATTCTATACATGACTTGGTAACGGCAATCTGGATATCGTTTGTGTTCGGGATGGCATCGAAGAGGTCTAGTAGTTGACGGACTGTACAAATGGAGAGTTAGGCATGTCCAACGTTACAGCACAACAGAAAAAGAATCAGTTGAGATATACCTAATTTGGCTGTCTTCGCCTTCGCAAAACTGGAGAGGATAGTTCTACTAGTAGTAACAAGATCGACGAGTTCGGTCGGCTTCCTAATCACAATATGTCAGACATGAGGCGCGAAAACGAGATCCCAGACGTCTTTCTTACTTCTCGTCCCGGTATAACTCTCCCAAGCTTATCAGAGCAGACTCGTACTCTTTGATAGCAGCATCTGACGTAACGGAAGGAGGTTTAGATATGATTTCCTTATAGGTAGCTTCAGCTTTTCGGGGATCGGTGCTGGCAAGTGTTTGCGCCTCCTTCACAGACGGCTTCTTCGAAGCCATATTGACCAGTTTGTTCTCGGAAATGGGTAAACGGTAGTAGGAACTGGTTGTTGGGAGGGAATAGGAGTCTCGAAGAGTAGATCTACAAGATCGAATTGGTCTAAAATTGTTGATCTGGGGATGATTTTCGAAGAGAAAGAATTACTGGATAGATGTACATACAACATACAACCGAGCTTCGTAACTTCCGGCGTCTGTACTTGCAGCTCCAGCCTTGCGATTACCTCCAGTAATAAAGTGGGTACTCCGCTACATAGTACTGACGCAGCTCACCCTGCCTAGACTAGCGCGGAGGAATCCATAATTCCGTTCCGTCCTATACAAAGGTACCTAGACTAAATGTTATACATTGAAGCTCATCAATGCTCTTCTCTATATTCCTAATTCACGTCATTTCACGATAACCAAGCATGCAGTATATTAACTACAAATCTCCATTTCTTTCAGACTTGGACTACATTAGCAAAGCCATAATAAAATTACAACTAAAGTAAAAGCTAACAATAGGTACCCAGTAACCAGAACCATCTTAATTCCAGGTCTACTCTTAGTATCTCTATCAAGTTAAGCATATGCCGTATGCTGTGTATCAACAGCTAAACCCATTATAACATGTGGCGTTGGTCATAAGTAAAGTCCGCGTAAGATCTTAATTTCGATTTATCTTAGGTACATCCCCCTCCAAATGAAACGAGTCCATCTCCGGTCATCCACGACCTAGTTATGCGATATATCAAGTAGCGAGCGCCCTTCACCCTTCGTCTTCCCCCTTAACAAGAGAGTATAACCACAAGTTACCACCGAGATATTTTCGCCGATATCGAATCCAAGATTCCCACAACTCCTATGCCTTATATACTAATAGATAGCCTTCCCAACTTTTTATGTCCTCCAATGCCCAAGATCATCCGAAGCTTGTCGTTTCTGTCATCATACGTCAGGACGTCAGTTCTCCCTCTACATCAGATTAGTATTTGGGGAACCGTCGTGGTTACCTGCGTATATGTGAGCCTGCCAGTTGCGCACCTTATTTACTCGGGCGTTCTGCATAGCTTGTGAGCTGCTACCGCTGGCCATATCTCTCTCCTGTATAGAGCTGCTACTTAGTGGCCGATATGACCCAGATCCTACAGATCCTAGCCGGGAACTCGGTCTCGCCGACCCACTCTGCCGTCTTGTCGAGATATTAAAGTTATCACCTCCTCTGCTAATGCTCAGATTGCTGAACCCAAAGTCCCAGCCGCCATATTGGTGAACACAGTGTGGCTCGGCGATCAGGCAGTTCTCCGTCAGGATCTTGTACGTGCTTTGCTCAACCTCCTGGGCCGTAGGCCTGTCTTGTGGGACAATCGAGAGCATTCGCGCAACCACCTGCAACATAGGTCCAACACCACGGAACACCTGGTCGTCTTTCTTCGATGCGTCCTTTGCGAGGCCAACCATCCAGGATTCGACCTGTCCGATGTTCTTATGGAACGAAGAATCCAACACTGCACCTCCCCGTCCGGCTTGCTTATGCTTCGCCGCTCGATGTGATGCGAAGTTCCGAGTTTGGCGTTTCATTAGAAAACTTAGTAGCTCGAGTATCACACAACCTAGTGAGAAGATGTCGACTGCTTGAGGATTGAGAGAGGGAGTTGGCGAGTGTAGCATCGAGACGGGGTTTAGGCTCTCCGACCCTCCTCGGTTAATGGAGAACGTCGAATTATCCGATGATGTTGACGTTGACGTTGAGGAGCCGACAAGGGTACTCCTCCGTTGTGGGCCGGAGTGTGAAGCTGACGGGCGATACCATTGTTCAGGGGCCGCGTAATCGTAAGCCTCCTTGTCAAACGTCGATTTGTCCGAAGTGTTAGCTATCGCCTCTACGCTTAGACGGCTTATGTCTGCGTAAAAAACATGGTTGTCGGCATTGTAAAGAACAGTCGAAGGCTTGATGTTGCCATGCGATAGGCCTCGTATGTGAAGATAGCAGAGAGCGTCAACGAGGCAATGAATCCAGTTCATGAGAAGACGGCGTCGATCTTGCTTGGCCAGCGATTTTACCGAGCTTGGCTGGGTTACCAGAAGAGATTTGAGGCTGAAGTCGCTTGGAAGTGAGAAGAGGACGTAAGCGAAACCTTGATGGACATATGAGCCATAGTAAGATGCGAGGTGGATGTTCTCGAGATTCTTCGCCTTGTTGATCTCATAGAGAAATTCCTCTCCCGTCAGAAACCCAGGTCCAGTCCCGACAGGAATGCGACGCCGCGAGAAAGCCTCGCCAGGCCTATTTGGCAATTCAACCCTATCGACAGCAGTACCGATATTTAATCCAGTGCGTTTATCCACGTTAAGTGGCACTACCTCAGGATCTTCGTAGATTACATAGTCTCCTTTTTCGATAAACTTGAGCAGGTAGTGGAACTGGCGGGAATAGAACCTCTTTTCGATCTTGTCATCCCTAGTAGGTGTAAGTGCCAGTCGTTCGATCTGGTCCAGTGGAACAGGGAGGTCATCGTCGTCCCAACTATCGTCAATAAGTCCGAAGATCTGATCTGGTACACCTAGATCTGAAAGGATGAGGAATATGCGTTTAGCCTTTTCGTCAATCCATTCCCAGTAAGTTCCATCGGTCAGCCCATCGCCAAAACCCAATGGTAAATCCAACCGTATTATCTCGTCAGGCAGGAGGTGTGAGCAGACAAACGGACGAGTGACAGTCGCTTCAATCCGAGATGGATCCCACCACATTACCGTCGACATAGCAAGGGTAGCATTACACCATAGATCCACCCTAGAAGGTCTGGTTTTAGTCACGCGACTCTCAAAGCCGCATGTAATTGTGATTTGAGAAAAATTGCGACAGATTTAAGGAGGCATAAGGCTGGGAATGTCAGCAATCCAGGGCACAGACCGTTTATAGGATCTGCGAATTGGATGTCACTCCCGACCGAGGCGGCGTGTCCGCCAGGTGCAACATATGTCAGTCAGCACAAAATAAAGCAAATACCGCCTGGGAGGCGAGAGAGGCAATCTTTCTTGGATACGCATTCGAAGGGCATGTTTCCCGACAGCTCTCCATGGCTCGCGTAGTAAAGTCAGTCGGTCCAGCAGGCGCATGGTATATGATAGATAGGATTCCTTCGCAGCGATGCTGGATCCTGATTACCTGGTACACTTAGCAAATCATGTATGATGTTGGTGACCATTTAGAGTCAATCTCTATGCGAACCAGAGGGTATGATTGGTCAACTGAAACAATAGATAAGGGATATCTTGGGGTGACTGGATCGACCCTAGAGCCGATAAACACCCTTGTCAAAGCCACTAATGCAGAATGTGCTTTAGAGGCTCTCGTGGGTTCGATATCGACGCATAGCGAGCCGTTTAATAACACCGAAAACCACTTAGCTCGCGCTTGTCACAAAGCGCCGTTCACGCCGCCTGCGAGCAGCAATTAGCAGTTTATTCCCCGCTAAAATTTTATGACAGGTTCCGAGGTTTGCCGTTTTTCTTGCTGAAATGTGACCAGAGATATTCAGGAATCAGAATTCACGCATGATCATTTTGATCATTTTGGAGGCTTGACAAGTACGTCGGCCACATCGTTCAGGGTCCCCTTGTAGAATGAGGAGTGATCGCGGGCACCCCCGGTCCCCCACGCACCGATTTTCTTGTCCACCCAGGTAGATTCATGGGGCATCGAGGACATCTCAGGGGTCTAGTACAGCCTGGCAGCCTGGTAACCGTTAGGGTTCTGGGGGGCACTTGGGTGAACCTGGAAGCACCCTAGCACGGTTCCAAGCAGACGGTACAGAATACAAGACCGTGGTCTGGAGGATTATGATATTAGTTTCCAATATTCCAATATCCCAATATTGAAAGATGGTCGTCTTCCGCCTATCCGATACGCCAATACTCTCCCAGGGTTGTTAAGAGGGGATCGAGCCTAATAGTTGATGACCTACGTAACTGATGGCGATGATGAAGCCCATAGGGCCACAATGTGCATGAGAGCTGCTTGGCAACCATCGAGAAGGGTTATATGAGCAGTACAGTAATCACTCTTTAGGCTATCCTTATCGTTCAACAACGTCGTTTTTTTTTCTCCTTTGGCAGATTGGGAAGATAATGGTACCGGCTAGTGAATTGGAGTAGCGTTATTATGTGTGTTTAAAATCGGGTTGTGTCTTCGTCATCAGAAACAGTTTGTGATAAGCCTCAAGAGAGTGCAGAGTTAAGACAGCGGGGAAAAGGGAAGTTCCAGTTGTGGGTCTCGAAGAGCTGCGACTACCCTTTCAGCTCCCTTTTAGTAACTTCTATCTCTCGGATCTCTACCTACATAGGTACATTTCTGTTCACCGGGCGCAACTATAGGTATCCATTGTGTATTCCATGTATTCCATGTATTCTACTACGGATACTCCTAAGTTCATTCCTTCCCTTCTAGGCTACTACGTAATTTCAATTTACACGGAACACTACTACTGTCCCTTTTCAGCTCTTCACCCTAAGAAGAACCTTAGGAGTATTATTTTTTTAGGGGACCCGTTCATGATAAAAACTCTCCTTAGTACGCCAAGTCTCTTCGCAGATTAGAACCGGCAGGTTAAGTAAGTACCATGTGAAGATGCTTAAAATAGAGTCTGAAATCTAACATGTGGGAAATATTACTACGAATGTGGGATATGCGCATCTGTCTTGGTGTTCACTCCTCGTCAACTGATATAAGTTATCTCAGTAGGTATCTTCAAGAGACATACGCAAGCACATTTTGAAATATATTGCTGGTGTCGTGCGAGGAATACCCTCATGCTGTATCACCATCGGTTATTGTACCTACCTGAATACCATGTAGGTAAGTGAAATTAATGAATGAGGCGGGTTGGGGGCTATAACCGAGGTATACATCGTATATTGTTTATTCAAAATCGCGCAGGGCTAATAGATTTGTGCTCAAAAACAGCTAAGAGCCCATGTTATCTTAAATCTTAAGATAGGTATGAGCTAAGTATGTAAGGTACCTATGTCGTTATGTATAAAAGATTCTGTTATTGTTCTAGGTCTAGGTTGGTAATTAAAGAAGTTATTCGGATATTCCGTGGCAACTTCAAGTATTGATGATAGACTTGGTGGAATTTCTTGCTTTTAGGCCGGTGTGATAACCGACATGAGACGGGTGAGCCGGTCACATTCGTATATCCAATATATCTCCTTGGAAATTATGTTCCCTCTCCGGTATTACTCATAAAGTTTTCTTAATAAACAGAACTTGACTCTCATAAATTGCTATTGTAAGTTTATTTTGTGGTTTTAACTACCTACTAACGTAAATACCTAATCAATGTCTACCTATGCTGAACCTTCAATACCTACCAATAGGCAGGTATCATATCTCAGATCTAGCTACAAAGTTCCATTACGGAAAATTTTAGAAAGTTATGCCAAGGTATAAAAGCACACCGTCCACCTCTCCGGGATGACGTCGTGGGCTTGTGGGATGCCTCACCGCGGGAGGGGGCACGACCCGAGCTGCGAACATGATAAGCCAGCTGTACGCAGTCATGCAGGTTGCCGCGTGCGCAAAGCAACGGACTCGGTCCGACCTATCCACTTAGAGTATAATATTGAGACATTCTGTATATCGTATGCAGTGCAACATTCCTCATGAACAGGATCAGAACTCGAGAACCTTGGATGGTTGGTTGAAATGGTCGGTTTTGTGACTGGTAACTTTCGGTCATCTTCTCCTGATCAGGACAGGATACAGCCTCTGATAGACCGGCTTCGACCCGGGCAGGTGCTTTTTAGGCACGCAGAGGGGGTTGAGCTGCAGGCTAGATGGCAAGTTACACAGATGGTCACCAAGACTCGTGCACAGCCTCAACGCCATTGGGAGACCTCTTTGCATGTTTGGAAATCTCCTTGATAATCAGTTTGAAGCGGGAGCATACCTAGGAGGTATGTACAAGCTTGTCATTTACTACACCACATGTACCTTACACATTAAATCTTGACAGACCCACGAACGCCAGCGCTCTCCTATCTGTAATATAGCATTATTGTGAATATGTCTTTCATTAACTGACCCTCTGAGCCGACATCAACCGAGCCGTCGTGAGTTCTAGATTAAGCTTCCGTTCTTCTCACTTAACTCCGTGCCCCTACGGCCGACGAACGTCGTCATGCCGTTATCTATGCCAGATAATTTGCGGGCAATCTTCTGAACACCCACAGGTAACACATTGTACCAATCAATCCACCGCGCGTAAAGAGGCATACCAATATGGTCACTAAGTCCGAGATCGATGGCCTTAATGACCTCCTTAGCCACTTCTATAGGCTCGACCACGGGGGCGACGAATGTGTTGGGTGTTTTGACGCCGTAGAAGAGTGGTGTGCTCAGTTGACCTGGAGTAACAAGAATGGTCTTGATCTCGGGGTACTCTTGTAGCTCGGCAGCGAGGGACTTGTGCAAGGCTGTTACTCCCGCCTTAGCAGCGGAGTAGTCGGCAAGTCGAGCAGCACCGAGGTGACCAATGACACTTGAGACGGTTACAATGGTGCCACCGGTCTCGTTACGAATCATTCCCGGCAGAAACGTCTTGATCGTATAGAAGTGCGCCAAGAGATTTGTTGTGATACTCTTTTCGACCTCATCGAATTCCATATCGAGCAATTTCTTGCCGATGACCACTCCTGCGTTGTTAATTAAGACAGTAGGCGTCCCAAGCTAGAAGCACCACGGTTAGTTTAAGTCGTACCGCGGACACTGCAAGTCGATACATACATCGCGTTCTATCTCCGCTGCGACTCTGGCAATCTGGGCCCTGTCCCGCACATCACACTTGTAGTAGGTGATGCCGCGGGCGTCGGTACTCTCAAGGTCGGCAACATCCAAAACAGCAACGGTAGCACCTCTCATTCCATATACCTCAGCGATTAACAGGCCAAGACCACTGGCCCCTCCTGTTATTACGATGACCTCCTCGCTCAAGTCGACCTCTCGATGCATGCCATAGGCGATCTTGTGACTTAGGACATTCCCCATCCATAAAAGGGTGATGAACACTGCCCACGTAATGCTGACAATCATCGGCTTCGTAGTCATCGCCTGGTGCTCGGCACGGAAGCATAGAGGAATGATCCATGCGACGAATGGGTGTAGCACTGTGACATTGAGGACCTTGAGGAAGAGGTCGACAGAAAGAGGCGCGAACCACGAGTTGCGCATCGGTGGTTGGGGATGGTTCATGATGTCGGATAATCTGATCGTACGATTGAGGATACGAATGCTGGCCAGCAAGCACTGAGAAGGACGGAGAACGGAAGGGAAGGAACTTCGGATGCCTTCAAATTGAAATTCTTAAGAAGCGAAAGATATTTGGATAATCTAAGAAGAAGGAATAGAAGAAAGAAAGTTTCAGTGTTGTTGGTCCAGCCTACGTGGTAGTAGTGTCCGTATTCGCAAGCTCAGGATCGCGACTTCTGTCCCCAGCTTCTAAAAGCTTTCAGACCCTTGAAACAAATGGTCCAAGCGCTGAAGGTTTCGACTAAAGCAGGTTCCTACCAAATTCAACCAATCGGTAGCTACCGATCTAGCAGGGTTGCCCGTTAAGGCTTACCCTAAGCGCTTTTAGATGTAGTTGGGTATCCTTGTAATCATTTTCATCTGATTATCGTCACAACTATTTCAACCATTTCGGACAACTTCGACTAAGACAGAGCTTTATTTCCTTAACAGCCATCCAATCTCATGAGATTGTAGATATAGACTACCGAAGTCTTGCGTGGTATCTGAATTTTCCCATTCCCTTAACGCCTTATAAATGCAACTCATGAATGTTCTAGACGGCCAACTCCTTCGGGATATCATCAAACATAGAATTACTTTTCCCTTGCCAGGATAACCTTGTCTCGTTCGCTCTTCCTCTTCTCGAATTGCTTCTTGGTATGCTTCCTCTCGTTCTCTTCTCGTCGCTTGATAGCCTTGAGCTCTTCCTTCTTGATCTCACCAGCCTTCTTTACAACCTTGGGAAGATGCCTGTGGCGCTTGATGCGCCTGATCTCAGGCTATAGTCATATATGTTAGCACATCATGTCATATAATGGAGGCATCATGAATAAGGAGGCCAAGCATACCATGTGGCTATATCTCTCGGATAATGCTTCGTTGTATTCGAGTGCCTGTCGCTGTCGCGCAGACTTGATACCTTCTCGTTGGGAAGCATTGGCCCTCCAAAGACGAATATTTCCGTCGTCCGATCCGCTTAATAAGTACTTAGAGTCTGGGGTCCATCGTGAGCAGAAAACTCTCTGCATTCGCTTTGTGTGGTACACATCCCGAGAATGTCCTCCATCTCGGCTGAATAGTCTAATTGTACGATCGTAGGAAGCTGTCACGAGCTCCTGTCCGGTAGGTGAGAATTCCACATCCATGACGGCGGCCACGTGATCTTTGAGGATGTTGAGCGCTCGGTCGAATTTGCGCATATCAAATATATACACGTTGTGGTCTTCGCTCGCCGCAGCAAAGTTCATTGGCTCCACAGGGTTCCAAGACAACTTATTGCAGCTGAAGTTGAGGTACGTACGTGCGAGTGGAGAAGATGTTCGGAGGTCATATAGGATAATCGATCGATCTGTAGAGCAAGATGCGAGCACGGAAGTTTCGCTCTGGTTGAAAGATACTGAAGTAATTGTTTCACCAGACGACGGCCAGCGAAGAACTTCTGGTGCAGCTGTATAGCGATCGAGATCGTAAATGGATATAACGTCAGAGGCCGCGGCGAAGGCATTCTTCGACCTGTGCACACTTAGGCTTGTATAGGCGTTCGTTCCGAGCCAAGAATGTAAAGGTGGTGAATCATCGCGAGTATTGTACGGGTCGTGTATCTTGATCGATCTATCGGACGCACACGTGAGGAGCTTTTGGTCGGTTGTCCATGCCATTCCCTTAACGATATTCTCATGAGCTGTCGTTTTCCAGACCTGATCCCGGCTAGTTAAGCTCCAGCACTTTACGACACCATCGCCCGAGCCGGATGCAAATCTGTCGAGGGAATTGGGATCCTTCGCTAGAGAATAAACGCCATCGACATGACCGTTTCCGAGTTGCGCAATGAATGGCTGCGCGAACATACGTTCTAATTTCACGGCATTGAGAGCGCGCGTATACTCTCGTGCTCTTTCGAATGGATGAATCGCTGGGTCTAGATTACGAGGGGCCTTAAGAGTAGCGGATAAGCAATTGAATATAATTTGGGTCTGGGATGATCTGAGAAGCATACCTTGGGAACGTCGGACCCAGGCGGCTGGTAGGCCGCAACTGAACGAGTTAAGGCCTTTATCTTCTATAATATACGATTAGTATTCTATGAATTATATATGAATAAGCATGCGACTTACCATGATTGCGGATCACGATGGTGTCGCAATATTGAAGATTTGATGTTCTCACATGAAATATTATCGAAAAAAAGTTCAAGTTTAGGTCCCCACACTGGCAGCTGACACCATTTGTCAACGATTGTTAGTCTTATCAGCTTATCAAAGTCTTATGTATATATTCTATTATCGATAAGAGTTATCCGCTAGGCCCTATGCAATCTAGTGTCCATACAATATACTGCGTAACTCAACGCTGTTCACAACTTTCCAATTCCACGGATTCCATCAGGATTGTAGGATTGTATGATTGCGCCTCGATCTCAGATGAAACGAAACAAGTAACAAGTGTAACGTATATCAGCATTGGCCATTGGTTTCTAAGTTGTGTAAACATTTAACATGCTAAAAGTTATCTTAAAGGTTGTCTATTCTGTACGTCCGTAGAAACATGGGAACAGGGGGAAGAGACTACCTATTTACGACTACTGCAGCTACTGCAGGTATCTCGACGGAGATCTGCAAACGTGTTACTATTATTGGAGTAAACACACAAGCAATTGGGGAAACGATATAGCTCATCCTTACACTACGTCATTGATGTATCAAAAAGGCAAGTCTTGGGAAGTTCGGATAGAGCATCCACTCTGTCGCTTTGTTGGACAAATGATTGAGTTGTTTGTCGATGGACACGAAACTTACTTTCTACATAGGTAAATAATCGGTCAAGTTTTTATGCTGCTGAGATCTATGGAGACTCCCGAGTATGTAGCTGGTGAGGGACCTAAGATTCGGATCTAACCGTACGTCGCAGCATCGCTAAGAAATACCCAGGGCTTCGCAGTTATTAAATTAGGTATTGAGGCAAAGCTTGTTATCCCTTAATCCATCCTTTGCACCTTACTCTTACCGAGCATTAAATTCATCGACATATCCTAGCTGCCTAGTTACACTGTAAACCTAGACAATGTGTTTGAAATAACTACCTGTCAAAGCCGTTATGAGGATCACATCTGAATGAAATGTCTGAAACACGGATCTCCACGATAGAATTAACCAATAGTGATGTTAGACAACAAACTCGTTTGCGGCACTACCAGATCATTCAAGCCAATGTCTCCATTGCCCGCATTCATATACGCGTCACAACTCTAATAGGCCTCACTAAATCGCTAAGAATTTTTTCTCACCGGGACAATTCACAGGGGAACCTTGTCGATCATTGCTTATTCTCTCATCTCAACCGTAGGAAAGCCCCAATCTTATCTCAGTTGTGATGCCAAGATCTAGCTCTGTCAGAACCGTTGGTGGGATTCCCCGGAGCTTCTAGTCCAATCGTCCAATCGGCCTATGAGGATCGAAGTCTTTGTCGAGTTTCCCCAATTCAAGCAAGGTAAATAATCTTTTCATATTACTAGGATTGTTTAGAGTAGGTCCCGCTTCATTTAGTTACCGTTGTAGTGCGTTTGATATGTAGGTACAACCCGGGATTGTGGTTTTGCTTTCGTGAGACTTACACCACAGCACATCCATATTTCTTCTCCAGACTCCTCATTCTTTCCTCTCTCTACCTCTTGTGTTGTTTTTGGCTCATTCGTGGAGGAGCAGAGTATGTACCGGACTTAGTCGGGTCGAGAACGAAGAAGATTGTAAACATTCGTTTATCTGTTTGACAACAGGCCAGCCACTGTGCCACTGTGCGCCTTCGTTTATCGACAACTCTGAGCATTGATCCTCTTTGCATTCGCTAATTGATATTCATTTCAATCTCGGACTCCCCAGGTCATTCGTTACTCGACCACCGTTTTGACTCAAACTCTCGAGAGATCATACAATTGCAAAGAATTCCTGTCAGAGTTCCGCAACTATTCCTCCAGTTGTCTTAACCGTGTCAATACAATCGCTTTTGAACCACCGCAATGCGTTCTTCCACGCTCTTGGCGCTCAGTGGCGCCACTCTCTCGTACGCGTTACCGACAATCGAAGCAGTTGGCGGCAAGTTCTTTACAAGCGACGGCAACCAGTTCTTCATAAAGGGAGTTGCTTATCAGCTCACGGAGAGTAAGTTCGAACCCGGAATGCCAGCTGTAGTATGATCCGTTTCTAATGTCGTTTCGTGTTTAGAGGACCCGTTGATTAATACCGAGCAATGTAGTCGGGATGCTTCGCTCATGAAGAAGCTGGGTGCCAACACAATTCGGGTTTACCATGTCGATCCAGATGAGGATCATTCTGGTTGTATGTCGGCTTTCTCTGACGCCGGCATCTACACCCTGGTAGATATGGATACCTTCGATACCTACATCTTGCCTGTAAGTTTTCAGGTTCACAAAACTCAATCGGTTTCCCGATTTGATTTTAATAACGGAATGTCTTTAGAACGACCCTTGGTGGAATCAGACGCAACTTGACCGCTATTCGAAGGTCATGGACACGTTCCAGCAGTACGACAACCTGCTCGGCTTATTCGTGGGCAATGAGATCATTGCTATTAACAACCAGTCGCTCGCTGCTCCCTTCATCAAGTCCGCCTGCCGGGATCTGAAAGCCTACAGAGATTCCAAGGGTTACCGGAAGGTCCCGGTTGGATATTCCGCTACGGATATTGCGGAACTTCGACCTTGGCTCCAGGACTACCTCACATGTGGAGGAAACGCATCAGAGAACATCGACTTCTATGGCCTGAACTCTTATCAGTGGTGTGATCCCACCAACTACCAGACTTCCGGTTATGCCAACCTCCAGTCGCAGGCCAAGAATTTCCCCGTCCCAATCTTCTTTTCCGAGACCGGATGCAACAAGCCCGGTCCACGACTATTCGATGACCAAGATTCTATCTTCGGAGACGAGATGGTGAACGATTGGAGCGGATCTATCGTGTATGAATGGATCGAGGAGGCTAATAATTATGGTTTAATTTCGTATGGTCCAAAGGTCGATGCAACTGCTACGGGCTCCAACATCGTCGGAGGCTATACAGTTGCGGGCACTCCGACGCCTGTCTCACCCGATTTCGATAACCTCAGCAAGCACTGGGCTACTCTCACTCCAACGGGAGTATCTAAATCTAATTATGATACGACGTCAGTCTCGACGCGTGCGTGCCCGACATCTACGGCTAGCGGATGGCTAGTCAATGGCAACGTTGCGCTGCCAAGCTTAGGAGAGACGTTGACCGGTAGCTACTCTTCGGTACCTAGTGCTACTGGCACGGCCGCTAGTCCTAGCGCATCAGAGACGAAGAACTCGGTTTCTGGATCCAAGGAGGTTGCTGGTATGGGCGCAGGTCTTGTGGGTGTGATGATGGTTTTCACCTTCTGGCTTTAATCTGGCTATGAACCTTGAGAACCAGGATTTTTTTCTGCCCCGGGCGATTTACCCCGTCGCGCCCTCCCGCCTGATTCGAAATGATCGGAAGTTTGTGTTGGGCTTTTTTTGTCGACATATGAACACTTCCTTTCGACCTCACCGCCTGGGGATTTCGTTAGAGCATCTGCAAGGCATTGTATACGGCGTTTATTGCCTTTCGTCGGATGGCTCCAGTGCCATTACCTAATGATTGACGTCCATCGGGGACGTTCGCACATACTTGGATGAGACATCAGAGATGACTGAAGGGAAAATGCTTCGGCTTGCATATGAAGAGAACGCGTTAAGGATTCTCGGGCAAACGACGCTAATGATTGTCATGAAGCAACAATTCCATAGATGGGGAACATTAGATTCCTTTAAAAATGAAGAAAACGCCGTTGGCAATGATACCCAATTCGGAGATACCAAGCTATGAAGTGATGAAGTTATGAAGTGATTAGGTAGCTTTGATTTGGCTGGGTAAGTGGAGAACTAGGGGCTCCAGCTTCCTAGGTACGTATAATCAGATCCCGTTCCTACCATAAGTTCGTTATGTACATCCAAGAGGAAACTACATTCTTACCTAACCATTTACTCTAATAAAACTTCATCTAGTTAATTCCTGTCACTCGATTAAAAAGGGTTGTATACTAACCCCGAAATCTACAATCCCTTATACCAACACATCAATACCTCCAGGTATTACCCTAGAAACCTCCCTTTAATACGAGCAGAATCACCTATCATAATATATACCTACAATTCATTATCGTAACCCTATAATTTGACTTCTATCTCAAACTCCACCAACCCTACTTACCTAGACATAAACATGCCCGAAGACGCTCCTCCTCCACAACCGGCCCCCAACCGCATCAACTCGCACTGCGCAACCCACAACCGCCAACCTTGGGACGCAGGCGAGAAGAAGGGCTTCAAGGCATGGTTCGATTGGCACCGGTAGTGTCCGTTCCAGAACCGGCCAAAGCTGCGTTGGGCCTTTCTCATCGGGCTCGTTGTCCTCGTTGTCGCTGTACTTATCACAGGCGTCGTCTTCACGGTCTACTACGATGCCATGTACTATTCCAGCGGCGCCTTCCTGCTTCACGATACGACTGGCAACACACTTGTCGAGCGCAAAGATATCTCGTTAGCTGGATTAGGGAGAGACACGACCTTGTGTGGTAGCGATACCGGAGGAGGCTGCGAGGCGTTCGGCCATCCGGTTCGTTGTCTCCTATACCAAATCCCCCTATATAAACCCCCTTTCACCTCTTACTACCTCTCGTCTTTTCTCCTCGAGCACATAAATAGAGAGACATAGCACAGGGGAGTAAACTAACCAACGCCAGAACATCTGCTGCCCGCCCGACATGATATGCCAAAGAAGCAGCTTCTCGCCGTCAGGCGTCTTCTGCTGCTGGCCGAGCTCAAAGTGCGTCGCGAGCCCGGAGCTGCCGCCGCGGTGCGGCCGGCACACGAGCGCGTGCAACCGCAGCATCGGCGGCGGCTGCTGTCTGCACAACACCGAGTGCGCCGTCGACGGCTGTCTCAAGGTCTACCGCGCCGCGCCCGGGTTCTCGCTTACCACCACCACTGCTACTGCTACGACGCTGACCACTGCGACTACTACGTCCGGAGGCGCGAGTACGAGTAAAGCCGACGGCGTCACGATTACTACGGCGAAGATGGCGGAGACGGCGCAGAGTGATCATGCGGTGCCTGGGGTTAGACCTGGGTTTGGGTTCTCGAGTTTTCCGCTGTTGGAGGTGGTTGCGCTGGGAGGTGCGGTTGTGGGCGCGTTGGTGATGGCGGTGAGGGTGGGTTGAGGGGGAGACTGTGTGGGCTTGGGGATCAGGGGTTGGAGTTCGGTGTGTCCAGAATGGTGGCTAGTGGGGAGGACGTTGAGGAAGAAGTGAGGTGGGTGACACAGGGGACTGCATGTCCATCGTGGTTCTTGGGCCGTATCATGTCTAGCATACCTATGCATACCAGTGGCACTTCTTTCTTCAGGGAGTAAGTTGGGGATGGGTTAGGTTAGTATGACTAACGTCGCTCCTAAGAAGTATATATTTAATACTACAACTCTATATTCTACTAAGACTCAAGGTGAATTATCTGCGAGTTATAACATTGAGACGTTGATGTGGCTTTAATGAGTATTATTTGTAGCGTAGTTCTCATATGTCACGAGAATCGAGGATGGAAGAAGTAAATTTCATATTATAATGAAGACTACATAGGGTAAGTAGCTTAATAAATTGAAGTAGTTACGTGCCTCACCCCAGTCGCAATGTATAATATGAACCTCCCGACGTTTAAGTCAAGTCCCAAACGTAAGGCTGTTGGTATCAGCAAAATAGAATGCGACAATATCATCAATGACATGGACTCGTGGTAGTATCCAGTCGATATAATTAAATCATTAACCATGGACTAAAGTGCTGTTTCGAATAGTCCAGGAGGTAGCATAGTATGGTTGCAGCACATAGGATGATAGTCAACTACGAGCTGAGAAAGGCTGGACCGGCTATTGCAAAAGGTCTATCCAATCTTCAGCCGATACGTCGGAATTAACTGACCTCTATGTTATCGGTACTCTTTGTTTCGTTTCCTCGGGTCAGATCTGAAACGGGAAGGATTCGGAGATGATATGATGGCATTCGCAGCAAAGATTGCCGGCCTTGAGACCCCCAGCTAAATCCTTCAGAAATACGGCCTTGATACACTCCTACCTGCCTAGATACCTTGTCTCATGTGGGAAATACGACCCTATTTCTTTGCTTCTTAGGATGACACCTTGAGATATTCGGGATTTCTGGATGTGCCATCTCTGAATGATCATCATGTCTCTTTTTCCTCGTAAACACTAGACATGAACATTGGGATCGGATTCTCAGATTTACCGGAGGGGGTATTGGTATCGCAACAAATTTGCGTCATGCTAACTCATCCTGCTCGTACTAGGTGATATGCAAGTCGAAATAAGGTTAACAGAGCCTCGATGCACTCAGGCAGGGATACTGCTATTTTCCGCGAGGGGTGAGGTATTATCGCAGTCGTTCATAGGCTTCATCCCGATCGAAGCCGAAAGGAGTAAGCTCTGATACACCAAACCGGGTTACTTTTCACCGAGATTTTACTGCCGGCTGCATAATGACATTGGCAATGTAGTCGTGTTGGAATGAACGGGGGATGATTGCTACCCACACTACATGTTATTAGTTATAGCTCACACGGTTGTTTATCCCATGTCCGAGAGCTATTCGTATAAGTCGTTACATCACCCTCTTGATTAAGTGGTGGTTCTTTTCGTCTGATAAGTTCCTCGTGGCAATCGGGCTCAGATGGCAACAACCTGGGCTATGCAGACAAATGTATTGGGTAATATCGAGGACAAGAACAGCACAGAATGTTCGATATTGTCGCCTTGCTTCAAACTTGAGGTTCTAAAACATGCTGCTACCGTTTTACCATAGGTTCGGCTCTGGGAGCCGGGCTAGAGAGCCTCGAGTAGACTCTCATAATATTTCCTACTTGAAAAGTATAGGGATCTTCAAGACGAATATCCCGACAAGGCTGTCTTTTGAAGAGATAGTCAGGAATAAGGCATACTCGGTTAGTCCATATCGTATGATTGTATAAGTCAACACTGACATATTCCAGCCATGTTCTCTAAACGACTTTATGGATTATTTGGTATACGTGGAACACGACGCGGAAAATCTTCAATTCTTCCTGTGGTTTTGTGGCTATGTCGAGAAATGGAGTCAACTGCCCGAGTCGGAAAAGGATCGATCTCCGGTATGGGGGGTAGGCAAGAGGTCAAATGTCCGACCACATACACGATCGGAGAGGTTAGGAGAGAGCGCGGATAAGTTAAATCGTATACTCGCGATCTTGGACCGAGGCACAGAAACGATTGAACGAACTTCGCCACCGAAGGAGCCAGAATCTAAAGAAGAGCACGTGGACAAGAACTTCTCGAGGCCACGAACGCCACCGACTGTAGCAGAGACAAAAGAGGGAGAGCGAAAGGACTGGCAATGGCAACCTTGTGAGTTGGGTTGGATCACCCCCGTTCCCTGTGCCATAGCTGACATTAGAAGTCTCGACTCAACCCTTTCGAGGCGAAGCCACACAAGCAGCCCGCCACTACATCTCAACCTCTGGGCCACGGAAGTTGAACCTAACGTATCAGGACCGGACTTCCTGCATGCATGCCCTGCAGCATACGACACATCCGTCTGCCTTCCTCCCAGCTTTCTTAGCTGCCGAAACGATGCTTCGAGAAGATAGTCACCCCAAATTCATTCATTGGAGCGCTCGCAATAGCAATAACCCACAAGTGCTATTTGCTAGAGTGCTTAGTGCTTTTTTGATTGCCCTCGGCTTTATGCTAGACATCATTCTGATTCTTTCTAAATTCCGTCGCCTAGCTCGGTTATCTGCAGTACCATTCTGGTACATCGGACTTTACATCTTGTTAATAGAAGGGCGTGGGATTAGTATCAGGCTATACATGAACCGTAAACGCCACTTGCGCCCCTGGGAGCAGGTCGAAATTACGGACTCCGAAAATTCACAGCCAGAAATGAACACTGGCCAGACAGAGGCGCCGAATCCGACAGAGACTTCTGGTAACAAGAAGCAAGACATGGCGCGGATAGATCCGCTACCGATAAAAGCAAATATGCAGCTTTTAGGCCCAGCCAATAACTTCGGAGAGGAGTCGTGGGTCATAGCATATCAGAGGAAGCCATTTTGGGAGAAGGTCTTCGATGTCTCTGTCGTGAACCGAAACAGGCACATAAGGTCTTTACAAGATAAGGCTGTCTTTACCTCACTGTTGTGGGCGAGTTTCTTGGTGGTAGTCTTTACGGTTTGCTCCGTGTTAATACCCTGTGGTAATTTGTTTTAAGTAATCGGGACCATTATGAGATATCAATAGTTGAGAGATGGAGTCGAAGTAATATTGAAATGAGGAAGTTGAGGAAGTATAGGAAGTATAGGAAATATAGGAAGTATAGGAAGTATAGGAAGTATAGGAAGTATAGGAAGTACTTAATTCTATTATCCGAGTATTCGTTATGCAATAATAAGCACTTTATCTCTTTATCTGACCCAACCATGTGGAACCTTTAATCGGCTCCACTAAACTCTCACTGCAGCTCAGGTACCCGTGACATAATCTTTGTGTTACGTGGCTACCCTTGCTTTAACCATCTTCCTGACTTTGTCTTACTTCGCTCAAGCTGGACTACGAGTGACATAGCAAATTCTGATTGATATGATCCGATCTAATCTATCTATGATTAGCAGTGGTGGCTTATTAATATGGAAAACTCAGCGGAAGCTCCATTGATATCGCATCGCGACGACGATCTAGATGATGAATCCCACTCAGAATTCGAAGATAATGAGGATGTAAGCGTCGAATGGCCGGCCGGCCGGCCGGGACTCTTCATCAGTCTTTTAACTCTGTCCGCCGGCATTAGTGGGCTCTTATTCGGATGCAAGTATGACCTTCTTTGGTGCCTTTACTCAACCGCTTACATGTAGAAGATGACACGGGAGTCATCTCCGCAACTCTAGTATCGATAGGCAAATCGCTTTCCGATCGGTCATTAAACTCCCTCGATAAATCCATCATTACCTCGTGCACCTCGTTGTTTGCCCTCATCGCTTCTCCGATTTCCTCCGTTCTAGCCGATCACTTTGGGCGAAAGCCTGTTATATTGCTATCGGATTTGCTCTTCGTATTCGGCGCCTTGGTGCAGGCCTTTAGCTATAAAGTATGGGGAATGGTACTGGGAAGGTCGATAGTAGGAGCTGCTGTGGGCGCCGCGAGTTTCGTTACGCCGTTGTATATCGCCGAGCTTGCGCCTCCTGCCCATCGTGGTAGGCTGGTGACGATGAATTCTATGTCGGTCACATTGGGTCAGGTCGTAGCTTACGTGATTGGTTGGATCTTCGCTGAACATGGTGATCCTTCTATAGGATGGAGATGGATGGTGGGCTTAGGTGCTCTTCCAGCTGCTCTACAATGCATCTTCCTGCTCTTCATGCCCGAAACTCCACGTTGGCTCGTAAAAGCTGGGAAGTCTATGGAGGCCCAGCGGATTATTGAGAAGACTTTAGGGTCCGACGTAAATAAGCATTTAATCGTCAGCGTCGTAAAGGGTATCGAAAGAGAGCTTAGAGAAGAACAAGGCAACGCAGCCTTGGCAACAGATGGAGTGAAAAGTGGTAGTTGGCTCAAGGGATGGGATGAGCTAATCAGGGTGCCAAAAAATCGGAGGGCACTAATCATCGCGTGTTTTCTTCAAGGCCTACAACAGTTTTGCGGTTTCGTAAGTCCTTGTATCTTATCTACTGTATCGCATCCGCTGGCTGACAACTTAGAATTCGTTGATGTATTTTTCTGCGACGATTTTCACGATGTTGGGTTTTTCGATACCAACACTCACTTCATTAACTGTTGCTGCGACCAATTTTGCTTTTACCGTACTCGCATTATTCCTAGTCGATAGAATCGGCCGTAGGCGGATCTTACTATATTCGGTACCTTTCATGGTAGTTGGCCTTTTCTTATCAGCCTTCGGCTTCAGTTTCGTGAAGTTACCATCTGAGGGGACTAATGGCAATTCTTCCATGCCTGCGACGACTGATTCTGGATCGCCAACGTCGTCTCAAAATGCAGCCGTTGTCATCTTGGTAAGCATCATGACATATGTGGCTTCTTACGCTATAGGACTTGGAAACATTCCTTGGATGCAAAGTGAGCTCTTTCCGCTCAGTGTAAGGTCACTTGGCAGCGGATTAGCGACGGCTACGAACTGGACGGCGAATTTCATAATTGGTTTAACATTCTTGCCCTTGGTGAGTGCTTTCTATTTAAAAAATCAAGACCTCCTTTCTAATCTGACTATGGCGTTTACCTTTGCTATTTCGCACTTTTGCTAACCTCTTTATAGTGAGTTATTGATGTCCTTGATCGTCTTAAATTGATGATAACATCCAAGTCGAATCGTTTCTCTTATTAGGAAAAGCTAATCTATGACAGGATGGATTTACTGACCCCATCGGTGACGTTCGGCTTATACGGACTCATATGCGTCGTTGGGTGGGTTGGCATTTGGAGAATATATCCGGAGACAGCGGGCTTAAGTCTCGAAGAAGTCACCTGTCTACTAGAAAACGGTTGGGGCGTAGAATAAACGATCTCTTAAAAGCAGCAAATGACTGTAAAGGATCGGATTATTAATAGAAGGCAATAATCAAATGGCCGAGGCCGATACCGTTCCCGATGCGCATTCGGCCGATGACGAATTTACGCCTCCACCGGGATACCCGTCCTCGTGACGCACCAGATGGATGTTCTAGTACGGCCGTTGTCAGCTTTCGGCTTACTCTTCCGTAGGTACCGGGATTGATGTTTGACTTATAACAGCTAGACAAGCCACAGCCACATATAGCTACTATGTAGGTATGTATACATATGTGTATCATGGTATATAGATTCGGTTTCACAACAGTTAGATCTACCTGCATAAACAACGTTAGAATACATTAATTAACCTACATTCTTACAAGGTAGATTTGCTCCATAGCGTGTATGCGGCGTGGAAGTATCGGTGAATCGCTGGGCATTGATACAGACGCAGAAAGAATTTGCGGTAACAGTTTTCATGGGCAACTACCATGGCACTCGTAATTATTCTACATATTCAACGTCCCATTGACGAATGGCTTCGCAAGCAATGGTAGACCGCTAGACGTACATAGATAAGGCATAGACATCAGAATATACAGTACAAACATACATGCATATCGATATGTCGTGGTCGTGATGGTGAGTCTGTTTGCTTTGACATATATGTATGTGCCTAGGTACGTATGTATTTTGTAGTCTTACTATTGATGTTGTTATAGTATTTCGAAATAGAATCTTACCAACGTTTAGTTTTGGTCTAAAATGGCGAGTCGCGGTTGATTACCAATTTTTATCGGAATGGAGATAAGAATCGAAACCCTTTACAATTTTCAATGGATATTCCACCGATTTCAACCGCTCTCAGCCGGTTTTCCGTGTGGATATCGGGCTAAAGTTATAATGGGTCCTTCGCTGAATCCCGTTCGAGCTTTGACAGCTTGGGGATTGACGAATTGGACATCGCATCCTGAGTTAGAGTTTGGCAACTTTTTAGTGGGGCTATAGTATCGGAGTACAAAGATCTTAGATACGAGGTCCCCGCTATTGTAGCACAGTAGCATTGTCAAATTTCACCTCGGCCCATTTTCTACCCTTTCAGCTTCCACGCCTGCCCCTCTAAAATTTTAGAAATTTAACAAATTTTTTCTCGATCATGCCTACTATGTACATACAGTATCATAGGAGTTTACCGACTTTGCTATGCGCCTACAGATCCATACCTCCGATACCTATCTAGTAAAGCTAGATGGATGGATAGCTATGAGATCTCGCCACACAAACATTCAAGGATTTCACATGAAAAAAAATAGAACTGACGAAACATTATAGGCTTGTCTAAACAGAGCCACGATAATGCGGACGAAAACAAACTGCAGTGCGACGGCGCAAGCAGTTTGAGTCAGTCGGGCAATACGTGCTTATTCAGTCAACATGACATGACATACGCAATTGATTTTGTAGGTATTATTATCCCCACCTGTTTGTATCGGTGGTGTGGTAAACGCCGATGGGCAGATGCGACATTCTTTTTTTTCTCTTCTTATTCTTCCCCTGAGCCTCGGGCGCGGGCGGTTTCGCGTACCTTCTGGAATTCGATATGGACAGAATAAGTCAAGCTTTCCGGCTTTCCAAGAGCGTGGTCGGTTTCATGCAACATCCCGAGGATGGACACCAATTATAACAGGCGAGAAGAGCCTAACAATCCCTGAATAGGTGTAGGCAAGGAAAATAGAGAACCCATAGGCTGCATGGGTTAGCTCACTCTGATTCCACTAGTCAACATACCCGGCATTGCATCTCGGTACGGACCATGGTGGCATGGTGATATGCCCAGCAGACCCAGGTGATGGTTGACCCTGGCGGAAATCTCTGCACATTCCCTGGTCAATCCGTGGTCAATCCTTCGTCATGACGGTCATTGAAGCCCCGGTGCTTGTCCCAGTGCTTGCCCAGTGCTTCGACCTAGACCCGTATTTTACTCGAAAGAGCGAATGCCGAACCTTCGCTATGTCGCCTCAATAGTCCAGTGGAGGGTCTACGTATGTATTATTAGTCTGGTCTAGGTATCGTAGAATCTCCCTAATCCCGGACGGAAAGTCCATTTCCCAATTCATCAGAAATGTCCATTTCCTTTATTATTAAAGGAAAGCCTTGGTGCCTAACCGATGATCTTGTTATTTTTTTCTTGTTTCCATCCTCTATTCTTATAAACTACTACCTAGGTACCTAGTAGGGATCCTCTTCGTCGTCAGTGCAAGTGCATTATCTAATACCTAGTTCCCTATCATCTATATACCTATAAACCTATACATACACGCCTAAGTATATTATAATAAACCCTTCCCGCCTTTCATTCTACCTATACACATACACCTAGATAGGTATCACGACTATACGCGGATAGACCTAAACCCCTTACCATGAACATGGAGGAGGTCGATCGCGAGCTCCTACGAGCCGAGCAGGATGCTTCACAACATATGTCCCCGGCCACTACACATGAGCCTGCAGCTCCCCGTCGTGCTAGTAATGAAGTCGAACGAGTGGTCACAGCGTCTTCTGCATCAACATCATCCAGTGACGGAGCCAGACAACGGCATGCCGAGGGCCTGAGTCGCATTCCCACTCAACGAGATCTCGAAAGGCACCCTACCGAACTAAGTCGCATTAATACAGCCCGAAGTCAGCATGATGCTACTGTTGGACGAAGTTTAAGAAATCGCGAGTCTAGGAAGCCATTGCCTAATTTTGGTGCCGGTAAACCGTTTCCGCCACCCTTACCAAACCAAGAAGATTATGTCGTCGAATTTGACGGGCCGGATGACCCCTATCATGCTCAGAATTGGTCGCTTAAAAGGAAGTAAGTAAAGCGTAAACAGCTGTAAAGCTATGAAAGCTATATTTGTATAGTTCGCTAACTCAATTCCTTCCACAAGGTTACTCACGGCTGCTATGCTGGGATATACTACTATGACATCCGCTTTCGCATCTAGTATTTTCTCCGCTGCGACACCATATGTAGCGAAAGAATTCGGCGTCAGCTCCGAAGTTGGTATTTTAGGCGTTTCTCTCTTCGTCGTTGGTTTCGCAACTGGTCCGACGTTCTGGGCGCCCCTATCCGAGCTCAAGGGTCGGCGCATGCCTATAGTGGTGGCCATGTTCGGTTTCTCTGTTTTTTCTGTCGCCTGCGCTACAGGAAAAGACTTACAAACGGTCCTTATCTGTCGATTCTTTGCCGGTTTCTGCGGAGCCTGTCCATTGGCTGTCGTCGCCGCTGTCTTTTCGGATATGTTCAACAACGCGACACGAGGTATAGCGATAACAATATTTTCCATGGCTGTGTTTACTGGACCGCTACTAGCCCCTTTCGTCGGAGGATTCATCGTCGAGTCGCACCTTGGATGGCGTTGGACTATGTATATTTCGAGCATCATGGGTTGGCTGGCATTCGTTCTGGATTTGTTCTTCCTACGCGAAACCTACCCCCCTGTCATCCTGATAGAGAAGGCAGCTGAGTTACGTCGTCGCACTTTGAACTGGGGTATCCACGCCAAACAAGAGGAAATCGAGGTCGACTTCAAGGAGCTGCTTCAGAAGAACTTTACTCGTCCTATGCGACTTCTATTCGGTGAACCGATTGTTACTCTTCTGTCGATCTACATGGTATGTTAATAATCCTACTTTCAAAAAGTTAACACTGCTAACATTGCTCGCGCAGGCCTTCATCTACGGGCTATTGTATCTATTCCTTACGGCCTACCCGTTCGTCTTCCAGAGAGTTCATCATTTCAACGCTGGACAATCGGGATTGGCCTTCTTCGGAATGATTATCGGCCAACTCATCGCAGGCACCGTCGTGCTGCTTGATCAACCTTCATACCAGCGCAAGCTTGCTGCCAACAACGGTGTACCAGTTCCCGAATGGCGTCTACCAATCGTCATCGCTGGTGGTATCTCATTCACCGGTGGCATCTTCTGGTTTGGGTGGTCAGGCTACAGAGCCGATGTTCACTGGATCGTGCCCGCGGCTTCAGGTATCATGTCGGGTTTCGGACTAATGGGTATCTTCCTTCAAGCCCTTAACTATCTTGTCGACGCCTACCTCATGTTCGCCGCCTCAGCTATCGCAGGAAACACCTTCCTCCGGTCTCTTTGCGGCGCCGGTTTCCCCCTATTTGCAACTTACATGTTCAACGGTCTTGGTATCCAGTGGGCGTCTACTTTATTAGGCTGCGTAGCCGCGCTGTTGGTGCCTATCCCGGTTATTTTCTACCTATACGGCCACAAGATCCGTGCTAAGAGCAACTTCGCCCATACATTCCCAAGCGTGCCTCCGCCCGCCACTGCGTCTAGTTCTGGTGATGATAAGGACGAAGAAAACAGCCCCATAGATCACGCCGCCGCATCAAACGTACCAAGGACGAATGTCGAATCTGAAAAGGCTTAATCGTGAAGTTAATTGTTAGTGCCCCCGGGATTTAAAAGGGGGGTAAAATTGGATGGATTATATGGCTGGGAATAGACTTAAAAGATACCACTGGAAAGGGAGCGTTTGTATAAGGAACGCATATAACATAGAGTCGGAATATAACCTATAGATATAATGTGTAGGTAATTACAACTACATAAGCTCTTTAATAGGAGTATAAAAGTACATATAATAATTTGATGATTTATCATTAACCTTTTCGGTGTCATTGCATGAACATCACAACCAATGAAAACTACATCATTAATTGATCCTCTATTCGACCTCAAGTCCCACCCCATCACAACATAGATGTCCCGCATTGCAACATCTATCGGAATAGTCCTACCAATGATGTTGAGACGCAATGCCTAATTTGTATAATAGGGCTGGCTTGCTCGATATGCTTATCTAGCGACTCTCACTGCATGAAATCTGGGATACAGCGGTAACGCACTATAATATAGGTACCTAGTACCTATGGAGCTTTAATAAATTGATGATTAGGTAATCAGCTGAAGGATCAAAAGATCCTTGGATATACATCTCATCTTCCGGTTACACTACATAAGCTATAGAATACATGCTGGTACGTCTGCTTCTCGAAGCTTCCCTTATCTCGGTCCCGATAAAACATCCCAGGAAAACTATACTCCCAAACACAACAAATAATAGCTATAATGTTTGTAACGGTGAGTATGTGATTATTAAGCTTATATAGGACTCCTTCCTAATGTCTAGCATTATCGCGATATCAATAATGGAGTATATCTACCTCAGGACATTGTATAAAGGACTATACAATCCCCTTCAATACCCTCATAGTGCAACCAAAGAACACTCAGAAATCAATCCGCAGATACAAGAAGCGAATTATAGACGAGGAATGTGAATTCGGCGATCGTAGACAATTGCAGGGTACGAAGAACTAAAATTCAATCATGAGCACAGCATCAGAAGAGCAGGGGAAGAAGGAAGAAGAGAAGCCGAAAGGCACGTATGAAGCTGGCTGCCACTGCGGTTACATCAAGTTTTCGGTCGCTCTATCACCGCCCTTGCCCGAGCATGAGGTGGTGAACTGCAACTGTTCTTCATGCACGCACCTCGGTTATCTTCTCGTGTGTAAGCTTCGATCCTTGCCACAACCTACCTACCTAGGTACTTTTGATCCGACCAAGTATCTATTTCTAACAACGTCCAGACCCCCAAGTCAAAGACGTAGTATGGCACAACGACAGCCGTAAGCGGTGCGCCGGCTACCGGTTCAACTCCAAAAAGATGGAACAGATGTTCTGTCCCAAGTGCGGCACCAGCCTCGGTATTGACTTTGAGGGCTTCTTCAAAGGCAACGATATATACGGCATTAGTGTATGTATCTACCGTATACATACCAAGTGATCATGTTGCATAGGATGGTAAATTGAAACTTCGGAATATCCATTGCTAACTAGGATATAGATTCGCACATTCTACGACATCGACTTAGACGATCTCAAATACAAGAAACTCGATGGGAAGAACAAGATTAAACCCGCGCAGAGCTTGGCAGGACACGTTTGGGATGAGGAGAAACAGGAGTTACAGTAGACGAGCTTACTTGATCCCACTTCGCCATATCTTACCTCTCAAGTAGCCATATAACTTCATCACCTAGTATAAGAAACTCATATCTCATAATCAGATCGCCAATATTTCACAAATTTCCGAGAACCCCCCTTGTTAACTGATGAAACAAAGCACCGTAGAATATACACCGTAGCATATACTTTATACAATGTTTTTATTTTTAGATGTGAATCCATGAATAGGAGAACCCGCATAACATCATAATCCACTCCTAATTTTCACCATATGCCTCATTCTATAGTCCTAGCATACCTACCACCCAGACCTCACCCCCTTCCCCAACTCAACCATTCTCCCTAAATACCCATCAGAATCACAGCATTCACCGGCACTCCAGTTAATGAATCAATAATCTCATTTCTATTTTTCAAACGTAGAACGCCATATCCCCCTCCCCCAGCACCACCCTACCTACCATCCACCCTACCTACTCCTCTCATCTCTTCCCCTCTATTTCTGCCTCCTAGCATATAACTTCTCCGCCGACGTAATACACTGCATATTCGCGCCCAACTTATTTATCGTCTCCATCCACTCTTCGTACGGGTCCGAGTCGAAGACAATGCCGCCTCCTATATTATAATAATTAGCAAACCATCCCTCAAGCGACCCCCCAAACCAACACATAAACCAAAACCAAAACCAAAACGAAAGAGAAAAGGAAAAGGATAAAATCTCACCAGCCTGAAGATACGCCGTCCCGTCCTTAACCACCATCGTGCGGAGCGCAATACACGTATCCATCGCGCCCTCAATCTCCCTACCATCCGCCCCGACACTACCATACCCAAAGTATCCAACCGCACCCGCATAAACGCCCCTCTTCTCCTTCTCGAGCTCGGCAATAAGTTCCATAGCCCGAACTTTCGGGGCGCCGGACACCGTGCCGGCGGGGAAGATAGAGCGGAAGGCGTCGAAGCGGGTCTGGTCGGGGCGCAGGACGCCCGAGACCTGGGAGACGAGGTGCTGGACGTGGCTGAAGCGCTCGACGACCATGAGGCGATCGACGCGCGTTGTTAGTGGGTCGCAGACGCGGTTGATGTCGTTGCGGGCGAGGTCGACCAACATGACGTGCTCCGCGCGGTCTTTCAGCGAGTTGCGCAATTCGTCTGCGAGCTGCTCGTCTTCCTCGGGTGACTTACCGCGCTTGACCGTGCCCGCGATCGGGTGCGTTATGATGCGTCCTTCCTCCTCCTTGACGAGTAGCTCCGGCGAGGCGCCGACGATTTGGAAGTCCTGGCAGTTGATGAAGAAGAGGTAGGGAGAGGGGTTCACCGTTCGTAGGTGGCGGTAGATGTTGAAGGGGTGGAGCGAGGTCGGACGGGCGAACCGTTGCGAGGGCACGGCTTGGATGATGTCGCCTGCTACGATATGTGTCTTTAGTCCGGTCACATGGCCCTCGTAGCCGTCTTGGCCGATGTTGGACGTGTATTTCTGGTCGAGTTGGATGGGCTGCTGTTCGGGGACGGGTATCTCGGGGGAATTGAGGACGTCGATGAGATCCTGGATGGTTTCTGTGGCTTTGTTGTATTCGTCTTGGAGGGTATCGAGGTTCTCTGGGATGCGGAGGTAGGTGATGACCTTTATGACGCCGAAAAATCTATCGAAAGCCACGATGGTGTCAAATAACATAAAGAGAGACTCTGGGGTCTTGAGAATGTCTTTCATCGGCCGTGCCGTCTTGGGTTCGAAGTATCGTACGCAATCGTAACCTACGTAGCCAACAGCACCACCAGTAAGCGGCGGTAGCCTAAGATCTGGTACGTCGGCAACGACATTTTGTGACAACTCCTTCTCGAGGGCGGGTAACGGATCTATCGATTCTCCATGGCCCTCTCCAGTCTTCAAGATCTTACGCGGTCCAGCACCGACAAAGCTATATCGCCCAACCCTCTCTGTGGCAGCGCTCTCGAAGAGGAAAGAGAAATCGGACTTTGAATGGGCGGAAACTTTTAAGTATGCGGCGGAGGGTGTGATGAGATCGGCAGATATTTGACCGTATAAAGGGACTAGGTTTGGTTTCTTAGGTCCTGCTGTGGGTTTCGAGAGAATTTCCTTAACAGTTTCTAACGAGGGCAGAACAACGTCCTATAGAAAAAAAGGACGTGTTAGTTAGGTAACTTACAGATTGTCCAATTGAGGTAATCGGATTAGGAGGTCTAAGATCTCTTACCGCTTGAGCCATTATGGGCGGATATAACTAGAAATTTTGGAGTAAGAAAATAAGCTCTCGTTCATTTCAAGTACCTAAATCCTAAGATTCTAGCTCTTCTTAATAGCAAAGTAACCTTAACGTTGACTCAGCTTTCATTATTCCGATAACTTCAATTGGTGTAACCAACTGCATAGATTTTATCCGAAGACGGAGGCGGGGCATCCTGCAAGGGGAGGTACAATACAGCACTTGCTTAACCCCACATCGTGCCATAGAAATCAGTCATCGCGGGGTACTCAGTACCTCTTATTCAAATACATATGATATGAATTCAAATTAAACGGAATCTGCCCTTCTCCATTTTCTTATACAATTTTACTTCTTTCTCAAATATATCTCAGCTGAATCACGTCTCGAAGATTCAACTCTCAACCGCCAGCGCCTTAGCACCGACAAGCTTAGCGCTTGCCCCTTTGCCCTCCGTAGTAACGACCCAGTATTCGACTTTAACGCCTCCCTTCGAGACCCGGTATACTCTGATATCGTTGCCCTTGCCTGCCTTTTGCACCGCGTCTAGAATAGCTTTGTATTGTCCCTGAGTATCCCAGTCCGCCGGATCCAGTATCTCAATTTGCGCATTCGCTGGCTCGGGATGATGTATCAAAGTCGCGAATTCCTCTGTAGATACATAATTAGCTCTAAATAGCCGCCCATTGTGAAAAGAAATTAGCGAATTGCCCAGTATCTGTCGCAACTTACCTTCGTCTGGCAAACCTTTGCCGCCCTCGTTCCAGGCCAAGTAAACCGGAACAAACGGCTCGTCCGCGTCGCTCACATAGAAACTATCCTTCGTTGCTTCCTGGATAGCTGCTGGGATTTGCGCACCGTCATCGGTCGCTTTGAAGTCCTGTTTGCTAGAACTTTGCGCTTTTGGATATCCTTTGCTTGGATCCTCGTTCGCCTTGTCTAAAAAGGCCATGTAATCTGCGTCCGACGCCATATTAACTGTCCTAGTCGTAGTGAAGTTTTGTGTACAGTCCAAGATGTAACGAATATATCGACTTCGTAGCCTTGGTGAGTTGAAATAGGCTATATCATGAAGTTGATCTCTTCGATCTGGGACCTTGGTACGGTATGAGGCCGGAGTAGTCAGAACTGGTAGAATAATAGATTGACGAAACGATCTAGGAATCACACTGCGTTTGGAAAGTAAATGAGATGTCATTGATTCAGATAGATCCCATTGGGCTGAAAATTGTTGTCTATTGCACCATTCAAGGCAAGCTTGTGCTACCTAGTGGGCAGATAATGATATAATGATATTTTTTATCGCTAATTACATCATAGCTTTCGTGAAATATGTCTTATAACAATCTTCCCGATTCATGCATATTATCTCCATTCCGATTCATACTGCGTCTCGGCTTAGGAAACTGTAATCAATCCAGAATCCAGAATCTCACGATGTGGGAGCTACTTCCTTACGTAGAGTTGCTACATAGATATTAACTAGTTAAATCTTATCATGTTATGTCTTATACATCCACATTCATGTAGGCATGTTGTTGAACCCATACATGGTGTTGTTTCATCTACGATTTCTTGATCAGGTACATCAAATATACCCGTTGGAATCGATGTATACCTACGTTTATTGTAAGTAAAGTGAAAGAGGAGTGGGTGTATGGTTAGTAGACTTGTCATAAATCAACTAAAAGCCTAATAGGATACGATAGGATACGATACGATTCACATCACACATACGGACAGATCATATAACTTTTGTTTCATGCATTTGTTCATTAACCTCTTTTTGTCTCAAATGCCAACCCTAGACCATTCCCATCGCGATAGCCGAAAAGGGAACCAGGAACACCGATGCAGCAAAGACAAGATACAAGGAGACGTGTAGCTCTCTACGAGCTTTGGACGAGGTCCTTCTTGAGTGTACCTTGGAATTGCTTCTTCTCGGCAGGGGTCTGGAAGGCACCGTGACCAAACTCGGAAGACGTGTCGATCCACTTCAGCTCCACCTTCTCCAATGCCTTTCTGGAGGTGTGCGTGAACATCGACTTACGCAGCGTCATGACACGCTTCTTAACACCGGGAATGGAACCCTTGACCATGACGAAGTCGTTGTTGACCTCACCATATCGGACGAATCCACCCAGACTAAAACCAATGTTAGTACAAGGCACACATGTATGAAACAGGGCATAACTTACGGAGTAATGGTCTTCTTGGTGACGTCCTGCTCAGTAGAGGCGTTGGCCTCGTTGTCGCCCTTTCCGATACGGTAAACCTTGTGGTTGACCGAAGTACGGTGGTGGTAACCTTGCTGACCGGCACGGGCAACGGTCCACTGGACGTGGGACGGATGCCAGGCACCGATACAAGCAACCTTACGGAGACCCTTGTGGGTCTTACGCGGCAGCTTCTTAGTACCCCATCGGGCAGTGACACCGTTGAAGCCGTGACCCTTGGTGACAGCGATGACATCGATCATCTCATCCTGCTCGAAGACGGTGTCGATGCTGACGGGCTTCTCGAAGAGACCGTGGCCGAATTCGACCTTGTCGGGGACGGAGCCACCGTTGATCTGGATCTCCATAAGGTGGGCCTTCTTCTGCTTAAGGGGAGTCTTTCGGATCTGCGTGTGGGCGAGAACACGGACAACGGTGCAGTACTTCTTGATACGCTCGAGTTCGCGGGTGATGGAGGCACCGCTGCTCTCCGAGTGCTGCTTGGCGTACTTGGTGAAAGCCTTCTTCTTGCTCTTGTACCAGTTCTTGTAGAATCGGCGCTTGACTTCGTCACTCAAGTGCTCGGCCCAGACGGTGGTGAGAGATCGGAGACCACGGGGTGTCTCGATGTAGCCCACAAGACCAACAACGATCATCTATAAGATGTTAGCCATAGGCACATAGCCAAGCGGGCTGCGTTGCTCGTACAGGTGGAGTATCAATAATTGAGACTGCCTCAACAACTTCCTTCTTATGCGACTTTGCGCCCGGTCGGTCGAGGTCGCGGACGATGGTAGTCATACCAGCCTTGTAGCCCATGGCGGCAGTGAGGTGGACAGGTTTCTTGGGGTCATCCTTGGGGAAGCTAAATGCGACAATTGTGAATCAGTACTGTATTTTAAAGTGCGGGCGTTTTGCAGTTGTGCGATTTTACAACCAAAAGAGAATGATTTTACTTACGACTTGACCTTTCCGCGATGACGGGCGGCACGCTTTCGCGGCAAGAAGGCAAGAGAGCCGTGGCGAGGAGCCTCGAACTTACGGTGAGACATTTCGATTGATTCCTTGATGTTGAAGGAAAATGTCAATCGGATAGTCCTAGGGATGAGGAATGAATATTAAGGAAAATGTTCGAGTTTGGAGAAGCTCGATTTTTTTTTCTTCCTGGTAGTGCAGGAAAGAACCTGTGGGTTATGAGAATTCCGGCAAATAACCGAATGTGGGAGGGAACCCCACATTGAAGAACCCTAAATAATTTGTCACGTGACTAAAAGCTGTTTTACGGACACAATGAAGAAAGACCGCTTGGACCTTCCAGTATAAATTAATTAATACTTGCACAGAATCACGTGCGAGCGCGGTTGCAGAATATTTAGACAAAATATTAAGCTTACAGTCTACGGTCTACGAGTATACATCATAATAGATCGTCCATGTTTAAATTAGGAGTAGAATGCATATTCGATCCTTAGTAATAATTCAAGTAAAAAGTTCGAAATGATAGACAGACTTTGGTGTCGCCTTGCCAGTATCTAACAGGGGGCAGCTCGCCAACTTAAGAATTGATATACATAGCATTGAAACAATCCTGAGTAATAATGAAAGGGGGTATGTATTGACATTCAGCATTCGTTGATAAAACCACGTCTCAAGCGTTTCCCTCTGCCTTCGGAGTAGGTCCCATTATCCCATTGATGCTAGCACTTGTAGGCGTCGTGTTCTTCAAGTCCCCTGAAGTCGAACTAGGCCCCGACGTAGCACCGTTAACAGTAACCTTCTTTTCCTCCTCCCCACTGTCATCATAATCATCGTCAACATCCATCTTTCTAGCAGCGCGTTCCGGTTCACTTATCTGTGGCGGCGCAGGAGCAGCGGGGTGCTCAAGCCTCTGCCGCTCGTCGGGTGGAGGGTAGTCCTTTGGGGCTGGGCTCGGCTGAGGGCCATCATGAAGTAGCCCTTGCATAGGAGGAGGAGCCTGCTGCATTGGGGGTAGATGGTTTGGCATCGAATGCGCCGGCGGGTGATGAGCAGCATCCGAAGGATGATAGCTCTCGTGTCGCTGCTCTTCAGCACGCCGCATTTCTTCGCGCCTCTGATCATCGACGCGTCGCTGTTCCTCCATGCGTCTTTGCTCCTCAAAGCGATGGGCGTCGGGGGAACGACGATAAGGATCACGAGGATCACGAGGATCACGGGGGTCACGAGGGTCACGCGGAGGTGTTGATGGTCGTCGATGACGAATATCTTCCATTCGGGCCCGGTTCTCATCATTAGCCGGTTTCTTGATGGCAGGTTCGTCTTCCCACTCTCGCATCCTTTTGGATGCCACCGATGACGGTCGATCATGGTCTCTGTGCAAATCAGGGCCAATAGCTCCAAGAGCTCCTTTTGGGTGAGGAGGACCCGGTTCCATGCTAGGCATTCCTGGTTCCGGGTGGTGAGGGAACGGAGGCTGGTGCTGAGGGTAAGCCGACTTGGGAGAAGGCATACGGTTATCGTGGATTGGCCGTGGCTCCGAGCGGGGGGAGCCATTACGGTAAGGCATTAGAGAATGAGGTGGCGGGGCGCCGTTAGGCGGGCCATTCGCGGGACCCATGTTTGAGGCAGGCGCTGGCGTATAATTAGGGTTATTGACTCTGGCAGGCCCCTGTGCGGCGGGTGGGGGAGGCTGTTGTGATGGCCCAGGGAGAGGAGGGGCGTATTGGGCAGGCGGGCCGGGGGAAGGGCCTCTACGAATCGGTGCTGGGACCGGGCGATTCGATTCGCCGTATTGTCTCATCTCCTGTCGAGGGCTGGGCTGGCGTGGGAGTGGAGGTGCCGGCCCACGAAAGGGCTCCCGCTGGTCGTAGGGATTGGGCGGCTGAGGTGGGTTGATGTCGCTTGTTCTTTGACCCCAGCCGTTGGCCGCAGCAGGACCGGGAGGTGGTCTATGAGGACCTCCGGGACCGGATTGCGCTAAGGGCGCTGCTGAGCCGGTCCAAGACGGAGCCTGCGGCCCTTGAGCTCCGTAAGATTGGGGATGAACGTCGGTGGGTACAGCTTGCGGGAGATTTCCCGACGCCTGGCCAGCCCTCAGCAATTGAAGTCTAGCTTTTATGTGCGGGTTGGCAGGATCCAATTCAGCCGCTCTCTGATACGCGTCCAGAGCGTCGGCGACCTGGTTGTTGCAGGACTCATACTAGAACGATTCGTCAGTGATGTCACACTTTGTGGGAGCAGCAAACCAAACTTACCAATGTACCTAAGTCATACCAAACTTCAGATATGTACGGGTTCAAGCGTATCGCTCGGGAGTATGCATCTAAAGCATCCCTATACTGGTTGATCTGGTAGTAGAGCACACCAATGGAACACCAAAATGTCGGGTTCCGCCCATCACGGTACACTGCTTGCTGGTATGCCTCATATGCCTTGGGATATTTCTGCTGTGACATGTAACATCGACCAAGGAGATACCAGCTTTGGGCATCATTATTGTCTGCCACGTGTTAGGAACGCGCATATCTTCGAGATTTTGTTGAGGATAACCTACCTGCGGCGACAGATTTTTCTAGATACTCGATTGCACGCTCCTGCGTCTGAAAACTGCTACTTTGCTGGTGATGAAGCCACCCAAGCTGTTGCAAAACCTTTGCATGATTCGGGTCACGTTCAAGAACTCGCATATAAGCAGCCTTAGCGCTATCGTACTGCAGAAGAGTTAGTTGAATATTTGAGTAAGAGTGTGTAAATTTCACTTACGTCTTTTTGCTGTTCATGTACGTGCCCAATCTGGAACCAGATATCTTCCTCAGTCAAAGGTGGAGGAGGAGAATTTACGATATATTTGAAGCACTACTATATGTCAGAATTGTCAAGCAGTCGCACATTTACTAAGGGACCATACCTCTAAGCTTGGGCCATACTTTGACTGCTGCTTGTATATAATGCCCAGTCTGAAGTAAATTTCGTTGGCCTTCTCAAAATCGGGTTGCATCTGCATAACCTGCGAAAATGCTTCTTCGGCATGGTCAAGTGACCCGTATCGGTCGTATAGAATACCTATACCATACCATAGCTTAGGTTCCTGCTATATGTTAGTTGAATGCATGGTAAGAGAAATCACACGCAGCTCTTACCTTGGGGTTTGGTAAGTTAACCAGGGCAGATTGATAGGCAGCATATGCTTGTTGCAAGTCATCCATCATGAGATAGCAGTGACCTGAAAGATTGATTAGTTCTGCAAATTGGTTTGGAGCATGCTCAATCCGGACATACCTAAGCTACCCCAAACCTCTCCGTTATTGCCATCTATCTTTAGTATAGCCTGCAGATATTCAACCGCCTTATGGAAATCCTCTCTAGTCCGAAGAATCAGACTAATGGCGTTCATTGCAGGAATCGAGTTAGGATTCGCGGCTAACGCGTGCTCGTATGCGATCATGGCATCGTCCAGGTTGCCAAGAAGTTCAGAGAAACTTCCTGCGCAAAGGTTATTAATTGGCTGCATCACGCGATCGGGACTCTAGAATTCACTTACCAATCTGCATCCATAGGGCTTCATTAACCGCTACGATATGGCGCGAAGGTGCCCATTGAGCGCCTTGAGCTGGGCCAGGGGGAGGGGGAGGAGGCACGGGCGGACCGTGATGCTGCATTTGCATCGCCATCTGAGGTGAAGGATGATGGTTTGCCATAGCTAATGAATTTAGGGGTATATGGTCTAGATCAGCCTCGACCAGGCTCTTTAAGACTTATACCAAATTCAGTTCGATACAAGACAAAGGATGAAAATGAAGACAGAGCCTTGTAGCGCGAAACTTGGTCGCGCAGGAAAATTATGTGAAGAAGTAGTTCATATAAATAAAATAAACCGAAAAGATAGGGTAAGAAAGGACGTATTTGTAAATTGAAAGAATAGATAATAGATCTTATAAATGGCGCGGTGGCGCGAAACTCTCGTGGTTGTAAGTTCTGTAGATTGCGGTTGTTGTAGGTAAGTTTTAACGGTCGCAGCTTTCGTAGATTATGGACGATAACCTGCGTCGGGCGGGAGCGCCTATTACTCGCCGCAGCTAAGTACCAAGCAATATCAAATCTACCTCGGATGAGACCGAACAACACTGGATTAACGTCGGGAGGCGAAAAGATTGAAGTTTATGTTGGAGGCGAAGTGTGAGAGACAAACTTGAGGCTCAATGTCTTCTTGACGACCTAATACTTGGTAGGGGGAGGGGAGAATAAGCGGTGGAGAGGCTGGACGGGAAGGAGAAGAAGAGTTGGGAAACGGTCCAAGGAGGATTTCCCCTTCCAATGCTTCGTGGGTAAGGGTAGCTGAGAGAAGAAGCATGGGAGTATACTGTGGGGCATGAGTTCCTGGACCCGGAAGGAGCCAAGACACAGGTACCCACGGCGTATTTGGATGTACCTAGGTACGTCGACATGTACACATGTAAGTGAGACTTTTTAGACGTGCAGATAATATGGGGCAGCCTCTGTTTTTTTTTCTCTTGGCTAAGCTATGATGAATAGAAAATAGGTTCCCCATACTGTCCATATTGCATAGTACGTACTAGCGCAACTTGGTTAGATCCGTGCTTCATTTTCTTTAGCTACGTGCTACGGTATGCATTGGTCACATCACGACAGCTTCATCAAAATCTCCACGACATATCAGACGATAGTTATATGACATTATATGATGACCAATATTGTATTTATCGATCTATCGTGGCATCCATGTAGGCTTAGCCGCTTAGGTATGTGCGTAAACAGGTAGGTTAAGCCGGATCGCCCCCCCTTTCACATTATCCGCAGACCAACGAATGCCTAAAAGAAGAAGAGAAAAATATAAAATTTCAAAGTTCGATGCTAAGAACGTGAAGTAGTCTGTTAAGTTGGTAAGAATATGTTTAATAGGAACACTAGTAGTTATCGGAGGAGGAGGAGGAGGAGGAGGAGGACAGTGTGTTGCCTTCCTTGTGTTTGGCTCAAGGTTGTTTCTAGGGCTGCGTCACCATTCAATGTTCTATCGTTTCCCGCAAACTCTACAAAGACGGGTAATCAGCTAGGGTTTAGCTCGAGCTTTAAATAATTAACTTTCTTGTGGCATTTTGCTCCAGATATATGGATGCGTATGTTGTAAGTTTTAAAACCGGGGGTTGAGGACAACAACTGCTTAAGTGCTGTTAATAGGTAGTTCCTGCAAGGAATAAGGGAAGGTACAGACTAGTGACTTCCTCAAGACTTTGACCGAGAGGCGGCCAAAGTTCCGAAACACGTACAAATTTGGGTCAATCACCGGTCGTGGCGGCTCGGACGGATTCGCTCTTACCTTGCCGCTTGGCCCCAAAAGAGGGTTGCTTAGGGTTGCTTGGAAGGGGCGTGTGGAACAGCCACAGGCCCCACACCATCAATCCCTCATTGCGCTAGGCAAGCTTAGGTGCTAGGGCAATACGTACTATGCATAGTACGTAGCATACTGGGTAGGTACGTAGGTACGTCCATGGATGAAGGAACTCAAAGAGAACCTTGGAACAACTTGAACAATTTAGGTAAATTTCTAGGAACGCTTATCTCTCGTTATGTCGGAGTATTTACCCTCATCAAACCAACCAAACGATGCGAGCCTACCAAATCAATTCTCATCATGAGTCTTGACGCACAGGAATAAATTGCCCAACATAGTTAAGGCCGGTTTTTTCAGCAAGTTTAAAAGTCCCGACTGACACTTGTCAAACATACAGGGCAAGGGGCAACAACGCACTCACCCGTATGTTGTCGCTATATATCATATTTATCGTGGTCATCGAAATGTTAAATGTTCTTCATCATGCGAACATAAGTTAAATAAAAAGAAATAAGAGACAAAAAAGTTATGGAGGGTGAAATTGATGGGTGTTTGGCATCTTAAATGTCGCCGTCGGGTAATATGTGGTTGATGACGATGCTGACCAAGTTGAGGTGGTGGGTCGTCGTATCAGGTAAGTTGCCGCAGCCGAGTTTTCGTGCCTGCAAATCATGCAGAAGCTTGTCCAGATCATCCCGTTGCTTGAAGGAACGGGTATGTATACTGTAGTCATAACTTAACAAACCATGCCGGGAAATTTCTGATGGGATTAACCAGTTGAAATAATAATAAATGGTAACACGGATAGGATCAAGGGAAGAAGGAGAAAACTAAACGACAAAAGATATGAGGCTATTGTGGGTTTGCTTGATTGTGTCAGCAAGGAAATTGTGGTGGAAATAGCCAAGCGACCAATCTCGTCATCTCCCGAAGATCGAGGGTGAAGAAACACCGACGATGTGGCACCAATTTTTTTCTTTTAGATTTGGGGGGAGGGGGGAAGGGGGAAGGGACGGGGAAACGAATAAGAAATAAAAATAATAGGAATAGATAATAAAGTTAATACTTTGCGTGATCATTCCTATTGAAGTAGTTTGACGTCTAGCGCTAAGACGATTCGAGGAAGCCCACGTGTCATAATAAGAAGGGGCTGGAATCTCATGATGGCCTTAAACTATTTGGGGCTTATTATTACGCAGCTGGGAAGTAATACCTAGTGCCCGTCTGCGTAGTGTGTAGAGAATCCTACAACAAGCTTAGTAAATTACTTTAATGGTTTCATCACCTCGGCGCTTTTCCTTGTCGACTTTTCGCTGATCCCGCTTCCAGGGCTTGAATCTCTTCTAGGTACATCTGTAGAAGAGCAAGGTATTTATGTATGTACTGTAACTCAAAGTCAATCCCATCGAGATGATGTTTCAAGACCAACAATCATACATACAAAGTACATGCACACATACATACATACATGATACTACCCATGGCTACCGTCACTACTTCTAGACCCTCATCTCGCGGAGGTGGGGTTACTAAGGGACCCTTCAAAGTATCATTCATAGGGTTCGTCTTGTCGGGATGTCAGCGTGTCGCTTTCGATAATCTACTTAGATTGATTCATCATTTGGAAGATGGCCGGTTGGCTGATCAGTAATGTGTGATCGTCATCGCCAGGCAGTTGAAGGGGAGCTTTCTCCCGCAAGCTGCACGCATCGCAGGTCGCATGTTTATGTGATTGCCCGGCATAACTAAGCCATGAATGGATGCTGGGATCTATTAAAGGGGAGGGGGGTGGACGGAGAATAACTGCAAGAAGAATGCAAGAAGACTGCAAGTCTGCAAGTCTGCAACATCTGAACGAACATGGTTGCGAGATGGGTAGATGGGTAGGTTAGTTACATATTAAAAAGTAGGCGTCGACGGGGCAGATGGATAGATGGATAGATGGAAGGTAAGATGGATAGGAACTTGGAAGGGTAGAAGGGTACCGAGGTACTTACATAGTAAAAGGGAAAGGGCAATACAATATTAGGGAGGGGGCTTCATAGCCGGTGTGACCTTTGTGACTTTTGTGACTTTGTAACTTTTATGACTTTTTCCTATTGCCCATCACCCATCGCCCATTGCCCGTTGCCCATATATATGCCCATATATGCATATTATGCGACCTCAATCCAACCCTTTATTATTAGCTGAGCCAGATTTGGGCGATTTGGGTGACATGTACAAAGGTACGGGTCCGTAGTATGTGTGCTGCATCTCGCGCATCTGCAGCCGTTGGTACGTGGCTATACCTAGTCCCACACCTCTAGGACAGACAGCCAGATCACCCTACCAGCCTACCACCCGTGTGAGTGGAGGTCTGCGGTCGACCCTGGCTAGCCGTCCTGGCTTCCTGCATCGGGACCCCGGCGGTCTAGGAATGATGATGAGGGTGTGCTTTACATTAGCTGATTAGGTGGTAGAACGTAACAGGTACGTACTGTTCCCGTATCGCCTCATACCGCACCTACAGATGTACATACCTAAGGCACACACCTCCGGATGTAAGTTACGTACCAGGTAGGTAGACTCGGTAGGTTACCTAGCCCATGTGTCCATGCTTGCAAGCGCCGCCTCTTTTTTTTTCTTTCATCATCATCGCCTGCAAATCAACGGCACAGTCGTTTATTTCGGGATAGTTCAGTGTATTAGGTAGGCGAATAACAAAGTCACAATGAACTATATCACCTATTGCGGTATTTAGGCATCTCCAATGTTTAACCACGATAGCTTCACTACTAAATAACCTTGGCATCTACTAAAGTTACTAGGTAGTCGAGAAGATGAGATATAACAAAGCGTTAACCTGTTTTTTTTCTACGAGTAAATACCGACTAGCCTTGGGGATATTCTGCCGCCTTTGGCGCTTGTATTCCCGCAGACCCGGTACGGTAACTAGTAGTGTAGATGCTGAAGCTTTAACCAACCAACATTTCGTAGGGCAACATTCACCGACCGACCGGTCAGTAAGCACAGGTGATATTGGCATCTCCATCCATCAATAGTCAGGAATAGACGGATATGGATGTCAAATGTTCGTTTGTAGCATTCGCTTGTTCAGAAAGGGGGGGATGAAGGTTGAAACAAACCCGTCTTATTTTAGTAAATCCATTGGTCGGTAGGGCGAGATGACCGGCAGAGAAGGCTGTTCCAAGTGCCACGAGGAGAACAGACAACCAGCTGAGTTACTATTGAATATGACCTACCTAAAGGCAGCCTAGTTGCTTAGTTGCTTAGTTGCTTAGCACGCAAGGAAGGTATTAAACGATGGGAAGAATAGGATTTTAGATGTACAGGGGGTTCGCACGGATCGAAACGTTCTGAATGACAAGCCTTAGAACCTAGCGTCAAGCGGTAAGCATTAGCAAGAGCATCAGCATTTTCAGAACGTTCGTAAAGTTGTTACTCTCGGTTGCCAAGATGCTCCCGAAAGGCATCCTAATGAGATTTGCCGATTCGTGCACTCGTCAAAGGGTCACATGTAATGGACCTGAATGGCTGATGTCTCAGCGCATCGGGGATAGGAGCCGTGGAACTTAAACTACCTCGAGAGATACGTGTACACATGTGCTCAGCCGATCCGGTTGTACTCAGATGCAGTGGAACAAACTGATTACCTAGGTACCTAAGTATTCTGTACGATGAGAGACAATCTGTGCCTGTTTGAGGTTTTTCCCCAAACCGACTGACGTACAGCCTAAGCCACTTAAGTGCTACCCGACCACTGGGGCTCTTCAAAGATATGACAGCTGCCCCCAAACTGCCCAGGTGGATCTCAAGCCGCACTTTGACGCCACATTCTGAGTTGGCGTCGGCCTAGTCTGCTAGTCTCATCTCATCCGCTCAGGAGGACTAAAAGGGGCTACATACATGCGATTGTAGAACTTACAGGTGTGACGGGCATGTGGTGGCTTCAGAACAGATTCTGATATACCAGTCTTAATGATTTATAATTTAATAAAACATACATCATATCAAGCAGTTGCTTAAGTACGTACATATATAACATAAGGCAATAAGGATCCGGGCAATATGCAGGTAAATATTCGAAGTGCTATCCCATCCTAACTACATTTTGGTCAGATTGCTCAAGTATAAACTACTACTGTTCAATGATATATATATATATACTTCCAACGCCTACTTTTCAAAGTAAATAACCTAGAACCAAGGTAGGTATTTAGTTCAACAAGAAGGATATATATGCAAATGGCCATCCAACATCGAAATCAAGGTTACATAATGGGGACACAAGCGATGAACGATATGGATATGGTGTATGATCTCATGTCTTATTATCCAAACGCTAAACAGTACTAATATTATATGTATTGTAGGAACTGACATAAAGTACCAAACACCAAGTTCCATTCGCCGTCCCCCACACCAATATAACCATGTAATCTTGTACGGTAGCTTTCACACCACGGCCTGTGTAGAATAACCAGCCCGGGACCAACGACTATCCGGCCGCCTCGTGAATTTCTAGCGCAACCGAAACTTCGGGGTTGTTCAATCAAGAATGCTCCACCCACTCGACCTGAGATCCAGATGCCTGGTTTTCTAATTCCAACTCCGAACTCGCAAGTGCTCCTGTTGTAGAAATACACGCGTATTCTGACCTGGGCCAATAGGCTTCGAAACCCGTATTATAGGGGCATCCTTCACATTTCCACCAAAAACTAATCACTTCAAGAATCACCTTTATCATGGTCCTGGTCGGGGTTGTAGTTAGTCTCCCCTAATACTGTGTTAGGTTGTGATGTCATCGCAGCCTGGGCATTCGCTTGTGGCTGGGTCTGTATTGTCGAGCCAGAAGGCTGGATAGGAGGTTGAGATTGGTTTCGCGAAGTACTACTAGTTCCTGCAGTGGCAGCATGTAGCCGCTGGTCCAGCACTTTCAGAGCTAGGGCTCTCCGTCTCTCGGCTTCGGCCCTGACACCTCCATGGGCAGTGCGCTGCATGAAGTTACCGCTTTGCGCAGCAGATATATCGGCCTGGGAGAAAGGTGTGCATATCCTCATCGCAACTAGCAAGTAGAATATCTGATCGGTAATTACCGCAACGAACGGTTTAAGGGGTCCGGGGAAAAACTCGGCAAATGCAAATGTCTCGCTCGCATCCCCGCGCATAGAGGTCGGTTGAGAGGAATCGAGATCCGGGAAGACAGTTTTGTAGAAGCGCAAGTAAGTCCAACTTGCTAGGAGGCCGAATATAGCCAAAAGTAGAGATGCGCTCGTGAGCAACGGTGTCAGAGATAGTACCGCAACGAGGCCGACGTAGAGTAGAGGGAATCGGGGTACGCGCATAGACAAGACGCCTCGGAAGAGTGTGACGGTATGCGCCGGAACAAGTTGGCTGAAAGCGACTAGAAAGGAAATCTGAAGTGGAATCGTGCCGGCAATGGTCATTAACCTATATTTACCGTGTTAGTCTAGCTACTCCTATATGGCGTTACCGAGATTTCGAAGCTTAAAAATATTACTTACGTCCAATCCTCATTTCGACTAACCGTGAATAATGTGACGAGAACCAGGAAGGTCAATGTATTCGGGATCAAGGCGGCCACGAGAAGAAATTTGGCAAATTCTCTTGAAGACCAGGCTCGCTCCAAATACTTCCCTCCATGGTATAGAGTGAGCCCTGCAATTCCCAATGTAAAGATGTTATTCTCTACAAGCGTAGCAGACAGGAAGGTCCAAGGGTAGAATAGCGATAGTTGTGGTATGAGGGTAAGCCATTCCACGACGATTTCGGAATGTGCGGACCACTGGCGATAGCGCACGGCAGCGCTTAGTACGGACTGCAAAAGCAGAACCACAAGCACCACGCGAGTGACTGGAGGAATGTTTATTCGTGGAGGCATTGTGGCGGCTAGATATTTGAGACTTGAGTTTCGAGCAGAGTTTGTAAGAAGTCGATTTTTCGAGATCGCGTCGAGGCGCACATATCAGTGGCCAGTGGTCAGTGGTGGGCCACCTTACGATTGAGTAAGGCTGGCAGTTGCCTAACGTGGTCCGTGCACAAACTCTGTCAGTTTCCAAGTCGTACAATGTTCACCTGCAATTAATTAGCCAAGCTTGACACTTCCAATATTTTCTATTTAACATTCATAAGTACCTCAACGGCATGTATAACCGAACCTTATTTACATAGCACGCTGTACGCGATATTGTCCAAAATTATACTTCATACCAACGAGATCTCGGGTTTTCTAGGGTTTCTGGCAGACTTTATCTCTTCATAACACGCACTACCTAATACCTCCGAATCTACCGGACGGAGCGAAAAGGTTGTCCGTGTGCATGGCCCTCCAGCTTGAACCACCTGCAGTTTAGCCCCGAACCTCCAGGGCTCTGCTACCTAGCAGGTCCATGAAATTCCTGCAGGGGATGCACAATACTATTTTCAATGCACTAATCCCGAAATAGATTAGACGATTCGCTAGTCGGATGGCAAAGACTTAAAGATCGTCCAGACGATGTTTCCTTGCCTAAGCTCGGTACGGAACTCAGATTAAAATTCCAACTCCTTATTCCTGATGTACTATGTATTCAAGATCATACGCTACGGTACTTATTTTACATGTATCTGTAAACATCTCATACGGCGAATATATGCTTGCCACTTACCTCGGGTGTTAAAATCTTAAGATCTATATTAACTGTCTGGATAGGCTGTATATTAATACACTTCATAAAACTATTTATCGTGTTGGTTATAGCCATTTTTCTCGTTTCCTTTATGACTAGAAGATCTGAGATTCCTGTCGATTCCGGGAGTACCCCAGCCAAGCTTAGTTACTAGGTAGCCAAGCTAGGATGACGGATTAATAAAAATGGTAGAACCCTGGACCATCTTTTGTGGAGTCGTCTGGAGTTTCGCTGTCGTTTCCATTGTTTAAAGTGATAGGCTCAGCCGTCTTGTCTCCCTAGTAAAAAATCCAAATGGATACCTAGCAAAATAAAGGCTAGCCTCTCCGTTCATCCTCCTACCCGCCAGAACACCTGCAGCGCCAGGAAACGCCCTGCCGCGTGGGTCATTGGCGAAAAGGGACGGTAAATTAAACAATACCGAGGCACTGTATTAATGATGCTAATGATGCAAAAAGAGAGACAAAAAGGCTGAGATGCCGAACCTGATTCGGACAAAGTTTTGGTTCAAGTGCCTGCAGCAAAGCAATTCGTCAATGCAATTTGATAGGACTATGATTTTACCTGAATAAGAGATACGTTCTTAATACGGAACCAAGGTCGACTGATGCCCAGCCCAGCCAAAACCAAAAAACCGCAGCGGAGCAACAGCCCTACTTATGTACACTGTAATCAAAGGCGCCCCCGAAGCAGGACCCTGCACACCTTCAGAGATTTCCGTTAGACTTGCAAATCTGTACCTGGTCACGTCGACGATTGTGTTCTTACGAGCAGATAGGGTGACTTGACAAGGTGAACCATGCAACCTTTTTCTTTTTTATGCATTTTGGTATTGTACGCTGGGCTTGACAATCATCTCTTCGACGGCTTCGTTATTTTATTTTCATTTTCTCAATGATATTGAAGACGAATCCGTACATACCTAGGTACAGTACTTCCTTTCTACATGTACTTATCCACCTAATAGTACCTAGGTAAATAAGGCAGTCGCTGTCTCCATCAAGAACTTTGTACCACTCATCATGCAAAGTTGAGTATCTACGTACTACAAGGTACTTCTAGATGTGAGCAATCTGCAACATTTTAGGCCGGAACATCGAAGTATCGAGGTATTCAGGTACTCCGTACTAGGATGAAAATGGGTGGATCTACCAGGGAAGTTGAGTTAGCTTGGCCCCGACCCGTGGACCATGCATCTTAATCGTTCCAAGGCCTCACTGTCAAAATCTCGTTGTCTTCTTTCCTTCACCATCCTCACAACAAATCGTCAAATGTCGCTTATCCCAATATCCTGACACCATTATTCGACGAGTAAACATATTGTGAGATCATATAAATCCAGTCGCTTTGCTGTTTGCAACAATGAAAGAGTATCTTGACTCTAACCGAGTCAATTTCTTGATTTGGAGGTATGTTGTTATTTTTTTCCGCTTAGGTATCCCCGGTTTCTTCACCACCACCAAGCCGTAGCCTGTGCCTTTTTCTTGGTCTTCTTTCCATATGTCCGTTATTTCTATGCTGTCGCTTTCTACTAAGTTATTAACGCAATATTATAGATATTTAATCGAAGGCAGTACGTAATCTTGCTAACATAACTGGTCATCTTACGCAATTTAAGCTATTTAACTATTTCGATGTGTGGTGGTGACATTGAAGGCCGCAGTCAAACTAACCTGAGGTTGCAGATTATCGAGAAACAGCCGTCAAATTCCAAAAAGAGTGGCACGTCGAGGAACCTCACCGACAGCTAGATTTCGCGCAACATGTAAAAAGCCATGCGCTAGTCAATGTCATTAACAAGGGTCTACTCTATAGCTCATTAGAACGTGATCATGCGCAGTCGCAAGTAAGTTCTCTCTTTTTTTCGAATTTTTTTGGTTTAAAAATGCCTTCTATGCGTTTTTGCTTGAGGTGCATCAAGCGAGACACGAATCCGACACGGGTTGCGATGAAGGCGAAATTTGATCTTCTCCAATCTCGCCCGGGATCCGGTCAAATGGGCACTGACAGATTTCTTTTCTGTGCAGGTACCTCGTGACGCCGCAGTAGCGGCACTGGCCGAGGCGATGCAGCTAGGGATATTTGGTCCAGTGCGCGCACATCCACCACTTCACCAGCAGCTAGAAGATGAGCAGCAGCAGACAGATTCGATGGATCAAGATGATACGCAAGTAACGGAAATGGCAGTAACGGCAGCTACGTCCGGGGGTGAACTAGAAAATAACCGAAAACGTCAAATTGACAAGCAACCGCAGGCGCAGCTTCTCAATGGTTCACCAGCCAAGCGACCAAGACTGAGCAATGGGTACGAAAATGGGGTGGATGCAGCCACAACTCCAATGGAACTTGACGGGCAGAACCACGACAACCATGCTTACCCATCCCCCCAAGAAGGCGAACAGGCACCGACGCCAACTCCCCGTACTGATGGACCCGAACAGGGCACACAGGTCGAGAAAGTCGAAGAATTGGCTACCGAGACTACTTTCATCCCCTTGGGCGTCCAGAGGCTTGAAGATGCACCAACTTCTTCACCAACCACGGCATTGGCTGGAATTAATGGCGAAAGCGCGCCTGTGCTCCTGCATTGCCAGTGGCATCCCCGAGATCCCACAATCTTGGCGGCTGCTGGAACCGATGCGCTAGCCCGAATTTGGAACGTTTCGCGTGTAGCCACAACCGATCATGCATCTGATGGTCACGTGAATGGCGTCGCTCCAAATTTCAATGATTTTCACTCCCTACTCGAAGAAGATACCCAAACTAAGACCACCGTCACGGCTATGGCTTGGAATTGGGATGGATCGGCTATTGCGGTAGCCACTGATTCAGATTCGAAAGCCCGGATCAGCCTCTGGACTCCTGATGGTTCTCACCTACAGGGTTTCGAGGTTGCCGAGCCACCCGTCATTAAGCTACGTTGGAATCCTAATAACGCTGCCATTCTAGGAATTGCGCCAGAGAACGGAGGGGCCTTGATAACTGTTTACCATGCCGTGACAGCAAACTCGATTTCCTACTTTCTATCTCAACATGATCTACATAGTGAACCTTTGGATGCAGCATGGACGAGCGAATCCGAGTTCTTATTATGCGGTGGCGACGTTCTGATGGCTCTAAAATGTGCTGAGGGCGAGATTAAGGAGTTGAGGAAGTTTGCTATTCGCGAGGAAGATAGCTTAACGCAAGTTCAATTTGACTGGAGGAGTTCTTTAGCGGCTACTTGCGGAGAAAAGGGTTATGTTGACGTAAGTGATGAATCGTCCCCAAAAAACAGTATGAATTTCTAACGGATGTGTTATTAGATCTGGGATAATAACGGTAGGCGACGTGAGATAAAAGCTCACTGCGACGCAGTCACTGCGATAGCCTGGCAACCGTTACAACAACAACCTTCAGGTGACGAACGGCTTTTGGCTTCCGGCGGAGAGGATGGAGCCGTCTTCATATGGAATGCTCTTGCTACTGATGGGAAAGCGAAATGTTCGATGACCATGGGACCGCCTATTGTTGCCCTTGCTTTCACTCCCGATGGCGCATTCATTGCTGGGGCTACGAGCGAGAGAATTCTAATTTGGAAGGTAGGAGAATGTAGTATTCCGCGTGCAAGCTGGAGTCGCGCCCCCCATCCTGGCTGGTTTAGCCCGCGAATGAATCCTGAATCGGATGAGGAAGACGAACATTGTTTGGGATGGGATGCAACAGGCCACAAGTTAGCATATGGGGTCAACAGTCGAGTAAGTTCCCACTTGTGCCCAATATACCTGTTTGGATCGTCCAATTGAATTGGAGCTAATAAAAAAATTAGCTCGCCGTTATCAACTTTAGATGATAGCGTAAGACCACTCGCATTTATGATGTTTTATAGATGCAGTCCCGACGGAACCCAACCCACTCGGCTCCGGTTTGCATGACGACGGCTATTGCCAAAACACGCCCGAATAACCACGCCAGCGTATATATAGCCAAGGCTATTTACGGGAAACGGGAGAAGTTTGCTTATGTAGGCGCCAGTAGAGCCATTCCACCGACAGGAGAGCTGCCGACAGAAAACTCATATGAAGTCTTGGGATTTCGATACTTGAGATACATTAAACTACAACCACGAGCTCCAAACTCGCAAGTTTTGGAGACCGGTACGAGGACGATGACGCTGCCTATAATTAACAAAATCGAATGAGCGTAATAGGTCGCTATCAACATTAGGCGACCGTTACTAAACTTCATTCACCTTCCGGTGAATGATGATCTGTTTCGAGTACACCAGGATATCAGAACCAAATACTCATTTTCTAAGAACAGTCGAAAAGTCAAGACGAGTTACTTACACTACCTACACCTACTACTAACGCATATCGGGACGGAGCATTGTAAGGCGTACACCAATGGAGCATTCTATCTATATAAACACCATACCGCTGTATAGGAAATGGTGATCATACCTCAAGAGCGGGACAAACCCTCACGACCTCTCCGAAACCAAGTCTAGGTCTAAGGCAATGACAAATCCCGGTTTGGCGCAAACACAAAATCCGTCAATCACAATGACAATGTCCAACGTTATACGAGGAGGAAAAACGCAGTCCCTCATCGCATACATGGCACCACTACCTACTTTAGCTTTTGTTTTAGCCTAGACGACACTTGTACGAATCCTGTCAGATAATTTTATTATGTTGTTCAACGTTGCTATGCTTTGCTGTGCTCTGCTCTCGCTCATCGTCGCTTATTACCTACTAGCTCACGCCTTCCATCTCAAGAGCGTGAATGTGTGCTTCGCGAATGTGTATTTCCCCTGCCCGTCCCATTTCCCTTCAGATAAGCTAACCTCTTCCTTACCCTCTTTATTCGTCGAGCTAATCCCGGAGCCGGTCACGGTGTACACAGATACATTGCTCCCCACCCCCTTTAGATCCACGGCAAACCCCTCTGTCTCGCTAATATTAACCACAGCCAAATTAACAAACCCGTCATCTCCCAACGCAGCACTGACATCTAACCACGGCGCCCCGTGCTCGCCTAGCGTCCCCTGCAACCACGCGGGCTGCGTCTCGCCGACGTATGAACCGGAGCGCACGTGCGCGGCTACGGTGTGTCCGCGCATGTACTTGCTATACAGCAGCAAAGGCCACCACGTGGACTGGCGCACGACGCCTTTCTCCGTCGTCATGAGCGGGGATATCACGTTCACGGTCTGCGCGATGTTCGCCATCCCGACGTACTTGGACTGCCGCACAAACACGTTCAGCCACGATGCCACGGCCAACGCGTCCGATAGCGTGTACTGCTCCTCAGCGCCCTTATCGCCCGGCGCGCGCTCTGGGTCCCAGACGTTCCACTCGTCGAAGCAGATCTTCGTCGCGGGTTTCGTGGGTGGGATGTTGTTCTCGATCCGCGCAAGGTCGATGAGGGATGCTGTGATCTGGATCGCGCGCTCGGCGGCTAGTGGCGCGGTCGCGTTCTTCAGGTGCGAGTTCGACGCCGTGTAGATGTGGATGCTGTGCATATCGGCCCACCCCACACACTGGTTCAGCACGTAGTGGTCCCAGCTACTCTGTCCGTCCTGTCCGCACAGTATCAGCTGGATCTCCGGGTCGAGCAATCGCAGCGCTTTCGCCCATTGCGCGGCCTTCTTCGCGTAGTCTTCCTTCGTCATCTGTTCGACTTGCCACGGCCCCCATACTTCGTTGCCGAGAGCCCAGTATTTCACCCGGTATGGCTCCGCGTGCCCGTTTGCGCGCCGCAGGTTCGCGTAGTACGTGTCCCGCGTGCCGTTGCAGTATTCGACCCATGCGAGCGCTTCGTCGAGTGTTCCGGTGCCGAAGTTTAGGCACAGGTACGGCTCTACGCGCTGCGCTTTTCCTTCGGAGAGCACGTCGAGCCAGCGCATGAATTCGTCGGTGCCGAAGTGGTTCGACTCTACGCCGAGCCAGGCTAGCTCGGGGCGTTTGGGCCGGGACGCCCGTGGCCCGATCCCGTCTTGCCAGTGGTACGTCGCGACGAAGTTGCCGCCTGGGTACCGTATTACTGGGATGTCGAGCTCGCGCAGGGCGGACAGGACGTCGGTTCGGAAACCGTCTGCGTCGGCGAAGGGGGAGTCTGGCTCGTAGATCCCGCCGTAGATGCAGCGGCCCATGTGTCTGGTGGTTTGTGAGCGAGGGTGGTCATTTATGATACTTTATATGTGGATATATATATGGACATGTGTAGATCTGTGAGGAGTTTTGAATGGCATTCGGTCTTACTCGGTGAAGCCTCCATATGTCATGGGATCTATCTTGGACAGGCGCTTCGCGGCGTCCACTTCGATGAGAGGGGTCTCATCCCCGGTGATCTTTGTGAACGTGGTCATTATGAGCTATTAAGTTTCTTTTCGAAACATTTAAAGATTTAAGAATCAGAAATGTTCAAGAAAGACATTCTCTTCAGTCTAGGCCGTTCATGTTATTCATATGGCCCGCTGCATGACCTTCCCCCTCAGCGTATGATGACCCACCGGCGACCGGCGCGGATTGCGGGAAGCTGTCCCATTCGGGAGAATCCCATCCGCTGGGCGCCGATTGGTGCGCATAACGAAGCGGGAGTGCTAAACCCCGTATCTAGGTCTTTAGTTTCGATAGTCAACAAGACGATCGTTTGAGCTCGAGGCTTTCTTGACATCTGGACAGGTGCGCTTCAAACGGGACACATGGATACCCTCAGATAAGGTAAGCACAGATGTATGTAGGTATTCAGGGGTACATGTAGTCTAAAGATAGCAAAAGGGGTGTAGATTTAGTATCTGATGATATCTGGTTAGTTACTGAAACAATTATCAAATCTATTTTTACTAGCTCATGTGAATATTACTTCTTACCCCGCGGAACCGCGGTTCGGTAAGAGGTATAAGTTCAAACATGTACAGGTACATACTAGGTAGTCATACGTAAGTTGGGGTCGTATCAGGAAAAGTAAAAATAAAAATATAATTCAGCTAACTAGTCTCTTCGACTAATCACTTCTCACAAAGTTCTTTCACATCTCAGATCTGTTATGTATGACGTGTTGGTAAATAACTCGTCTTCTGCCTCTGTCCAAAGCTAGAAGGTACAAACCTGTGCGTGCTGCTATATTCAGCTCTCCCCCACACCCGACGGGAAGGAACTACTACTACGCGGGGGTCAACTTCCCAGCGCTTGCATTACGCAGTTACGCAGTAATACTCCGTCCTCCCCCACAAAAAGCCCTATTAGGCCAAGTGCACATCCAAGTATACACTCACCCTTCCTACAAACCTACCCACATTCATATCTGCATCGGATATTTCTCCCTAGTCGTTAGAAACAGGAAACTAATATCCATCCGCCCACCGACGAAGCCGTTTCTAAGTCTACCGAGATACCCACCAATAAGCACGAGCTAGCGTGACCCGGGGAGACAGGATAGAGGAAGGGAGAAAGGGAGAGATTAACTCCGAGAAGACGATGAGCGCCCACCAGACCGGCGCAGGAGGCTTCGGCACTGCGAGGCCACCCGCCGGCATGCCAGTGCCGGGGGACGCAGCGCCAGTCGAGTCGTTCACGCCCGAGATGCGAGATCGACAGGCCCGGGGAAAAGACCCATACGACTCGTCCGAAGGGAGCAGCGGCGACTGGCCAAGCGAGAGCGGTAAGAATTACCGGAAAGGCGGGTATGTAATCCTCTCCTACCACCCTCCCCCATCTTCTCGCCATCATATCACTCGTCGCGTATTATAGGTAGTAGTATCGGTAATCCATTTCGACCAAGACGCCGTGCCACACACGTACATGCATGCGTACAGAACAACTCCTTAACACAGACAACTAACCAAAACCACCTAGAAGCTCCAGAAACGAGGCCTTTTCTACGGTAGAGAGGCGCCGCATGGCAGCCCAGATATTGGATAGTCCGGAACTGCTGATGATGGCAGCACAGCGTGACAACGATGTATTTTTACTCCCTCCCCCTCCCCCTCCCACCTCCCCTTCCCCCCTATTCCACCGCCCCCCTAACAGTCGCACTAGAGTATACCAGCAACCCGTTTACGATATATGCGCATGCTCTGCGGCCTCGAACCGTTCTCGAAGAAGCCGCAGCGTGGCGGGGTTTCTACCTCGCGGGTAGCTACGCCTGGTCGCTCCTCTAGGAAGGACGCGCGGTAGTGGATATCGGTCGGGGTAGACGGTCGAAACGGCTCGGCGGTAAAAGTCGTGACGTCTTCGAGGGAGAGGAGGGAATCGTCTCGGGCTAGTCGGTTCGACACGACATCGTTCTCTACGTGGTGTTACTAGGTCATCGCGGGAGACGGTAGGCTTTAGGGGGGAGGGGGGAGAGGAGTAGTAATGGGAGTAAGAGTAGATGATGAGCAGAAGTTGTGATTTCGATCAAAACTAGATATAGATAGAAGACTGGATGAGGATTCTAGAAGCAGCGCGACTTAACGTGCGTCTTTCCGCTCGAGCACCTCGCTATCGAGGGGACATGGGAAGGACTAGAGCCCGAGTCCGCGGTATAGGCGCACGGTACGCTATCTGCTCAGTTCCTCTACCACCCTAATGGATACCCCAAGTGTGCGCGTCATTTCTTCCCATCGAACAAGCATCATTATGTACCTAGGATAAGCTCCGAGCATATGTTTGGCTTAAAAGAATTGCAGAATCACGATGGAACGCATGCAAATGCAGATCTCTGCAATAGAGATGAATAGTGTAGATGACTCAAAGTGTTTGTTATGTTTGTTTCATGATCATTCGTCATTTATAGAGAGCAGTAATACTCAAAAAGGCACCTCCTTTTTCTACAGTAAATGGTGTCTGCTCCTCTTATAAACACACGATTTGCTTCCCGATTGCCTATAATATCCAACCGGAAAGGGCCTATGTATGTGCTAAGATACGGCTCCCGTGTTATTAAAAAAAAGAAGTCCGAATAATCCAAGGTTCGTTATCCCGGTATCCAAATATGCATGCTTGGCTTAGAACGCCCAAAACGCCATGATATGATGAACCTCCATGGTAATCTTCTATAAGGTCTTTGCAAAATGAGTCTTCATTCAACGACTCGAGTATCCCAGATCCCCCAGTTACCAGCCCAGGTTATTCTTCCAACAGCGAGTTTCTGTTACGCGTATCTCATCGTAGGTACTCTCTGTCCCCATTGAGGTTCGTCCTGCCAAGGCTGCTGTCTCGACCTCTGGCTGCCAACTGATCGGGCTGCTAGTGGCGGGCGTGTCACTGCGGCCGCTGCAAATGGGGCGCTATTTCCACCTACCCAGCTGCTGCTCGGTTGGACTGTCTTCGCTATCTTCCTTCTCCGCGCCCTACGCCGGCAGGATGTTAAAATACAGCAGCTGAGGCCGAGGAGAATAAGGCCGCCGACGGATGCAGCTACGGGAATGATGATATTCTTATTATCGGCGAAAAAGGATCCAACCTGGTCGACAAAACTAGATCCCACGCAATTTCCATTAGAGCAGCGTCCGCCGCCTTCACACGGAGTGCCGTCCAAGAAATTTTGCGCCATGTCATAGCAAGCATTCGGCCCAAGTTCAGACGAGGAGCAACGAACTTGACAGGTCTGCGAGTCACAGGCTTTCGTGTTGTTGTTGTTTGTCACTGATCCCACAAGCGACGCGCATTGTTGATCACGAGAAGTACACTGCCCAGAAGCACATGTTAAGCCAGAGCCACAAGATTGACCATCTGGCGCCCTAACATCGCTAGGGCACGCTCCGGATGTGCCACTGCAAGTCTCTTGAGGATCACATGATCCAGAGCTGGCTCGACAAACTGATCCCGACGACTTAAACTGGCATTGACTCGAGCAGCAATCTTCGTTAGCTGGGTCACATACGGCGTTGTCCTTGAACTTGCATGTCGTCGGATCACAACAGGAATTGCTACCACACCCGCTCGTGCCACCACAATCGCACTGCTCGCCCGACTCTACGATGCCATTTCCGCATTGACTCCCTGTGATTGTTACGACGTTTTGGTTGTTACTCAAGCAAGTCGACCTAACACTATTTCTGCCCATAGCCGAACAGATGTTGCCAATAGTACAAGGTGAGAACTGAGTGATGACTGGGGAGGTAGAAGGATTCATGATAAAGCCGCCGTTAGCATTACACGAAGATGTGCTAAGTGGGCAACACTTCTGCATCGATGATGTACCGTCTGCGCAAGTATCGCTCGTACAATCGTGAACGGCACCGAAAGTATGGCCTGATTCGTGAGCAAACACCTGCCACTCGGTTGAGGTTCGGACAACGACGTTAGCTCCCGCAATCGTCTCGTTTCCTCCATTCGAATTTGTCGATTGAGAGCAAAGTTGACCCAACCAGGCTAGACCCACGGCAGCATCTGTATTGCAAGTGCTTAACAATGTCCAGTACGCATTGGTATCGTTACGTTGATTTCTCCATGCCGAAAATAGGTTAAGACGATTCGTGATCGTGACACCATTGCCACATTGGACGTTCCATGGTTCACTTTGTGTCGCTGTCCCCGGACAATTCTTCTCCATGATGGCCAGGTTTTGGATACCCAGGGAGATATTAAACGAACTCTCGTAGATCGCCGAGGCTGAATTAACCAGTTGGATGATGTTAATACGCACATCACTGTTGTTATTAAACTGGGCCGTATACGTGCAATCCGTAGCCATTCCTACCAGGGCTACCTTGCGAGTCGTAGGACAGCCCTGAGTAGACCCAATACTCTGAGCTAGGTTGACACCAGCACCGTTATTGCCGGTTGTACCGTCGATCTGACGTCCGAAAAGTCTAGTTGAATCGACGGCCGATAAATCACTGAGATCCAAACCGCGACGAACCGGATGTTGATCTTCGTTATTGAATTCCAGAGTATCAGATGAACACGAGTTTTCGTTAAGTCCGCGCCTCAATTCCGACATGTCGTATGGATTCTGTTTGATGTCCGAATCTCTCCAAACCACCATATATTCATCTTCCGCAGAGTGCGCGCTAGGGTCATCTTCGTGTTGCGTTTGCCTGTAGTTAGAACTGGTCTGAATGTGATGGTGATTCCCATTGATGCGAAATGTGCCCTCGAATAACGGCATCGGCCCATCTCGATGAACTGTAATCCTTGCCCACCCTGAATTGATCCATTCCAAATGATCTGGATGTTGTACGAATGCGTGTCCCTTGAATACCCTATGCTCCATTCTATCTAACCTCTCCTCACGTACGGAGCCGTCAGCACCAATGTACTGCACGGTGGCCGAGTCGGAAAGCACATCATGATTAGGTTCTAACGTTATTCGAACTTTGTCTTGCTCGTTATGAAGTAGGAATGTGAGCTCAAATGAGGAATAGGCGTGAACTCGATTAGAGGCGGTATGGATTATAGGATTATCGAGGCGGCTAAGATAATTCAACGCATTTCTTTTAACCGAATGCGCATCTGAGGATTGCGATATAAGTGATAAGACAACGGCCGCAGCCTTGAAGATGCCGCGCATATTCGAGTGGGGTGAAGTCCTGCTTCGAGGACAATAACTTGTTCTCAAGACCCCATGCGACGACGCGATTTGTGTTGTATCGCTACGGGCGCCTTGAATTTAGGAAGTAGGAAATTAAAAAATTAAGAACTATCGTCGTCTATCCGTCCGCCGGAGAACAATTAAGCACTTCAAACTAGGGCCAAGATTTCCAAGAAAGAAGGGGAAAGGAAGCAAAATGAAACAAGAAGCAGATGTAGTAGGGGACCGGGTCAAGTATAATCTAGAAGCCAACGGTCGGCCACCTAGGTATGCAACGTTAGAAGAGGCTTGGTTTTAGATTTCTAAGCTTGTAAATCCTAGGGACCTAAAGAAAGGAATTGGAGAAAATAGGCCCTGCCGAGCTGAACCTGTTTTCCGTTTGCCAATCCTCGTGAATATGGAATAGGGACACCCAAGCCTCAAACGCTAAAATGATCCCGTCCAATAATCTGGATATAGGGTCAAAACTAAAGTGCCTGCCTGATGATGCGAAAGAACGGCGAAGGAAACAAGAAAGCTGTGAAATGTTTCAATTACGGATTAGACGGAATAGAGAAAAAGAACGAAAAGAGGTTGGAAAAGGGAAAAGATTGGATGTGTGGCTGCGCAGGCCTTAACCAAGACCCTCAAAAGACAAGACATAAAAAAAGAGGAGAGAGGAATATGCGAGGAAAACGATGAGCGGATCATGGATCACGGAGAGGAGAGAGAGAGTTGCTTGCTGAGTCCTGCATAATCAAATGAGCCAATCATATCCCTGTTTTGATTTGAATATTGATAAAATAGCAAGTGAGACTGGCATCGAAGACGGGCTAGGCGGGCTGGGCGGGGGTAACTGCTACTCACTGCTGTTATGTACTGTAAGATCCGGGGTCTTATTCGATACTTGATACCCTTAAAATCCGCGAGCCGGCTTGGCGGACTGCGGATTTGCATCGTGCTACGGTATGTACAGATGTACGTAAGTACATATTTAGACCAGGATATGAGAAGATCGAATTCCTCAGCCAACTCATCCGTCGTCATCAACTTACTATGCTCTTCAGAAATCAACCAACTTTCAATCTTTAATTGTTGAGAAACTTCAGATTAAACTCACGATATTATATGCTTGTCAGCATGTGTTGATGAGACCTTGAGGCGAACCTACCCCTGCTCTTACTAGTATTTCCCTTAATTACCTAATTAAGTATGGACCGTGGACTAGTACATTAAGCAATTCACTATGTCCGGCTGTTCGTCCGTTCAGACTTCTAAAGTTCTTGTGCTGTTTCAGAAGGATGCCGTACTAGCCTTTCGACTCGAGAATATGTGGAATTCCGGCACATTATCAACCGAACATGTTGTTTATATTAAATAATAATTATCATGCGGCATGCCGTCCAGAAAAGTCTGACCATTTTGAGGAGAATGTGCTTCTCTCCAATTGTCTCGACCGTGTCTCCATCGGTCCGTGCCGTGCCTGCAGAATGCAGTGTCGAAATATAAACCTCTATGGCTGCAGTGACTGGCCCCGATATCAGTGTCCCTTTTCCCTTTCATGTCGTGTCACGCTCCTTCGTCGTTCCCTTTTCCCCTCATCAAGTCTCTGAGCAGACTCGTGTTCGCGTATCTCCGAAAGCATAGATAACTATAGATGCATGTTCTTGACGACATCACGCTGACGCCAGTCCTATACTCAAGACTTTGCCAAGGGGATCGGGTCGCCAGTGCTAACTCCAAGTGGCACAAGTGACGCGTCTCCGAGTCTTGGTCTTTCTACTTACTCGCATATCGGCTGTCCGGATAGCATTCTACACATTTACATAGTGGACTTGAGACGGTCTTGTACTACGCCACTTCCATATAAGAGGATAGACCTAGATCTGTTAGGATGAGGCACATACGATAAAGACCGATCAGCTTGGCACTTCATGTTACTAAGCAATAGAGGGCAGTGTTCCGCCAAGTAAAACTTGCCTCATCGCTCTTTTTGCGAAGTTGTGGTTAGTTAACTCGGATCGAAGCACCATTTTTATGGAGGCTAGTCTTCATTTTTTTCAATTATTCGTTGGCGGGCTGCTGTTCAACTATAATATCTAAAGCTCGTTTGCATTACTCGAAACGCGTGCGTGAAATCTTTGGGCTCACAATTATACCTACATAGACCAACAAAAAAGAACAAGTTGAATTCCCCCACGTTCCATGCACGCCACATATCTAAGACAGGATGGTATCAGAAGTTAAAAATCAGCACCGCCTCACCCTTTACTTCTTTCGGGTTTCCTTGACAACAGCAATGATCTTGTCGACCACGGATGGATCGGATAGCTAGTGTGCGATGATTAGCAAGCTTCCAAGATCTCTATGAGGGGGGTATACTAACTGTTGTCGTGTCGCCAAGCTGGTCTTCCTCTCCGGCCAAGATCTTTCTCAAGATACGGCGCATGATCTTGCCACTACGAGTCTTAGGCAAGTCGGGTACGATGTATACCGCCTTAGGTGCGGCAAAGGGTCCAATGCTCTTTCGAACTTGCAGGATGAATTCTTTTCTTAACGCATCCGAGGCCTCGCTACCATTCTTGATAGCGACAAATGCGTTGACCGCTTGTCCGGTTAGCTCATCAGCGACGCCAACTACAGCAGCTTCGGCTACGGAGTGATGCTCAATTAGAGCAGCCTCGATTTCTGCGGTTGATAGACGGTGTCCGCTGACGTTGACCACGTCGTCTACTCGTCCTCGGATCCAGTAAAAGCCCTCGTGATCACGGCCAGCTCCATCACCGGTGAACTTCAATCGGTTAGTAATCTTGGAGAAAGTATCCCGCGCCGTTCACTTACATAGTAGCCCTTATAGACGTTCAAATACGTGTCCATATATCTCTTGTGTGCACCCCAGACAGTGCGGGCCATGCTGGGCCACGGTTGCTTGAAAGCTAGGACACCCTCAACATCGTTGCCGTGTATCTCTTCACCGGAAACAGGGTCTATGATGGCAGGTTCTATGCCGAAGAATGGTAGAGATGCACTTCCGGGCTTGGTTGGCGTCACTCCTGCTAAGGGTGTGATCACGTTCGAGCCGGTCTCAGTTTGCCAGTAGGTCTGTCTCTCGTTAGAACTTGCTCATATAAAAAGGGGATTGTCATAAACTTACGTCGACAATCTGTGCCTCTTCCTTGCCTACGACTTCGAAATACCATTTCCACACTTCCGCGGCAATTGGCTCACCGACTGAACCTAGGACTCTTAGTTTCGGCATATGCGCCTTGACGAAATCATCGCCGGCACGCTTTAATAACCTCAGCGCCGTTGGTGCGACATAGAACTGAGTAACTTCGTGCTTCGCAATTATGTCCCAGTATCGCGAAAAGTTCGGGTAAGCTGGGGTTCCCTCGAAGACAACGGTGGATACACCGAGGAGCAGAGGAGCATAGACGACGTATGTGTGTCCAGTAATCCAACCAACATCTCCACCACAGAAATATCGGTCTCCGTCATGGATATCGAACACGTACTTGCCAGTCAGTGCGGCGCCGAGAAGATATCCGGCAGTGGTGTGCATAACACCCTTCGGTTTTCCAGTCGAACCAGACGTGTATAGTAAGAACAGAGGATCTTCGGCGTTCACAACTTCGGGGGCAATGTACGACGGCCACTTTTCGACTTCCTCGTGCCACCATAGGTCACGACCAGAGGTCCAGGGGATATCAGCACCGGTGCGCTTGAAGACGAGCACACCTGTGACATCAGGACATTGCTTAAGCGCATCGTCTACAATCTTCTTGGTACCGATTAACTTGCCACCACGCTTTCCCTCATCCGTGGTGATGACCACCTTTGATTGGGCATCGATGACACGATCACGCAGAGAATCGGCAGAGAAACCAGCGAAGACAACGGAGTGTATGGCGCCAATACGTATAACTGCAAGGAAAGCAACAATGGCTTCTGGAATCATAGGTAGGTAGATTGCGACAGTGTCGCCTTTTCGGACACCCATCTTCTTGAGGACATGCGCAACCCTGCTGACTTCGCGAAGGAGCTCGCCATAGGTTAGATTTCGGCCCTCATTCGGCTCATCGGCCTCGTAGATGATTGCGACCTTGTTGGGGTCCTTGAATGCATGTCGGTCAACTAAGTTGTAGGAAGCATTAAGCTGGCCCTCGACAAACCAGGCCGAATCGCCGTTAGCTAATGATCCGGTACGGACGGTTTCGAAATCCCGTTGCCATGTTAATAATTCCCTTGCTGTTCTGCCGAAGAACTTATCAGGTTCGGTGATAGACTCCTTGTACAGTTGCTGGTACTCCTCGATACCTATCATGCATATTAGAAAGGTAACTTTCAAAAGTACTATACACTTAAAAGCTGAGTCCGATCTTACCGCTTAGATGAGGTTTACTGGGATGCTCTAAATTGGTATTATGTCAGCTTAATATATTCCGCTTACCAGCTGAACAAAAGCACCAGCTGGGAATGAGGGGTCTCACTGTCAAGCATCTTCTGTGGGGGGTCTGTTGAGTTCTGGTCAGCATCGGAGAGCCTTAATTTATATACGCAGAAGCGCGCATTAGAGAACTCACGGTAGGTATCGACCAGATGGGCCTCAGCGACCACTGGGGCCTTGACTTGGTCACCCATGATGATGGCGGAGTAGAGTCGATGGTGTAGTTGTAGTTGATGATGTTGGTAACTGTGGTGGTGGTCGTAGTACTGGTGGTGTTGCGTTGTTCGTTGATACTGCGGGGTAGCAGTTAAGAAGAAGATGTAGACGTTAGAAGGATTGGCGCTATATATTCGGGGTAAGGTAATCGATATGAGCTTTTATATATAGTTGTGGGATGACTACAGCTTCGGACGAAGCTTGGAGAGTTGTAGAGTGACCGGAGGAAGGACAAAGAGCATTGACGAAGAGTAAGTAAGAGCCAATTTTGATGAGAGAGACGAGGACGAGGCACTTTTTGTATTACGGCAAAAAGTATTGGGAAGAATGGGCAGGGACGGAACGTAGCACAGCACTTGCATTGTATAGTACATTCGCATATGCAGTCACAGGTACGGCAGGTACAGCGTTAAGTACAATTAGGTACCTGCACCCCGTAAAAGTCAGGCGAGCTCTAGGCAAGCGTAGCCCTCCACGGGAAAGCGTGGGAAAGTGCGAATAAGCGTCATTCTCTAAATCCCCTAAATCACCCAAAACGTGACCAGCTATTACCAACCTAGATTACTTACTAGTCAGGGCGGTCCAAATAATCAGATACCATTAGCACTTGACTGGACTGCGTTGGGGAAAATGGATACGCCGACTCGGACCGGGGGTCGTTGAATACCATGTGGGTCTATCTTTCTCTTCCGCTCGACCGTTCGTCACTATTGAACCCCCGTCCTTCACTCTTTCTCTCTCCAGGTCTCTCTCCCCATTCTAGACTTACACGATGGAACCCTTCCACCGCCAACATTCTACGGGGGTTGGACGCCTTGGGTGCGCCTCATACTTGTACAGGGTTTGTCCGCGAGCGGCGCATTCAACAATTGCGGATTCACCTGACTTTTGATGCACGCAGGTTTGTATTGACCTCACACCCTCCCAAATCGCCCTACTACATAGCACTATGTACTGTACTCTGCATAGATTGGCAGATTGGCAGGATGGACTAGTTGTAACTCTAGGCCGTCCTATGTCAAGAAACCCTTTGGACCGGACGTGGGTGTTGACGAGTTGGGATTTGCTTCCTTGTCACATGAAGCAGACATGCCAACGTAGCCAGGATATGTATGAACCTATAAACAGGCGCCGTCGAGATCGAAACTTGATAAATATCTAATCTAACAGATCGCCCTCATAGGAAAGTCACACCACGCAATTACATGGACATTAACTAATAAAATTTTTTATATGGACAGGGAATGTTTTGAAATTGAATGTAGGTAATTCTAACTACATAATATACCGATATACTGGTACACCTATGCAGGTTTGTAGGTTTGTAGGTTCGCGGGTTCTAAATAAATAGAGAGAACTGCAAGCAAGCAAGCAGCCGAGAGTCAATTCAGGTCCGCGATTGGTAGGTTGGCGAGAACCATCCATCCGGGGCTCTGTTCTGGGAACCGCCTGTTGGTTCCCGGCGCCTCAAGAACTAAAGAAGGCTACCTACATGATACATAAAAAGCAAGTAGCCAGGTAGCGAAGGTGTCACTTGATGTAACCGTTGAGCGAAAGGGAGTATAGTGAACATATACCAAGAATAATATGTACAATATCCCGTCTCACTGTCGTGATTATTGGCATTTAGTCCTGTGATTATTCTGCAACCCCTATTAGTCGCATCTCTCTCACTCATACACCCTGCTCATCATCCATGCCCGCCAAATTCCCAAGTACGGGGGACCGACGACTCCAAACCCCTTCTCCCCGCCTCTCGACCCCTCGCCCCATTCCCTCCCCGCATTCGCTCTCAGACCTCCAAGGGTAACTAGACGAGCTAGGCAAGCTAGACAAGCCCTTGCAGCCGTTTTAGTACGCTAATCATCATACCAAATTTCTCCGCAGCTCCGTCGCCCTCGTGCGCATTCGGAAGCACCCAATCGAAACTTTGGGGGTCCTCGTCGCTTACATAAATACATGACATCGAGGTGTCATCTAGGGCTGCTAGGTACATATGGTACATATGGTATACACGTTTCAGTACATACATGACCATGATGACCTTCCATTCGCCGGCGAATGATAAGGTGTCATCAGAATCTCCGATCCCGATTTTTACCTATCGTTAGATCCCGATTCCATATTGAGACAGTCGAACGATTAAGATGCTGCCATGTCGTCACTCCTTGCCAAACTTCCATCTGCCCATGTCTAGAACTTGGGTTCGCGATGACAAGATTGTGGGGAAAGCTAGGATCCTCCGGTTAGCTGGGTGAGATGTGTATACGGCTTGGCAACATAACTACCTACATATATATACCTACCTATGCATACCTAGGTGTATATCTTGATGGCTTGACGGATTTGAAGTTAAAAAAAGTCGATGCCTACTATCATAACATGGCGTATCCCTGTTTTAACTACGCCTAGGCCATCCCTAGGGTGTACCTAGGTTATCGTGGGAAGGGATTTAGGGGGGCCATATCGTCCCATTGAAGCCCTTTTGATCTGTATGGATACCCTGGGTCTGTATGTATGATATACTAAGTTTCTCCTAGCCGAGGTAGATCTAAAAAATCCGTATGGTCACGGCTATGTCTACGTATGCGAGCTTAGAGCCTCATGCCCCACCGTCGCTCCGGCTGGTAACCAAGCTGCCGGCACTCGGTTACTTCGACATGCTCATTGCCGGATGCGACCCTCAGGCGACGACATCTCATGCGGGCCGGGACCAAATTCGGCCTTTCGGGAAAAGCGTGGTCAACGACGTTTCCGAAACACCGGTCACCGGAGATAGAAGTATGGTCGGGATTCATACTTGTCGAGCGGTGATTGTTTTAATGTTGTTATTTTTTGGGGGAGGTGTCTTCGATAGTGGAACTGGGTTGTCAATTTTAAGTCAAAGCGGATATCATTGCTGTAGAATGTCACGGTTATCTTCGAGATACTTTTTACCGAATCATAGCCATAAAGACAGCCGTTACTCCATGATCCCCATGCCCCCAAACTAGTTGCATAAATCATGCTTCCGTTAAACAGTAAGCCCACTCACATATCCATACTCATTAAATACATCTCCATTATTCGCATATACTTTGCGACAAACGCCTCCAGGTGGAAGATGACCTTGCTCCCCATTCTTATTCTGTGTTCGTAAAAGGCGGACCACTTAACAACTTCGGATTTCAAATCATCGTCGATATTAGCAATGAGCTTGAAAGTTAATGTCTTGAGTATGATGGTAGGTGGTATGCAGTGTGTGAGCAGATCGTATAGCTTTGATCGGACTTGCAAAATACGGGCCGGTGAGTGTTCTTCCTTGATCTCCTTGGCAATTTGCGAGATCAATGCCTCCCAATCTGGAGGCGGAATCGGCGTGTCGTCCGTAACCTTCTCACTACATTTCATCAGTGTTAGCTAGTGTATTATGAAAGTAATAGCCTTTGGGAGTATGGCGAAAAACGCACTTCTGAGCATGTACGGCCTCGTACATCAACAATGCCCTTCTCAGATTTCGGCCACTTTCTTCAGCAACTCTCTTATGTAATCCTTTAACAACAGGCCAGCCTTCCTTTCTGGCCGAATCTGCTAGGACACTTGCGATCTCGTCGACTGTTGGGGCAGCAACCCGTACAAGGAGAGTTCGACTTCGAATGGGTGCAATAATGTTGGCCGTGCTATTAGCTAGCAGTATCAATCGCAGATTCGGACTGTATTTCTCCATAGTCCTCCTCAGAGCTGCTTGAGCGTCTCGAGTTAAATGGTCGGCTTCATTAATGACAACAACCTTGAATTTTTGCTTGGCTGACTGGTCGACTTGTTGTGTCTGAGCAACTTCTTTGAGTAAGTCTTGTATGACAACTCGATCATAGGTCCCGACATCCGAAGGTGTTATCTCGAGATGGTAAACGGAGGCAACGATGTTGAATTCTAGTTTGCGGTTGCTCGTAGTTTGGAACACTCGGGCATCGATCTTGATCTTCTCAACACCGGGACCGTACAGTTCTTTGAGGGTGGCGACAATACGAGTCTTCTTGCCCGCACCAGAGGGGCCATAGACTAATAGATGAGGGAAATCACCGCTCTGGGCCTGCGATATGAGTTGTTAGGTTAAATCCCATGGGTGTGAATTAAGCATGGAGACCAGAGCTATATGAACGTACTAAAGATCGAAGCCTCTCAGACAATTCCGAATGGTACGTTAGAGAATCGAGGGAGCGCGGTCGGTGTTTGTCGACTATAAGAGCCATTTTTGCCGTGTTTCAGTTTGTAATATGTCTGATCACAAATAGTTATAGACATATGGCAAGCACCTAGCTTAGAGCAGAAATAATATCCTGAATGTCTAAATGTCAATTGAAAGTTTGGTAAAGCAAGCTAAGCTGCTAAGAGCAAGGGGACGCGTTAATTGACTTTAGAACGCGTTTGCTTAATTTTGCCCTTTGTTACCGCCTGCAGTTTTAGATTAAGGAAAAAGGTCTGGCCCAGTTTTATCGTTCTGCGGGGCACTAGACAATCTTACGTAATTCGAGCAGACCCAACTGCATGTCAGTATAAAGGCGGAAGTACAAAAGACGGGAATGCCGATGAGGGGTGTTTTCAGCCCCTCGTCACAACAGGAAGGGCAGAATCCTTTACGAAAATGGTTTGAGACAGTTTAGACTGGTGAATGGCTTGCCGCCTGAGTAACCATAAGCACCTCCAGGGCTATGTTAGCTGGTTAGGCATGCAGGCTGGCAGGGCATGTTAGGTATCGACCTACTCAAGCTACCTTACTTATTAGACAGGTACCTACTAGGTATGTAGTAGGTAATTGACAAATGAAGATAATATCTAGGTAGGTACCAGACATCTCATGATCGAGATGTTAATGTCCGATATTGCTTATTTAGCTGCAAGCGAACAAGTCAGGAAGGCAAATCATAGACAGTTGGAGTTCCAAGACTTCAAGCAGCACGAATGAGGAATATCAATCGCTTGACTTCCTCGCGGACAGTTGTCTCTTCCTGCAGCCGGGTAGATAGGGGTAATATGAGAAAGGCCGCGTAGTTACTTAGGTAGGGATATGTTGTCGTTTTTCCAATATGACTTCCGGTTTCTTCCATGGCGAGGTTTCAAAATTGCACCTACGTACGAATATAAGAGTACATTCATCTGTAGGTACGGATCCGTACCACTTACTGTATATGCAAAGGAGGCAAAGCAATGTTACTTGGCTGCTTAGATCATACCTTGTCTCCTTATTATGCACATTGTCGGGTTGCATACCTTGCATGCGTAGATCGATCAATGTCCCATTCCGCAATCCCAATTGGAGCCATCCTGTATCTGTTGCAATCTGTATTTCCAGGTTATTTTCGATTTGATGAATTTGTTTAGGTACTGTGGCGTCAGCACCGTGTATGCGCTCCATGCGCTTCACGCTTTCACTGTATAGAAAATGTTAAAAAAATGTGTTCATAGATAAATAGTACTTAAATACTTAGCAAGCTTTTCAAGTGCTCAGCTGGTTGCCACTTACTTTCAGCGTTAATAAGATACGTGCGCCGTACCTGCTCAACTTGAGTACCCCTTTAGGTACTCCAAATTTCACAGTACGTACCCCTACATACCCCTCTACCAAGCACTGTCCTGCTTAAATGTGAAGGTTTTTTTTTTCCTTTTTTCTTTCGTACACTTGAACGAAGGTAGGTTAATAATTGGATGTAAGCTTGAATTTGATCACTGACCTGCATCTCATGACATTAAATCCCCTTCACATTTGCCGTACGACCTGTACTTTTTTTTCTCTTGATGATCCACCCCAACTAAGGCCTAACCTATTAGGACCGAAGTTCCCTCTTCTGTCACACCCCCACTTTATTTCAGGACCCAAAGGGCACACCGACAACCATCGCGATATCATCCTCCCCTCTTCCCGATCTTTCTAAAGCTGGATTTATCCTGCGTCAACTCTGTACAATTCCCTTCTTTCCCTTTTTATAAAGGGACACCGTCTTCTTAACCAAATTGGCAATTCCATAGCTAATGTAAATTTTTACCCATACCCTAAAGCGTCTATTTTTGAATCTTTCATTTTTCCTTACTAACCGTCTCACATTAGTTAGGCTCAGCAAGTCGCCAAGATGTCATTCAACAGCCGCAAGTTTTCCATGTAAGTCCTTCCCTAATCAATGTCTTATCTAATTAGATTTTCGGTCTTCATCGCATGTTTTTTTTTCTCGTTTATCTCTTCCAATGACGTCAAATTCAAAAATCTTCACTAGCCACAATTCTTACCTATCGCTACATATCTACTTGATTATGATTTTATGAACTCTTACTAAAACTCAATAATAGGAACCGGAACACTGGTGTTCCGCGCCGTCGCTTTAGCATTGGTGACCCAAGTGCCAATGGTATGGATAGTCCTTTAAATTCCTTATATTGATTATGCTGTAATACCCGCCAAGAATAGCACGTTTCTGTGCTTGTACCCGGGACATGATGGTATACATATCATGTATATCTCGTGGCGGTCTTGGCGCTTGGCAAATGCGATCTTCACATTGCATTATTGCGGCAGCATGTCTCACTTAAGATATACATAACATGTCACTGACAATCTTCCTTGGCAGAGACGAGCTCTAAAATTCATCGTCAATTCCGTGCGGCCAATCCAGGCCATCTTCCCCACGCTGGTCTAGACGCTTCACGTGCTTCTACCGGTGTCGTCTGGTGTACTGAGCGAGCCGCCGAGTATGGCTTCCTTGAGGAACCCGAAAAATGGGCAAACCTTGGTCAAGGTGCTCCCGAGGTTGAGGATGATATCGAAGGCTGCTTTGAACGTCCCCACACAATAGATGTCTCCGTTGCCCTCCGTGAGTATGGTCCGACTGCCGGTATCAAGCCTCTGCGCGCTGCCGTTGCCAGAATGTACAACGAGATGCACCGTCAGGGCAAGGAGAGTCAGTATTCATGGGAGAACGTTGCCATTGTCCCTGGTGGACGAGCAGGTTTGATCCGCATTGCCGCCGTGTTGAACAATGCCTATGTCGGATTCTTCATTCCTGATTACACCGCTTATAACGAGATGTTATCTCTATTCAAGAATGTAAGATAGTTCCAACCTATCTGATTATTTAAGCTTGCTAATAGTAAATAGTTCGCCGCCATCCCAACTCCCCTCTCTGAGGAAGATGGTTATCACATTCATCCCGACGTGATCGCCCGGGAGATTGCCCGAGGTACCTCTGTCATTATTACTTCCAACCCCCGTAACCCTACTGGCAGAGTGGTTGCCAACCCCGAATTGGCTGAGATTCAGGATATTTGCCGTGGACGTGCGACTTTGGTTAGCGATGAGTTCTACTCTGGTTACAACTACACTAGTAACTGCGACGGAACAACCATTTCCGCCGCCGAGAACATCGAGGATGTGGATGAAGATGACGTTCTCATTATTGATGGTCTCACTAAGCGATTCCGTCTCCCTGGATGGCGTATCGCCTGGATTCTGGGCCCTAAGGAATTCATTAAAGCGTAAGTTAACTACGACCTATAGTATATTTATGAAGTTGAAGCTAATTGAACAATTCAAGCATCGGCTCTTGCGGTTCGTACCTTGATGGTGGAGCCAACGCCCCTTTCCAGGAGGCCGCAATTCCTATGCTTGAGCCCAGCCTCGTCCGCAAGGAGATGGAAGCTCTTCAACACCACTTCAGGGTTAGCAGTCCTTCATCCTCATATTATATTTGAACATAAACTGACTTGACTTTTCATTTTAGGATAAGCGAGATTACGTCGTGAAGCGCCTCCGAGACATGGGATTCGTTATCAAGTACGTCCCGGACAGTACTTTCTACCTTTGGTTGAACCTCGAGGGTCTCCCTGGACCCATCTCCGACGGTCTGAACTTCTTCCAGGCCTGCTTGGAAGAGAAGGTCATCGTCGTTCCTGGTATCTTCTTTGACTTGAACCCTTCCCGTCGCCGAGACTTGTTCGATAGCCCTTGCCACCACTGTGAGTTAATCCCTTTCACGCATAAGATCCTTAACATAGTATCTTTTCCCTTTGCCGATTTCTGACAAGTCATAATAGTCGTCCGCTTCTCCTACGGTCCCAAGATGGATGTCCTACAAATGGGCTGCGATGGTATCGAACGTGTTGTTAACAAGTAAGTTTATTTACCCACCTATATGAGATATAGTAGATTAACAATTCATAGGTTCAAGAAGTTTACCACTTAGGTTAGATACTGTTTGCTGGCTGTTGACAACGACGCTGAGTGTCTAATACCAGCACAATCCTCTTCTCCTTTGTAAATGAGACGCCTGCATCTCGTCTAAGACCTTTTCCAGATAGAAGGTAGAAAAAGGATTTCAGGGACTTCGGTTTAAGGTCCTCTAGATGCTTGATGAATAAAACGCTTTCCCATTTCTTCTTCCTAAGTAGGGTGGACCATAAGCCCGTATCCGCCAACCCGCCAATTCAATTAATGTATTGAAATGTATACAGTATAATACAGTATAATAACGTACAGTCTGATACATATTTTACACAGTGTCCTGAATCTTACAGTGGATTTTAGCGCTACAGGGCGCTGAAAGCCCTGTAACTTATAGGGGTTATAGCGCATCACCTTTTTATAAGCACCTAAGTAGGTAGGTATATAGCGCATAATTCGGATACATTTATACGCTTCAATATTAAGTCGCTCGCAAATATAATAGATTCATTCGAAAGCGCTTTAAAAGGCCTTTCAATAAATATAAATTTTACGAGTTGCGGATCAGTTTTCATACGATACATTTCAATTAAAAATATAGTATACACTGTTGACATTTACCCGATGAGGCTCGGCGGGGTGTCACGTGACACCCCTCGGTTCGAACTATTACGCGTATATCCTTATTTACCTACCTATTAATAGGTACGCATTCAACTGAATCGAATCAATCGATTGAATCAGATCAATCAATTGATTTAATTCATTTCGAAAAGGTTGAAATATTAATAATAACCTTAGAAGGCTTTAGCGCTAGCTTTAGGGCTTTTCATATACCTGTGAAACCACCTATAAGTTATAAGGAGCTTATGCGTTATAACCCCTATAAGTTACAGGGGCTTTTAGCGCTCTGCAACGCTATAACCCCCTGTAAGGTTCAGGACACTGTGTAAAATATGTATCAGACTGTACGTTATTATACTGTATTATACTGTATACATTTCAATACATTAATTGAATTGGCGGGTTGGCGGATTTGTTCTTATGGTCCGCCGTCCTAAGATTGCATTTCATGGGTTAAATACTGAATTGATGGGATGAACTCGCATGACCAGAGTACATTCAGCAGCGATTCGTGTAGATGACATGCCAGTTCCCGCAAATGGATATACCAATTCGGATATCGAATATACCAAAGTCTCGACATCAACATTATCTTCGTTCAAGTAGTACATATTAATTGTCCTTATCTAGGCAAGCAAACAGAGCCGCGAAAATCAAATTACCCACCCACCGAGAGATATTCGTGTTAGTCAGAATTCATACCCTTTACGAGCAAGTAAGACCTGGGGGATAGTGCCGTTTCATTCTGCAGCACGGCTACCTGCATAGGCTATGGTGTATGTGGTCTGATATACCCGCCTCCTCCTCCAGACCCGCGTGTCCCGTTCATGCACCCATTGCCAAATTCAATAGTAGGAAAGCAAACCCGAGCCGTAACATGGATAATGGAACAAAACCCTAATGGAAAACCGGACCACCCACCCAATTGCGAACTTCGATTAGTCCACATTTATGCGACTCGTTCACTGTACAATGGTTAGCAGGGAGAAACTCGTATTGTATATCATGGGAACACGTACTAGAATCTCATCCTCCATGGGAGCATCGCCGTTGGTGGCAGCAGGTGCATTGCCGTTGGTATTCTCGTTCTGATTACCAGCTTCGAAGTAATCGGCCATCTCCGAGTCCAGCTCCTCAGCTGTCTTCTTGGCCGGGCGAGCGCTGCGAGGTCCACCGCGTCGCTTGCGACCACGAGCACCGGAACCGACTGCCTTTCCTGCCGCCTCCTTCTTTTTGTCGTTGGCTGCAGACTTAGGCTGGGCCTTAGGTTGGGTAATGCGTTCGGTGAGGGTCTTGGTTGGGGGTGCGATCTCAGCTGCCTTGGCCGCGCTGACGACGATCTCAATCTTCATGATATTAGTATAAAACATAGAGCCATTGGAAACGGTATGAAATTACCTTGATAGGGCGGTTGTCGACTAAAAGACCGTTCAAGGCATTGAATGCTTTGCTAGCACCGTCAAGCTTAGAGAAGGTGACGGTAGCAATTCCACGGCTGACGCTATTCGGACCGTAGGAAAGCTCCACACGCTTGATTGGGCCAACTGAGGTTGCGAAGTACTCCTATGGAGGGCACGTATGTTAGTCTCCTGAAATCCATTCGAAGTGCGTAGAATGCGGTAAGCAATATCGACCATCGGAGTAGTCCTGACAAGTAGAGAATCGTCTACAGTACGTATCCGAAGTTAAATCAGCATCAACGAGCACGCAGTGAGCGTTAGTAGCCAACATCGAGTCCAGCAGAACAAATAGAACCCCCGAAAGCCAAACACACCCCAGTATAACTAATCTCCACTCATCATGGTGAGGGTCTGATTTACTCGGGATGATGAACCACCACATCGTTCCACGAGATAATCCCCAAGCCATCATTGACATAGGATGCTACCCAATCCAACTAACAAGGTCAGATGACTTGTTTGAGTTAGCCCACTGCACACCAAATGTCATCAACAACCGGTTCGGTGTCGATGGAATAGAAAACCGCCCCTAGGATTGCTGTTTATTGTACCGCTGTTGCTCACTGCCATGCTCGCTAGATTGCAATTGCCCTACACAGGATGTTCCGACGAGAATAGTAACCCCAAGGATTGAGATAACAAGCTCGTGAATATATGCTTTAGTCCACTTGAGTGCGCGAATTGTAGCCAAATAGTGGAGGGTTGCCAAGCCTGCCAAAGGACGTACAATAGTAACTCGCGACTCGGACGGCTTCAACTTCCGACATTGTAGTCGCATAAAGCGCAGACATCGTCAAGGGAGGAGCATAAGCAATCCGGTAGCCTCAGGCCAACCGGGATGAGCCATCTCTAGGTAAGAGAATAAGGATAATTATGTCGATCGTTCTAAATTAAGAGCGTACGATTCAAGGAAGATGTCGACGAAATTCCGCGGGCGAAAGCCTCAGGAAACATACCTTAATTTGGCCTTCGTTAACATCCTTGGGCTAAAATCGGGTTAGTAAAGTCAGAAACGGGATGTGGGCTATAAACAACTCACCAGGTTGCTAACCACCACCTTGCTCTCGCCGTTGCCACCGGCTGCCTTAGCGGTATTCTGCTTCGCTGCAGCAGCACGAGTCAACTTGGGCGTCTTCTGAACGCCGCCGACAGGTGCTGCCTTAGCGGCACGTCCAATGGATCGGCGCTGGGGTCGGCCACCACGGCCGCCGCCGCCGACGCGACGTTGGGTGGAGACGATCTCGTCAAGAGACTGGTTGAGCTTTGAAGACATGGCGATTGTTGTTGATTGTAGTTGATTATGTTTTAAGTAAAAGTTGTTTTGTGTGGGCAATAGCACGACCGATAGGCGTGGTAAATGATCAGGCTGTGTTCGGCCTAACGGGTGGTGAATGTATTGAGTAGGCGAAGAAGCGTACGAGTAGAGGTATATTGTAGCAGCGAAAATCAAACCTTGACAATTTCGCGATGCTTGATATTGTAATTAGAAGTACGCGCGACGTAAGATATAGAAGGTGGCGGAACGTTTGGATGCAGTGATAGAAGCGCTGGTACAATGATGTCCGATCCGACGAGTTGGCGGGCAGATATGAATATGCTGATATGGCTGACGAAGTTGGATGCAGCCGATAGAGAATAAAAAGCTGAGATTAAAAAGAACTTTATCGTGGCTGTCTCCTCTGCGATGAAGTGTCCGTAAAGGAAGAAGACGGTGTTGTGAATGTCTGGATAAAGTTGAAAAAGAGAAGATAGATTGAAGTTAAGTCGTGTTTGAAAGGAAATCAAATAAGGAAGCGCGCGAGGGAGGGAGTACCGTTGGAAAACAATGAGTCGCCTGGTTAGCCACTAAAACTCTATCGAGTGGGTCTCATTGCTGTCTCCACCGTACGTGGCGCGAAATTGCTTAATTTGGATTAGACTCACAGTAGTTACTACCAGCTGTGTAGAGTCATGCTTAAACCGATTCACTCTGTCACTGTACTAGAAATAGGTCCTATTAATACTACATAGCAACTATTGCAAGGTCTACATGCTGAAGAAACCATTCTTGGGTTGAAGCCCGAAATCGATTAATGGGTTTGTTTTGTTTGACTTAGTAAGTATGTTTTTAATCCTCCTAGGTTTCCAGATCATAGATATTCATAGTTCACACGCATGTTAATAATTATTGTTGATAGCAAATCAACTTTGCTAAGCTTGATTCATATATGACCATCCATGAATTGGGCTATGCACATAAGCCAGTGATACAGCACAGAAAGTCTGTTGACGCAACTTGTACTGGTCCATCTGTTGAAATCCCCCGGAATCATGAATGCCAAGTCCGAACTGATCGAATAGATTGTCTTCGCATTTGATCAGAAGCATTGTCATATAATAGTCGAGTCTTAAATAACCCAGGTATTTGACATGTACCTGAGTGCCCTTCCAAGTCATACGTAGGTTCACCACCAATTATCAAGATAGCTTCCCTCATCTTGTGTATGATGAAGACTAGGAAATATCCATAAATCCTTAGGTTGGTTCGGCAGTGCTCTCACTTCGATACGCTGAGAGATTTTGCACCCTTCTCGGTAATCGGCGCTTCATCCTCAACTGAATTGATCTCAAAGAAATGGTACACAACGATGAGAACCACGGCTATCGAACCGAGGAAGAGGGCGAGGGTGTACAGATCGTCGTCGGAAATCATCGTGAGTTATGCGCTTGGTATTATCTACTCGGCGTTTCAGAGGGTGAACCTAGAATGGGATGTTAATTTTTGCCATTGCTTGACTTCAAAGGTTGTATTATTAGACATACTTTGTACGTTTGCGACGAAGTGCTTTATTCCTGATTTTTCACTGGGGTTGGAAGGAAAAGGAGCGTAGAGGTGGGATAACGCGTTGACGGTAATGCGACGTGGTGCGGATGAATTTATTTACACTTTCGTTCTCATGTCGGATAATTGAGGCCAGCTTGGACATTCTCAATCGCAGCTTCGCAGTTAATACTGCAGAGGGACAACGTAAGTCAGTACAACGGTACCAGTCTAGTGGCCTTAGCGTACATAAAGTGGATACCTTTAAAGATGTACCTGGGCAAGTGCATGTGGCAGTGTGGCTAAGTCAATTTTTAGTTCCTCCAGTTTCTTGAAGGTGCCACATCTTTGATCATGTGACAAATCTCAAAATCTGCATAATTCATTGGTTCCAAGGGTTTTTCCCCGCTAGTCTTACAGCCCACCAACCCGCTAATACATCCTGTATCATTCAATGAAGTTCAATTACGATTGCCTTTCTTTACCAGTTTATTCTTAAAAACGCCTCGGTATAACCTAATAGCGCCTTAGGTCTCTTTCCCAATTAGCCATTTAAACCTAATTTCTAGTGAGATATCTATTCCCGCTATTTGAAGAGAAAAAAACCACCTATTACCGAGTTGTCAACCCTCTGGGTTACTGCCAGTCAGTATGCCTCCGAAAAAGAAAGAAGATGTCAAAGGCAAGAAGCCTTCCGCTGCCAAGGTTGCCGAAGACAAGACATTTGGTATGAAAAATAAGAAGGGTTCGGTTGCCCAAAAGCATATCAAGCAGATTCAGGCGACGGCCAAAGCTGGAGGTAGCGCGGAAGAGAAGAAGAAGCAAGCAGAGAAGGATGCCCGTGCCCGAGAGAAGAAGGCAGCCGATGATGCCAAGCGGGAGGCCGAAGCACTACTCAACAAACCAGCCCAGATACAGAAAGTTCCTTTTGGTGTCGATCCGAAGACCGTTGTGTGTATATTCTTCAAGAAAGGCAATTGCGAAAAGGGGAAGAAGTGCAAATTCGCACACGACCTCTCCGTTGAACGAAAGACCGAAAAGAAAAACCTATATACCGACGGGAGGGCGGACGAAGAGGAAAAGAAAAAACAGGAAACATCTGCAGACTGGGACGAAGAGAAATTACGCAAGGTGGTTCTTTCTAAGAAGGGCAACCAAGTGACCACAACCGACAAAGTTTGCAAGTTCTTCATCGAGGCGATCGAAGACGGGAAATACGGTTGGTTCTGGACATGTCCTAATGAAGGCAATAAGTGCAAATACAAGCACGCACTTCCACCAGGGTAAGTTATCCTTCCAATATTGCACCCACCCTAAACGTATCGTATGACTTGTCTAATTTCATCAATTCAGTTTCGTACTTAAGACCAAGGAACAGCGCGCAGCTGAGAAGGCTCTCATGGACAAGTCTCCGCTCAAGACTTTGACTCTTGAGGATTTCTTGGAATCGGAGAGACACAAGTTAACCGGAACGCTCACGCCTGTCACCCCGGAAACTTTCGCTAAGTGGAAGCAGGAACGATTAGGCAAGAAGGCCGCCGAGGAACAAGCTCGGCAAGCTAAGGAGTCGACCGGTCGTGCTCTATTCGAAAGTGGTAACTGGAGATATGGAGAAGACTCTGAAGGCTCTGACAATGAAGAAGATGATGAAGATGATGGTACTTGGAATCTGGAAAGGCTACGGCAAGAGACACAAGCCATCCGAGACAAGAAGGAAGCAGATCGAATAGCTGCAGCTGCGGGCTACTCTGCCGATTCATATCAACCTCCGGACACCGGGGATAGTACTCCCGTGGCTGCGGGCGCTTGAAGTCCTTACCCCCAATATCATGGGGTAACAGAGCAAAAACTTTGGGTAAACCAGTAGACTTCCATCGTGAAGATGGATGCTCACTATAAGCGACGCGTCAAGGACAACATGTCGACAGTTTGATGATGCTGTTACGTTTAGGCTAGAGCGAACCCAGATAGGGGTTGAGCTACTGCTAGTCTTCTGGACCATGCGAGACAGCACGAATCCGCCATGAAATTGGCGAGTTCAGTCTACCGGCTTAGGTTTCTAAAGATTGTACTAATCGAAAACAAATTCGAGATATACTCTATCACTCATTCTTCCAGTTGTTATACCTTCGTCAATCCCGTTTCGGTTAATGCGACTTATTGATATCATTCAATTCAATGTAGTGAGATGTTATGGCGTTAAGTCTTATAACTCTACAAGGAAGGACAAAACCAAGGATAAGCCCAGAAAGCTGTTCTAACCGTTAGGCATGCCCTATTGACCATGAAGTTATATGAACGAGTTCAAGTCATTGCGATTTGTGGGCATGGTTACGGATATTTGAGAAACCTCGAGTTGTTTCAAAGTGAGCCAGTTATTTCCCGGTCTTCTCTCACCATTTCTCAACGTAAGGTCTCATATCGACTTCTTGAGTAAACGCGGAACGGTGCTGAGTATGTAGATTCCAGTAACTCTCAGCAATCTAATTTTCTAGTCAGCTTTGCAAGGCGGCTTTTGAGTGTTTCTTTGAATGGGTACTGACTGCATCGGCTTTGATCTTGCCATCCTCAGCACCATTATTGACATTGTACTGACTCGTCCTTGGAATATCGATAACTCCGTCGATGATGGCATGTGCCACATGCACCCCCTTAGGTCCGAACTCCCGTGCTAGAGACTGACCGAGGGCTCGTCGAGCGAACATGCTAGCTGCCATTGTGGAAAACAGATACGAACCCCTGACGGAAGCCGTAGCACCCGTGATGAGCAACGTGGGCGGGTGCTCGGAGTCGGGGACGGATTCTAGAAGCAGTGGCAAGGTCTTCTGAGCGAAGTTAAAGAGGCCGCGCCTGTCAGAATGTTTAGCCCATGTTTAGCCCAGGATGAACATAATACATTGGATGGCCGAAAACATACGCATTACCGCCGACTGCGACATCGAAATCCTCAACGCTTAGCTCGAGGAATGGTTTCCTTTGAAAGCCAGCGCCGACATTATAGATTGCCGCGGCAAGTTTTGAACCAGGCAGCTCCTTCGCGATGGTCTCGAATGCTGCGTCTAACGACTTGACGTCCGAAGTGTCTGCGCTGATGCCAATAGCTTTACCACCAGAGTTATTGATCTCTGCAACAGTGTCCTGGTACGACTCAGGCTTGCGAGTTAAGAGCACCACGGGGTATGATTTAGCGAACCGGATAGCGCAGGCTCTGCCCGTGCCGGGACCAGCACCAGCGACAACGGCGAAGAAGTTAGAGGACATTGTACTGAATTGTTTTACGAAAGATGTAGATATTTTTGGAAACACTAGATAGAAGTTTAGACTATCTAAATTCCTCTTGAAGGGATATGCTTTGGTGAAGTAGGCGGGCTATCGAGGCTCACTTATAATAGAGACAGACTCAACGATACTTAACTAACTGGTAATCAAGTCGCTTCCTAAGAGGGGATCTATCGTGATAATGATTTATAATTATATACTCAAATGGAAGAGTTGGAGCTCTGATGACAAATTCTAGCAGATGTCGCAATCCTCTATCGATCAAATAGCATGCAGATGTCTTGGTTCTTCAAGAGTGGTGACGCGCAGCATCAGTAACTGAGGGCTTGCATGTACACGGTACTTCCAATGTACTGGCTAATGCAAGAAGGAGCTATGGCCACAAAGCCTGCGTAACCCTGTTGACCGTTATTGTCACCATTTAAAACCCATAATACTGATCTTTACATAATAATGGATTCTTCTTTTTAATAACCGGAAGACTCCGTTTTTACTTCACCCCATGTAAGTACTGTACATATTTCGATTTGGTCTGAGGACGTGTTTGAACGAATCGTCTCATTGAGCACTTGGGGTTTAGACGTCCTATTTCTTTTATATTTTTCAAAGAACGTGCTAGATGAATTTTGAGATCATTGTGAGATTTTACCACCGAGTCTTCTAATCATCTTAAAACTAATAATGAGAAATAGGGATATTTACAATGATACGGTGATAAAGGAAACCTGGAACTATGATGGCTGATAATACTCACAACGCCGGTGCCACCAATGCCACCAGTGTTTCCAATAGTCTTAAAGAAGCTGGGGGGAATGCGCCTATCATTTCAGACATCTCCCAACCGCGCCTTAATGGAGACCCCAGTACATCCCTATCACATCTTTCATATCAACCGCAACAAAACTTGATCGCGGAATCGAAGGCGCAAACTTCTCCTACAACTATACCGTTCTCTCCACCGCAATACACAAAATTGGCTGTGCACATCAGATCTACTTCGTCGCCTTCACCATCCCAACCTCGACGAGGAAGGCCACCCAAAGATAAAAGCCGGCAAGCGCGATCAGGACCAGGATCAACAATTCCCGGGGCAGCAATCTCCAGTCCTCTGCCTTCCGTGGGGAATGAGATTGGGGGTGCCAGTCCTCAGCCTAAGAAGAGAGGCAGACCAAGGGGTTGGAAACCCGGGATGGCCTATGTGGATGTCAAGGAAAGCGGCGAAGAAAGTGCGAAAGTCACCGAGTCCAAGAAACCCCAGTCTAGAGAAGCGAAGCGCCGCGGGAGACCTCCGCGCACTCTTATGCCATCGGCCAGAGACCGGTACCTGCGGACCAATGCTCAATATTTATCCTTTCGATGTGAATGGCGATGGTCACCAGGAAGAACGTGTCCGGCAGAGTTGCAAAACATGAAAACACTACGCAAACACGTCGATCTCGTTCATGGGGACGAGGAGCCGTTGGTTTGCCGATGGGGAAGATGCGGAGCAAGGAAGAACCCCATTCAGTTTTCAGAGCAGGAGAAGTTCGATGAGCACATGGAGAAAGCGCATTTTAGGTCGTTTGTGTGGTACATGGGAGATGGTTACCAAAATGACGGCATCTCGATACTAAAGCGCAACTCAGACGGACTTCCAAGATACCTTTTTGATGCGGATGGCGAACAAGTTACACCGTCTGTCACGGGGCAAAAATTCGAGGACGACCAACAATATAAAGAAAGGAAGCGAAAACTGAAGCAGCTTCTTATTCTGCAAGACGAGAATGCTCCTTTCGATGAGGAATATACAAAGCAGACACTGGGAATTGCCTGAATCACAACAATCAAAGTAGCCAAGCCTTTGTATACCTCGATAGACTCGACTCGGCCTTATTGACTTACTCCGTGCCGAGCCGCAGTCTCATTAATTGACTTCGTTGGTTATGTTTCAGAGCATGACCGTGAAAGGATAAATCGCGTGGATACCTACCTATACACTTCCTAATACACACACACCTATTCATGGCTGAAGAGGTGTTTAGGGAAGAATATTTTCCAAATGAACACCTTAACCTATGAGTAGCAATTTCTTTTGGTTTGATACGTGTTTATGTTGTCGTATATTTCTACAGGTTTTCAAACTTTACTAGAGAGCCGTTTGTCAAGCAAGTTGCCTGCAAATTACCCTTTTCACCTGTTGAGTGGAAGGTTCCAAAGCAATGAAGGTAAAGAGAGGTGTGCCGCATTGATTTGTATTAAAAATTCAATGCGCTACAAAGTTACATCATTACTAGGTATGTACCTAGGTACCTATTTGATCGAACGCGTGGAGTGCCGCAGGCTGACCAATCAATCAAGATCTCGGTCCCTCAACCTCCCCTAACATCTCCTCACTAGGCTCCTAATAACGGACCTCCAGCCTTTGGGATTTGACAGTCTCACCTTATGACGTAACAAACATAACCGGCATTGATTCGGCAAGGTAGCATTGATGGTCCCCGTTTTTTTCTACCTAGATATTCTTGTTGTTTGGAACGTACCTAGCAGCCTAGTAGGTAGGAAGACGTACATATGAATGTCTTCTAATAGGATAGAAGATATCAATAGCAAATAGCGGTAGCAATCTCACTCTTATTACACTTTCTAATATAAGGATGTAACAGATTTATTATGGCAAAGTAACTTAAAAGTGATCAAATACAAATATGGAAGTACCTAACTGTAAATACGGGAATAGGGATTAAGGAATAGGGAATAATGGTGGCATTGCACCTGGAAGGAACCCCGGAGACCCTTGAATAATAGCAGTAGGCTACCTTCTTGAGGCAAGTAAGAACTAAGGTATTTCTTAAGCCCGAACTCTGAAGCCTTTCTAATTATTCAAACCCATCCAAACGGAAACCGCATCCCTTCAACTTCAAACGTTCGTCATTCCTAAATTCGATTTCTTCTATTTAATCTAAAGTTCCCTTATTCCCTTTCCGCTTCTCAACCCCCTTACCTGGGACTTTACCTGGGCTGGGCATTTTGCTTGGACGGATTAATTCCTGAATCACCCATGAACACAGCTCAACCAATGTTCATGCGGACCGATCAGTCTAGTTAGGAGCGTCTAGACTTGTCGCGTACGACGCCAGGCTCGTGCTTTATTAGCGCATCCGCAACAATCGGAAAACACACTTGTTAGACCCTGGGAGCCTGGGAACTTGCGGAACTTGATTGCCTGCTTCTACACTACATACGTCCAATACATTTTTTCGATTATTCGTTCATTCTTGATTCATACATACATACACGCAGTACATACCGTACATACCGTACATACAGTACAGCCTTCGGAAAGCTTTCTTCGTATTACTGCAACGAGCGGCAAAGTGGGAAAGTTTGAAGAAAGGACTGGCTCGGAGTATTGGTACATTTACATACGATCTAAGAGACCCCATGTTCCCGAGCTTAATGAGACAGTCAGTAGTGTCTGCTGGACCTTGATTAGCAAGCATCCAAACAGAGGGAATTGGAAGGGAACTGGACGCAACGTATCCCAAAGTGGGACTAAGCCCACTCAAAACCACCCAGACCTACCAGACCCGGCCCCTTTTGCCCCTCGCTTCCAGTGACCGAAGACCGTACCAAGTGAGCATAGTGCGATTAGTTTGCCCTGCCCCCCAAAACCACCCCAGCACCAGTCCCAGTTGGGCAGATCCAGCCGCCATACGATAGGTAGAAGCTGGGTTGCTGCCGCCGCGCTACCGCCGACATGGGGTCCGACGAGTCAATTGAACACCATTCCAACCTCAATCATCCATCCCCAAATACTAACAATCCTCCCTCACCAACAACATCCGTCACAACATCCGTCAACCGACGAGGGCCTCATTTCAGAATTAGAAAGCGGTTAACGTCATGGCATCATCCGAATGTTGACCTAAGGGATCCTAACCTAGGCGACAACACTAATACCGCTACCAATACTACCGACAACATGCCCATCAAATCACCCACCTCTACCGGCACCAATAGCCACAACATCCATTTCAACCAAAAGTTGAAGAATTTCTTCCGGATAAATACCTCAAACACCAATGGGGATAAGGAGAAGAGTCTCGATCATGCCTTAAAGTCAGAGGGCAAAGTTAGCTTCCGTCAATCAAGGAAATTTTTCACCAACGTCGGTAGGATTAGATCGACTACCACCGCGAGTGAGGGACATCCCCTGGACGACGCTCTCAGCCCCACTGCCAATGCGAATCCATATTTCGCCCATCAGGGCCAGCCCGGGCTCCGACATCATAACGAAGGGTCCGTACCGCCGAGCCCTCCCGACACTCCTAGTCTGAAGATCCACGGTCCCGACGGCGCAAAGGAACAAGCCACGAATGCTACAAAAGAAGAGTTGGCAAGGAAACTACGGAGAGTTGCGAGCGCACCTAATGCTCAGGGTCTATTCAACCAAGGGAAAGGAAGTGGGGAGAGACCGGCCACTGCGGAGCTTGGAAAAGAACCGTTGATTCAGGGAACAAATGCTGCCTCCTTAGGATTCGTCGACGCCAAAGCGGCGCTCGCCGAGGCTGGAACGCTTGCCGTGCCCGAGAGCGATGGCCTTGGAGCACTTCCTCCGCCGCCAAACCCTAATTCACTGGCTTTCCGTAGGACATACAGCTCCAACTCGATCAAAGTCCGCACCGTAGAGGTCAGCCCTGCTAGTTTTGACAAGATTAAGCTCATCGGAAAGGGAGACGTAGGTAAGGTTTATCTCGTAAGGGAGAAGAAGAGCTCCAGGCTCTATGCTATGAAAGGTAGGTGCCATCTCCGAGTATTTACAGATCTGTGCTTACGCGAACAGTTCTGAGCAAGAAGGAGATGATAAAACGTAACAAGATCAAGAGAGCATTGGCCGAGCAGGAAATCTTGGCGACGAGTAACCACCCTTTTATCGTGACCTTATACCACTCTTTTCAATCCGAGGATCATCTATACCTGTGTATGGAGTATTGTAGCGGTGGGGAATTCTTCAGAGCGTTACAGACCCGCCCCGGCAAATGTATACCTGAAGATGACGCCCGCTTTTACGCCGCCGAGGTTACGGCAGCTTTAGAATACCTTCACTTGATGGGGTTCATTTACAGGGACCTGAAGCCAGAGAGTATGTTTATCCCATTGTTTCCATACGAACTTTGCTAATATGCTCTGTAGATATTCTGCTTCACCAATCAGGACATATCATGCTTTCCGATTTTGACCTTTCGAAACAATCAGATCCCGGTGGTAAACCTACGATGATCATGGGCAAGAACGGCGCCAGTACCTCGTCGCTCCCTACGATAGATACGAAATCGTGCATTGCCAATTTCAGAACGAACTCGTTTGTGGGTACCGAGGAATATATCGCCCCAGAGGTCATCAAAGGAAGCGGACACACGAGTGCCGTGGATTGGTGGACTCTCGGTATCTTGATATACGAAATGTTATACGGAACCACGCCTTTCAAGGGAAAGAATCGCAATGCAACTTTCGCCAATATTCTCCGGGAGGAGATACCGTTCCCGGAGCACTCCGGGGCACCCCAAATTTCACAGTAGGTTTCGGCCAAGACGATTTTTTTAAATACCAGACTCATGCTAATTGCCATTTAGTCTTTGCAAGTCATTGATACGGAAACTTCTAATCAAGGATGAGACGAGAAGATTAGGCGCGAGGGCCGGAGCTTCCGACATCAAGGGACATCCGTTCTTCCGAACAACTCAGTGGGCCCTCATTCGACATATGAAGCCACCGATAGTTCCACATGCGGGTCGTGGGGTCGACACAGTCAATTTCAGAAATGTCAAAGAGAGCGAGAGCGTTGATATCACTGGTACAAGGCAGTTGGCTTTCTCCAAAGGTGTGCCGTTGGATAGTGAACTGGCAACACCCGGCAACGAAGCCGTCGATCCGTTTGAAGAATTCAACAGTGTAACATTACACCACGATGGAGACGATTATGACAGCGACAGGTGATGGTTAAGAAGCATACCTTGACCCATCAGGACTACGATTCTTTGCCTTACATGGACTTAGCGCCTAGCAGTAGAGCTGTTCTTATCATCAAGCCTATGACCATCAAGTCGTATGGTTTTGTTATTAGTATTGATTGACGGATTACCGATGAATTGTACTATGAACTTTGAAAGCAAAGAAAAAAAAACCATCTCGACATCTATTTACGAGATTCATCCACTACTACCTTTCATGTTGAAGACTGCGACCAGGACCGAGCACAAGAGGGAAAGGGGCGAGGGCGGCATTAAAGCATTCATATGTACGGCGTTTTTCGGCACGTGGAGTTTCGGGCGAGAGATCACTGAAAAAGGGACTGCGGATTAGTAGTGGCTTGTATGACAATTACAAATAAGGCTTGCTTATCGTCGATGTTGTTGTCTTAGAAGACTTGAAACGGCCCACGCTACTTGCCTTATTAACATAGCATTCATTAACTAGGTAGTTAGCTGCGTTATATGCCTTTTCGCCTTTCCACTCGGCTGCACTTCTCCGATGCTTCATCGCTGGGCGTATCCTCTGATTCTCTGTTCTTCATTTATTAAATCATTTGCCCCCTTATCACATTTTCCCAATGTTACACGGCGTCTAGTGAACTAGACCGATAAAAAAAGCAAAGGCAAACAAGCCGAATCTACTATGTACATACATCTTCATGTAAAGCAATACATTTGGAATATACAAATAGCTACAAAATCGAGTCCCAGGTCTAGGGATCATGATGCGCGGCTTGCGGCTGACACCATGCTGATCGGATGACCTCCGCTGTGGAGGGTTGTATTGGGTGATTGAACCCTGTGACCTCCTTTCCCAACACGAGGCTGGCGCCTTTTTACGCAGCAGGCAGAAAAGCAATATCTATCCTTCATTCACGTATCCTAAGCCGAAAAGCTGATATACATTGTCGCTTATATTCGGCTCGTTCCGAGGTAAAATCTCATAAAATGAGACCTTATCCTTTAGATATTAGACAGTAAATGGCACACCCTGGTTACTCCTTTTATTAGGACTTGCGTTAGTCTCGTATCACTATAGGCGCCTTCCCGAATCTCACATAGGATCGTCACCCTAGGATACTCGCACGCAAGGATATCTCGTATTCGAGTCTACGACGGCGTTACCAGTCATGACGATGCCGGCGATGGCATCGTGATTTGAAGGTATAGACACATTAGACGAACACACCAAAAAAATTGGGTTACTGGGGAATGCGATATTTGATCTAACGGACTCTATATGAGATGGTTTGACCTCGCCCACCATGGCGCATCCGAATGTTTACGAGAGGGATGTGCCAAGAGCGCCTCCTGGGCGCGTTAGCGGCCACACTCTCAGCATGCCTATTTCTCATACACAACACGATATCGCTATCGCAAAGATGGCACAGGCGGATATCAGCTTAGAACAACGCGAGCTGGATCTGCTCAGCCCAGCGTACATGCTAGAATGGGAGGTCGGACACCAGGGTTGCGCCCGGAAGCGCATCGGCGACGCGGAGCAACTGCGCGCGACGATTGTTACGGAGATAAAGGGGGACCGGCTTTTCGTCTTCCAGGATTTGCCTGCGGAGTACCTGGATACTGTGCGCGATGAGCTTGGCGTTGATGCGCGCTTTCTCGAGGCGCATGCGGGAAGGCGGGTTTATAGGCCGCTGATGAAGCGTGGTTGGGGAAGAGCGGATGTTATGGATAAGGTCACGAGAGAGAAATCTGATTTCGCTTGCTTCGAGTACCCGGAGATGCTTACATTGGCGAAGAGGGCTGCCGTGACTGGTGGGAGGCCGACTTCGTCGGTAGATGCCAGAGGAGCCGGTGATATTGCTGGTGAAGCACCCACGTACGCGATGTCAAACGATGGAGAATATGTGATGTTCTGCCGCGCTTCGCTATGGTTGTCTGATAGAAAGGATGGTAAGTTGTCCATACATCATTACAATGCTCACAGATCCAAATACTTATCATAGCCCAGTTCTACTCTTAGACCCTCCGTCATGGGCGCGGTCCTCTTCAATGTTCCGGAAAGCGATATATCCTTCGTCGGGGCCATCCCACACCTGCTTTACTCCCATCACCAGAAAGGAAAAGGGGGACAGTATCGGTAGCGACACGCTACACAGCGAACCCACCCCTCGCGACAGAGACGACATCCCCAGTCTCGAGACCCTGCTCTACCAAAGTCTAGCAGAGGAAGTCTCCGAGAAGATATACAAAGCAGCCGCAATCGAAGACATCGCCATACACCAATGGCACGAATTCTTCGACGCGCTTCCGACAGACCTAAAGCCCGGCACCGCCGAAACAACCGCGCTGTACAAACAAGTGCAAAAAAGCCTTGAGCGAAACCTAACCCAGTCGCAGTTCCGCGACAAGATCTCCTCCGACCACCGCCGTCCATCCTCCGCCACCACGGTCTGGGAATCCCTTCTTGCCCGTCTAAGCCGCCACCTCGCCTTACTCAGCTACCTCAACCCCCCTCCCCCTCCCACCCTCACCTCCTCCCCATCCAACCCCCGCTCCCGCGCCCAACTCTCCACCGCCGCCCTCCCGCCCGCAACCTCGCACCGTCCCTCCTCGGAGCAGAACCAGCAAAGTCTAGACCGCGTCTCATACATGGGCGGGGTGTTGCTGCCGCTCTCCATCGTCTCCAGCATCCTATCGATGAGCGACCCGTTCGGGCCGGGCAACAGCCAGTTCTTCGTGTTCTGGGCCGTTTCCATCCCATTAGTCTTCATCACCATACTCATCATCTACGCAGACTCGATACGCAAAGCGGAGGTGTGGATCGAGGTCGCTAGTAGTGGGAGCACGACGGGGTCGGAGAAGCGGGATGAGGAGGAAGGGGGTTCGATGCCGGAGTTTGAGGGGGGGATGGGGTTGAGGGCGAGGAGGAGGACGGATGGGGTGGGGGTGGAGATGTGTGAGTCGGATTATGGGGATGGGTTTGGTGAGTGGGATGGGCCGCCGCCGGGTATGATCGTGGAGAGGCTGTTTAAGGATGCTGGGAAGAAGAAGTGGCGGAGGGAGCAGCTGGGATGGATGGGCGCGTGTAAGGCTGTGTTCCGGATTTATAAACTTAAGCAGGGTAGGCCGCCTAATTGGGCTACGAATGTGAGACGTGGGAACACGGTTTAAGCAAACGCGAATGCATTAGAACAAGAGGCAGATAGGTGTATTATGTTCATGTATTTGATATAAATGTATGTACAGCGGCCAGGGAGAGATCCTAGCCCAATAACAATTAATTCTCAAGACTCTTGGTCTTCTGATCACAATCTTTATCATGGTTCGTGATACACAGTCGGAAATGGACTACAAGTTGCATGTCCGGCATAGTCTTTACGGTTTCCTTACACCAGTCGTGGGCGTGGTCAAATTTCTGTATCGTGTGGAGGACGGCGCCGGGATCGATTAGGGATCTCATTTGGATGCTCGCCCGGTCTGGTGAAAGGACGAGAGCCGAGGATGGGACATCTTCTTGGCCTTTAAGCCAAATGTCTTTCAAATCCTTAAATGACTGTTGGACATATCCTTCGTCGGGGTTTGTAATGTCTTCGAGCCAATCCGCAACCCTCCTCTATTACATTTATGTGTCAGTATCTGCCTTATTCAGTTGTCCAGGAGATAATATATTTAGACGGGGTTTGGATCGAACGAGGAAGAACACATCAGAATCAGGTTATAGGGAAGAACTACTTCCTAGCGAGGAAAGGAATAAAAAGCCCGGGGTACTGACCTGGTAGAAGACTGGGTCGGACTCATCGACATATAACTTTCTTAGTTGCCGTAATTTTCCATGATCTCGAGCATCAACTAACAGGGTATGGCACATATCTGTACCCCTCCCAAAAATCTCATACACCTTGGGAGATCTACCCAGATGCATCAGTATGCTATCGTGGTAGAACTGGTACTGCGGTACGCCGGACCAGAAGCCTCGCTTACGTTTCCACTGCTCCACAAAGAACTTCCCCGGAGCCCCTGCTAACGCTGCGAGGCTTATGCAGATAGGACTCGCGGGAGAACTGGCAAAGTAGAATCTCGTCACGGCAGGGTTGTTGGGATGTTCTATCGAGAGTCCGTTTCGCTCTGTGGGCCGTGCCGGGACATTCTGGAAAGCCGAGTCGTCGAAACAAAGCGTATCGGTCGAAGGGTCGAACCATGTCTTTAGCCTAATAACCCCACCGTTACCGCGCGGACGACTTCCAACACATTTCCATGACCCAGTTTGCGAAGCGTATTTCCTCGCCTCGCGGCAGACGGAACGTAGAGCTGGTTGGGCTAACAGCACGGCTACTAGGTCCGAATTGCGGATCCGCCATGCATCGTGATCCAGTTCCTTGGTAACGTCCGCCTCGCCGTCCTGTTTGATAGACACCGTCTCCCTCCGGATCTCGAAAACTCGATGAGGAAGGGCAAACCGCCATATTAGAAGTCTTAGCTCGGCTGGAAGTTTTGGGAACTGTGGAAATTCGGTAGCAACTGTAGTTTCAAGTTCTACCATGGCTCTCCTCCGCACCGGCTGTGCCTCTCGACGTAAAGCCAGGCTGAATTGTGTGACGATATTTCAAGATTTTTAGGAACTAATAAAATAGATACTAATAGACACTACTAGCTGGGCACTGGGTAAGGTAACTTCGTGTATAGCTGAAAAGAAATGAGTCGATATGGGGGCAGAGAGTGATAGGCGAAGAGAAGAGCACGCAATCTACAGAATCAAAATGGGATCCTAATAGCATCCTCTCGTGTAAAGAAAAGGCGGCGTTTGGCAGGTCATCTGAACACCCGGCCGAGACTCGGTAGGTCGGAAACCGAACCGACAATCTGGACAGACGTGGCCGAGCTAGGATATTTTGACGATCGACTTAGTGGATGATTGTCTTAAGTATTAAACCCATCATGTCCCTTGTATTTTTCGGGGCATTAGGTATAAAGTCTATTAGGTGGTAGACATGCTGGCAGGTGGATGTTATGGTTATAGTAAGATTCCAAGATTGTTTTCTTAACAGCTTCCCTATAAGCCCTGAGCCAATGAACCCTACCGAGATTGATCGGCCGACGCAAACGGACAAAGGAAAGTAAGTCACAGACCATTGTTACCTGTGTCCTTCTATGCTGTTTCACTCGTCGGAGTTCGGACAAACAAGCAACGAGTCGGAGATGCGGCGCATGCTCAGCTCACATAAAGACCAGACCGGAAAAGAAGGTTGTCGAAGTAGAGAGAGGCTCGGTGAGATATCCAATTCTGGAGTTGAGAATGTAAGCGTTGACAGGTCAGGGAGTACAAGCCTCGGATATACGAAGTGACCTCCTAAAATCCTGAAAAGCCATTTCGGTCCTTCCATTATAAAACTGTGACATGCGATTGGTCCATGTAATCTTATCGCCGATATACCATTTGGGTTCCTGATCCATTGCCCGGGTACGGGCTTACCTTACCTGATTAGGTTAGATGCATACTCTTTATTGTGCACAGCGTAATTACCGTGCCGAATAATTTGTACCACAGCGTAACTCACGTCACTGGCGGGGAATCTCAACTTAATATCTGAAAGTAAACGACCCCTCGTGAATAACACGCGTTCTTAAACACGTGCAATTTCATTGCATGTTTTCCACCCTCAAATAACCATCAAAACCATCTCACGATGGATAGCCAAGCGCAAAACCCCCTTCTATCTCCGCCCGAGCTCTCGCCGCTGGAGCAAGAGGTTCTCGAGGAATACGAGCGGCTGGCGGAGAACATGAAGAAGGTATGTAACAAACCTGATATGGTCACGATAATGGTCATGCGTCAGCTTATATCACATTCACATACACACATTTACATACACATACGCAACATTCCACCGCAATCTCCTTCCACGTCATGGTTTCCCTCTCCTTCTCTTCCCTTTCCCATATTGGGACTAGAGACACCAAAGCCCGAGCTAAGCTGACTAATAAATCATTTACAGCTCGCCGGTGTCCTTGATACGATGGCCGGACAGCCGACGACCGAGATCCTCGACGGCCTGCGCGAGCTCGAGCGCAAGACGAGTTTAGTGTTCACGCTGCTCAAGGCCAGTGTCTATAGCATTGTGCTGCAACAAGAAATCGATTGGGGTGACCAAGCTAGAGGTTGAGCTAGCGTCGGACAATAACAGAGGAAAGACGAATATGCGATACATGCTTTCCATCTTCTGATTCGCGGCATACCTAGTAGCTAGGGCATCACGCTGTCGAATCATAGGTATCGCATCGCATGGAGATATGAGAGATCTCTAAATATGTAGGAGACACTACGAGAAGAGGCATTACCTAAGTCAACCTTACGGTAATAAGGCCTCGTCAGCATACAAGGGATATTATGCCCGGATCCCGACTACGACAATTATACATTGGAGAAGATGCGCCTAGACAATGAATGAGCGCTAGGCGGGGGCAGGCGAGGTTACGTAGCACATCGCGCAAGATACCCGAATCAATAAACCACATGCACACAATGTTCCGGACACACAGGAGATGCTGCAGTGCGTTCACTGCGCTTGATCTGGTTTATTTAACTTCATTTACATGTAGGCTTTTCACCCGCATAATATTTATACACATAAATTAGCGAGTCGGTTGGTTGGTATATTAATACACCCTTCCGCCGTAGTACACCTTCCGGACGTCCACCAACTTTTTGCCCCTACCGATAGCGAGTTCCTCGGGGTCTTTTTGGCTCTGCAAAGCCTGTACGCAGGCCTTGACGGAGTTCATCGGGTTTCTCGACCGCGGCATCTTGGCCGCTATGTCTTTGATGCCCACAGCGCGGAAGATCTCGAAGAGACGGTGGGAAGCGCGTAGACCAAAGCCTGTAGAATTGTATTAGCAAGTAGTTTTGGTAACGTATCTAGCGGATGAATAATGCATATAGGATGTGTCGTAACTCACCAGGTGGACGGGCGTCGATCTCGACGATGGTTGCGCCGACCTTCCCCTTCACCGAGCCGTAAATTGTCCTGCCCTCATACCTACGGATCGGTTGCATGTTTTGGATGGCTAAGAGTTTGGCCTTCTGCTTTGCGACCTCGTTCTCGACGGATTTAGCCTCGCCGATTCCGAGGCGGCCATTGCCGTTGCCGGCGATGGCTAACATCCACAAACTGCGGATCTTGCCTAGACGAGTCTGGTTGTGGACGAAGCGTACGACGAGGATCTTGGTGTTGATGTCCAATATCTCGCCCACGGTCAGGCCCGTCCGCCGCTTCAATTGCTGATATATGCCCTGGTCATCCTTGCCCTCGTCCGCCGGGTCGACTGCTGGCTTATACAAGCCCGCTACTCCGGCCAGCTTCTTACCTAAGGCCGGCGCGACAGCTGAGTTCGTGGGTCCGTTGCTGTTCACCATAGTCTCAGGCTCGAGGAAGTATTTCGCTTCCTCCATCGGAAGATCGACGCGCTTTGCTAGTATCTTCTTTATCTCCTCCGCCGACATTCCCTCGAAATCGACGTCTTTCGGGATTAAAGCCTCGAGGTGCCTCTGTAGGTCAAGAGTGTGCTCCTCCTCCGTCATAAACCGAGCGTTCGGGTTGGGGGGAGGGTGGATTTGAGGGCGCTTATCGATAATAGGATATATTTTGCTGAAATCGTCCAAGTACGGCAGTTTATAAGGATCTCTTCGTATTCGGCCTTGTATCGTCAAGTCCTTCGGGTCGATAGCCGCTTCACCGGCCTCCAGGGCTGCCATCTGCTCGGGAGTGTACCTTTTTTTCAAAACCTCTATCTCTTCCGGAGTATAGCTGGGAAACGTCTTCTTTCCATATTCCTCAACCTTTTGCGGCGTAACAAGTCCCATTTCCTCAGCTCTTATGCTCTTGAATCGGGGTTTCCGCCTCGAGGCGAGCTGCGCCGAGCTGTGGAAGGAGGCGTAACATTGCGATGGTGCTACTGTTGGTTTAGCAGAGGCAGCAAACCGCCTTGAGAGCAGACACCGTGCTGGTCGTGCTACGCTCATCGCATCCCTAGCCTCCAAGTATCTGCCCAATTATGGCTGCAATGGCGTAGGGGTGTTAAAGTGCCGCGTGGAGGGGATATGAACCTTCAATTGGTACATATCAATTACGGTATATGGAAATTATTTTTTAGAATATCGATACTTGAGTCGGATTTACAATCCACCGATAAACCCCACTCTCTGGTGTCAGGTAACACAGATTTAGCGCCTTTTCTGATTGGGTTATCTTTCCATCACTATTTACGCTGAAGCAGGGGTAGCTACGTAGCTTTAGAGATGGCATGATCATTCATCCATGGATGTATCTGAGAATATAGCAGTATGTAGGAAACAACGACCTTTCCTCTCTAAAGCCACCTAGGCTGCTAGGTAAGATCTATTAGGATGATGTATGGGAAGTTCATGCGGCGCAATTGCTAGAATGAAACTCCTTCACAAATCGCCCTCGAGATCTCATCAGAGTGGAGTCAGAGAGTTACCCTTCCCTTATCTCTGATTGGCTATTTCCAATCAGTCGACTCTTGCCGCAGGTCTGAAACACACGAGTTTCACAGGGATTATCGCCATTGTCAATCAGTCGAGGCCCTCAAGCAACAGGTGGGCGCTCGTCTCATAACTGCGCAAAACCAAAACGCTCTGTAGGATTGCTTACGTTTCTCTTCCTCCTTCAACTTATTCTAATTCTAGACTCCTTTACCCAACTCAGTTGGTTGTTCGTTTTCTCTTCTATCCTAATTCCGAAGAAAAAGAAAAGTGAAGCTATCATCACTTTTTCCCTCTTCTTTCTTCATTATAAGTGTGACTGGTGCACCATAATTTTCTTGCAAGCCTATAATTCCTCTCGCTTGATCGTTCGCTCCATTCATCTAATCGAAAATCTTCCGACTCGAAATCGATTAATTACAACTCATTCCCTTCAGACAGTCATCAGAGTCGTTACAACACCAAACATATTTCAAAATGTCGGGTCAATTCGGATTCATGTCCAAGATTGGCGCGACTGACCAAGCCGTTGCCACTTTGAACGACCAGCCGTACATATTCACCATTCTCGTTGTCATCCTCGTCACGCTGATCCTTCAGTCCGTATTCATTTGGTACATACATTACGCGACCATGAAGCCTGAGCAAAAGAAGAAGAAGGAACCCAAGGACAGCAAGAAACCAGCAGCGAAGCCTCCGGCAGCACGATAGAGATAGTCCGCTGAACACTAGTCACGACAAAGGATGGGGTACGGGACTCGGCGGTTACACTACCCACAACATATCCCGACCGAATACCACTGTAATTCTTACGATGAAAGCGATATGCCAAGATGTGAAAACGTCAAGGAAATGCATAGAGAGATTCCGTACAACTAGGCGACTCAAGTTTCATCGCTTAGATGTATAAATTTCCGGTGTATAAGGAAGAGAAGAGAAGAGGAACGAAAAGACTCAGAATGGTGGAATTTAGAAGTGCTTCGATGACAGCAGGCCGCGTCTAGCACCTTAATCATTGTGTATTTACTGGTTACATTTCTGTCAATATTCATACATTTGTGGAGCCTGATAATCCATTTCTTCGTCCAGATAATTATTCCCATCTATTATTGCCTTGTCTGACCATGTGGTATAATAGCCGTCGTCCCTGGATATATTTTCTGAGTTATATGGAAGCTCATACGAGTCCCCATAGACAGTCTCAACGGTACGTAAATCGTTAGATGAGCATAGATCATCGATATTGATAATGGACTCCGTAAAATCGTGTGGATAATATTGATTGTCAGTTGATATATCGAGTAGTTCTCTGTGACTTGACTGGGGTTGGCTTCGGAACGAATCCGACAGGCTCGGATCCGATTGATGTCCAGGCTCTTCAGACTGAGCTTCTTCTCCTGCGTGAAAAGCTTCTAGATGGAGGACTTCTCTCCTCTGCCACCGTTGCTGATGTTCCGTTACCATGCCGGAGTCACTGTCAGGATCCTCGATTTGATGACATGCCATAAATTTATGCAATTGACCGCCACCGTCAAAGAATTCGTCAAAACCAAGATTATCGCCGTCTGTATCGTCGACTAGACCAATTTCAAATTCATCAAGGCCATCCGTTTCCATTGACATAAACTCGAAATCTTCATTAGTAGTTCCACCTTTCCATGAATTAACGCTTAAGTCACCGTTCTTTATTCGAGTCGTCGGCTTTAGCGTTGTTTGCAATAAACCCCAAAGCCTTTGCTGGATGGAACTCCGATAAATATTTAGGCCCCCATCTGGCTCTTCACCGTCCTGGACCTTTTCAGGATGTATGTTATCTAATAGAAGTCTCGCGCTCTTCTGTCTGAGAGATGGCGATTGACCCCGAGAAGAAGTTGCTAGGATATTCGAAATAATAGGGAAATTGGCAACATGAGAGGTCACCGCCTAACCATCATTATTAGTAATAGCCTAGGTCAACTTTTGAAAATGGGGTTAGGTACCTCAAGATAGCGAGCATTCCAAATAGCAGGGGCTAATTCGAGTAGTGAAGGTCTGTCATCGAGTTGGAATAGTCGCAAACCATGCATACGCTTTTTTACCCCAATGGTTACATGTAGAGCCATTTGAGCAAAATAAGCTGCATCATCCCATCGTTGCTGAGTTCGGTTTATGTGCGTATCAACTATTAGACCACTCCAATAGTTACCCGACATCTCATCTCTGTAGGGAGTATGTATGGGACTTGAATCTTCAAGTTGTAATGTAGTCTCGTGAGAGTAGTCGCCCATGTCCGTATCACATATATCGTATTGCTCCGTGGTAGCATGAGAAACTGTGTTTTCCTCCGATTGATAGCGGAAAAGACACTCTATCCCATTGAATTGAGCAGTAGGACAATGTGGGGGTGAGATGAGTATAGATGACTTCTGAGGATGTTCAACAATAAAATAGAGGTTTGGCGCGCCGTCGTATAGGGGCTGATATTGTATATCCTCTTGCTTGATTGTGAGTCCGAGGGCAGCCCAGACCTATATGGTTGCATATTAGTAACAGTACTAAAAGACGTATATTTGCATTTACCTACAGAACACTGGCAAATTGCATCGGCTAGATGTTCCAGGAACCCGACATCGCTTTCGTTTGATACCATGGATATCTGTATTCGGCAGACGCCCGGAGATATGAGCCACAGCTGCTTTGACCGAATCAACTGGTAAAGCTCTTCGGAATGGTGTTGGGAAATAGGAGGACCAGATATTAATGCAAGGGAAGTCACGGATAAAGACGCATTGGAATCGCTACTAGAAAGTTCAAAAGTCTTGAGCTCGAGCTCTGCATAATCGGCCATGGCAAGGTGAAGGAACCATCCCCACAACCGTTCCATAGACAATGACAAGATAGATCTGTGCGTGCGAGGAAGCTTGTTTGAAGCACTCAAGGGTGGACGCATCCATTCTTCGGAGCATAATATAAAAATCGAGATGACTAGCCGGATATGTAAGTGAGGTAAAATCATAGGACTGCGTAATTGATATACCTAATAGAAACCTACATCGAGGTAGGGATGGTAAAGAGAAAGAAATCTCAATCGTGATTCCTAGCTTAGAAGTTTCATAGGGCACCTCTTAAAATGCCCAAGGGAAGGAACAAGTATAAGGGCTTCCCACATATGAACAGAAACTGCGTTCGAATTTGAAATACTTCTTAAGGTTGTGTTAGCGTTCCGGTAGCATCGGCCATAACTATGGGACTATATCGTAGCTTCCCCCTATGATGCCAGACTTAATGATAAGACGTCCAGGTCTAACTTAAAGTCTACCTAATATGGATCCTAGTGTTGTTATTCAATGTAGGGGGGTAGACATATGAGACATGGAACTGACCCTCACGGTATACACAATCAATATTGGATACGGACGGGACTTTTTTTTATATACCTTATTTATACATGGGGTACGATACCTCAAGATCAAGGAAGATCCAACGGTGTTCGTTGAGTCTCCGAACTTGGGGGAGGAACTGGGCTTAGCGATTCTGCGGGGACCTTTCGTCTCGGTCTCTTTAATTCTTCCAGTGTGATTCCATCCAGCTTGGTAATTCCAACCACAGCCGGCTCGCCCTTCTTCACAAATTCCCACTGCCCTAGATATAATGTTAATATAGCTGGTACAACTATACAATGATGCATATTGCTTACCAGGTAGTTTATTACCTGCTAATCGGAATGCGTCCCGGACGACTTGTTCGTGAATCAATCCTCTCAGCTCTAGGACGATCTGGTTTACAGCTACTCTTGCAGCCCAGTGATCAAACGAACCCTTTCCTTTACCCATTCGCATCTACAAACGTATGTTAGTTTAAAAGACAACGGGGTTGACACGGAGAAGCAAACCTCATTGCCGCTGACGAACACGCCGATATTGCAGCATACTCTCTTATAGAGTCGATACTTCTGACCACGTAATCTTTGCTTGATAGTATCCTCCGCTACTTTGAGTTGTTTTGCACTAATCCTTCGATGATGGTCGGTCATCCGTAACCCGTAATCCCCCCATACAACCGTTGTTCCTTTAACCGAACCGCCAGTGGCCACCCTTGCCCGTCCCTTCATCATCTTATCCTTGCGGTTCAAATCTGGCTCCAGCCAGCTACCGGCCATCGATGCGGTGGCGGAAAAAAACCGGACATTTTGACGGCATTGAATCTTTTCGGATGCAATCGAGATATTAGGTTTTATTGATGGTCGCGCAGTCGGAATATGGGATATTCTAAGCGACCTAAATGCGCTGGCAAGACAGGACGAGCCATTGGGAGGCATTTTGACGGCTTAATTGGCGAAAACTGTGGTCGCCGTGGTCACTATTGTCTGACTTCGCAGCTCTAGAGATTTCAAAGGTTAAAGACAAAAAGCTCCACCACAGCTAAAGGCGGGCTGTTAGCCGCTTGTGAAGTACCTGTGTACTATATACTTATTAGAAGTATAACATATCAAGGTACCTTCCCCTTCCGCAGCCGTCTTTAGTACTGGGTAACATGGGCTAGCATGCACACGTAGGTATTCATAGGTACCTAGTACTTGCTAGGTACACTGTGATGCCTAGACATGGTGGCCCGTGCACGATTCGCGACTTCCATTAATACTGCATGTCTGTTCAAGGATTAGTCCAGGATGTTGAGCGCGTCATAATTCGCGTCAAGCATTTTAATAGATAATCCGTTTTTCTTGCGAAACACCACCTCCTTTAAGCAACATCCATCTTTTCCCTTGATCCGCAAGGGCATCGTGAACCAAATTGACATGGCGGATATCCGTTCTTTTTTCGGACCTAAGGGTGGTGCTGCAGCACCCTCGAAACCGGCACCAAAGAAAGTGAAAGCAGAGGAAGATTCTAATAAGAGACGTAACAGTGTGTGCCACTCGGCTTTCCATCATGACCACGCTAATGACAATTACCAGAAGTACGAAAGATTGTAGAGGATAGTGATGAGGATGAAAAGTTGGTTGAGTAAGTAGAGATCTTATGATCCAACCAGCATATTAACTATGTAGGAGCTAATCTAGTTGTTAAGGACGAAGAAATTAGCAACTAGGTCTTCTCCAAGAAAGAAGCCGGTGTAAGTAAAATTTCTATCCCGATTCAAAGGCCAAACGCTTACTAACATGTAATCTAGTGTTAATGATGAGAAGGTTCAGGGGACAGCTACAACAGCAAGTGAATATTTCGCTTCAAGCAAGTCAAAGAATCAACCAGCTGCAAAGCCCGATGCCAAGCCACAGCCAAAACCTAAAGCCGAAGTACGGTCGAGTCCCAGAAACAAGAAGACTATTACGAACGATACTACTACAGCCGCGAGCAAGAATAACGATACCAAACCGAAGAATCGTTCTTCAACTAAGCCCAAGCCACAATACCTAGAAGATGAGGATGATGCTTTCGTGGATGACGATGAAGATGCAGGGGATGACATTTTCGCTGCGGATGCAAGGGGTCGAAACAAAAGAAAAAACGATGACTATGTTGAGGAAGATAGTGAAGAAGATTTTCTACCGAAACCTAAAAGGATTGCTTCTCGTAGCAAACCAGCCCGCCAAGATGAGAAACCTAGTGCATTGAAACCTGCCAAAAATGGCGGAGCTTCTTCAGCTAAGAAGAGAAAGACACCTGATGCTGCATCGAGCGAAGAAGACGATGATGAGGATGAACCTTTGCCTCATAAGAAGCCGGTAGCGAAGAAGCCTAGGGCCCCGAGAGCAAAGAAGGCGGAGGAATCGGAATCTACAGAGATTCAAGCAATCTTAGATGATATCCCCATGGTTAGACCACCAACACCACCAGCCAAAGACCCGGATGCCAAGTTTGACTGGAGGAAGGCAGGGGGAGGTAATTCTGGCCCGGCACCAAATCCGATTGCTGAGATGCCTGAAGGAGAGGAAGATTGTCTTGCTGGCCTGACGTTTGTTTTCACCGGCCAATTATCCACTATTGCACGCGAGGAAGCCCAGGCCCTGGTGAAGCGATACGGAGGAAAAATTACCGGCGCCCCAAGCAGCAAAACTAGCTATGTAGTTTTAGGTGAAGACGCCGGTCCCAGCAAGCTTGCTAAGATTCGCCAGTATGGTACGAAGACTATCAACGAAGAGGGCTTATTTCAGCTTATCCGTCGCCTACCAGCCGGTGGCGGTTCTGGCAAAGGTGCAGAGAAGATCCGAGAAAAGAGAAAACTTGAGGAAGAAAAAGCCAAACAGCAAGCCGTGGAGATGGAGCGGGAGGAAAAGGCTCGAAAGGCGGAAGCAGAGAAAGCGCGAAAGGCTGCCGTCGCACGCGGCGCTGGCGGCGCTGCTCCGACCCCCCCAGCTCCCCTTTCTCAACTTTGGACGGTGAAGTATGCCCCGACCCAGCCAAACCATATCTGTGGCAATAAGGCGGCTGTCGAGAAGATCCAGAACTGGCTGAAAAACTGGCCTAAGCATCGTAAATACAACTTCCAAAAGCGAGGTGCGGATGGCATGGGCGGTGCTCGTGCTATCATTGTCTCCGGTCCCCCCGGCATCGGCAAGACAACGGCAGCGCACCTAGCCGCCAAGCTCGAAGGATATGACGTTTTAGAGAGCAACGCCAGCGACACGCGTAGCAAAAAGCTTGTGGAATCAGGTGTAAGCGAGGTTATGAATAACACGTCTCTGCTTGGTTTCTTTGCTGGGGATGGAAAGAAGATCGATAAAGAAAAGAAGAATATCGTTCTTGTCATGGATGAAGTCGATGGCATGTCCGCTGGCGACCGCGGAGGCGTTGGCGCCCTTGCGAAGTTCTGCAAAAAGACCGAAGTACCTCTTATTCTGATCTGCAACGAGCGAAAATTGCAGAAGATGAAACCCTTCGATTTTGTGGCATTCGACGTCAAGTTCCAACGACCAACCGTTGACCAGATCCGATCCCGAATGATGACTATCTGCCATCGAGAACAGTTGAAGCTACCTCCGCAAGTTCTCGATGCCCTTGTCGAAGGTAGTAACCGGGATATCAGACAGATCATCAATATGTTATCCACAATCAAGCTAGACCAGATGTCGATGGACCAGTCGTCGAGGGACAAATCGTCGATAGACTTTAATAAGGGCAAGAATATGTCAAAGGCTTGGGAGAAGTCGATTGTGCTAAAGCCGTGGGACATCTGCCAGAAGATGCTCGGTGGCGGACTCTTCTCTCCGGCTAGCAAGGCCACCCTCAATGATAAGATTGAGCTCTACTTCAACGATCACGAATTTAGCTACTTGATGATACAAGAGAACTACCTTCGAACAAAACCAGCCGTCCTGAACGCGAACCAATACAATAAACGCGAGCAAAACCTAAAGGCCCTAGAAATGGTCGATAAGGCAGCCGAGAGCATCAGCGACGGTGACCTAGTAGACGGAATGATTCACGGCCCGCAGCAACACTGGGGTTTGATGCCCACTCATGCAATCTTCAGCACAGTCCGACCGGCTAGCTTCGTAGCCGGCCAACTGATAGGATCGAACTTCACCTCATGGCTTGGCAACAACAGTAAATTCAACAAGCTGGGTAGATATATCCGCGAAGTTCATTCGCACATGCGACTCAGGTCTTCCGGTGACCATCACGAGATTCGTCAGCAGTACCTACCAGTGCTCTGGACACGGCTCATAAAGAGACTCGCCGACGAGGGCAAAGAGTCCGTCGAGGAAGTCATCGAACTTATGGATAGCTACTTTCTCACAAGAGAAGACTTCGATTCCATCAAAGAGCTAGGCGTCGGCCCACAAGACGAAGAGCACATCGATATCGACACCCAGACTAAAGCGACTTTTACTAGATTGTAAGTGGAAAATGGATTAGAAATTAATTTCCAGGCTAATATGCACAGGTACAACGTAATGTCCCACCCAATTCCCTTCATGAAAGCCAGCAACAGTGTAGCGGCTCCGAAGGCTGCCGCAAAAGACAAACCAGATCTCGAGGAGGCAATGGATGACGAAGATGATGATATAGAGGCGGCCGAAGCTGCAGATGCTATTGATGACGACGATGGTAATATTGAAAAGGATAAATATATCAAAAAGCCAAAGGCAAAGAGGGGTGGAAAGAAAACTGCTAAGGCTGATGATGAGGAGGGAAAACCAACGAAGGGGCGTAAGGGTAAGGCTACTGGAGGGAAGGGCAAGGCAAAAAAGTGAGAACCCTACCACAAATGAACGCCTAACAATGTCATATTTTGCTATCGATATTTATTAGATCTCGGGTGAGCATGCATATTGGACGATGAAGGCGATAATACACCGATGTTTTCGAGATCATGAATTAAGGGGTAAAGGAACTTTTAAAAAAAAACCTCACCTAAGGAGTGATCATTCCATACTACATATATATACCTAGGTATATATACATGGAGGTATGTGTTTTATACTAGTTACCGTATCCTACGAGCCATGCCATTCATTAGGAGAATTACGTTAAGAAAGTACAGGTGTGCTATTGTCGACGCTATAATGTGATTGTTAACACCTAATACCTGAAAAGAAATTCATACATGCACTGTGTGTATTTCGCGATATGTTGACGTTGGTTGCTTTGCAGCATTGTCTAGGTACCTTGTATTTGGTTGAGTCATTAACTTGCACGTGTTATGAGCCAATCGCTTTCTGCCCTAAGTTACCGCGTACTAGGACAGTCGTGAGAGTTTTTGGTGGTTACTATATACGAAAATAAATATTCTCGTTTCTGTCCTTCTCTTCCCTTTCCCCCCCACGCCATATTTCCCTCTTTTTTCTTTTTCTTTCGTTCACTTTTAGTGAACGAAGAAAATTGAAAACACCGATAATCATATCCTAAATTTTCTTCTACCACTTCTAACGATGGCGCCCACGTCCCCCCCCAAGCCTGTCGCCCCCCGAGATGGAGCATCGTCTGGTAAGATTCCCTTGAAAACGATTTTCTATAAACAATGCAAATTTATTGACACACTCGTGCAGCAACCCACTATTTTAGTAGTCGGGCCCATGTAGAAGTTCGAGAGGATTATATGCGTGGAAATATGAGATTTTACACAAACCTTGATCCAACCAAACCACTTGTTGATACCGGATACTTGCCCACCAAGAAATCAACAGCGGCAGAAGCAATGGAGTCCAAGATGGCTCCCAAGATGGATCCCAAGAAAGACACCAAGAAGGAGGCTGAGAAGCAGGAGACTATTCCCCTCCCGCTGAGCTTCATCCGCACTTATTCGGCAATGCGAGGTCCTGTGGCAGGCCAAGAGGGTTATCCTCTGGCGGAGTTGATGCACCAGTACGTTTTTTTATACATATATCTCACTTGTTTTCCTTGATCATGAAGATATTTCTATTATTGATACATAACTAATAATTACATCCAATAGACAACCCGCTTACAGCCGCACCGAGGTACAGCATTTGGAAGAGATTCCCATCGAAGAACGTGCCAACATCCCTAGTCACCCCGGTTGGGATAACGATCCTGACGACGTAGAAGGTACCGCCCCCAGTGCTCACATCACGCCGGAAGCCTTTCTTGCCTTCTCTCGAGGTGCTCAGCGTTGGAACCGAGATGATATCAAGGATCCCAAGGATGTAAGTATTTCCCCCCTCTTCCCTGCCCTTCCTCTCTTTCCACCTTCACTTATGCCACCACTCCATTTATTACTTACTTGCTAACTGAAATAGGTTCTCTCTACGCAGACCCGTGTTCGCCCCGAGACTGCCCTCCCTATCCGCGGTGACAAGTTCCCTCACTACATTTACCAGGCCAAGTCACAGGCCGACAAGATCACTGGCGAGCCGTTCACCCCTCAGTACGAGGTCCCTACTAGCCCATCTATTGTCTACACTCCGCCTGGCGTGCCCGATATGCCGGTTAAGACGGCCACTTTCCTGAGCCTCTTCTCTCGCATGCACCCTACTCCCCGTGCTATCATGGACATGCCCACTACTAGCTCCAATGAGCATTATACTCAGGTAAGTACAAACTCTCAACATCCATTCCCGCGGCCAAGATGAAAAAAAAAAACATAAAAATAAAAGGCCTATTATATTAAGCTATTATACAATTACTAACACACACCCCACCAGTCCGACGTCCAACGCGTCGTCCAAGCCAATGTCAACAGCGCCCTCCCCGGCCCCGAAATCGTAGCCGCGCACGACGCCTATCTCGAAAGCCAGCTGCGCATCGTCGCGCAAGTAGAAGAGCAGGAGAAAGAACAAATGGCCATCATCGAAGCGCAGCGCCAGTACATCGAGAAGCTGGAAACCGAGCACCACATCCTTCGACACACCTACATCCCGATCCTGCACTTCCGCAAGCAGGTCCTCGACAAGGCGCGTCAGGACGCCAAAGACCGCGCTAAAGCGGCCGCTGACGAGGCCGTGAAGAAGGCAATGGAAGAGTCGAAACGCCGTGCTGATCGCGATGAACGCATCCGCGAACATATGGTTGGTCTGGTGCTGGATATCCGTGTGAAGTACGATGCCGCTGTGATGCGCATTAATGAGTCCCTGGGCAAGCGCATGGCGCAGGAAGAGGCGATCAAGCGCCTCGAGCAGGATATCTCTGAGGAATGTCTGATCGTTGGCAAGAGCTCCTTCGAAGAGGTCTACGACGCTGTTAACCAGGCTGTGCCGAAGCCCCAGACTTCGTCTTCGGGTGGTAGCGCGGGCACTGGTCTTGAGATCGCTGGTTTGACGCTCCGCTCGCCTGTCTCGGTCTTCGAACCCGCCACTACCGCTGCTGCTACTGCGGCTGAGGCTCCGTGTGACCAGGTGCCCAGTGACGATATTTACAATGCGAGCCCGGTCCGCTATGAGAAGAGCCCGATTAAGCGCAACCAGAGCCCCAAGGGCAAGTGGGTTGTTCGCGATGGTTGCGAGTTCGATCTTACTTTCGCTCATTCTACCGCGTGCTCCAACAGCATGACTTACTTAGGCGATGACGACGAAGACGATGCTGATCGCAAGGACAAGGATGAACAGCAGAAGGAGGAACAAGGCGATTCTTCGCGATATGCCCATGAAGAGGCCGGTGAGAGCTCCAAGCAAGGAGACAAGTCCTCTTAGGCTTGTCCCATTAACTTACTTATATCTATCTTGCGACGAGGATCCCGTTTATACGAAGATCCCATTTGTCGAGTACGCATTTAGAGTGTGTACCCCCGGATGACACCAATACGTCGCCTATCGTTTCGGAGTTTTCGAGGTTCGCGAAAGTTACTATACTACGACATACATCACGACTAGTCGAGCACACATGGGTCATAATGTGTAGCCACCCATGATACGGACAGATTCTCAGACACACGCTGGACTATACAGCATGTGCTGCTGATCCGACATTTCCTCTTTCTATACCAACGATTACCATTTCTGGCCCGTTGGACCCGGGTTATGACTGGCCCTGACTGTTCATCGAACGTCTAATACAGCTCAATATAGGATGTGACTCTCCTTGACTACGTCTAAAGCAGCGGGGCAACTTTTGTACATTGCTCTCTTCATGTACACTAGTTATTCCCCCCATTTCATCGGACATTAGGTCTGTTTCTGAATGCAGTTGATTCTCCTAAACTCTTATAATACCTTCTAGTTCCCCGTGATTTGCAGTAGTAGAGTATTTAATTTCACCGTTGTAATTATAGGTGCTAGTCTTAGGTATTACACAGTATGTACACAGCAGGGCAAGAAGTCCGCGGCAGCAATCCTAATCGCCAGTAGTTCCGTAAAAAATATTTATCAGGTATTCAACGGTCCCCTTGGAATTTAGAGTCACAAGTCGGCCTCTGTTCTAACCCCGGTACCCTCCATATACGGCCTTCGGGAACTTGTAGCTATTCTCCGCGTCAAATAACTCGTACGTGTAGCTGTTATACTCAGCCTTCATCGTGGCGGCGTCGATCTCGCTCCTCGTGCCCTGATCAGCAACCCGCTTAGCGGTGAATAAGATACCGTAGTCGTCTATGTAGACCTCGATCATGCCGTCTCCTAGGAACTTGATCCATCCGCCGTGGCCATTCCCAAACGTGATCTTTCCCGGTGCTTCCTCTCTGCCGCGCCAGTTAAACTTGAGGGCATCGCGGGAGGATTGGTAGGGCCGGGTTTGGAGCCTGATAATGCCGTGCATAATGGGGAAGTTGAAGGAGCCCCAGAGTTGGCTTCCACTCAGCGTTAGGACTATGAAACTCTCATCAAGGCCTTCCTTTAGCAGTATCGACTCGTTAGAGCTGACAACGACGTAGCGTCCATTTAGGAGACCCAATGGCTTTAGTTCGTCTCTGTCCTGGTCCTCATCCTCATCCTCATCCTTGACAACGGAAGAACCGTATTTACCGGAACGTTTGGGATTGTTAATATCCGTATTCCCGTTATATTCCACATCCCGCGCACGGCCTTGGCTGGAGTGGGCGGTTTGGATAGGCCGCGGTGCAACCGGGCTGGGTGAGGGGGCAGGAACACTGTTGCGACCGGGGCCTTGATGAAGCGCTCCACGACCGCGGGGTGCACGGCCTCTGGCAGTGGGAGTGGAAGGAGCAGAGGCGGAAGATGAAGGCGCTGCTGAGGTTGCTTTCTTCTTGGAAGATGCCGGGGCTGCTTTAGCAGTAGTCGTCTTGGTCTTTTTGGCCGAACTGTTGGCCGAAACTGTTATGTTGATACCACCGACGTTCAGGGTCAGATCAACGGTATCGGCGCCGGCCTTGCGCTTGGTAGACTTGGTTGTAGGCGTGGATGTGTCTTTAAGAGCCTTCTTGGCCTCACGCTCGTTCTTCGTCCATTCCTTCTTGAGCTCGGATTCCAGCTTCTTGATGTGAGAGGGAACGGCGAGTTTACCTCCGTTGACAGCATCAAATAGGCGCATACGAGCTACGGCCTTAGTTTTTGAGGACTGTAAGCCGTAGTGGATACATTGAGCCTCGAACCAATGAGCTGGATGGTCCTTGTCGGAGCCAGATTTGAAATGGTCCTTAAGCTCCGTTACTGTCGCACGGCGATGGCGATTGAGACCGCTAGCCTCGGCGAATAAGTCTCCGGCATAGGAGAACCCATCCTTCGAGATAGCCGGTGCTAGCGACATGATTGCGTGTTATTTTTTTTTAGGCTCGTATTTATTTGGTGAGCCTCCAAAGAAAAGAAAAAGAAAGAGAAAACGAAAGTAAATGAAGAAGAAAATAAAATGAAGTTAAAACTAAGTTCGCTGTCGTTCTGGTTTAGTGGCTTAAGCGTTTGCCTAGGTACCCCAATTGGTCTGTGCTCTCACAGTCAATCAGATCACTACAACATGTATGTACTACTATGTACACAGTAGTATTTAACTTTGCTATTGGAAGCTTCGGTTGATACGGCGATATAACTGTGCTATCCATCAGGTCATTAAGGTACTTTTGGTTGTCACTGGTGATCAAATGTTTAGAACGTTTTACTGTGTATGCGTTAGCATGTTTGATCCGGGTCTCCATGGGAATCAATATAATTACGACCCTAGTACATTAACCACATGGATATCTGTGTTCGAAGGTCGCTTGCGTATCTCGAATGTCGGATATGACGAGGATATATTCATTAGATTCCTAGGTAGGCCGCTTTCGTCCTTATTGTGCAAACCCGCTCCGCACATCGTAAACCCCCCTAGAACCCTGAACCCTGAACCCTGTATAGATCGAGAAGCTGTTTGATATCAACAGCCATGCCATATCATACGTACTATGCAAGTAGTCATCTCCGCCGGCCGCCTTTTCGTGAGAGGAGCATTTTTATATACATTACCCAACGCCGATCTCATCGTGATGGTGGTGTACAAGGTCTTTTTGGTAATATTATACAGTGATGATGATGGTGGTGGTGGTGGTGATGGTGATAGTGGGCGATAGATCGTGATCATGATCATTCAAGTCGTCAGGCCGTTTATTGGCTCTTTACTACGCCAACCTTGGCCGCTCGAAGTACCCTTCCGTTCAACTTGAATCCCTTCTGTTGGACATGAAAGACCGTGTTGTCTTCCTTGCCGGGCATCGGAGTCATGAAGGTCGCCTCATGCTCATTAGGATTAAACTTCTCTCCCTCGGGGCTGAACCTCTCCAAGCCATGCTTCTGTAAGGTCTGTAGCATGTTGGTTTCGGTCATCTTGACACCTTCATAGAAGTTCATTAGATCCTCGTTCTTGTTCTCTTCGTCAGCTGACTTGATCTTCTCTTGGCCCATTATCAAAGCCCGATCAAGATTGTCGACACTATCTACTAGGTCTTTGGCGAATTTCTGGATGGCGAAGTCGCGTGCTGACTTCATCTCCCTCTGTGTTCGATCTTGAAGGTTGCGAAAGTCCGCTACTGACCGAAGGAACTTGTCCTATATAGAATGTTAGACTTTAGCCTCAGTTTTATTGTGTTGCGCATTTGGTGCGCCTACCTTCCAGTCAATGGCTTCCTTCTCTTTAGCTTCTAGCTTCTTCCTGAGCTCGGCTTCAACGTCCGACGGCGCATTGGAGCTTTCATCCTTTTCAGCCTTCTTGGTCTCTTTGGCCTCTGTTTGAGCAGCAGGTTCCTCGCCATCCTTCTTAGCTGTCGTCTCTGTCTGGTCACTATACCATCTTAGACTTGGGATGAATGCGGATTGTAGGGAGGTTGAAGGTGCCGGAGAAAATTGTGTCCGTAATAGAGGTTGTCGCACAATTGTTCTTGAGCTGGACGATATAGCTCGGGACGACCTAGAAATAACTTGTTTTAACATGATGTCGGATTGGAGGTGTGTGACTGTTAAGAGGTCAAGAGGAGAAGTTGGAAAGTCGTGTGATTCTGTTTGTGAACAGTGTTTAAAGCCTCGTACTATGTACAAGATGGAGGCGATACAAATAATTTTTTGGTTTAGCGGAGCTGTGTCTAGGTATTGGCCCGCTCTCCCGCATTGGCATCCTGGTCTAAGCGGTGTCACTTGCCGGCAGAGTATTGACGGCTGGCGGTGGTCGCTGCTTGTTGGTGGGGTACTGCCTAGCGTCACCGCCCTGTGCGACCTCCGCCCAAGTCTATTTAATCTCAGTTCTCCCCATCACTTTTTTTCTTTTCTTTCCTTTCTTCTTCAGCTCTCTTTGCCTTTTGGCTTAGATCAAGTGTAGTATCTGTTCTTTTCAGTTTAATCTCTGAAAGAGTCCTACTTGGACTCAATCGTGATTATTCTTATTTTTGTACCTAGAGAGCGCATCCTCTGTGCTTGCGCATGATCGCTCTCACTGTGTCCCTGGTATTACACTGCCTCCAGGTGACGCGAATTTTTCATTGCTATCTCTAGCTTGTCTAGGGTTACGAAGAAGATCCATTAGTAGTGATAAAGTGTAAATATTCATATTATGCAGATGCTGTGTCTCCAATCTAGATTTTGGCCTGTTCCTATCAACATATTACCTATTCGTAGCCAGTGTCTTTTGAAATGGCTTCCTAGAGATGGCGAGGGATGTTTGACTGATCCTCAGTGAGCCGACCAAATAATCTTTTAAGAGCATCGCAAGGGCATATTTTATAGTATCACCAATGATACAAGTAGCCAATCTGCAAATCTATCCATTCATCTCCATTCAATTTCGATACCACGAATAAATTCCATTCACCACTGATCGATTCCCTGTGAGCTGGACTTGACACCTCCCCACCAACGTCATTTTGTGGTACGTACCATGTCCCTTGCAGGTCTTTCCCACATAGCGCTAGTACAGGATAGGTTAGCGCATTGTATTCTACGCAAGGCCCACCTACCGTAGCTGGTGTCTTCTTGAGATCTTTCAGCCTTGGAAACATTTGGACTTTGTAATCTTCCTTGTTCAACAACAATCACATCCAAAAGAGCGAACCACCCCACTTGATCTTCGCATCGCGAATTCGTCAAAATAACGCCGCTCTTTCAATTTTTTCTGCATACATCTATATCCACATTAAACCACGTCACCACAGCGAGTCGCGCTGTGTTCTTGTCACGATGGAGTACGACCACATGATGGATGGCGACTTCAAAGATGACTTTGGACCCAAGGTGCAAGTGTCTGCGGTAGGTGGTTTTGTTGTCGTTCTCTCTAGGACTTCGCGTTGATAATTGTATAATATAGGTTGACGAAATTCATGTCGATTTCGAGCTGAGTAACGTCGACCTGTCGCTTGCCAATGGTCTCCGTCGCGTCATGCATGCGGAAGTTCCCACCGTTGCTATCGATCTAGTCGAGATTGAAGTCAACAGCTCTGTTCTTGCCGATGAATTTATCTCCCACCGACTCGGACTTATTCCTCTCAACTCGAGCAATATCGATCAACTCAACTACTCGCGAGATTGTGACTGTGACCAGCACTGTGAACGATGCAGTATTATTCTCGATCTACATGCGAAGTGCACTACGGACGATATTATGAAGGTCTATGCTAGAGATTTGTTGGCTCGTAGTGAGAGACCTAACAATCTTATTGGCAACCCTGTCATCACCGACCCAGATCACCTGGGCTCATTGATATGCAAGCTACGTAAAGGCCAAGAGCTCAAGCTCACCTGTATCGCCAAGAAGGGCATTGCGAAAGAGCACGCCAAATGGTCTCCAACTGCTGCCATTGGCTTCGAATATGACCCTCACAACAATCTTCACCACATCGATCTCTGGCACGAGGACCCGGAGAATGTCCAAGCCGAATGGTTAGTTTTTTGGCCTCCTTCAGTCTTCTGTTTGCTTTGTCAGATATTAATTCCTTCAATAGGCCGAAGTCGAAATACGCGGAGCTCGAAGAACCCCTCGGTGATAATGAAGTCTTCGACTACGATGCAGTTCCGTCACGATTCTACTTTGAGGTTGAGGGCATTGGCAACATATCTTCTGATACTATTGTTTTAGAGGGTGTCAAAGAGATCCAACGTAAACTGGCCGGGCTTATCCACGGACTTGGCGAGAGTGATGGCATGAACGGTGATTATGATGGCCCCCGAAGCCCCGATGCGATGGATGGAGGCGCGAACTACTTAGACCAAGGCTATACCACTCCTTACGGTAACACCGGAGGTACTAGCGCTTGGGGTGGTGGCGCAACGGCTTATGGAACGACGCCGTATGGCAACTCTGGCTCGAGCGGATGGAATTAAGTGACAGGCTTACCTTGGATGAATTCGGCACATCTAGAGGCAGTGGCAGTATCAGGCCACTCGCACGATATGGACAGGCGACTCCTTATCAATTTTGAGTGTTGGTTCTCGTGAGGTTGGGTTTCTGATTTCATTGCATGGTACGGAGTTTAGGAGACACTTAAGTCTATGGGAAAAGGATTTGCATGCATGATACTTATAATTCTTCACGTGGCAATTACACATCCTCGAGGAACAGCACAGCCCAAGAAGGGCTACATAATGCAAATCATATAATATAAAGGGCTGTTCGCTTAGTCTGCTGCTGTCTAGCTACAAGTATCATGCCGCCCAAACGCCTGTGGTCATGCAGAAAGCCCTCATTCTAAAACGCCATTGTTCCAAGGTATAATCTCTATATCCAGTCCTTTCTATTAGTGCTGTATCGAGAGTTGGTCTGTAAGCAGGTAAGGTAACATCCAAGAGAAGCTCAGTCTTCCAGCCCCTTGAATTTTCTATAACCCTTGCGGTGTGCCTCTAGGAATAAGAATGTACATATCGTTTGTCTATCCTGCTGTTAGCAACTAACCAATATTCTAATAATGTGAGTGAGCAAAGTGGGTGGAACTTACGGTCCTAACCTCAAAAAGGCAGGCACCCATCCCTTGAACATCCACGTCACGCCCTCCTTAGCGTAGATCTCGCGCAGCAGATGGGCGATCCCTTGCTCGTGGCTCGTGCTCATCACTCGGCTCTTGATGACGTCGACGGGAGAGCAGACGGTAGTAGCGACGAAGCCGGCGATCAATGAGCTAGCGAAGTGTGTGGTAGTGGTGTCGCCGAGGGGCGTGTAGGTAATCAGGAAGGACTTGAAGGTATCGTAACTGGCTAGCTGGCTGGCATTCATGAGCGCAGCGCGCGTACTGTTGGGCAATACGCCGCGGAACCAACTCTTCACACCCTCCTCACGCAGCATGCGGAACATCCCGTCTAGTCCGTGCTTGTATCCCCTCCGTTGGGCGGGCGGGAGCGCCAAGTCTTGCTGCATCCGCACGTTAGTCACATCGGCCGCGTTGCCCGATATGCCGCCGAGGAAACCGGAGAAGGTGGAGAGCCCGATCAGGAGCGGCAAGGACGGCTTTGTGCCCTCGGGTGTCGATCGCCGCTTCAGCTCTTCATATACTCCGAAACGTACTGTAGAGTACGTCATTTGACGAAGGAGCGAGGCCGTCAGCCCATTATAAAGACCGAGCGGCCCTTGCGAGCGTACAATGTGCATGAAGGTCCCGCTCATATTCTTGGGGGCATCGCCAGACCGCAGTTGCAGCCGCACCTTGACTACACATCAGGACTGGTTAGCCGCCGGTGAAGCGGTGAGGTATCCTCGACCAGGCTGAAAACCGGAGATGGGAGAAAACAGAAAATTCTCAACATACCGAGATCGAGCGGGTGCGTGACGCATGCAGCGAAGCTGCTCGCGCTGCCTCCGAACCAGAAGGGATATGAGATCCGCTCATGTGCCAATGCCGCTTTCTTCTTCTCCAGATTCTTGGGCTTGGCGGCCGCGGAGTTGGTTGCGGCGACTACCGGAGACTCATTGGAGGTCCGGGGAGTGGTAACGGACTCCATCTTTCTGCTGGGAAGGGTTACACTAGACGAAAGTGGCGTAGGTAGAATGTTGAGTGGACAAAAAGCACCATCCCTATGCCTCTCTGCTCTGCTTACTGTTTTTTTCTGTTCTGCCTATATAGACGATCGAAAAGAGTAATATAGTAAGGAATATTGTATAGGTAGTAGGAGGTCCATGTATACTTCACCTACCAAATACAGCGAGCCCAAGACATAAAGAATGGTGCAATTGTTAATCCAGCTCGGAGGAAAAGTTGGCGGCTAACCTGACGGCATGTATTTTTCGAGTCATCCAAAAGGATTGAAAGAGATAAAACGGCTTCGGCTTAACCGGTTATTATTTTTCGTGCGGCGCTTTTTCGCCCGAGAAAAATTGGGGAATGTCAATGCGCAGCCGTGCTTTTCGGGCGAGTGCGATTCTTTAAGTACCTAGGTACTCTCACCAATTTTTACTTTAGGGTTCCTTCCGCATGCATTGCCGTAAGGTTCTTGCCAAAAGAAGGCGTTTCATTGGTTGATTGTTCAAATGCTATGGACCCAGTACAGCAGATTCTAGGTCCCTGTAGATCATCCCACTTAAAGTTTATGGAATTGGCGGATTTTCATGGTTGCGTGCAAGCTCAAGTGAGAAAAAAGAGCCTCAACGTTTTAAGCATCTCAACTATCAAGCTCTAGCTTCAACGGCGCCGACAACAGCCTGAAGCTATTCGCAACAATGTTGCTGGCAAGACGGCTTTGTACATCATGTCTTCGAGCAAAAAGTGCATCTAGCTCAATTGCTAATAGCTCCAATAGCTACACACCCAATTTCTTACAACGGATAAATAGTAGCAGAGTCTTGTCGCGAGGTGTGTCCAATGAGCATCATGCATCACACCTTATATGCACTTCGAAAGCTGAACTTTCCTAGCTGTCCCAACAGTACAACGCCGAGCGATTTCAACGTCCGAAGATACCATTGAGCTCAATGGCTCTTCATATAAGAAAGACTCCTGGTACAACATACCACAAAATGTCCTCGATAAAATCCCCCGCCGACTCCATCTCCAAAAAGATCACCCCATTTACATAACCCGGCAGATCATCGAATCTGTCTTCCCACCGCCGATCTACACTTACCATAATGAGTTCAATCCGGTTGTCACCACATACCAGAATTTCGACTCTTTAGGTTTCCCTAAGGACCATCCTGGCCGGGCGAAGGGAGATACGTACTACATCAACAGCGATACGCTCCTACGCACACATACAAGCGCGCATCAAGCAGACGTCTTCCGCGCAAACCCCAGCGAAGGTTACCTAATTAGCGCCGACGTGTACCGCCGCGATGAAATCGATAAGAGCCATTACCCCATATTCCACCAGATGGAGGGTGCGCGGTCGTGGGACCGCGCCAAGGTAGCCAATGGGGACATTGCGGCGACTATCTTGTCGGACGTAGAAAAACTGCCGAGCCACCCTATCGAGGTACAAGACCCAAACCCCCCTTTTCACGATGAGAGGAACCCTCGGCAAGAAGCCCATCACTCCCCGGCAGAGGTCGAGGCCATTGCTGCACATCTGAAAAGGTCCCTGGAGCTTATGGTTGTGGAGATATTCTCTCGCGCCAAGGCTGCAGCAGTGGAAGCCGACCCTAATTACTTGGGTGAACCGATTCAAATGCGGTGGGTCGAAGCGTACTTCCCCTTTACTAGTCCCTCCTGGGAACTTGAGGTCTATTATGACGGAGCTTGGCTTGAAGTGCTCGGCTGCGGAGTGGTAAAGCAAGACCTATACATTAATGCAGGTGTACCGAGTCAGCTGGGCTGGGCTTTCGGCATCGGGCTCGAGAGGATCGCCATGTTGCTTTTTAAGATTCCAGATATCCGGCTCTTCTGGTCGCAAGATTGGCGCTGGGACCAACAGTTCAAGGGTGTGTCGGACAACCTAGATTCCTTGAGGCCCTTCATACCGTTCTCCAGGTACCCGGCCTGCTCGAGGGACATATCATTCTGGTTGCCGTCGCCGTCGCCAGAGAGCGGCGATACTGAAGCGGGTGAGTATAAATGGTGCGAAAATGACTTCATGGAGATTCTGCGTAGCGTAGCGGGGGACACGGTCGAAGACGCGAAGTTATTTGACGATTTTACGCATCCTAAAACCGGCAGGAGGAGTGTAGCATACCATATCAACTACCGCAGTCTCACTCGGACCTTGTTGAGTAAAGAAGCAAATGTGCTGCATGAAGAAGTTCAGAGATCTCTAGTAGAGAAACTCGGCGTGGAAATAAGGGGATAGAGATCTTGGATAAAAGATACGAGCTTCAGCTTCAAGAATTTCCACGAAGGAAATTCAGACGAAAATCGACGACATTAGGAATTACGCTGTATGAAGAATACCTATTCATGTTCGACCACACGTGAGACGCTGCGGACGTGTCTAGTAGAAATAAGGTAAACTATACCTATACTAATAAGACACAAAAATGCACTTCTATAAAGGGGCATCATCAAATCGAAAATGTGGTTCAACATGACTTAACACGGTCTTAGCCATTCATATGAAGTTGCTAAGCTTACATACCACGATATATGCATTCGACTATGATAACGGTAGCATATTCAATAAGATGTGTCATCTCGCAAATCAGTCATCCGTGCCTCCTTGGGCTTGGTGGTGGGGATATATTATCCACGTGGCACATACGTCCGATGAGATGGCATACATGAACCAAATGCAATAAGGAAAGATAGTTACCTAGTATCTACCTAGGCAGGTATGTGGTCGCAGCTCAGGCGTTGGCTGACCTGCATATCACCCAGGTCCCAGGTACATACCTACAAGTTGGTAAGTATGGTCAGCGAAGAAATTCATCATGTTTCCTTTTTTCATTTTCCTACACGGATAGTGGCTCACGGGACCCAAGGCGCAAAACACCAAGCCTGCCAGACTAGCAGTGCCCAGACGCCAGAGAACAGGAGGTCAAATAAAAGTTAAAACAGATTGTGCAAATTCTTCCATCAGATCCGGCGTTAGTCCGGGCAGTGCAAAGGCAGACTTTTCCCGAGTGCGGGATAATATCGTCTGACCTCAGTACCCAACACACGAGGGATGAGAAACGGTCTCGTCTCGGGGGATCCGTGTACCAACAAGGTGGTATCACGTGGTAAGATAACAAATGAAGTTGAATTGATGGCTATGTAAGTCAAAATTCAAATGAATTAATTTGTCGAGAGGGAACCATCCGGGGTCATACCAAGATATCCAAGATATTCTGGAATGTGTGACGGAAGCCCGGTGTTACGCCACAGTAACCAAACCTGCCGATCAGACGATCCCGACTCCGGCGCTATGCTAATTCAATGTGGGGGAGAGGCCAACGGGGCTGTGCAAACCCGTCTTTCGCTTCGGAATTCTAGATTGCATTATACCCCAATCATCAATAGTTCTTTTTTACTTCATATTGCGATTCATATTAGGTTTCGACTGGATTGGCGCCGAGATACCATTGACATGACATAGTCTTATCGTGTTTTACTAGACTCTTTGGTAAGTGATGATCGTTTTTGCAAAGGCATAATACCTAGATTTTACAACGGTACAGATGCAATGCGCTGTCACGTTTAACGATTCAGAAGGGGTAGGTATACCCGTGAGAGAACGAAGATAATAATGTAATAAGTCTTTTAAGACATCAAATATTGTTATGACAACGAATTCCCGACTGTACCTGCGTACGGCATTTGATATTCCTATGCGGCCATGTTTATTAAGAATATCCCGACGGCGTTTACATACCTTACCCCTGCCAACGTGACCAGGTAACACACGGTGATTCCCAAAGTACATGTGTAGGTACATATTATGTTTGTTATCATGGATGGATAAATACGATCCTATCATTAATAGCTCCTGGAAGCGAGGTTACGTATAAAGCGAATTTAAAATAACGAGATTAAGTATACTTGTTTCTTATATATATTAGCGCTTATATTAAAATGAAGTTAAAAAATACCGTTTATATGTTAATTTTATTATTTTATATTATAATTTAATTTATTCCCGTATTATATAATTTATTTTTTTTGTTTTAATATTAAAAAATTTAATATAATATCGTATAATATATTATAATTTTATTTAATTATAAAAAATTTAATTATAAAATAAATCGAAAATAAAAATTATTAATAAATAACGTTTAATATATTATTCGTTATTTATAAGTTAATTTAATATTATTTTATCGTTTAAATATATTATTAATATTTTTATTAATACGCGTTTTATTTTAATTATATTATTTTTTTAACGAATTTTTTAAATTTTTAAACGTTATTATATATTTAATAATGTAAATAATTTTTAACGTAAAAAATAATAAATTTAATAAAGTTTAATTTAAAGTTTATTAATAATATATAAATAAATTAAATATCGTTTTTTTTTTTTATTTATATATAAAGTTTTTTTTACGAGTTTTATATATTAAATTTTCATTTTTTAATATAACGAAATTACATTTATTAAAACGTTTTTTAAACGAAAAAAAAAAGTATTAAAACGTTTTAATATATTTTTTTAACGAAATTTTTTCGTTTTTATTATATAATATATAATATTAATAAAATAACGAAATATAATTATATTTAATTATATTAATATAATAAATTAATTTTAAAACTTTCGTTTTAATTTAGCGTTTTTTTTTAAATAATTTTTTTTTTTTTAAATAATTTTTTTATTATATAATTTATTATAAAAATATTTTTTCGTTTTTTTAATAATCGTATTATTTTTTTAACGTAATTAAATAAAAAAAAGTAATAAATTTTATTAAATAAAATAATACGATATTATTACTTTTCGTTATTTTAATATTTAATTTTTTATTTATATTTAATTATAATAATACGTTAAATAATAATATTATTATTTAGTTTTTTTTTTTATTATTTATTTTAAAAATAAAAATTACGATTATTAAAATAACGGCGAATAATTTCGTTCGAAAAAATTTTATTAATTTTTATATTTTTTATTAATTTTTTATATCGTATATAACAAATATATTACTTTACATTTTAATTTTTTATTTATAAATAATTAATAACGAAATTTATTTTTTCGTATGTAAATTTTTATAATACGTTACGTAAATTATAATTTAAACGAAAATTATTATAAAATTATTTAAAATTAAAATTAATATAATTATTTTTAAATTAAATATTATTAATTAAAAAATTTTATACGCGATTTTTATTAAAAATATTTCGATTAATAAATAAATTAACGTTAAATATATTAAATAATTATTTTTAAAAATTATTATTTTTATTATATTAATCGTAAATTTAAAAATAAAAATTAACTTTTTAAATACGAATATATACGAAAATTTAATAAGTAATTTTTTATATTATTACGTTATAACGATTAATTATAAAAATTTAAAAAATTTATAAAACGAAAAAATATTATTATAAAAAATATTTATTAAATTTTAAAATTATATAATTTACCGTCGACGTTTTATTAATAATCGTAATTAAAATATTAATTTTATAATATTTTTTTAATAATTTTAATAAAATAATAAAAAAATAAATTATATAATACGAGAATAAATTAAATTATAATGTAAAATAATAAAATTAATATATAAACGGTATTTTTTAACTTTATTTTACCCGGTTTAAATAACCTTGGAAATTATATAGTAAACAATTTTAATATAAACTTTACGGTTATGGAAAGTTCGACTGGCAGTGTAACGCCTCCGCTCCTTTAGCGTCTTAATTGACCGATTAACAGATTGATCAGTTATCAACTTATATCCATAATACAGTATCAACTCTAAATTTCAAACTATACAACAACCTGACAACTTGTCATGCTACAACCAATAGCATGAAAAACCAAGTACGACAGCATCCATGGATCGAATTTCCACACGACGCCGAGAACGGTAAATGTCCTTGCCGATAAGGTTGATTCTCGTGACAGCACTAGGAATTGTTTGGGTCGATGCTATGAACATCCATCATGATCCATGGCCTAGGTTTGACATAGCAGCATGGCAGCTACCGGTCAGGATGGCTTAGCATCGTTGGGAAATTAAGATTGTTGAATGATCCATCGATGTTGTTAGTCTACCGCAGTCTCCTTACGTACGAAGGTTAACAGTGAAGGGATTCGCTAGTGTAGGATGAGCAGATGAGTACGTGTAGAAAATGATTCAAATGATTGCTGCGGTCAATGGCAATACATGCATGGCGGGCATAGCAGGCATAGGTACCGACTTACAAGCTGCATACGTACCCCCCATGCATAGCCGCCCCCTGTTGCCAGTGGTAACAGCAGCGGCGAACTGGAGCCAGAGGCCAAGTCGATCCGCGGGATAGCGCCAGCTACCAGATAAGTTAGTGGAACCACTGGAGCCATTGGAGTCACTGGGGTATTTTACTGGGTTTACTGTGTGGCACTGTGAATCCACTGAGGCGGTTCGACGTTTCCTTCTGTTTTTTTCTCGCTCAGGCGAAACGGTCCGAGACCAGTCTGCTATTGTCCGCTGCCCGCCGCCCGCCATCTATTCGATTTATTGTACAAGTACCTAAGTACCCAGTACCTATTTCCCACCCACCACATCAACCTAATCGACTTGCATGTGCAGGGCATTTGTTTAGGAATTGTCTCTCTGTGATTTGATTCCACCGCTTTGCGCAGCCACCGACGAGTTAATACATAACTCTACGACACCACCATCTTCTCCTCTCCTTTACATTCTTACAACTACAACCAATTTACTAAAACCTTCAACCACACACGGACTTCAGACTAATACCTACGCTTCCACAGCAACAGTCGCTGATACTGACGTAAACCAACTTAAGGTTCTGTCAGATAAACAACGATAATTCTCCCACCTGAAAGAGAATCTTAGACCGACCTGCCATAGACAATCATGTCCGGGTCTCAATCACCTACGTCTACCCCCTCATCGCCCGCGCGGCCCCTCATGGAACGGCGCGGGTCATCCAGATCTCTATCACTAGATTTCTCCAGCTTACCGCCTCTAACCCAACCAACGCCACCTACAAATACTCTACTTATCACCAACCTAAACGATACTGAGATCTTCCGTCCCGATAACCTACAAACTCTCCGCGAGCTCATGCAAACCACAGCACCCATATATACTTGGTCACCGTTAAAATCCTTCCGCCGCATAATAGTATCATTCTTCGACGAGCAGTCCGCTATTAGGATACGATCAGTATGGGACGGCGAGGCGATCATGGGTGAGCGGTGCAAAGTCTACTTCGGCCAGCCCACTCCCTTAGATCTACACGAGAATGAGCATTTGAAGCTCCCCGATGCCGGAAAGCTGTTTTTCATCAGCCCGCCACCTTCACCGCCTCACGGCTGGGAGATGAAATTGGAGGACGCCCCGAATAAGCTGGTGCACGCCGATGATCTCGCGGAAGCCCTAGCGAAACTACGTCACCAAGCCGCTCCCGCAGACGCTTCACCGATCTCACCAGTCGACGCCGCTATGACATTTAAGAGCAGAAGTAGAAGCAGTACTCTAATCTACCATCCCGAAGAGCACGGCGGTAGCCCGAATCTACCCGCTATATCCGTCGATGACATGACGGACGATCCCATGGAGCTGAGCCCCAAGAACGACGAAGGCCCCATCAAAGCGCATACGGCGCGGCCTCCTGTCGAGCTGATGGAATAGGGTTTCCATGTCTTCATGCTTACGGGGGTCAAAGTCTTGTAAAGAAAAGTGCATATTTCCGTTTACAACCGGGACCAGTTTGGCGTTACGGCAGGGTTAATTATTGGCACGCGAGTCTGGGGTCTGGGTCAAACATTCCGAGGGATTCGTTACGGCATAGCATTGTCCATGAGAGCAATAGAAGCACGCGAGGGATAGAATGGAATGTATTGGGAAAGGGGGTTTTCGTTACATATTGTTGAGATGCCAGAAACGAAGAGTAGCATAGGACGATGAACTATTCGTATTGTACAAAATTCAATAGAGCTCAGAAGTTCGATTAATAGCAAGATGAAGTGTACAAAGCGATTTGCCCGTGTCGACAGCCTCCGGGCGAATGCGTGACGCTAGTGTAACCGAACAGGGTAGGTGTAGATTTCCCTTCAGCCTCCAAGCCACTGCGCCAACTGGCAGGATTCGCATACATTTGTTAGGTAAGTTTCATCTCTCTGTTTCGTTTGACATCCTCCTCGCATCGACTACAACGCCTCGATCAAAATCCACTACTGACTCGTCTGTTGAGTTACGTGTACCTACGAGAGCAACGCCACGATTCATATGGAATGTTTTGACAAAATAGGGGACTTGGCTGTAAGATACATATCGTGACCCACGAGACTGATGATTGCTCTACTTGTTACCTATATACTATCCGCTAACCAACCATGCCACAGCTTTCGCACAACACCACACAGAAGCGCCGACAAAAGCCGCGGACGCGAGCAGTGATACCAAAGCCGTTCGTTCCGCCTTCCCAAGCGTATCCCGCATCACACGAGATGCCGACGCACCGCGCTCCGTCGACGTCTTGGCGAACGAGGGGACGTACTTTATGTTGAACTTCGAGGTATACCCCAGCGCGCCTTTCGACTTGTCCTGGAGCAGGATCTGGTAGAAGGCTTTGCGGACTAGCTGCGAGGAAATGGGTTAGTTCTGATAATGCAGATGCGGATGCGGGTGCGGATGCGTGTGTCCTGGGTCCGGGAGCCCGGGTGTGAGATGGCGCAGACCGCTTGGTCACGCGTACGTGTCGTAAAAAGGTCGTAGGTGCCGAATGCGAACTTATCCGATTTGAAATAGTGGGAGGGGTTGGATGGCCGATGTGCTGTAATGACGAACAGTACCTGGTGCCTCGGCGGTGGGAGTCGGAGTGGGACTGCGACGACACAGCCTCATCACGAGGCTAAAGCGAATCTCGGGAGGCAGAGCCGCTTGGGTAGGTAGGTATAGGTGTTTTATGTTATGTTGTTGTGTTTGTTGAAACTCACCTTGATGTTTCGCTCGTCGAGATACCCGACACTGCGGTTCACGTAGCTAAGCGCCATAAACAGGATGCACTGCCCGAGCACGAGGGCAAAATACCACGGACCCGGTCGGTCGATGGACAAGGCCTCGGACAGCTCTCGCCCGTTGAGCCAATACGTCTGCGCGCACATGAACTCTTTCGAAGCATATGTTGGTGGCTGCCCTTGAAGACCCGTGATGATGTTGTTGGCGAGGTTCGCGGACGCGCGAGTGGGTTTTATCTCGGAGACTAGCAGCGATTCCATCATTCGTCTGGCTGATTCTGGCGTCGATAGCCAGTCGTGCGGCGTCCCCATGAGGTACGCGACGTATCGCCAGAGCGCGAGGTAGTCAGCTGTCTCTTGCCGCCGGAGATATATGCCCTGGCGTTGGAGACCCATCCATAGCACGGTCGCTGAGAACGCGTTGATGGTGCCGATGCAGTCGAGGTCGTTGATCGGGATGCCGAAGGCTTGCATGTCGTAGTACCCTGGACGAGACGCTGCCATCTTCATTACCCGCCGGCGCACTGTCGCGTGCAGCATGCGCACCCGGATCGAGTCTGCGAAGCCGTCACCGCCTGGCTTTATGGACTCTAGGTCACGGGTTACGTTGAGGGTGTGCTGTGTGGTTTCTAGGAGTCGACGTCTGACTACTTCTGCGCTGAAGCCGCCAGTTCGGTCGAGGGTTTCGACGGTTCGGCCGCTTCCCATGCCGCCTAATAGGGATAGGAAGGTTAACTAAAACCTCTATATCAACTAACGTTTCTTGATTGGAACTCTGCTACCGGATTCAGTTCGCTCACAGACGTGATGGCCGGGCCTCCGTATCGGTAGAACACTTTCTGGCCCCTTTCTATCTGTTCCCAGTCAACCCAATCCGGAATGGTATTGACCTCACTCCATAGTCTTTTGGCCTTCTTGTCGGTAGTACCGTGTTGTTTAAGAAGTTCGTAGAGGTCTCTTCTAACTTTCTTCTCTGCTGTTGGCGTCTCATAGTTCTCCTCAGGAACCTCTTTCTTAGGAGGCGGAGAGAGCTCATCTAATCTTTCGACAGCCTCGGTAGCGACGGTGTCGTATGTGCGTATTAGGGGCTCTAGGTCTTTGGATGTTAGATGCTCCGGAGTCCACTTGAATTTCATGCCCCAGTACTCTCTCCAACCGTATTCATTGATGTCTTCATCATTTACTAAGACCATCCTAGGACCTAGGTAGGGTGCTTAGCTTAAGGGAGAATGAGTAGGTACCTTGTTGAATATCTATAGAATATGAAATACGTTCTACAGGTATAAACAGACCTAGAAACAATACATTTTAGGAGGGATAATAAATACTAATTTATGAATGAGTTTATATTATACTGTAGTCTAACACGAAGAGGAGAGGATGTTTTAACCCATTTTATATTACCTACCTAGATAACTCGGTCACTCATGACGAGATACGGTTATTAATGCTTCCAATCTAAAGGATCCTACTCAAAGTTTTACTAAGAGTGATTAAGTTTGAGGGAAGACACCATCACCATCATGAGGCATTGTCAGGAGGTTGACGTAGTTGGCGAGTCAAGTAGCATCGTCCCCCTTTTCTATTTACGTTTTCCCATTTAGCTCTATAACCCCGATATATGAAATTTGGTGGGGTAGAATAATGCATAAATGCATATCTCTCCTAGATATGTATCTTAACCGTTGATTCCCGCATGCGATACCGCTATCAGCGAGTATTGGCTGTGATAAGAGAATTTGGTAGAAAAAAAAAGTTATCAACAATTTTATCTTAACTCAAAGAATCCAGCGCTTGGATAATATCATGAGTTGCTCATGCCGCACGACGTCTTTAAGGGTCTTTATCAAAAGCCTGACGGACTTGCGGCTGTCTCATTCGACTACCAAGGCAACAGGAGCAATCCAACCCCGATATACAAGAACAGTTGGCCTTCGGTCACAATTCATCTTAACCAGGCCATATACTGCCACTGCAGCCCTAGGCTTTCCACGACGATTATCGGCATCGCTAACATGGACCTCATCGTCTTCGCCAACGCCTGCTACTCCTGAAGCCCCAGAACCTAAGAAAAAGAAAAGACACAATCGTGCAGCAGTAAATCAACCTAACAAACGGGTGTTGAATACCTCTCCTCGCAAATATGAGGAGACAGAAAGTAGAGCCGCAATCCTTGAATTGTCGCCTGAGTCGATAGACTCCCTCATCGCAGAGTCAGAAGACGCAGAGTCAGAAGAGTGGTCGCCCCAGGAACGCTTACCTCCCAACCTCAAGTTTGGGTCCACTATCCACGATGAGTCCGAATCGAGCCGCAAACCTATCAGAGAAAGCTCTAGACTGAAGAAGTTGAAGATCATGGGAGGTAAAAGGCGGGAAGAGGTAATGAGCCGTCCTAGAGCCTTCCGGAAGGAACACTGGCGGATACAGAAGGAGGCGCTCAGGCGGAAGTTCCCGGAAGGCTGGAAGCCGCGCAAGCGGCTGTCGCCGGACGCGTTGGAAGGTATCCGCGCTCTGAACGCGCAATACCCTGGCCACTTCACGACGGAGGAGTTGTCGGACCAGTTCTTGGTTTCACCCGAGGCCATTCGTAGGATCCTCAGGACCAACTGGAAACCCTCGGCTGAGGAGGAAGAGGACCGCCACCGACGCTGGTTTGGCCGCGGCAGGAGTATCTGGAGTCAATTGGCGGCTCTAGGTAATAAGCCCCCGCGTATATGGCGCCATGAGAAGGTTGTGAGAGATCATATGTGGCCTAAACGAAAGAATCCAAGGAAGCAGCTGAAGCGGCGGGAGCGGCGGGAAAGGCGAACTTTCGATGAGGAGGTTGCTCAGACCTTTAAGGAGCACCCTCTTGAGAGCGTCGTTGAAGACTCTAACCCGGAGCCCCTCAGAGATGCCAATGAAGAATTCCACCAGAAGATGAAGGAGCGCCCACGCCACCATAAGAAATTCATGAAAGGTCACAGGAGCTTCGACAAGGGTCACAAGAATTTCAATAAAGATCCTAATCGGAAATTCAATAGAGATTCTGGCAGGAAACTCAATATGGACTCTAATAGGGATTTTGTTAGGGAACCCAAGAAGAAGGCAGATAAAGTTCCCGATAACCGGGATGCTTTTGAGAAGGCTTTTGATGCGCGCTTTGACCCGGATTCTGATCGGAAAGCTATTCGGAAGTCTCACTTTTAGTCTTGCTCTGCCCAAGGCTACCACCTATGTAAATAGTTGTATTATACCATCCTGAAAAATTTACCATCTCAGACAAGACGAAGAAACTTGATGAACTACTATCCTTCATTTCATGCTTCTTTGGTTTCGATAAAGATTAGTAGTCTGAAATGGTTCGTGGAATAAGCATAATCGTTCAAAATGATCCCGAGACACTGCCTGCTATATTATAGAGCTTATCGATTATAGTATGTAGATCGATCTTCACGCGTATGTTGCTTATCTAGACATGTCCTAAACCTATGTCGCAATCTTGATCCTATCCCGAAGTATGTATGGTGAAAAGTAGGTGATGGTAAGAATGGCTGATGGTATCCTGGGATGCTAAGAGAAGTGTAATGAAAATCATTGTTTCCATTTCGCGGATTTATCAAAAAAGTAGAAATTTTATACAATAATGCATGATGATAACGCTGGGTAGCACATATGAATATGGAATGTGATTCAATGCGTCTCTCTCTAATGCTTTTGAAGTAACGGTGAGGGTACCATTGCAACCCCTATGAAGGGATACGATAAGACCTGTGTATGAGGTGCTACATAGCATAGATGTGAAGGCATTAAACAATGTTGGAGACTAAGGAAGTCGTTTAATAAAGACAAATCTTGAAGCCTTTACCATGTAGTTCATGATATCTAACGTGATACTATGACGAATTGAGGAACTGACCAACCAGTAGCTAGTGGCTTGGAGCCAAACTATCGGATTCCTAAAGACGAACATGTTCTACATGCCTCGTGGCAATTAGTTCATTCATCCACCGAACAAGCTGACAAGTTAGCGCACGCGTGTCCGCTGTAGGCATAGCAGTGGAATGATTTGCGGATGTGCAGATGTGATGAGAAAAAGTTGTCTGAGGGTCGAGAATTGGTTGGGTTGCGATATTGTTACGATATTCGCGAGACTCCAGGGACACCCCTGTCCTTTCTTACCTCATCGGTTAGAACGGATTGTCGTCCGTGCGGTCCTGCATTACCGAACTTAGTCTAGCTGAGCTAGCCGGGGTCAAGATATGGCGGTAGTTACCGGGATTTTTACAAGGTAGGCACCAAGCTATGGGATAACGATCTATTACGCTAGAAGTTGCTACGGACAAGCTTCTGCAATTCAATTCATTCCAAACAACATCCTGATATCTTTCATGCAAAAGTTTATTTGCCTAGATCTTACATATATCAAAATGCACGATCAGCCGCCGCTCGAAAATAGGGGCAACGACCATTAACAGAGCATACCCTAACATCGGAAGGGTAACAAAAGTCACTTTGGAAAAAGATGGGGAATGAATTGATGTGACGTCCCTGTCGACTTGCAGCCTCGCAGACCTGCATGCGGACTAGGAAAGGGCTAGGAAGCCAGGATTATGATCAGGGTTGAGACCTCTCAGATAAACCCGTCACACCGAAAGGGGTTTAGAGAGATTTGGATGATCCGCAAAAATCCAGGAACGATCCAATGAAAAAACACTTTCGGTTTCTCCCCGTCAACAAACTCACCTATCCTACCAGCCCCCCCAGTCGGTTTTCTCTTTTTCCTCTACGCTGTAGCCGTCCAGTCCTAAGCTGCTGGACTGCTGGAGTGAAAACAAACCAATAAAACCCACATCGAAGAAAGTCTCTGACCATAATCGGTGGTTGGGTTTATGTTCCCACTCGTTATGCTTCGAACCCGATATTCTGCGTCCTTTCATCCACTTTGGCCGCCTCTTCTTTCCATTTGCAAGAGGTCTAAGAGCTGCGACTCGCTGAAAGGATCGTCTTTGCTTTTTGCTTTCAAAGAATAATGGGCATTATGGGCATTATAATGGACATTCTTTACTAGACACCTAACATACCTAGGTGGCCTTATTCTTGACCTCTTGACCTCTTGATCCCTTGACCTATCTTTAGACCCTCTTCGGACGAGGTGTGCGAAGCTCAACAGATTCTCTGCGACTAATAGCCTTTCACCTTTCTCTATTAGGCCTTTGTCTTTCTTCTCCATGAGCTGTTACATGCAATCCTAATAAGACTTCCTCCGGTACTTTCCTTTCACGTCACTGTAAGTTGTGAACAACAATAACTCGCGGTGTAGCTTCCCTAAATTGACATTGTTATAGCATTTGACCCTTGCATCTTTCCTCCTTTTGCGCCTATTGTCTCTTTAAAGTATTCTTATACATCCATACATCTCCTTATTCTCTTACTACCTACCTGGTATACTCTTACAAAGAGGAGACACAAACGCCTTCTTCTCTTGTTATACCGTATTAATTTAGCCTCTTGGCCCGCCCTCTTCGCATTTCTCTTACCCACAAGACTTGATCCAAATCTCCATGACGCTTCACCGCATAGAAATTTCTAGCACTAGCAATATTACTTGAGAAAAGAAAACTTCTTTAGCTCAAAATCCCTTCAGTCCTATATAGCATTCTAAAGAGAGAAAAAATCAATGGCAAAAAGATGGCGTCTACTCCTTCGAATCGGCTAAAATTGACCCCATCGAACTCGCCTTACCTTCCTCACCCTGCTCGAACTCCTCATCGTAGCAGAGCTTCGATAGAACCTCGCCTCTCCCTGAAACGAGTTGTCGGTACTACCTGTGCTTCGCCCACCGGTTTCGACACCGTCAACTCCTTGTTCGCATACATCGCCGGGGGAGCTGTGGTCGTGGTCGATGTCGACGGAGCTGAATATAACCAGCGCTTCTACCGAGCTCGTCCGACCGCCACTCCCATCTACAGTATCCCTCCGCATCCTTACTCTCCCTCGACCCCCACACAGACTCCAAAAGCGAACGACAGCCGAAATAGAGTCTCGTTGCGAGAATCAACTTATGGTTCCCTTGATTGGGCCGAATCTTCTACGTCATCGTCGAAGACGTGGACAAGTCGAGAACGTATCAAGGCCGCAACGTGTTTAGCCCTCAGCAAAGAGGGAAGATTCCTAGCCGTTGGCGAAACTGGCTATGCTCCTCGGGTGCTCATCTTCAACCTCGAAGACAGTTCGTCGGATACCCCGCTCGTGTCCATTAGTGAGCACGGTTTCGGGGTAAAGGCTGTTGCTTGGTCTCCCGACTCCAAATACCTTGCCTCCCTCGGATCTGCGAACGATGGCTTCCTCTACATTTGGAAGATAGACACCAAAACAGGTGCTGCTAAACTGTTTCAGCAAAACAGATGCACATCGTACATTCGTGGCATGATATGGGTGGGGAGCAACCTAATCACCTGTGGCGTACGTCACATAAAAGTGTGGAGGGTTGAGGAGGGCCAATCGCCGTCTCCGGTGAAACAGAAGTTCATTGGAGAACCGAACGCGGCCCCCCAACCACACCAAAAGACGTTGTCCGGTCGGAATGTGTTACTTGGTAACATGATAGACGCTACATTCACGTGCGCCGCCGCTATCGACGATACAAAGGCCATCATATGCTCTGAGACGGGCGATATATGCCTATTCGACGATGCGGACAAGCAGATGAAGTTGACTAATGTCCTCGAAAGTGGATTTGCCATAACCTGTGCAGCGCTACGCGAAAATGTCGTCTATGTTGGTGGCAGATCGGGGGAACTCGTAACCCTGGATTTGCCCTCTTTCCTGGAATGTAATCCAGACTGTCTACGAACGCGCGTAGGCTCATTTGCGGGCCTCTTCGCGATGGGATTTCTTCGTGACAATTTGGTAACTGTCGATACTAAACGCACTATTCACGTTTGGGAGCTCGAACAGGGTCCGGAGACATTAGACTTGAAGTCACCTATCCCAATCTCGGGACACCAAGATCCCATTCTGGGCGTTCATCCTCTCAAGCGCCCGAATGCGCCAGACGCTGATTTTTATAGCTGGTCCGCATCTGGACAGGTCATACTGTGGGATGTTGATGGGCAGATAAAATCCTCTTTTCAAGTGCCACTTGATGAGGCCTATTCCGAGGATGAGCCCGACCTTCTCAACCAACTAAACTTAATTCGAGCCACCGAGGGCGGTAAATTCTTCGTTTCAGGTGATAAATTCGGCGTTGTTAAGATTATTGACTTTTCAACTCGAAAATGTGTGGCATCTATGAAAGCACACGCATCTGATTGCCAGTTTATTACCACCTATGAGGATAAGTCGAAATTTGTTATTGCAACATGCGGCCGAGACCGTACAGCCCAATTATTCCAGAAGTCAACGAATGGAGAATTTGAACATTTCCAGACACTCGAATTCGCCGCCAGAGTGGTCCAAGTACTCGTTCCATCGGCCGATAGGGTGATAACCTGTTCTCTAGATAGAACGTTGCAAATCCACGATCTAGCAACAAAGGATGGCGAGCCAGATGCCATGGCCGCTATTCCCTGCAAAACCCTTCCTCTGAAGGGTACGCCGTCATCCATGACGACAGATACGGATGGAAAGTCGTTATTTGTATCGTTAATGGATCGATCCGTTTCTATATTCGATTTAGAAAGTGGAAAACTTACGAACACATTTAAATGTACCGATGAAACCGGAATCGAATCCGTTGTTTTAGATTCCCTCACTGCCCGATCCGCAAATGAAAAAGAACCAGCTTTCCTTCTGGGTGTCTCGAATACGGATAAATCGATCAGGATATACGACGCCCAATCAGGGACTTTCTTGGATCGTGAATGGGGCCATACGGAGGCTATCAATGGCCTGGCGCTGGTTGAGAGTGACGACAGTAAGCGGAATATTGTGAGTGTCGGGTCTGACGGTACGATAATGATCTGGGAGATGGATTTGCAGGATCCGTCATGGGGTGCTGCTACTCGTGATCCATCTCCGATTAAGGATAGTTCCACCCATACTCGACCTACTCTTCGGCGCGTTCTATCCAAAGCTGAGCTCGCCGAGTTCCAGCGTCCTTCTCCACCCGCCGGACGACGATCGCCCCCGAGGACAATTTCAAAGAGGAGATCCATACTAAATATGTCAGCCGCGTCATCATCTTCTTCAAAAACACCTGTTCCACCTGTTCCACCGCTTCAGACCGGACCAGCGTTGTCAGTTGTTGAGGATACCCCGACTAGGCGACCGTCGCAGGATAGCCGATGTGTTAGTCCCCCAGCTAGTCCCAAGGCGAGAATAAAAAGGCGTCCATCCCTACCAGCTCTCAACTCTACAAAAACTAAAAGCAATAACAATTTGAGAGCCTTTGGATCTCTTAACATGGCTACCGAGCAGGCTTGTCGAACGCTGCGAGCCTATCGGAGGAAGCTGTCTTCTAGCGATACCGTCAGCCAGGATGTATTAGCTGAGTTAGATCAAGAGCTCCGTCTTACCGCAGTTGCGCTAGGTGATCGGGCTACGCGAAGCAAGGCTTTGAGCGACACTATGCTAAACGGCCTGCTCGACCAGTACTCAGAGCGTCTGGTTGCTATGCTCGACGAGAAGCTCCGACTCAATTATCGATCGATTTCAGACCTAGAGCCAGACTCTCCCGGAAAACGCCCTAGCTCGTCGGCGTCTGGGGCGTCTGGGGCATCAGGGGCATCTGGAGCGGCTTCCAGTAGTGATTCGACATAGCTCGAACATTTATTTCACGATATATCTTAGTTCATTTTGTATCTCACAGAATTGCGCAAACTACGTTTTGCGCCGTTGACGCTGGTAACGGGGAAGGTAGGATGAAGGAAGGAAGGATATGTAGTCTTGAGTGACTGCAGGCGTTTCGGACATTCACTTTTCACTCTTTTCGGTTAAAATGTCTAGGAGGAGGTAGACACAATCACGGCGTTAGGATATGAGGATTTGTCATATTATTTTTTATCCGTTTATCGAGTCGCAATCCGTTGGCTTCCACTCAATATGATACCACTTGGCAGGAGAAAAAAAATCGGAGTTATGCGGTAATAGCGCCGTGTGGGGATGTGCGCTCGGTACCTAGGGAAGGGAGGTTGGGGTGACACACAGTGTTGTTGCTGTCAGCTGAAGACGGGAGCTTCCTTGCTTTGTTTAAATCGCATCAATTGACTTTTTGCCCATTTTTATGGGCATCTACTTGTTCAATACTTCGCTTCTGCTCTTTCTGCTTCTTCCGTTTGTACATATGATTCTCGTGAAAGTTGACTTTCGTGCTTCTATTCTACACTGGTTCGATACCTGGGTAGGTAAGTTCCCGTCGGGGTGGAAGGTTGAAATAACATAGGTACCTACACATTAACTACAGCGATCGGAGATCAGGTTGGCTGGTAGGGAGTAGGTAGGTGTAAGTAATCTTAAAAAAGCAGGCCAAGCTCAGTGTGATAACTACCTAGCCAGCCGATATAATTACATGAATTCGACGAGTGAGCCCTATTGGCATACTTCTCTATAAACGGATTGACTAGGTAGACGGGGAGGAGACAGCACAACTCGTCCCATCTGACCATCCATCTCATCATTTCTAAAGCTAGGTTACAAGTATACATATCCATCCATCCATCCATCCGTAGATAAGTATTCTAAAGTATTTCAACTGGGGTGACATTTGCCTCGTGTGTTTTTTGGAGCCCGCCTCGCTGATCCCATAATTTTTGTTCTCTCTCTCGTTCCGCCCGCTTGATCGTTAGTTTGGTTGCTCGTGTGCCTCTTTTTTCTAGCCCATAATAGAACCAAAGTTATCTTATACCAATCGCGCCTCTGAACCCCCCCTCCTCTTTCGTAACATAGATAACGGGATAGATTATACTACAAGACCCTCTTGCTGCGCCTGGTCTCTTTCAAGACGCTCAAGTCCATTACACACTGCGCCGTACACCCTTAACGGGACAGCGACCTCGAAGCTCTCGCAATCCAGATTTTCGGCCGCAACTAGCACAAGCCCGCCCCTCTCATCACGGGAGATCTCCTCTAACAACGGGTGGGGCTGGGCCCCGGCATCCGAATCCGCGATCTCGGGGCCTTCGTTAGCGGACGACGGAACGACAAACTCGATTCGGATCTTCCATTCGAGGCTTAGGCCACTCGTAACGAATTCGGGTGTCGCGCTAATGGGAATGGTGGGATTAAATACTATGCGACGGGCGAAGAGCGTAGCCTCGCTGGAGCTGCCGTAGACCTTGCGCGTGACTCTGTGGACGCTGGCCTCGCTCCTTAGTGCTAGCGTCGGCTCGACGCGCTCCGCGGTCTCTAGGGCTGCATGGATGGCGTAACACGGGATTTCGGCACCAGTGAAGTCGATGGCCATGCTCACCGACTCGCCTAACTTGTATGCGGGACGCGCGAGCATGACGACACCAACGCGTCGGCCGTTCCGAGCTATTTCGAAACGGTTGCTGCTCTGTCCGGAATCGGAGGACAAATTTGAGCGGAGAATAGCGAGGTCTATAGCGTCTTTCGCTGAGGCCGACTCTTCAAAAGCAGATGTACGGCGGGATTGGGGAGCTGTGGCTGTCGGGGATAGAAGTCCGAGACCCCGATGGGGTCGGTCAAGAAGTTCCTCGACATAGCTAAGGAAACCATTGTAAGTAGAACCAGGATGATCAGGTTTATGTCTCTTTGAAGGGACATAAATAACTGATTTATCAAGAGCCTTTACCTTCGCAAGATCGCGAAGAATGATGTACGGAGAAAGTAGATCATGGCCAAGAATCTCGCCGTGGCTATTAACGCTTCCTAAAACGCGGAATGGAATCTCGACTGATCGTACTTGCTGCTCCTTAGTACCACCCGGCCTTTGGGTGCCAATGACCAAGGTATATGAGATCTTTATAGCCTTGCCTCGATGTGTTGGTGGCAGACCTTTTGGAAGTTTGAACGAATATTCGTATGTCCTACTCTCGCCAGGGGCCAGTTGTAAGTCTACGAATAATATTGACTGGGGTGTTGACAATAGGGGAATGGACTTGGTGCTGGCAACACCTCGCATCTGCTTGATACTGCTAAGTTCACCGCCACCAAGAAGTTCTCCGATGGAGTTACCGAGGCTTCCCCAGCCAAACCCGGTCAGAAGCCCACTAGCTCTTTTTGAACTTTCAACGCCAATAACGCCGCCTCCTTGTCCACCTAACACAGCTTTCCGTTTAACTGCCTCGAAGGGACCCAAGTTAATGAGCGATCCGTCGAGGGTGAAGGAACCTTGTACTTGCGCATACCCCATCATCAAGGACTCGGGTAGTCGCGCCTGACTTATACTTAATAAACCAGAGCCTCGTCGTAGATGGGCTGGTCTGCGTCCGCCATGTAGTGGTTGCGTCACATACTCCGACGCTAGTGTCTCGGATGAGTTATTGCTCAGTGAATAGAACTCGCCACTACTTCTAGGAGTTCCACCGGCAATACTGGCTGCAGACAGTATCCGTGCTGCGGCGGGGACTGGTTGTTCGGTAATGGTGGGTATTGGGTCCTTTGAGCGCACTGGAAGACTGACCACCCCACCCGTACCAGATCCAGGCGCTGACAAATAATCAACCGGCTGGGAACTCGGCGAGATACCGTCGGTTGATTGTGGCGACGGCGTCATGGGAAATTTAAATTCCGGCATCACCCCGGGGCTTCTTTTGGGCGGATGTGAGCCATTAAAGCCAGGTGTGTTCGGCACGGTCGAGGCTCCCGATGCGCGACCAAATCCGTGCTTGGTTGGTGGAAAGGAGTTATACAAGGGTGAGGATTCCGAACCGAAAGGTCGTCTACTTGGCAAAGCCGCTGACTGTGGGCCATTTATGAGACCACCTCTTGGTGATATCTGTAAGCTTGCAGACCTTCCATGGCCACGAGGTGGACGTGGATGTCGTGCGGGAGAAGTTTTTCCTTGCGACTGTTCTTCGATAGTTGCCGCCGATCCGATCGACACTATAGAAAGTGATCTTTTATGAGCATGACCAGGTCGTTGTGGTGATGGCTGTGCTGGAGTCCATTGTTGAGGTGGCCCCCTTAATCGCGAGCTGCTTGAAGGTACTGTCAGAGATAACGTAGAGCGATGCCCTCGCGTAGGGGCTGGGGGTGTCAACCCATTGTTCGGTTTCGTCCTAGGACTGAGTAAGGGCGACGGTTGTCTCGATCGTTCGGGGATAGTCGGCGGTTTTTGGCTCGAAGATCTCGTTTGGTTTGGACCAGGGGCAGTATTCTTGAAAGTTATGTGACACTTAATATCCTCGCCAGCAAAGACAGTTTGATCATCCCATGTTATGAAGACTCGAATATTGCTCAACACTCCTTCAGGCGGCATGGTGAGACTCCTTCCAATTGAAGGAGAAGGCTCATGTATAGGACCTCATCGTCGTCATCATATCACTTAAAATAAGATTGGGTAGCTCTGGGGAGCGGGATGACGAGCTTGTCGCAAGTCGAGATGCACAATGTCCGGGATGACGATATGGAAATAGCAAGTTTAGAGCTAGGCAATACGTGGTAAATTGGAGTGTGAAGACGTTGGTATTAATTTGGGATCGAATTTACGGAATTGTATGGTGAATTGATTGATTGATTTTGTGATGTTTTGGATTCGAAATATGGTGGATTAAATCGGTAGAGTTGGAATCAATTCGTGATATGGCGACTATTGGAGGAAGGTTGTTATCACTTCCAAGGTTGAGAGCGCCAGGGATGAGTTGGATGATGCATCAATAGGCTCTTGGTAGATCAGCGAGTCCTGGTCCCTGCCGCGATGGGACCGCCCCTGCAGTTCGGGTCCTGGTAAAACTTATTCCCCGAAAAGGCCTATTTAGCCCCTTCGGTCCTTCCACTGTATTGTACCTAAATACTCAGGTACTAGCTAACAGTAGTAGTAGCCCCAGAACGCACCCAGCCAGCCAATCATATGCAACTATCCTAATTCATCTCTGTCTTGCTGGGACCTACTCCCGTTGTCGTCGACTTAAAGTGAAGGGTAGATCTATCAATGAGGCATTCATTATACTAGAAGAGGATATGAAGCAGGAAGTCAAGGTAATTAAACTTGAGGATGACCCGGCGACTGATTCAACAGCCCTCTCTCGGCGGTTCAAGAAAGCCGTGGGAGGAAGTCGGTGATCAAGGTGATGATTTTATGACTATTTTTTAAACTCCTTCCTATCAATCTTTTGAGGTATTATCACAAATAATCTCACTTACATGGCTAGGTACCTAAGTACGGTTGGCTTAAGTACATCCACGAATACTAATTTACTCGATTTCTCAATTCGTTCATTAAAACCTATGAAATATGGGCTTTTCCTTGTTACCCAACATCGATCATATCATCATCCTATTCATCTAACATTCAAAGGTAACCAATGGCATCGTTCATAATCCATCAAATCGTCCAAGGATATGTCCAAAGACATATTCAAGTTGTCATAACAACATCCTCCCCAGTATCCCTAATCAATTCGCCATTATCCTCACGGGCCTTAAGGATCTTATATGCCATATGCGCGGCCTTGGTCTGTATCTCCTCAGGATTAACACCACCGCCGACTTCCACAATGACTTCTCCGTTAATAAAGATCTTGCAGGACAGCTCTTTTGACCCATCATCCATTTTCTGGCTTTCGTTCCTGTATTCCACGGTCTTAAGGTATTTTCCTGCTAATATACCTAAGTGATTCTTAGGGTGCAGCACATCGACCTCGTCTGTGAACATACGGCGCAGGTATGGCAGTATACCTGCTCTCTCGGCGAACTGGACGCACATATCCATCGATCCTGAGTCCACCCAGACGGCGCCAAGCACACTCTCAAAGAAATCAGAGAAGACCTTGGGGATATCGAGATGCGCAAGTTCGACCCAAGGATAACCCTTACTATTCTTTATGGCGTCAAGGATCGGCTCCTTCTCTGACATATATCTTTTCTCCGTGTTCTGCTGTCGGTTTGCCATGTCTCGCGACGAGTGGCGCATGAATTTCCAGAATGGGATATCGACCTGCTTCTTAATGATCGTCTTGTCCTCGGCAATTTCGGTAGTCTCCTGTGAGATAGTCCACTCCATCCCTAGAAAGCCAAGGAGATCCGCATTGACGGACGCTGTGCGGAAAAGATGCATTTCCCGCTGGTCCATGTCTCGTTCGTAGTCCCAGATGGCAGAGGTGACGACATAGTCGAGAATGGCGTCGCCAAGGAATTCTAGTCGTTCCATGCTTGACCCCGTTGAGTTCACGAAACCGAACGACGAATGCGTAGCTGCTTCGACGAGTAGGTTCTTGTTTTTGAAAGAATATCCGATTAGCTCCTCTAGGGGCACAAGGGGAGCGACAAGCTCCGTGCTCAGCGAAGTCTGGTTAAACAAAGCCGTCCGAGCAGAATCAAGACTGCGCCATTCAACATTGGGGATGAATATTCGGATACACGTGAGAGCTTTAGTCAAACTCAGTCCACCATCTATATAAGCAGCTCCGATCAAAGCCTCGACAACATCTGCAAGTGTCTTGGTCGACATTGGTCGTTTCTCTCCTGTGTTTATATCCGTCTTGACAAGGTCTTCGACATAAAGGGGTTGCCATTTCTTTCCCTTAAATCCTCTTTTGAGAATGAATTTGTCTAAGCCAGTCTCGACTGCTGAACGGCAAAGTCTGGCGTTTGATACAATACTCATCTTGATACCATCAAGATATCCTTCTGGGAAATTTGGATCTATTACAAGTTAGCATTTATCATCTATGCAGCATACTTTACAGTAACATACTATTGGCAGTAACAGTTGCCGTTGTGAACAATTTAAGAATCGTATCTCCAAGGAATTCGATTCTTTCGTAATTGGTTCCCTCGCCAGTACCTGGGGAGTTAATAGCGATACTAACAAGTGAGATATCGGAGTATTCAACGTCTTTCAGTAAGGTGTTGCATAATTCATTTGCAACAAGGTGTATTTCTATTTTGTGAATGATCGAGGGAATGAGAGCACCAAAGTATACATTGGATACATGAATGCTATCCATCTGACAAAGATGTGCTGGGACAACAAATTGAGCTGGTTTACTGGAAGTCGCTTCTCCGACAACAGGATGAAGGAAATTCTTTCGCCGGGAGAATTTCTCCAGCATCAGCCAAGGGATATCCAATGGTTGGCCTTGCAGCATTCCTTTTACTGGAGTGTCTATATCGAGAACGGGTAGCCAGGCTTTCAATATATAGGGAATTCCATTATTGTACCGTATAAGCACCGTATCATCGAGATAGGCTTCTTCGACACATTTTTGCCCAGAAAGCTGTTGAAATGGAATATCTTGGGTGAGCGATCGAATATGTAAGATTTGCGTGCTCTCTCGAACATCAAACTTACGATGTCCGTATGCCAGATTCATCAATGCCGGGCTTTGATCAGCACGGAGATCGCACGCAGGTATGATCTTCATTTCTCCCATTTCAACTCTCCAAGCATTTGATTTGTCCCAGAAGACATCGAAATCGGGTGCCCCCGAGAAAGGAACAGGTAGTGAAGCATCAAATTCGCATATTATACCTCCGTGCTGATTTATCAATCGTAGTCGACGTTGATATATATCGTTCTGTTGACCCCAAGCATGCGCCACTTGTGTCCATGGACTCCATCGCTCATGAACTTCGGCCATCCCAGCCCTTGTATCATAGCTACTTAGGAATTCATGATTCAGGGGTAACAGGTTGTTATTGAGCAAGCCAGCCTTATGAATAGCTATATATGCTTGTAAAGCAGCATCTTTGCTAGCATTCTTCTCCGAAAACCAGCATCCACTACTTTCTATCCGGCGAAGTTCGGGAATACGAACTGACATTGGTAGGACAACAGTCGCAGTTACTTTTCGGAATTGCGTTAAAGAATTCTCCGATCGTTTGAAAATATAGTATGGTCGTGAATCGGCATATTGCCGAGTTGAAAGTTGAGTACAGAAATGTTCGAGGTGTGATTTCGCTTGGTCAAAGTCAATACGTGCACCAGTCTCTGGTATATAAAGCGGTTCGATTTCCGTTTGCTCTGATTCTTCAAGCTCCACAAGTTCTTGAATCTGTCGTACATCCTCTTCATAGCGCTTCTTCATTTCTTCCTCGAGTGCCGTCCATTCATCTACTTGGCGCGTAGGATTATCTAAAAGTAGAATGAGCTTTGATTCCCTCATCCGAGCTCTGCCACGCCTCTGGATGAAGCCTTTTAGATTATCCGGTTTATCGAAACATATAACCATGTTACATGCCGGAACATCGATGCCCTCTTCCAGTACACTGGTAGCTATGAGGAGATTGAGTGTCCCGTCCTGGAATTTCTCTAGGTCCTGATAACCATCATTCTTGTTGAGAGTACCAATGTCTCGTTTCCGGCCAGCGTGGTTACTCGTACCTATCATGGCTCCAATCCGAAAGCGATTTTTGATGGATGGATGGACAGAGAGCATGTGTGTTAAGACAGACACTGTAGCTACTTCTCGTACAAAAATAATGCCGATCGTCCCGTCAGCTGCACACGAGAGCTCCTGTATAAGAGCCGCAACTTTGTTCGAGACATCGATGGCGGGTATGTTATCTTCCAGTGGCGGTGGTCGCGATATATTGACCTTTTCCAGGGCTTCTGAGAGGTATTGTTTCTCTTCAATCATCCATTCGCGGAACCAGGTATCGTTCTCCTTGACCGATTTGAGGAAGCTAGAGATGCTAGCAAAAATAAAGTAATCGGCAGCCCACTAATTTATAGGAGTGGTTAGCTACCAGTAAGAAGGTACATAGGGGCGGTTTCAAAGTAAAATGTCACCTATAAAGCTCATCGCTCCTAAGTAGACAGAGAAAATCCGGTGTGATATATCATCAAATGGAGCGAGATGTGTGGTGTGTGGTGTGTGGTTACTTACCGATCCAAGTTCTTTCTGGATCTCTGAGCTCTTTCGCCATAGATATTTCATCTGATCAAAGACGTAGGTACTCCTCTTTCCCAAGGCCTTTTTCAGAGCTACAATACTGCGCTCACTACCTTCTTCCCGTAACCGAACGATGTAGGGATCTCGGTATATGTCCATATTGAGATACACTTCAGCCAAACTCTGCATCATCCTAGTTTGTAGGATATCGTCTGTTTGAGAATAGAAGATGTAACGCATGACCGGTCGTTTTACAATGGATAGAAGCTCCTCTCGGTGAATTGTTGGGCTTTTGCAAACAGAATCTAGCGTCTTTTCGATGATTTCGAGGGCTTCAAGCTTTGAATTCATAATAGGGCTTGCTGTCAGGCCAAGTATTGATGGAACTGGGAGACCGACAGCCTTGCGAGCGTGATATCGAGCCATGAACTTACTCCCAGGATGTTTCCCAACACAGTTGTGCGCTGCCAAGTTTAGTTAAACGTTGCTTTTTATGACGTTTCGTAGGAAGGTGATTCACCAACCTTCGTCAAGAACGATTAAGGAGAGTCTGTCGATCCGCACGAACGCATGACTGGTTGCATCCAGGAGAACTTGATAAGTAGAGACGACAACACGAGCATTTTTTAGATAGTCATCCCAAGTGCGATCATCCGTCCAAGTATCAATGCCGTCCGCGCCACTGAGAAATTTGATTTGGACAGAGGGCATCTGTGATCTGAGTACTTTCGCTTGCTGCTCGCAAAGAGCGACGGTGGGTGCGAGAAACCAAATAATCTACTAAATGTCAATATCAAATATAGCTCAAAATAAAACAAGTACTCGTAGATGTGGTTTCTCACTTTATCGGGTGGTGATCTTTCAAGTTCAGCTTGTATTCTGAGGACGGCGCTAGAATGCTATGAGCGTATATACGGGGAATGAGAATAATTACATTTTTGTAAGTCCGAGTAAAAGATCGCAAGACTTACACCTGTGTTTTTCCAGTACCAGTCTCCATCTGCAGAGTCTATAAGCACATAAGCCCGGTAAACATTGCGGCGTTCACCTACCGTCACAATTAGGTTTCGCCTCAGGCTGTCTTCAAACATTTCGAGCTGGTATTCACGAGCATGGATGATTGTCGATTCTGTAGCCTGGTCAACTCCAGCGAATTCATCCTCGACCATAGCCTCGGTAGGTTCAATCAAAGGTGAAGCGGAAGTTTCTTGGTTTTGACTAGCAGGAGTATCATTGTCGTCGTCGCTTGAATATTCTGAGCTCGAATCCCCGGGCCATGATAGCGGCGGCTCTTCATGCATATCCATTGTGTCCGTATGATTTTAAACTTGAATTGAATTTAGTTGAAATGGAGCCCAATCTAATATCGACCCTCGATGCAGTTTGTTCGAGGGGACCAGCATGACTTTAGGTGTTCACAAAAAAACAGAACCCTCCCCACGCCAGGAAACACAAAACAGAACAAAATCAAACCAGATGTACTCAGCTGTCATATCATCTCGATGCGCTGGCAGAAGCGACAGGTCAGATCCATGTATGACAGGTTCTGAGTTTTAAATTTGGTAAGGCTCTAAGGCTCCAGGCTGCTGTCTGAAGGAGCGACACACTCAGGTTGTATGTAGTAGTGTAGTACGGGAAGGGAAGTCGCATATTATTCATTTATTCAACGCATTTCATTGGTCCAATAAGATTTATAGTGCATAAAAAAGCCACTCAAAACACACTTATCCAATACCAGCACCATATTATACTATCGAAAGTATCGCGACCATGGAACTACTTGCTACCGGTTTCAACGCTTGGGGGCAACTTCATTTCAACAACCGACAGAGTCGCATAGTCTCCGAACCCGATGACATCGATTCGTTTCAGTCTATCTTGAAAGATGACTTCATCGGACATCCATGTTCCCTTTTAGAATGTACCTTAGGTTGGTGGCACTCTCTTGCATCGTAGGCTTGTTAATTAATATGCTTACGAAAATCAGTTAAAACTACTTCCGGAATACGACATGCAGGCTTTATCGATGCCAACCGGGAAAACATCAAGGAGAAGCTCCTCTCATCCACCGCAGCCATAGCTGGGAATGGTATCATAGCTGGTAATAATTATCCTGACGATGGGTCCTACACGTCGCTAACACCACTTTAGATTATGATGGTCATAATACAATTTGCCAATACCTGTCTCAATCTATCGGAGGTGAACAGGAGCATCATGAATTTTCTGGAATGGAACAAATCATCCAACTCGTAGCATACGAAACAGGCTTTGCGGCTCTATCACAGGATGGCCGTGTTTGGACATGGGGAGACGAGCGTTATGGCGATTGCCTTGGAAGGCCGATAACGCACTCAAGGTAAGCTATTACACCTTACCTGGGTTCAGGGGTTCAGGGGCATAGAGCTTACAACAAAATAGTCCGGCAGGAAGACCTGGTCTTGTAGAAGAACTTGAAGACCTACCGACGGGAAAGATAGTCAAGATTTTCGCTTCTGGATACATGGTTCTTGCCCTGACGGAAGGACATGATCTCTATGCCTGGGGTGGTCACCCGGGACGGAAAGCTTTACTCGACGGATTATCAAGTAGTCCGATGCCTGTGATAGTAGAAGAAAGCGACATAATTGACTGCGGAGTTGGAGAATCACATATGATCGTGCTCACTTCTGAGCACGATGTATATGTTATTGGCGATAACACAAATGGCCAGCTAGGGTTACCAGTCGAGGAGACAAGATCGTGGACAAGGATATCTCTGCAGTTAAAAGTAGGACAAATAGTTTGTGGTGTAAATGCAGGGCAGCGCACTTCGTTCATATTGATCAAAGACAAAGACCCTTGATGATTCTGCCTCAATTGGGTCCTCTATGCTGCTCTATGATACACGTGAACTCCTGCGAGACCTAGTAACAATTACGCTTACAGATTCGTCAGGTAGTCCTCGATCTCTTGTGGAGTTAGCTTTCTGAATCGTGGTCCGGTCGCACCATGAACACCTTCAACTCCGAGTAGGTGATCAGCAGGTGGGCCAACGATACCTTGAAATAGGTAGTTAGTAAATTTCCTAATTAAGGATTTTGTTACAACTCACCGATTTCAATCGTCTCTCCATTCATCTCGCCTTCAATGGTCTCCTTCAGGGTTAGAAGCGCAATGTGAACGGCATCTTCCAACTCTAGACCTTCGGTGTATCTCTTCTCCAAGAACGTCTTGGCGGTTGTTGCGCTCTTGCCGATGGCGGTGGCTTTCCAAGGAAAGTAGCTTCCAGACGGATCAACTTGGTAAAGCATAGGTCCGCCCTTCAGAATACCGCCGGTCTTACCCGAGGGCTTCTTCGCACCTTCGAACTCGCCTTCGACGGCAGACTCCTCATCTGGTAGAATACCTTCATCCCATCCAGCAATCAACAGACTAACACCGTACGGTCGAACACCACCGGACTGGGTGGCTTCCTGCATCACTCGCGCAACATCTTGTACCAATATCCTGGTGGGTGGGTACTCGTTATAGATTCTCTTGTAGCCAGTGTGGGAAACCTTTCGTGCCTTGTCCACTAGCACTCTGTAGTCGGGGCCCATTCCTGAATAAACCATGCCGATGTTGGGAGTGATTAAGCTGACCTTGGATAGGGAGGAGGGGTCGGCAAGAGGGGAAGAGGACTTCTTTTCGGTCGCTAGGACGATGCCATTTGTTGCTATAAACATTTAGCTATATAATTATGTACAATTTAAACATTATACGTACCCTTGATGCCTAGGGCGGTTACACCTTGGTTGACAGCGTTGAGGGCATATTCTAGTGGACCGTATCGTTAGCAAACAGCATCTGAATACTGCAAAGGGCCGGGTTTCTTTATTATGTAGCAGCATATACAAGTATTATGCGACTGGAAAGTTGGCATACCGATCTGGACTAGTTTTCCACTGACAGGAAGTTAGCTTGGAGTCGCAGGATGGTGATATATGGTCGTTCAAAGGGAATTTACCTAGGGGAGAAGGTTGTCAATGAGAACGAGTAACGGTCCGCCATTGCTGCGAGGTGATATTATGAAGTTGGATTTCGGCGATGTCTGGGAAACTGAAAGGTTCCGAGGTTGTGTGTAGAAGTGACTTGGGTGGATTAGATGGCGAGGCTACGAAACCTCAAGCTGTGTGTGGAGAGCTACAGTTACTTGCTAGGCATCGCGAGTTTGCGCGTCAGAGCTTAGGTACAACCTAATACTCCTCCATAGCGCCTTCTAGGGCAGCTCCAGTGCAAGTGGTGCGTCGCACCTATCGGGTACCTAGGTACTTAGGTCCATATTTTGAGCTCCGTACCTTCCATTCGGACCTAACTTTGAATGACTAATCCGGATTATCAGCAACCCGGCACTAGCTTACATCACACGCATAGGGGACAATTTTATGCCACTTTACTTTATTAACTTCCAATCATCTTTTGAGAAATTGACAGCTTCGAGATTCCCGAGGAAAGTACCACGTTCACATACAAATTTACCATTGTTGGAACCTAAGACGTCGAGTATGCTACGAGGCAGTATTTGATGCTGCCTAGTGTGCTAAATCTGGGTTAAGAGAGAAGCAACCTCCCATGGTTGACAGCTTAATGCTCCGTATTACGGCACAGTGTGATTCTTCCCGCGGCAGCCTGCATTTTCGTTCGGAAACTTTCAACGCTACATACAAACCTTTCTTTCCTGTCGTTTATGCCAAGTCAACACTGAAGTCTTTGACCAATATCAGTTTGCACAAGCTTGCACTTTGAATCCCATTCAGTACATTCTTTGTGCTGAACGTCAAACAATATCTTAGTCGTCTAATTATAGATTTCTAGGTTCTACTATAATGGTGAGATTCTGAGTGGGATGCTTGGTTTTTATTATTTATGCTTCACGTATTCCTTCAACCCCTTTTAGTTGTACATTCAGTGAAGTACTTTTAAGCAACAAGATCACCGTTCGATTTCTCATCGCAGTTACTACTCCTGGAATACACCAACGAGAATCGAACCTGTTCGGGGAAGAATTCCCGGCCAATATGGCGGACTTTCATTCTTCGTTCGGAACTGCTACGGGAAGCGATATCCCCGGGAGATCGGAGCAAACGGAACGACGTCCCAAACCAAACACTAGCCCAAATGCGAACGAGTCGAAAAAGCACACACGAATGTGCTGGATCTGTCACGATGATGTAGAACCGACGTATGAAGAGACGGGTTTCTTAGATGGTATTCGAAATCGGCGACCAAAAAGAACCTACATCTCTGAGGATGGAGACCGACTCATTAACCCATGCCGGTGCAAGGGCAGTGTCAAATATGTCCACGAAGGTTGCCTGAAGCTATGGATGAATGAGAATCCAAACGCTTGGAAATGCGGTCGATGCCATTACCAATACAGAATGGAGCGAATGACTTGGGCTCAGCGGATTCGAAGCCCAATAGTTGCTCTCACACTTACAATGCTCATCTTGGTGATCACTATCTTTCTACTCGGGTTTATAGCTGATCCTATCCTCAATTTATGGATTGATCCCGTCGGTACCATTGCGGAGTCAGTTACGAGTGGCCATGTTGGTCTGGAAGACGACGTTGACGTGTTGGGCGATTCAGGCTGGTTTATTCACTTTCTGAAGGGACTTTTCTCGCTTGGGTTGCTCGGGTTCGTCAAGGCTTTCCTTGTTATGAGTCCCTGGCAATGGTGGAATTTGCGGACCAGCGGCATAATAGGAGGAGGAGGACGTCGTGCTGGAACCGGACGTGACCGGATGGAGAATATTAACTTAGTCCTTGTTATCATCGGCGTCATTACGTTTTTATATGTAAGTTTTATCCTTGACCGTCTTAGCATCTTACTGACAATTTCAGACGGTCTGGAAGGCCACGCGGAAGTGGACCGAGAAGACACTTGACAGAGCAAGTCAACGGATTTTAAATGTCCAGGGCGACAATAATGACGATGATGATAGTGATGATGAAGATGATTAGTCTCGAAACGAAATTGACCGTTCTCCAAATTTGATGCATGGTATTTTTCGGTTTGCCATATTATGTCACACCAATTACTCCCCTACGATGAACTTGCACACTCTTAAGTTGCCTTGAAGTTGCTCTTCCGTTTCTTGTCAACTAGTCTGTGTGCAAAGATTGATACCTTGTTACTATCTGATGAGTTTGGGCGTCTTGCTCTTATTCGTAACCGGACTTGTTCAAGGACGTCGGATTTCTTGCCTTGCGTCATTGGCTCTTCTTGAGCTTGTTTGACTCAACTACCCTTTTCCCAATGGATATTCCAATGGACCTCACATAGAGGTGTGGTTTGGCTATTTTCGATACAGACAATCTTCTATCAAGCCTCGTATTGTTGTTATTCTTCCTCTAACCTACTATGTAGGTAGGTAGTGATCATAGAGGCCGATTGGTTGAGATTTAATAGTTTGGTTCCTTCTCGTTTAAGTGCTTGATAAGGTACATGGGTACACTCCCAACGCTACCTGGAATAGGTTAGGTTGATTAGCTAAGCTACCCGGGGTCAAACTGTCGGGACGTCTGATCACGACGTTCTGCACGTTCCAGGCCAACAGGGGTGTCCAGGCCGCTTTAACTTTAGTCTTTAGGTCAATTAAAAAGTAACCAAAAATGAGTTTCCCGTAATTTGGCGATGGGTTGCGGTGCACATGGTTTTTTTTGCGACATGTCAAACACGACGGCTATTCGAGCCTAAAATAATACTTATCTTACATTTAGTCATTGATTGTCAGCTTCTCAGGTAACTTTGATGCGACTCGAAACCATCAGTCATCTGAAGTTCCTTAATCGTTTCAACCAACTTTCGCTTATCGCCTCTTTGTCGTGGTTTACCACATCGTCGTGCCAAATTTGCGCCAAGGTGGCCACGTCCCTCACGTCGAGACATTTGGGCATACCGTCCGCCTTTTGTCTCAACCACTTATTGACCTAATATTTTGACGTTGTCTGTTCAAATTGCGTACCTAGGTACTCTAGTCGGAGTGTTGTCATTGTTGAGAAGGATATCGATCGTTATCAGGGCAGAGGACGTGGCCTCTCTACTGCGACGCGCCGTAATCTAATAGCAGCCTACGGGTCTGCGAACGAACCGACAATCCCTACGTTGACTCCCTTCTTTAACGACCCTTGGAGAGATCATTCTCGCAATCGACATTCATTATGCATTACGCCTATCCCCCTCGGAAGAGTTCGAATCCTCCGCCTTACTTGCCTCGTTCCTCGCGGATACCAAGAATACGAAGGAGCCATCTACGACCGATTGCCTTGTTTGTACTAATAATTGTCGGATTGATATGGCTATTCTCGGGCGGCTCAAAACATACCAAACATACGATATCGGGAAAACCAGCAGTTGTACTGGTTACCGTGTTCGATGACAAGAGTGATAATTCCGCATATCACAAGAACATCAAGGAAAATAGAGTGCAATATGCGGAAAAACATGGTAAGATAATAAACTATGGGTCGAACGTCTGGAACTTTCTTCTCTAACCATCGAGTAGGATATGGTACATTACTTGTCAAAGCAGGTGATTACGACCTCAATGGATCGCCTGCGTCCTGGTCGAAGGTCGTGGCAATGCGTCATGCGATCACGAAATATCCCGATTGTAAATATATGTGGTACCTGGACCAGGATGCGTTCATTATGAACCCGAACCTAAAGGTGGAAGACTATGTTATGAGCGCCAGCAAGCTTGAAGCCAACATGCTCAAGGACCTTCCCGTAGTTCCACCGGATAGCATCATCAAGACATTCTCGCACATCAAGGGAAGCGACATCGAGTTTGTCATGTCCCAGGATAAAGAGGGTCTTGCCTCGGGAAGTTTTATAATCAAAAACGGCGAATGGGCAACATTCTTCCTCGACACTTGGTTTGATCCGCTGTATCGGAGCTACAACTTCCAGAAAGCGGAAACCCATGCTTTGGTATGTTCTGCATCGTCGTTCATGTCGATTTCAAATAAGAAGAGTGTTCTAACAGCTATCAGGAGCATATTGTTCAATGGCACCCAACAATTTTGTCAAAATTGGCGGTTATTCCCCAACACATTATTAATGCATATAGTAGTAATGACTATGGTGCGCAATACAAAGACGGCGACATTGCCGTCGTATTCGCCCGCTGCACAGAGACGGGAGACAAGAGCTGTGCCAAGGAGGCCGAGCGGTTTTCGCAACAGTGGCGAACGTCCTTTTCTAGGTCATGAGGAAATACATACACGCGATAATGTGTAATGACAAGGGCTGTTTTGACGCAAACACTGAACTCTCAATGCCGTGACGGCGACAAAAAGGAGGGCGGCCGCACTAATGGTTTATGGGCGTTCAAGGAGCACGAGGATACTTTAGATTCGGTTGTTCTATGGTCTTCTATCAACACTAGAGGGACTCGGCATTTACACAGGTGTTTTGACGGCTTGGAGACCACCACGTTATTTGTGCGCTTCGGCGATACTGGATGTATTGTTTCTCAAATTAGGGCTGACGAAAGGCGTCCGTGATGATGTTGGGTTCATCAACCTAGTGTTTATTCATCGTCTGCCGCTTATACACGAACACATTCTGCGGTTTTCGCAGGCTATCTGTAAACGACTATGGATTGGAATTAACGAATACTGGTGGTGGTCGATAGCACCGCAACAGGTTGCCAAATGAAACTTACTATCCAAACGTAAACACATAAACATATTAGAAGACCGATGTGACCGATACATATCTACACAAATTATCATGGTAGGTTCGTACATCGCTTTGAAACTCTCCGTCTATCGACTTCGAGGAATTCTCCAGCTTGGATACTGGCACGTGCCTAAAAGTGGTAGGTATCGCCCCCCCTCCTTGATAATGCGGCGACGTCTTGGCCCAGTCATTACAGGTAGAATACTCTGTGGGGAACTCTTCCGGTTGGCTACACACTATATGATCACAGTACCTACATGATCCTTTTACTTTCTTTTTTTTCTTTAGGCGAGAGACAATATCCATCCGGCTCTAAGCCATCCGATGATAAGGGGATGACAGAGGGCAACCGTACGTTTCAGCTACTACCAGCGTACCCTGTTTTTACTACGTAGTACTACTGCGTGGTGCCACTAGGTGCCACATTGTATGCGGCTACAGAGCACGGAAGAGGCTAAGTGTCATCTCAGATGAAATCGTCTGAAAGATCATAGGACGGATATTGGATGGATTTAGGTATGTCAAGTATCATAGTGCTAAATCTTGATGCCAGATGAATGGTAGCATTTAACCTTAAACATTACCCAGATATCGGTATTGTTAGTTACCGAGAGCGTGGCCAGCCGAGAGCGGGACATGCATGTATCCATGTATCCGTATACTGGAAGTTGCATTCTTCAACATTGAATAGAAAGCATAATTTATACTTTCCTGGAAACTTAGAACTTATTTAGAGCTGGACCTTCGAAACTAAACACTCTTAGAATTTACCATAAACAACTTCATAGCAATTCAAACTTCTCTCACGCAGATCAGAGCAACCTAGAAACAAAATGACAAATAAACCCTCAGAACTATATTTCTTCGCCGAGCATGAGTTACGTGGTTACCACCACAAACCCACGAATGGTGTCACAAATGCAGACTCACCATCAATGCGGCTCACTTAGATCTCTCAAGCACACGCAGCCCAGCTAGTCAGCGGCCTTTTAACTCGTTTCTAATTGTAGATCACACAGTTGACCCAGACTGATTTGGGGAGTAACTGGACCAGCTAAGCAGATCATACATACCCCTGTCAGCCCGATTCACGATTGTGAGCACTTACAGGGGCTTCAACGTTCAGTTTCCCGATCCGGGCTCAACGCCAATGGTTCGCTAACTGTCCATCGCATGAACGAACACGTTCTGTCGACATGGTAGCTTGGCCCTGGAAAGCAAGCAATCACCCGGATGAGCAAAGATGGGGGCGGAAGAGCTGTCGTTCGTGCCCATCAGCCGTCATATGTCGTCGATTCTCGTTTCAACTGAGTTCATCATTCTTCTCTCTTCCTTCCTTCACCTTCTTTTCCGTCTTGATGACATCGTCCTGGTGACATTTTTTGTTTCTAGTCACTCGTTATGGGCCCGTGAACGATGCAGCAGAGCGGAATTTTGCGGTGCTCTTTATTAATCGCGCTGGGCACGATAGGGATATGGGCTACGGAGGATGTTGGGGATATCCGGGGGGATGCTGGATCGTCACCACAGAGAGTGGCGCAAGTGCCACGAGGAGAAGAGCCGTTCTTATGGAATAACTTTGAACACATCGTGGTCGAGAAGGACAGTTCAGTTGGGAAACTTATAGTAGAGAGGATACCGGACCCGACGAGAAGAAGCCCGAAAGAACAGGCTGCTCCAGCCTTAACGACGCCCCAACCAACAGCGCAACCGCAAAAGCGTCAGGACAATGGCCAAGTCCAGGCGCTCTCGCAACAGCTTCAGTCGCTTTCACAGTCCGCGACTCAAGCACTGTCGTCCGTCTCGTCGAGCGCATCTTCGGCCATGAGCCTTGTATCTCAATCCGCACAGTCCGTCCGACAGTCCGCCGACCAAGCGGTCCGGTCTGCCAATCAGAATGCCGACGATGCTAACCGGCAATTGTCGCAGACTATATCGTCAGCTTCGAGCGCCCTCTCCGCAGCCAGTGCTCGCGCGAGCGATGACCTAGGGCGGTCGCTATCAAGCATGAGTAGCCGTCTCTCGTCCAACTTAGCCAGTGCTCAAAGCAGCGCGAACAGCGCTATAAGTGCCGCTCGGGTAGAGGCAAGTTCAAGTGCGTCAAATGCGATAAACATTGCTGCCAGTCAAATCCAAGCGGCAAGAGCCGACGCAAGTGGCATAAGAGTATGTTTTGATATTCTTAATCTTACAAAATTGTATCAGTCAACTGACGATGTATGATAGGGCGATGCGAATTCTATTGTCACACAGGTGCAATCCAACTCTGTGTCAGGCACAAACGTCGCCGTAATAGTTACGGTATCAGTCGTTGGCACTGCTATACTTACGGCCATTGCCTCGTACTTCGTCGTCCGGTGTTTACGCAAGAAGCGACGAAACCGCGACCCTCTCGCGGGGGGAATGAATTCTAATAATGAAAAACAACAGTATGACACGTCATATGAAAAACCGATTGCCGTTCGCGGTACGGTAGCAAGTCCTAGTCCTCGCTTTACACCATTTGGCGGTGGCACGGGCTATCCAATGGATAAATTTAAGCTCCCGGAACTGGGCCTAAGTCCCTTCTTAAGGAAGAAGACGAACGAGGCAAGCCCAAGCCTAAGCGATATTGGTTTTGCAAGGAGCAATTACAGCCCCAGAGACAGCAGCAGAGATGTTGTCGCAGGACCCTCTAATAGTTCTAATAGTGACGTTTACGGCGTCTCGCCGACGAGCTTCAGGTTACAGAAGGAGAATAGTATCAAGAGTGCTACAAGCGTGCGGCTTATTCGAGTAGGCAGCAATAAAGGCAAGGCCCAGGAGGAAGATGAGACGGCCCTGTTGAGTCCAATGAATTCCCCGCCGCCACCGCTTCCTGCGCAGGTGCTGGCAGCACCAGCTCCAACACGAGTACCGGTAGCCGTAGCAGTACCCGTTACAATGCAGGCGCAATCGCAACAACAATTTGCCGAACCTCCGTCGCCAGTAGAGTCTCAGGTTGCGGAGCCGCCACCAGCAACTATCCGAGTTGTCCGAAACTCCGAGCCACCAGAAGACCCAGTGCCGGATCCGGCCCCGATAAAGCGCAGCGAGACAATGAATGTGATGAGCACAATGACCAGTCAGCAACGTCTCCGGTTCCGCGATAGCAGTGATGTCGAGTCAGCAGAGCCCTCGCCGGCCTCCGGAGCCTGGCGGCGCTCTCGCTCCGCAACAATGTCCTCGATGAGGAACACTAATACGGCTTTCTTGCGCACGAACAGCACGAGTCCCGACAGCGTGGGCAGTCAGTCACCACCCAGGCGGCCCAAAAACGCTGGCCCGGCCAGCTTCGCCACATTCCCGCGCATTCGCGACGGCCCTCCACGAGGTTCAGCTGCGGAGGCAATTATGAACAGGGGTCGCTCGGGACTCAGCGGGGTCACTGCGCGACTCAGAGACGAAGCGGAACGGAGGAAGAGGGAGTTGGACGAGGTCGACGGCGGGAGGAGTAGTGTTAGGATGAGCAAAGACGTCTCCGAGCCTGAGAAGAGGGAGACGCGGGGCCCGAATTGGCCGTTCGGGAGTACCTAGCTCGTCAGGCTGGGCTGGGTAGATGGTCGGATCGAGGATGTTGGGATCGGGATGTAATGAGAGATTGTTAGTTTAGGTATGTAATATGTGGGAGGACGCCACACACGACTTTAGGGCTTGAATGAAGGGTATAGGGGATTTGGAAGGAGAAACTAGGGGGTTGGGAATGTTAGGAGTGACGGGAGAAGGAGAAGGGATACTCTAAGTAATCGTAGTCGGAACTGGAATACCATATCGAATAAGTGTTAAATATTTATAACTAACTCGTAGTTTATTCATATATATTTTTCTTACATTCCGTGTCTCGAATTTGTGTGTTTTTAGCGCCCGGCTCGAGTAGTGTTGGCGATTAAGGAGGTAATACCTATTTACACATCCAGTACCCTTAAGTGCCAGGTAGCCTCACAACTACCAAAATCAAGCAGAACCAAAGTCGATTAATCATGTTGACCCAGTTCTTATTGGCGAACCTCCTGACCCAATACTTCCTAACCCTTGTTTTTGAGGCTGTCTGGCCCTTGACGCCAGTCCAATAAAAGCAAAACCTAGACACGGGATACAAGACAAATAAGACGAGAACTTGGCCGGATAACTGCAGGTGTGATAGTTCCATTAATAGCTAAGGCTACCCAACATAACCAAGCCAACCACGCCCAGATGTACTTACCGTGTCGTGTGACCCAGCTCGAAGTATCTAACACATCCATACATGCCACACACGCGTCTTCGGTACGATCCTCCCGGAGACATATCAGATTAGCGGGAAGCCTCGGGACTTCCGATTCTGCTACGATGTATACTATAGTCTTACGTACATCTACGCCGGTCGAAACGCTTCCCTGTTCTGGACGGTTGGTTCGTGGAAATAGAGATGTTTACATATTATGAGTCATTACCTACTTTACTTCGACCGACCGTCCACGATAGGGGGGACGTTTATTGGAAGTACCCCCAAACCGGGCAAGCACCGACTGGTCGGTCCGTCTCCCAGAAAAGGAGCTCGGTAGAAAATACGGAAATGGAGTGCGTGATCCATAAACTATTTGCGTGGGGTTACGGAATACGCGATCCTCATCTGACCCCTTATTGCATGTCACCTGCTAGTGCCTAGCACGAATTGACATGCAGGGAGAATATCCAGCTACATGCTTTTACGTAGGTATTCACCACGCATATCAGCTTGGGGAACGGGGAAGCGTGGCGGTTATCCGCCCCGGTCTTTGTGAAATATTTCGAGAGAAGTTTGAAAACTTCTCCTTGGTACTGCCTTGTTCTGTAGATGTACCGATTTAACGCCCGATCAACTAAGGTGTATATGTGATGCCCGCTGCCGACCAATCTTGATTTCAACAACTTCTATCCCATGTTGCCAACAACGCCTAGTTATATGCAAGCTCAATATGCCTTCTTTTCATTAGAGTAATAGCGAAGAGCAGGGAGGAATGTGATATTGGCAATACCAATGTTCGTCACCTCGACCTGGATTCTTCTCCGTAAGTAGGTTAGAAATAATGGGTGCTGGAGATAATGCTGTAATGCTCCGTAATGGAAAATGAATATCTCGAGGGGAGATACCGACAACTCCAAGACCCTAGTCTATGCAGTTTCCCCAGAAAGGACTGGGATCGAATGAATCGATTAGGAAGAGAAAGGTAAGTGCTGACCCGTATCGCAAGACGAAGAACGTCGAGGGAAGGCAAATCGAGCTTTTCGTGAATACGGTTCGTTTATGTACTTAGACTATTAGGTTCGATGCATGGTAGATAGCTCGAGAGCCTGTAAAAGCTCTGGCCGATCGGAGAGAGCCTCCTTCGCTTGGGAATACGTGAACCACTGACGTTCCCTCTTATGCTTCTCGGGCCAGTTACTTTCCTCTGTGAGGACAGTGGCTTCATAAAAGCGGTATAATGCTTTAGGCGCATCCTTGGATAGCTTTTTAGGTGGCCGCGAGTCAACAACTTCGCCGAGGTCATAGTCGATACGGATAACTATCCCGGCTTCTTCCCAAGCTTCGCGTTCGGCAGCCTCCGTACACTCTTCGTCCGATTCCCAACCTCCCTTGGGAATAACCCAACCTTTTCTCCTAGTCGATTGGATGAGCAAGACGTATAACCTGTCCTCGGTGAGCGGCACAACCCCGGCCACTAGTCGTTCGCCTTTTGCGTTATAGCCTAGGAATTTAAGGGTCAGTTGGTCTACGGGGTAGGCGGTTCAGAACTGTCGCGCCACAAGAACAAATCAAGACAAATCGGCCAAGAAGCGTGTGACAAAACTTACGTTGTTTGCTTCTACCAGTACGAGACTCCATTGTGCGATTATTTGACGAGCCGGACGCCATTTTGGAAAACATAGAGGAACAGAAATGGCGTGGATGTTCCGATTCTACCTAGGAAGTAGTTTAAGACGGAGATAGAGGCGGAGGGCCGATATAATTGGGTGCGGTGGATATCCTGGGTAGAGGGCGCCGGCCAGATGGAGCTGGAACTAAAGGCGATTTACCGACGAATGTTGAGCTGCATGGTCGTGAATAGTCTGAGGATTAGTCGATGTTGTTAATTAGCGGCGGTGTGATGATCGTGTTTCTCGTGATGTTGGCGTTGTGTGTAAAATAGTCAAGCTTTTCCCGTCTTACTTAGCTCTTTCTACAAGGGCTTGCTTCTTCCCAGGTTAGAGCTTAAATGCACACAAATATTGTATTTGTCTGGTATTGTAGTATCCAGGGAAACCCGGCCCTAATAACCAACAAGAAAAGGGAATGAGCGGTATTGGCAGAGTTGTACTTCCACATAAACACAGAGGCACTTTCGGACCCACGTGTGACCTCGGGGTTATCCTCGCAGGGTCGAAGACGTTACGGAAGCGTGGAAAGGAGGCGCGGCAGATCCGGGGACTTTTTTTGCAGGCAGTCAAAGGAGCGGAAGGGTAGGACGAACTCGTCGCATACGCCGACTTCTTTCTAATTCTGCAGCGGAATTTTTTTTGTGGGGAGTACCTAGTAGACAAACAGACAAGGAAGCAAGCGGTCAAGTAGGTAACGAACAATTCCTTGTCTGACGAAGGGGAATTTGATGTGTAAGTGTAGGCGTAGGTGAAGTAAGGTGTCCAAGACGATGTTGACGTTGAGAATAAGCCACTAACGAGTGAGGATAAAGGCTGTAATAAAGGCTGCTGCTCTGGCTGGACCAGCACGTCCGTTGCAAGTCTCGTGCCATAACTGTAATAAAATGGAGGGGCACGACAAGGAAAAGCAGGCAGAGTTGGTTTTTATAGTGCTTCCTCTTTTTTAGAAGGGAGAAAAAAAAGGAGCCCCCAGTCTAAGAAAATGAGCGAGGAGCCGCGGACCAGGGCGAAGGCATGAGCTAGGTAGGTGCGGTAGGTACGATTACTTTTTAGTAAGGTTGTAAGATGCAGGACCCAGACTACCTAAAAGGTACCTGGATACATCCCATACTTACCAGTCCCTACCGGTCCCTACCTCCTAAAATCCCTAAATCTGTACCGTGCTAGCACGTACGCCGCACACCCACATGTCCAAGGTAGGTACATATCTCATTTGATATGTAACCTACATGTAGCTTCGAATCTAATGCCAGGTGAGGTAAGGCAAGACAAGACAAAGACTGGAAGGTAAGGCAAGCCATACATACACAGCTTTCGATGTTGCTAAGACAGCTTAAGGTAACCTACCCTACTTAGTTTAACCATCTTAAGCCATGCTAACCATGCCCAGATGCCCAGAGTGTTTTGTGTTTCGTGTTTTGGGTTGACGATTGATGTACATGTATAGCTCGGTATAGATCATACGCGGGATGTTTTGAAGTCAGTCGGCCAGTTCTGCCAGCATGATCCATTATTGAGTATTCTGTACCGCCTATATTTCTAGGCATTAGGTGCTGCAAAGACCACCTGAGCGACCATGTGCCAATGCTAAAGCTAGGGCCAAAGCTCAGTAACTTTTGGCTACGGGTCCCAGGGCCGAAGCTAACGAAATGCCCGCGCTGGGTAGGGGATTTGTTGAAAGAAAAGGAGATAAAGATGATAATATGAAGCACGAGAGTGGAGGAGAAAAAATAGAGAAAGGAAAATTTTTTCTTCTCGAATTGGAATGGAAGAACCCAGATAGGCTTGCCGCACCCCCGCTACCTGCATGCAGCAATTGCAAATGTTTAACATGATTGATGAATTATACTCGATGCCCCTTCCAAACCCCACGCGTATACCTTAATTATATGTAGCTAATGATAGGTTGTTATTCATGTATTTACGTTAAATAAACATGAGAAGATATTGGGAAGAATAGGAGACTACAATGGGCAAGTTCAACCTTATTAATTGTAAGCTATAGATACCTATAACAGGTACCTATAGCTATACCCTCAGGTCTCAAGTTTCAAATGTACATATGCGTGTACTTACAAGAGACTCAATTATACTTTCTTAATCAAACGCTACCTCTACCTTCAAGTAATACAGTATTACACAAAAATGTTGGTTACCGTTAAGCTTACCCACGACAGTGTTACATTTATTCAGAGGCGCTCATTCTTGTTACCTTTGTACCTAGCATTGGTCGGCATATAAAACTAATTATGGCTTTGAATCGGATCTGCCCCTCGTCTGCATCCTACCGTCGATCCCCGATTTCCCCAATTGAATATAACTAGAAGCCACATCAACGAGGAAAATCTTCCTACATCTTGCTATACTTGCTACCTCAGTATAGAATGGGGACACCGACATGCATGCCAACTACCTAGTAGGTACTACTATTTTATCATGTTATAATTGGCGAAGACAAGACCATTAACTCGATAACAGCTAACACTATGAATTGGAAGCAAAAAAATAAAAGTGTTGAGAAGTAACTCCATCAGCGTGACAGAACCAACCCGGGTCGGTGACGTAGTATCTGGACTTAACGGAGATCCCTCATCCCATCTGTCTGAGACTACGTGATAGTACCTACATGCGCCCATATGTACATAAATCCTCCGGCTTTGGTAACTGTAACTGTACCTAGACTCTGACACTTAGGTACTAGGTAGGTTAGGTAGGCTTTCTATTCGTATACTGGGTTGTTGCAGCTTGCCTTGTTCCCGCGTATCACTCGACCAATCTCACATTGACATATTTTGATGATATTTACATGACAGCAGGAGTCGGAGGCACAAGCGGGAAACCGAATTGGGTTGTATAATTCGTCATAGCTCCTGCATTATACCATGCAGCCTTTAATCCAGAATTTACCTAGGCAGGTAGCAGTGACTTGATGGTTGATGCTGTTACCGTGGGAAAGTTCGATCTAATAAGGTAACGCGTATGTATGTAGGTACTTGCAGCTAACACCTGTTTGATGTAGTGACGTTAGGTATCTTTAACCTTTCATCTTTCCACCCTTCTATATGATTGATCTAAAAGAATAAATACCCACACTTGGGTAGTACCTGGCACCGACAGGACAGAACTTCGAATATCAAGTTCCATTGCTATCTTCCATTTTCGCCTCCTCTATTCCGATATCTCAACCCTAAACTTGGACAACCACAAAAGCAATATGCAGGTCATCCATGCCACGGCAACCTTTTGCAAGCCATAAAAGCAGATCCCCTATAATATTAGAATATACCTACCAGCCTACCTACGATAGCGGGCACTGTACTCGTTCCTCCGTCGTCTGACTCGACACCGACTCTTCCAATCCCGGTCCAATCCAAAGCACCGTCTACGCTACATACCCAGGACGCAGTACCGCTCTGTCTGACCATCCAGCCATTTCAGCCATCTAAAAATCTAGCCTAGCCTAGCCACCACAGAGTGCGTTACTGAAGGATGCAGGCCCCCCTTGAAGATGCATTTTTGTATATATCGCCAATTGGTGAGTTGGAACTTCGCCTTAAGTCTATCTACACAAAGTACCCCAAGCCGCTCGAGCTCTCTCACTCCTTCTCAACCAACCATTCGGACCCGTGCGCCATTGCGACCTTATCGTTGGTCAGCTAGTTTGCATATGGTTTTATGGGGAATACTACACTCCGTCATGTTCGTTGGCGCGCCACTACCAGCCCACTGGCGTCTTCGAAAAACCGCCGCACGGCTCCGGTAAGGCACCTAGGTGAAAGCGACAACATCTCCGACTGAAGGCGACTGAGGGCGACTAAAGGTACCCATGCCAAGCAACCATTAAATACCAAGCATTCAGCCACAGCCTGCCAAAAGCAAATCTTGTTACCTTGCGCGAACTTTGCCAGCCGTGCAATCACCGTTTCTTACTTAGCCGACGTGCCATCGCGTGTCACCTCAGATTCGTTCTCACCCGGGAGCAACGATTTAACATCGCAAGCCTTCCGCTCCCGTGGTGCTCCGAAATGCTCCTTTCTTGCCCCTTTTCCAGATCAGGCGTTGACTGCAGACATGATCAAGTGATCGACAATGACCCCTAGATTCGTTCTCGGTCAACTGCCTCTTACTCAGCTCAGCTGGAAGACCATAGTTGACAACTCACGATATAGAAGTGTAGATGTTCGGAAACTAATCCTTTCTAGGCTATAGAAAATCATCTAGTTGCGGTTACTGCCGCCGCAAGGGTCTCGGTCAGTCTCAGAGGATGCGTCATATCGACCATGCTAGTATTTCTTCACGATCTTATGTCCTCGTTTGCGAACCCACCTAACCACTGATGCTCCGGTGGTTCAGGTAAATTATCCAGTTATTGCTGTGTCATCAGTCGCATATTTTGCTTTGTGTAGCGTCTTACAAGAATGTTCCTGTCCAAGCACATGCTGGACTTTGCAACTGTGATTTGAGCGATGTTTAACTTACTTGTGCCTTCCAGGCCACTCCTATTATGCACGTGCGACGTCTATGAGTCCAGCAAGCTACCAGGCTCTGGTGGATCGATGTTGGAGGCGCTCCGGATCGCTCCTCTATCGACCAAATCAACGGGACGCTTGCTGCCCGCATTATACGATTCGCCTTGATTGTGGCCCTTTCCGGCCGACGAAAGATCAACGGCAGGCTGTCAATCGCTTCAACAGGTACATTATAGGCGATGTCTACGCCAAAGAGGCTGCTCGCTTATATCCGAAGTCACGCGAGCAGGCTCGGAAGCGGGACACCGAGTTTGATTTAGTGGAGAGAATCCACGAAGCTGAGAGGTCGTTGCTGAAAGAACCGCCCGCGCCATCTCACACCTTCACTGTAACCTTAGAGGCAGACGACTTTACCGAAGAGAAATTTCTCGTCTTCGAAAATTATCAGAAAGTTATTCATCGGGAGTCTCTGCCGTCTATCTCTCGGGAAGGGTTTAAGAGATTTCTCTGCTCCTCTCCAATAAAGCAAGAGAAATATACAGCGCCAGATGGCCGAGAACGCCAGCTCGGCTCATTTCATCAATGCTACCGAATCGACGGTAAGTTAGTAGCGATAGGGGTTTTGGATCTTCTTCCAGACTGTGTCAGCACAGTATACTTCTTATATCATGAATCTATTCACAAATTTAGCCCCGGGAAGCTTGGGGCTCTACGAGAAATCGCGCTGGCGATGGAGGGAGGCTACCGGTATGTGCTCAAGAAAATCATCTCCCTTGACCCCCTATTATGTTGTACTATATCCTCTGGAGATTAAGCACGCATTTACGAGTCCATTTACGCGAGCCGTCATAACTTGTCACGAGGATTCTATTACAGAACCTTTGAGCTAAGTGACATATATTAACCAAGAATAGGTGGTGGTACCCTGGTTTTTATATCCACACATGCCCGAAGATGAGGTACAAGATCGACTTCTCACCCCAACAAATTCTCGACCCAGACACTCTAGGGTGGGTAGGACTTACTGGTGACATTATCAAAAAGTTCGACGACCACGGTCTCCTCCATTTCCAAAGCGCCGAAGAAGGAATCACTAAGACCGACTCTACCACTGACGAAGAGGCTATGCAATTAGAGGTCGGGGAAGGGGAGGGGGAAATAATCACCGAGGACGGTTCCGATAGCGACGAGGACAAGCCGCTGTTCAACAGCAACATGCCCGGTATCCCCCCAATTGAAGATATGAAACAAGTGGACTTGGATCATGTTGTGGTGCGTGTTAATCGGGGTTACTGTTATGCGGGCGATCTATTTGATTGGCATAACGAAAGCATTAGCAGTGAGGGATCGGCTAAGGCTCTGGTTGCAGAACTAGTAGCAGCGGTTGGTCCAGGGCTCGTACATGATATCTGTTTGGACTTCAAGAAATCATGAGAATAAGATCACAAAACTGTGTCGGGTAAATACGAAGGGGATATGGTCATAAGACATAGGTGATATTTGGTATTACTATCGAGCATTATAGTACCCAAGCGATTGTAAATAGCGAGACTAGCATAATGAGCTTTACGCATCTGATCGCTTCGTACTGTAGCTATAGCGATGATGTGGAATGGGATTACGAGTCTTTCCAGGAACACATATTAAAGACAACAATGCTTAATAAATAGCCACTCAGTAACAGCTTACCTACCTAGGTACATATTAGATATTAGTATTTTTATCCGACATATTATACCCTTAACGGCCTTTCGAGTAATAATCGTTCATGTATAGGTATCTAACAGGCAATGTTTCTTCGAAACTTCATCCTTACGACTTTAAGATTTCTCTCACCTCAGGAACCTTCGCAACAAATTCAGTCTTCATCTCTGACCAAACTAAAGCCTGCATGTCCCTTCCATCTTCGCCGGTTATAACAGTATCTGCAGTCCTAGGCTATAGGTCAGCTGTGTAAACTATTATGACAGGTTCGATATTAAGTGTGAAGTAACTTACTCTTGGTAGTCGGCATCGGATCCGTAGAACTTGAGAAATCTCCCCTGGTAGATTGTCTTGTCAACCAACTAAGCTAGGGCTATAATTTATGGCGAATATCTTGCTGGATGGAAAACTTACATGCTCGCTCTCCTTTGTCAAACACGCTGCCACGTATGTCCTCGCGCCGTTAGACGGCGACTTACCGAATATAACCGTGAATATAGTGACTATGAGACTGACAACTATCCCTAGCTGCTTTAAGTCTCTGGATAAATCCGATGCCACGAATCCAGGGCACATGGTGTTTACTACGACCTTAGGGCTGACATAGTATTCGTAAGTGTAACTATTATATTAAAAAGGGGAAACTTAGAAGATAGGGGTTGTATAAAGGAGTAAGTATTCACCGTCCGCTTGACCCCAATGCCATTTTAACTAGTTCGTTAACCGCATACTGAGCCATCAGCTTGGTAGTCGCGTACATCGTGCTCGCTCCAGGCCAATTGTCTGGTTTGCTGAAGTGCTCTAAGGGGCCAGTTTCAGATGTCCATTTCTTCCACTCTTGGATATTCGGCTCTAGATGCCGTCCTGAACCCACCACAGCCAAATGTGCCGGCGCCGAGCGGTTGGCGCGCTCCGCTCTCAACCAGGGGAGCAGGAGCAGAGCTAGGAGTATAGTGCTCAGGGTGTTAACTTGGATGTTTAGGTCCCTGGATATTTCCACCAGTTAGCTACCTAACATAACTCTATCTATCACATATTGTTGTATAGTATACCCTTATGCGATCCAAAATGACGAAGAGTTGAATCTAGGAAGTCTTACCAACCTTCCTCACTGAGCGTGGGAGCTATAGTAGAAAGGCCCGCGTTCAACACAACGGTATCGATGCCACCCTTTCCTTGTCTAATCTTCCGGGCTTCCTCCGCAAAGGTTACAACCGAGGCGTACCGGCTCATATCAAGATCCATAACTCGAACTCGGCCTTTACTTCGGCCTTTCGTATCTCGCTCGATAGTCGCAATGGCGGCTTGAGACCGGGCTGAATCACGACTCGTAATTATGACATCGGTGGCGCCTAAATTGACGAAGTGTACTGCGGCGGCAAGACCTAGTCCGGCCGTCCCGCCCGTTACGAGGACGGACTGATCCTTGAAGGAATCCGGTGGCGGGAGGGGGATGTGGAACCATTTCATGTAGACCTGAGCGAGAAGTTTTTGTATTGCAAAGGCCATGTTTTATAAGGGATGTCGATGTATGAACTTTAAGGACGTATACGTACCAGAATGATATTTGTTTTGAGATTCTAGTTGAGGGGATAGACAAATGACTATCGGGTGACGTAGCACCCGGACGTTACACAGCATCTCGATTGGCGTCGCAACAGGTACAAAATGGCTCCGATGAGGCTATTTTGTAGTACTAGGTAACTTCATCACCTGGTAACGAATCTTTTATATCGATATACTCCGCTATTGACCTTAAAGAGATGTCTTTACAGGCGTGGAATGCCTTGATATCAACACTGCAAATATATTTAGGTAACCTGGTAAATTTCCATGTGTCTTGCTTAGGTACTTGATTATTACAAGAGAATTATACAGTTAAGTGGACTGAAATGAAAGGATAGAGCTAGTGATTCCTTGTGAAGCGAGAACTGGAATTATCAAATCCGAGAACTTTCTGGCAATGTCTATAGCCGTACGTCCTCGTAGGATATAATCGGTGCTATGGTGCCCCGTGATAATTCGTTTCTGAGATCCCCTAGTCTATTTATCGTCAGTCTTATTATACACTAAAGAAGTCTTAATGGATCCTATAGAGATTTATAATAGTCTCGATGAATGGGTGAACAGAGGGATACTATACTTCGTAGTGTCCTGTAAACCACAAATTAGGGGGTAAATGAGAATTGAAATTCAGCTAGTTTGCACAATATAAGGATATCTTGCAAAGAGAATATCGCATAAAATCATATCCCTTTTTGATACACTATCGATAACCATTATCACAAGCCTCGTCGATCTCTCAAAAATAAAAATGCCCCACCACAAGCTTAAGCCAATCATCTACCAACCCAGACCCCAGTTCAAAAATCTCCCACCTCAGCCTCGCGACCAAAATCCAATACATCAAAGCTGATAAACAGCTGGTGGAACAATTTTCAAAAGCTCGGATTGATTTTCAAAGACGTGATATATCCACCAAACCGACCCGATCCCTCGGGCACCCAATCCGGGACCACCATCCTCCCTCACAACCATGTCCTCAACAACACAACACCTCCTCCTCTCCCCCGCCGAACTCGCCTACCTGCACAGCACCCTGCGCCTCACCCCCCCAGTCCGTCCAGACGGGCGCACAGCAACGCAATTCCGACCGCTAACAGCCGAAACCGGGGTGCTACCCGGCGCAAACGGCAGCGCGCGAATCTGTTTCGCAGACGGCACGGAGGCGATCGTGGGTGTGAAAGCGGAGGTAGAGAAGCGCGCGCGGGTCTCGTATTTAGACTACTTCTACGAGAACAAGGAGCTGCGGCGGAAGCAGAAAGGAGGGGAGGCCGACGAGGGAGAAGAGGGAGAAAATGGCAAGAACGAGGGAAGCGCGGTAGGCGGGGGCTCGAACGACTGGGTTGAGATCACGGTTGAGATCCCGGGGTACCGGGACGACGACAGCAGCACGGTGTTCCTCGCCACGATGCTGAGCGAGGCGCTCCTGGCCGACGGCGAGTTCACGAAGAAGCTGCGCATCAACCGGCGGTTTCACTGGAAGTTGTACATCGATGTAAGCTCTACACCCCCATATTTCACACATTTAAACAGTTCTTTGATATATTCGGACTGAAGCTAATATATACATCTTAACACCACAGATAATCCTCATATCCCCACCTCTATCCTACCCCCTCCCCCTCCTAAGCCTAACCACACACCTCGCCCTCCTCGCGACCCGTCTGCCGCGGTTAAAATCCGAGGCGGACGAGGACCCGATGTTCGACGACGACTGGGCCGCCTCGCAGTTCATCTACCCGCGAAAAACGGGCGTTCTCAGCTCGCGTCCGCCCATCACGTTGTTAGTCATGGCTGTGGGCGACAACATCATATTCGACCCGTCGAAAGAAGAGCTCGCGGTCGCGGACTCCGCGCTCGCTGTTTCTGTTGGCGAGAGGCTGGGTCCTGTGGACGAGTCGCAGGGGGCGATGGATGTGGATGGGGAGGCGGGGAGTAGTAGACAGTTACGCCTGCTCTCCGTACGGACGATAGATCCGCCCTCGAGGCTAACAGCGCCTGGAGTGCCGAACGCGGTGAACGCGGCAGCGTGGGGTCAAGGCGGGGGAACGACGAAGGATCCGGGTGCCAGGACGGCAGAGACGGATAACGTAGAGGGCGTGTGGAAGGCGCCGAGGGGAGGGGCTAAGGTGGCTGTTCTAGGAGCTATGGTGCAGAAGGTATTGGAAAAAGGGGGTGTTGCGGACGAGGTCCTAGAGGGTCTAGATGCCGTCGATCTGGGGTAGATTCGCAATTACGATACCATGAAGTTATTAGTGCAATACCAAAGCAAGGTTGTGCCTTGTCCCGGAGCTGAGCAGAGATTCATCCACCTATAGGGAGACCGTACGCTAATTGAGTAGCGGCGATTGCTTCCTTTCTATTATCCTTTCTTTTTCTTTCGCACTACCTCGTATGTTGCGTACTATTTTAGAATATCCCGAGCCACTTCTTGCGCTTCCCATCCGGTGAGGACTCGGCAGTCGGAGCGGCTTCCGGTTCGACGACTGGGACCGGCTCCGGCTCAGGGGCTGGTTTGTCATTGCTGAAGAACCCCTGCGTCACCTCCATGCCGTGCGCTTTGCGGTACTCGGCCCGCTTGGCCACGTCGTCGACCCGCATCCTCCGCTTCTCGGTTGTCGTGGCGGCCTCGTGCTCCTCGTGCATGCGCATGACGTCGATAACCACTCCTATGTACTGGAATGGATGCCGCGGGAACTCAGAGATTGGCGGGATCAGGTCGGCGAACGGTGACTTGGCGTTGAAGTTCGCCATGAAGGTGTATACAGCGAGAGAGGTTAGTGTGCCCTAGTAATCGGTTAGATCAAGATTGATGATTTTAAGGGGCTGTGTATATAATGTACCAGGGTGATGAATAGATGGATACCCCGACTATTCAGGAACCAATGCGACCATGTATTCGGCGGTGGTGGTAGACCTGGATATGTCTTCGCAGTTTGAGCTTGGAACTCTGCTTCGGACAATCCCCCGCCATAATGCTTCGGCATTGAACGCGGGAGCCGTGTTCCGTGGGACGGGGGATTAAACTTTTCGGGTTTCTCGAGTACGATGGGCTTTGAGGGATCTACGGGCTTTGAAGTTATGACCGGCTGCTTCGTGGGAACGGGGATCTCCCGGGCGGGTGCGAGTTTTGAGACCGGTTTAGGTGCGGAAGCTACCGGAGTCGGCTCCGAGGTAGGTGCCGCTTTAGATGTGGGTGTCTTGGGAGTTACTGGTTGAATCTTGGTAGGTGGGGTTCTTGGGGGCTGTTTTGTCGGCGCGGAATTCTTTGCGGCTTTGGCAGCGCTCGGTTTGGAGGAGATAGCTTTGGGAGCTCCTTTTGGTGCGGCCGTCTTAGATGCGTAGCGCACTAATACCTGCCCAAGTTCTGCGTTCAGGGGTCTTGTAAAAGCATTAGAACGTGCGGCGGTCCGCCATAATGCGCCGTATTGAGGCAACAGATATCGCGGGATATATGACGTTTTTGAAGCCATCGTGAGAATCTAAAATTTGTTTCAACGCGGGGTAAAATAAATTGAAGCTTCAGGGAAAGAGTTCACTACTAAAGAGTGAGTAGCAAGTCCAACTTATGTATCAATTGACCATTAAGACGCAGGCGCGTCTCTATATCTCAATGTAAATACACTACAGATTTGAGCGCGTTTTGCATGAACTTTGAAATTCAAATTCGTATCGCTCATCTCTTACGATCCAATCCGGTGAAGTCTCTTTCCTTCCCGATCCAAATGGTCGGGAGTCGGTGGTAGCCGTTTGAATTACCCAGAACGGCCTAGGACCTTAAGGTTAGCATGGATTCTCATGGAAGATAAGGTTTATTGGCTAATTGCCAGGTGGTAGCTGCTGGGAGCAAACGCGTTATTCTGGAGTCAGTTTCCTCGAAAATTTTCGTAAGTTTTCTAGACTTGTGACTCCGAAATTCCTCCCGTCCGCATCGCCGCCCCACTATATCGTTTAGTGAGCTGTTTAGTGGACTTAGTGGGTACGTAGAGCCTAGAAGAAAGGAAAGAATAGTGGAATATTCGTCCAAGCGTCAGTAAAACCGGCTTTCCCCGGGAACGTATTACTTCTACTTCAACCCTATTGGTCGGAAACTGCTCGTCACGAGCCACATTGTGGCTAGAATTTCCGTACTACCCTTGCCGAAATGCCCTGACGCTGAGCTCATCGCCTTAAAATTTCCCAAAACACTTGCGCCGATTTTTTCTCTTTTTCCTTTTCTTGCCCTCATACAAACCTCAGTGCATTTTACTTAGACGAATAACTCTCGTTCTCCTTGCGACAGCATACCTGCGTTTACTCGCCGCGCCTAATCATTAATATTCTCTATCCGTCTTCTCAGTTTTTCATAAATCTACCGACAAAATGCCCCTCGCTGCTGGTAGGTCTAGCTTCTTGCATATTCCTTGATTTCGTCCTGTGAGAGTCAACACGTCACCGTTTTCGAGCCATTGAACCACCACCGCTACCTGCACGACTACGATATGTCTCTGAGGGGTAGAATATTCTCAGATATTTCATATCAAGAACTCGTTCCGGGTTTATTTGTAGCCTCCGATCTGATGCCTAGGAAAGTTGCAGCGGCGTGCGCTATTTACGGAGCTACATCGGCTTGCCTGTAACGCAGTCGCACAACGATTCTAGGGGCGCAAAGCATCAGGCGTTGACGTGGAGTGGTTTTCTGGTGTTTAAGACCTCATGAGAGATCCTGGGCACTTATTATTACGCTAGGAGTACCTTAGCTAACATGTTTATTTAATCAGGTGACTCCAAGAAGGGTGCCAACCTCTTCAAGACCCGATGCGCTCAATGCCACACCCTGAAGGAAGGCGAGGGCAACAAGGTCGGCCCTGCGCTACACGGTCTCTTCGGTCGTAAGACCGGTCAGGTCGAGGGTTACGCCTACACAGATGCCAACAAGCAGAAGGGTATTACCTGGGACGACAAGACTTTGGTATGTAGCTTCTGAAGACGACTGACCCTTCGGGCAGCTTTGCTAACTTTCTTATTAGTTCGACTACCTAGAGAACCCCAAGAAATACATCCCAGGTACCAAGATGGCCTTCGGTGGTCTCAAGAAGGACAAGGACAGGAATGATCTTATTACGTGAGTTACAGATCTCTCGAGAAAGTCAGGAGCCTCTTTACTAATTGTAATTACAGATTCTTGAAGGAGTCTACGGCATAGACGAAGTTACGAGACAGACGTGTACCATTACAATCATGATTGCATAGACAGGACCGGCCAGTTGTACTTATAGACAGACTACTAGACCGTTTTTCTTCACTTCCACCCGTCGCGGTGCGAACACATACCCATCTCCTCTTCTTTCAAGGCAGCATTCACCTGGTCGGAGTACTAGGAGTTCAGGCTTTCGTGTGGAGGCTTGGATTGAATATAATGTGTTGCAAGGGATTGAAAATAGTGCGCATGTTCCATGACTCTACTGTTACTAATGGTGGTTTGTTACCTGGAAATACTTCGCGGTCTGACTATGTGCATGTACCGATGACGTAGTTGACAGTGATAACGTAAGGGCGTATTTCAGAGCCAAGATGAAAATGAGCTCTTATTGCCTCCTAGAGACCCACTCCACCACCGTACCGGTAGATCAGTTCTATTGATTCTTAGCGACGAATAAAAAGGGGATGGGCGATGTAGACAGGTATAAAAGACAATGTATGCCCAAGGAGAAGTGTTCAACATAGAATAAAGGGTGAATTGTCACAGGCAGTGGCAGGATTCGAGATGGCAAACAATGATATACTCACCCAAACAGAGCCAATCACAATTCACGTAGAACCAGAACCATGCCCCTTATGGAAAAGCATGAGCAATTTCAACCAATCACACCCGAGGAATTCCGTGCAGATAATATGCGGTGTAAGCATACTCGAATGAGCGGTGATAATAACCTTGTTTAAGGCTATTCGAGATTGTTATTCGGATTTTTTTTTTTTTTTAAAAAAAAAAAAACTTTGACTTTGAGTCGATATTTTACTGTATGGTATAGACAAATCTCATTTATAGGTATTCATTGACCAATGAAGCGAGTATTCATACAACACATCTGGCGTTGGAATCGGAATATCAATATCTCTATAACTATTTTTAGATCCTCGGAAGTTTGTTGAGCATGTGCTTTATGTGGTTCAACCGCTGGGATACTTAGGTACGTAGATTACTGTCGTCATGAGAATTGATTGGTACGCATAACACTACGGTTAAAAATTGGCATCGACTCATGCTGCTTACTCAAAGGGTTAGGTGTAATATAACCCATGCTCAGCTGCTCAGGTTCACGGCGAACACCGACTACGATTCATTGCTCTCGAGTCAAATGTTGTTATGATCAAATTTTTTCAATTGTATTGTATCGCTTTGTTTTAATGGCAGGGGGTATTCAAATCATTCCCAACCTAGCTCTTTCAACTCCCTAAACTTAGTCGAGTGACTAACAGATACGCTGGGCTTGATCTTTCCAAGAGCGGTTTCCCAGTCCTCAGGGGTGAGCACGTCCGGTCCCCTAATGTCGGCACGCTCCACTGCAGCTTGACCGGCTGCCACGTGTAGGTTGTCTATGTCGGCACCGCTGAATCCATCGCACCGTGGGTCGCGAGCCACGACTTCTAAGATATCGTAGTCCGTGTAAGAAGGCAACAGACGCCTCATGCGAGTTTTTAGAATATCAACCCGCCCATCCGCGTCGGGAAGATCGACGAAGATGTTCGTTCCTAGCCGACCAGGACGGAGGATAGCTGGATCGATCATATCCGGTCGATTTGTAGCCCCGACAACGTAGACGCCTGCCCGACTATTCATACCGTCCATCTCTGTTAAAAGTTGGTTGACAACTCTTGCGCTGGCATCGGATCCGTTTCCGTCACGTCGGGGCACTAGAGCATCTAATTCATCAAAGAATAAAATACATGGAGCGGATGAACGTGCCCGGCTGAATACTTGACGGACTGAACGTTCTGATTCGCCCACGTATTTATTCAGAAGCTCCGGACCCTTAACAGATATGAAGTTCGCCTTTGACTCGTTTGCTACTGCTTTCGCTAGCAGAGTTTTGCCACATCCGGGAGGACCCCATAAAAGCACACCTGAAGGGGCTTCAAGACCCTTGCTGATGAATCGCTCGGGGTTCTGGATAGGCTTCACTATAGAAAGCATGAGTTGCTTTCGGACATCGTAAAGAGCACCGATATGTGCCCAAGTTGTATCCGGTATCGTTGTGAATCCTTCCCTCTTACTAGAAGGCTGGACTTTCTCAATCGCACCGAGCATGTGTTCCATTGTGAGCAGAAGCTTATCTGTAGACACCGCCTCAGCAGGAGCTGACATTATTGAAAGATGTAGCCGAAGTCCTGGTGGGATATTTTGCTGCGGATTGACGTCCGGCTCTAGGTTGATATCGAGTTCTGGGTCGAGGTCCATCTCTTCAGATCCCGCATGCGCCAGCTGGGACATGGTAGCTCTAACCATTTCGTTCTTCGCAACAGAAACGACATCCTTCAAGTCGGCGCCGACGAAGCCAGGCGTTCTCTTCGCTATTAGTTTGTAGTCAAAATCTGGGGAAAGTTTGCTGTTACACAGCATCTTTCGTAAAATGGCTTCACGGGAAGCCTCGTTCGGTATTCCGAGGCTTATTTCTCGGTTAAACCGACCAGCTCTTCGAAGGGCTGGGTCAATACTGTCTGGTCGATTTGTCGCAGCTAACGTCACGACAAATTTGCCCCCCAACTTTTGGGGTGCAAGGTCGTCCATGCAGGTTAACATTTGCGCCACTATTCTCTTTTCCATCTCCCTCTGCGCATTCTCCCTCTTCCCCATGATGGCATCAATCTCATCAATGAAGATAAGACATGGCGCAAGTGATTTCGCTTCATCATAAAGTTCTCGTATCTTCTTCTCGGACTCGCCGGACATGCCAGCGATCAGCGAAGGGGCTGAAACCGGTATGTACGCCACTCCGAGTGAGGCAGCATAAGCATTTGCGAGCATAGTTTTTCCACAACCTGGTGGTCCATGCAGAAGAACGCCTCGAGTAGCCTCCAAGTCATTTTCCAAACATACTTCGGGGAATCGCATAGGAAACGTAACCGATTCGGCGAGAACCCTGATAGCATCATCCATACCGCCGAGATCAAGTAGAGAAACGTCACTGGGCGGAGTGCGATCTTCCTTAGGCTTTTCGTACTTTCGCCTTTTCAACTTAGCTTCCCCGTTAGACAGTCTCTCGATGATAGTTGCCGCACCGGTCGTATCAACTCCCGAGACATTATCACTTGTGGTTGCTTCTGGGGTTCCCTGCTGAGCCTTGGGTATATTCCAAGATTTGGTGATGTGCTTATTCATCACAAAGTAGTCGCGTTCCTGTATGCCATGTTAGCCAAGCCACTCGATAATCATATTAAAATTTGCAGAATATGAGTGTTGGAATATGGGAAATAGCCTACCTTAGGTTTTGGTGAATCTATGGGAGCTTCATCTAAAGCCTCTTCCTCATCTTCTTCCTTTCGTTCTTCCTTCCGTAGACGGAGGACTCGTTCGATGGAGTCTTCTAACGGTCGCTTCTTCATGCGCCCAAGACTAGAATTGGAGCGCTTGATAGAATCGTAGACGCCGGAAATAGTGAATTTAAGTGGCTTGCTTCCATTCCGATCGGAGTTGTTGCGCTCATGCTCATCTTCGAGCTTTCTAATAATTTGGTAAACATCACGATCAATGCCTATAAGCGTCCTGGGAGGCATTGTGGTGATAGGCTACCTGCCAGGTAGCAAGTGAACAAGGTGAGTATCATAAACGGATTTATGGTGTTGTTGTATTGTGAATGTAATTACTTGGTGATATAGAAAAAGTTGTTGGATTGAATCGAAACTTTAGATCTTTAAAAATAAAGTGGGTCGAGATATTACTACCTATGTTGAGAGTAGTGCACTTAGGAAGTACTGGTCTCTCAACTCAATGGTCAGAGACGAAACCTCACCAAAGAAAGGGTACCTAGGGTACCTAGTTATAATATAAAGCAGTGATTTTCCATTTAGAACCAAACAATACCCCATTGAATTGAAATAGGCCCAGATTCTGCCTTCTATTAGTGGAAGAGATATGTATCGTACCAAGATCATGACCAGTCCCTAAGTATCACATGTGCCAATCAAAATTGGAACCCAAGATGTACCAAGTATGAACAAGCATCTGCACTTTAAAGACAACGAAGCTCATTATTGAATATTCATTTTCTTCATAGAACCAAATATTTATAATTCATCCTAATTATTTAACTAAGATTCTCACGTGGGCATTAAGTTTAGAACGAACGAATTCTGAATTTAATGTTAAGAAATGCCGAAATACCTAGCATGATGTGCGTCATTGCACAAAATACAAGGTACAATGCGCCTCACCCCCTGCAATCGATAAGCCAACTACCCATGTCCCATGTCCCATGCCCACCTGCCAAACTCGCAATACCATCGACGTCCTACACGTATGTACCTCTCTCTAACACATGCTTCAAAAACGCTCACCACATCGGATATCGTTACGGAGCAGGCGGCCTTAGACTAGGCAATCGCCTGTGAATTACCTATCTAAGCAAACGACTACCTCTAAACAATGCGCGCTTCGGATCCCACGATAGATTCCAGGGTACGGCGATCATGGGCAACCAGCAGAGCAGAGTAACCGCCCAGGACAAGTCCGTCCCCCTTTATTCCCCCCCTTTATCCCCATCATTCCCGTCCACAACTAACATCTACCCACTTCCCACTCCACAGAGCAATCCTCGACCTCAAACTCCAGCGCGACAAGCTACACCAGTACCAGCGGCGCATCACGGTGCTCACGGACAAGGAGACGGCCGTAGCGCGCCAGATGCTCGCGGCCGGCGACAAGAAGCGCGCTCTCCTCGCCCTGCGGCGCAAGAAGTACCAAGAATCGCTGCTCGAGAAGACCGACGCCCAGCTGGCCCAGCTCGAGCAGCTGACGCGCAGCGTCGAGTTCGCGCTTATCCAGAAGGACATCGTCTTCGGCCTGCAGGAAGGCACCAAGGTGCTGAAGGAGATCCACGCCGAGATGGGCGGCGTCGAACACGTCGAGAAGCTGATGGGAGAGACTGCTGATGCTGTTGCTTACCAGAAGGTGCGTGTTTATCCATCCATCCACTCATCCACTCATCCATCTATCTCCTTACTCATCTACCCCATACCCACCCTTCCATCTTCCTACACCCTACACCCACCCTACATATGGGAATTGCCGCGCTAATATGCATATCTTCCATCATACAGGAAATAAGCGAGATGTTAGGCGGCAGGATAACAAACCAAGACGAGGACGAAGTTGAAGACGAGCTCGCCGCTCTCGAGCTAGAAGTCAACGGCCCAGCACCGCTGCCAAACGTACCGAATACCAAGCTACCCAAGGTCGAGGTCACGCAACAAGAAGAAGCAGCCCCTCAAGAGCAAGAACCCGAACAAGAACGAAGGGCAATGCTTGCCGCGTAAACTACGTTCGACTGACTAGAGCAAACGGGGAGATAACTACGAAATAAACTGCATAATGGAGGATGGAGCATGAGAAGTTGTTGGAAACATTGGGTGTATAGTACGACGGGAGTCAAGGAGGTGACCCTCCTGGAGCTGTTTTGATTTGGAAGTTGGGCGTTACTTCAGAGGTGATATAGAATAGCATCGTGAAGATAGCTGGCTGCTTTGGCTATTATAATCAATGAATAGAAAGTGGAAATTTCCTCATTTTCTCATGCTCTCTTTCTACCACGTAGTGCTAGAGCCTATATGATGATCACTGATCCAGCATGTAGAAACCAACTGTTAACAAGGTGTATAACCTAGATGAACACCAGACACAATAATATCGCATCAACAAAGTCATATAACTAAGAAATGACAAATGTTGTCTTTAGGTATGGAGGCATCATTCAACTTGTAAATCCCATATACAGTCACTAATTCAAAGAGTGGTCCAAATATTTATATGCAAATGTTTATTATTCAGTTTGTCTCTAGACTCCATCTTGATACCCTTCTGGTATTGTCATATTGCCGATGGTTCTAAATCAAAGGGGTTTGTTGGTGGTGGGCAAGGTATGTTAATGTTGGCTTTTGCAAACCAAAGATGCAAATGCAATCCTTCAACTCCTAGCCTTCTAGACCATCCACCGATTATGTGCCTTCTGTTCTAATGCAAACGCCAATAACGCCTGGCAATGCGGTGATGCTGGGGAAAACCATCAAAGCCAAAGGGTATCTCAAATGTGATTTGGTCCAAATCATGCCGATGCCAGTTTTTCCTTAATGCTGCCCCATGTCCATCTATCGATCCATCTCATTAATAAGACCAAGGAGATTCGTTGTCGATTTACAATTCTTTAATGCCTATTATATATAGGACTAACGGCCTACGAAGACCATACGGCGTTCAGGAACATGTTGTCGGAGTGGAGACTCGTAATGCTCCATGTAATGTTCCGCGGGTGGAGGGGGGATAAGAGGAGGTTGGTAGTTGGGTCCATGTTCCCCCTGGGGGTGCGCAACCTCACGATGCTCATCTATTCTATAGTATCGAACGTCTCGTCGATCTTGTTGCATGTTTGGTAGAGGCGCGAAGTCCGGACGTTCTTGGTAGTGGTGTGAAGTGCTTGCGTAGCGCCTATATTCGTGTTAGCTCATGTTAAGACATGTAAAAACCTTTGTATTATAGAAAGCCCTCAAAGTAGGTAGAGTATGACCTCCACATCAAATTAAGTTCACTTACACATCAGGTCGGTCTAGCCCCAGAGGGGCAGCCCGCATCTCAGCCCGTGTTTCTCGAAACATGTTCACAGGCGATCTTACCCGCGCAAAAACCTGGTGCTGGTTATGCATTGGTTCTCTGTGATGACTAGGTTCATAACCCACAGGCGCGTTAATTGTATGTCGTGGTCCTGGGGCTGGCACTCTATGGGCGTCTGGCTTTTGATACGGATTGAACCTATGACTGGGAAGGTGAGCCGAGCCACGATAGTCAAATGCGTTTCTTGGCTGAGTGGTGGGCGTGTCAATATATACGACTTGGGGGTCATTTTGGACGCGGGTATCTCTTCGAATAGGAGGATGAGGGATTGCCTCTGCCTGCCTTAAGGGAGGAGCATGGTACTCTCCGCCAGGGTGTCGTCGCACCTCAACTACTGGACGATGTCGGTATTGCGCATCATCATCAATAATAATCGGATTTGCCCGGGTTCTAGTGGAGGTATCACCACCGTAGTGTGTCATCCCCTGACTATGAACTGGCGGGTTGTGGGGCAAACCTCCATCAATGGGCCTGAACGATACCTGCCTGTCCGGAAGATATTCAGCAGGCATCTGTCGATGATCCTCACCACGATCCTGGCGGTTAATCTTAAAAAACGGTGGACCGGTATATGCATCAGCATGCTCAGGCGGATAGTTGCCGCGGCGATGGCGTTCTGCTATCAATTCATTACCATTACTCATGACCGCAGGTGACCAAGGGCGTGGAATAGAGTCCACATGTTCATGAACCGCGCGAGGGACGATACGAGGCGCATCTACAAAGCGCTGAGGCGAACCGTATGAGGTACGAGGAACCTCATCTGATTGCCGGGGAGCGAGCGGAGATGCGGGCTCAATAGACTGTAATAACATGTCCTGTAATCCATGTCTTACCATCGAGTGTCCAGTCTGCGGGCGGTCGTAGTTTGGTACGTGCCCAACTTTGGGTCTATAACTTTCCGGGTTATACGCTCGTTGAGGCGAGGCTTGCATATTGGCCTCAGGATAATCGTGAGGAATTGTGGGTACCCTCTCTCTTCGAGGACCTGCATTCAAACGCTGCAGATCTGATCGCAATTCAAAATGACGAGGTACGTGCTCCACATTGGGAGTACCGTGCGCCGCCACTGTTGGCTCACGGCTGTGATCAAGCATTTGAACGGAACGGGGACTCCGAGTTAAATCCACTGGAACGGTAGAGAAGGGAGCCGAAGCCACAGTCGCATCATCGCCATGGCTTCTTCGACCAGCTGTGCCTGCAAGAGCCTCGGCGGCAGCAGCGTATCTCCTAAAGCGCTGCGTCTTTCGAGCGCTCCTCTTCTCAGCTCTTGCAAGAGCCTTCTGTTTGGATGACGTAGGGGCACCTGGAACGGATAGATCATGTCTTCGAGCCTGAGCAGGCGACTGGTGATCAGCTGGCATCATTTGTGTTAGTTCTGCTGTGTACCTCGGCAATACTCCAGTGGGCATCGCGCTAGCACGGGGCGCCGGAGTAGGTTCTGCAGTTGGACTTTCATCCTCGGACTCTTCGGTGTCAGTGATCTCAATGACTTCACGAAGGATCTCATCTAGCTGGTCGCGACCGGTTTCTTCGTCTCCTCGCCACTTGACGATGATGTCTAGACACGGCTTTTCTACAGCTTTTCGAGCGTTAGCCCAACTAGTCTCCTTTAATAGCTCATCATAGCGAGTATGTGTGTGCCTAATGTGAGCAAGTGCAGCAAGTTGAACACGACGTGCTAATGTCAGCTCTTTAACCATGCCAACTCTAGACTCTCCGTGGAATTTACCATCCTATATTGTAGAAAGGTCCATATTAGTACATCAGAATACGGATTCGAGTTAGGGATAGGAACGCACTTTTCGAAAGGCATGTTGGATGATTTCGCGTCGATCCGTATGAGGGATTCTTGGGAAAAGGTCTCTTATGACATTATCAGCTTGAGCATCGATTTCCGCTTGATTTCGAGGGATCGGTTCCGGTTCGCCAGGCTTGTGAAGTTTGGGGGCGTTGAAAGACTTTCCAATAGCTACCAACTTCTCGCGAGCTTGTTCGACGATTCTTTGTCGATAATGGTAACCAACTCGATTCATGTGGTGTTCTAGGGCATCAGGATTTTCGCGGGTCTAAGGTAATCGTGTTAGTAACTTGTGAAATACTATTTGATGTCCATACGCACAGAGACAATAAAAATCATGGCATCCTGTTCTCTGGACATCTCTTTACATGTGTGAGATAGTGCTGGATGTCCTAGAGGGACAAATTCGAAACCTGGGGGAGGGTTTCGATCGGTGGTAATCTATTGACAGTTAGAATTGTTTTAAGATCGTCGTCCTTTCTATAACGAATAGCTACCTCAAATTCAAGTTTCTTCTTCTTGTCAGAGTTCTCGACCAATTCAAAGGTTGTCTTGTGTTTCATTCTGGGCGGCTCCTTGTGAGGGTTTAAGTTTCTCCACGTATCATCATGTTGCTGTTGTGTCTGATGGGCTTTTTCCATCTTCGCACGACGAGTTAGAGCCCGTACGCCACGATTGGACGCCGGGACTTTTTTCCGTTCTCTCGTCATCACGACAGTAATCCTAACCTTACCGTGAGAAAAGTAGGGTCCTGTGGGTGATACTTGTATGAAGTGAAAGTAAAAGTGAAAGGAAGACGATGGCTACAATGGCTGGCTATTGCATCATATGTATCCAAACGCGATCTGCGTCTTGGCCTATTAAAACCTGAACTGCGGTCGGAACCGATCAGGGCAAATGATTTTGCTTTTGCTGGTGCAGAGGATAGTGATGGAAATGTGAGAAATGGACGGGAAATGGACGGGGAATGGATCTAGGTAGATAGCGGGCGTCACAGTACTGTGTATACCTAGAATAGAGTCAATCAAGTCAAAATCCTTCTAAACAGGGCGACGGCGAAAAAAGAACACTTGTGTTGGGCGATGACAAAATGCGCCTAAGAAAATGGCTCTTCTAGTTTTGGAAGATGTTGACGGTGAGAAAGATCGAGGATTGAATCTGAACGAGATTCGGGCTGTTAAGAATGGTAAATCGCTGGGCGCATGGACCCATAAAATGGAAGGCGGAAGGCAAAAGTCACGCGGAGGAATGGACACGAATATGAGGTAAGGAAGACTATTGGTCGCTCCCAAAACCTTAAGTGCCCAACTTCCAAGAACCTTGCATGGATTCATACCGGAGCCACAAAGCATAGTGCTCCACAGCCACACCACCTTGAGCTTTGCACACAAATTTGTGGCTAAGCTCACAATTACAATTTTCAGAGGACGTTTTGGATTAGGACCCACTCCGGTTAACGTTGGCCCGCTAAAGTTGCCGGTTGGATTTCTTACAGACTTGGAACTTCATTGAAAGCCGAGCTTGAGAAACGACCACATTTAATCCCTTCGAATCCAGCACCCAACCCATCCACGCCGTTATGCTGTCTCGACAGGCGATCCGCTCAATTCGAGCTGCAGCTCCCCAGCGGACCCTTGCCCGCGCTCCCGTACGCTCCTACGCCGCCGCCGCTGGCGCTTCTACCCAAACAGTGAAGCCCCCAGTCGCTGTCTATGGTCTCGACGGTACCTATGCCACTGCCCTGGTATGTCAATCTCTTTCGGAGCTTGATGTTTATTATTAGGAAATAGTCAAGAGTCCAATTGGAGGGGCCAGGACTGGAGAGAAAGGATTAAACAATTATAAAATGAACCGTGTTGACCAATGAGCTATTTAGTACACGGCGGCCGTGAAGTCTTCCTCCCTTGACCCGACTGCGAAGGCCTTAAGCACCCTAGGCAGCCTTGTCTCCAAGGATGCCAGGCTCGCCTCGATCCTAAGCACTCCTACTCTTACCGAAAAGGACAAGAGCGCCATCATTGCGGAATTACAGAAGAATGTTGGTGCCGGAAGTGCAAACGAAACCGTCAAGAACTTCCTCGCGACTCTTGCTGAGAACAACCGCCTTGGAATACTCGAGGGAATCTGCGAGAAGTTCGGCCAGATCATGAGCGCGTCCCGTGGAGAGGTTGAATTGATCGTTACCAGTGCTCAGGTACGTCATCTTCTGTCCGGAATTCGGACCCCATGTAGGAAGGGTTAAGACAAGGCTAACACATATCATAGCAATTGGACAGCAAGATCCTCTCCCGCCTAGAGACCGCCGTCGCCAAATCTCAGTACGTTGGACAAGGCAAGAAGCTGAAGGTCACCAACCAAGTCAACCCGGATATCATTGGCGGACTCGTCGTGGAGATTGGTGACAGGACAATCGATCTCTCAGTCTCATCCAAGCTTGCCAAGATGAACAAGCTCCTCACTGACACTCTGTAAACTATTTCCTTTTGTGCGAGCGAGGGAGCTGCTACGGAGAGACGATTTGCGCCGGGAAGGTTGGTTCTCCGCTGAGATACCATTTGTGTATAGGCTCGTAAAATAGAGGAAGCATTCGTCCCCCATTTCTAGCCATCCGTTCATAGAACAACCACCTACGTAATCGAGAACATTTTCAATTGCTTACCCTACCTCGTAAGGTGCTATTGAGGCTTTCACATCGTATGAACAGAGATGAACTTAAGATCTCTTACGTAGTCTATCTAGTTAAGTGGGTTTGGTATTATCATGTCCTTGAACATGGTTTCTATTATCAAGAGTTACTGGTAAAGGGGAAAGCCGTCTACAAACTATTCCCAAGAGAATAGACACTGCCGTGGTTTCCCTCACTTAACTACTAGGTACTTACACATTCACATGACACAGACTAGAAAAGATCAATGACCCAAAACAAATAAACAACCTCCAACATCCTTTGGCCAAAAGGGCCCGCTAATAGGGGAGCATGAGTTACCTACCAGGCCAATACAGTAAAGCACCAATAGATACCTACTATCTATGCATACCATCACATCCATCACAAATAGATCGGGTAGATCGGGCATCAAGCACCTTCATACACGTATAATCTCATTAAATTCGTAATCTCGTATTCCATCTACCGTATATCTTGTATCTTGTATTTGTATCTGTATGCAGCCTACCAATGTATATCCGCCTGCGTATCCTTTAGGCCATCCATCCAAGCGAGCAAGTTAGGCATCTCCCCACCCGTTCCCAACCCCCTTTTCCTCTCCTCTCCCAAGCTCCCAAGTCCCAGACCCCACAAATTAGGCCCCTAACGCAACCCTCCTCAGACATGCGTCTCATACTCCTCCACATCGGCGTACCTGCCAAACTCGTCGTCGTGGTCCTTGACTCTCTGGAGCTGCTCCGAGACGTAATTCTTCAGATGCTCATCGGCCTCCCGTCTCAGCGCCTGCCGTTCCGGGTCGTCGGGCGCCTCGCTGCGGACGTCAAACTCCTCGCCATTGACCGAAGCATCGAAGTCACTCCTGGCACTGATCGACCGTGCCGTCGAGGACCGGCGCATGTGGCCTTTGTGCGGCCTAGATGAGCCGTTCGTCGAGGTCCCAGCATGCCGGTGGAAGACGTCGTCGAAGTAGTGCGCCATGCCTACTGTTGGTGTACGCGGCGTCTGCGGAAGGCGGCAGCTGATGCTGTTCTATATGTTAGCATATGAATGTATGTGGTGACCGCATAAAGTGAGACTTACCCCGTATCGTGGATCATGCGAGCAATCAACCCGGTCCAGCCACACTGGTGTGTTGCTCCTAAACCACGACCTGTGTCGCCGTCGAAGAATTCGTGGAACCACATGTAGTCTTTCCAGTTCGGGTCAAAGTCCAGCGTATCATTCCCAGCGTTGATACTCCGACGTCCGTCATCGCCCCGGGCGAACAAGTGTTGTAAGCGGTGCTGGATCTCTTCAGAGACGTGTCCGAGATGCATGAATTCCCCAGATCCTGTAGGGCATTCTACTTGGAAATTAGGTCCGTAGAATAGGTAGAACCGCTGTAAGGATTCCACCAGAAGGAAGTTCACACAGAGCCAAATGGGGCCTCTCCAGTTGCTATTGCCGCCAAATAAACCGCTGTCTGAATCTCCTGGCACGTATCCTACTGTGAACTTTTGGCCATTCACGTCCATGGAGTATGGATTTTCTTCATGAAATTTTGAAAGTGATCGAATGCCATGCTCGCTGAAAAATTCATCTTCGTCGAGCATACGCTTCAAGATCTTCTCCAACCTATCTTTGCTTACCATCGAAAGGAGAATGCGGTTACCCTTACCCCTCTTCCGAATACTTGCCATATTCCTTTCCGCCAAATCGCAATGGTTCTCCATGAACCAGTCGACACGCTTTTTGAAGGATGGTAGCTTGTTGATCAGCTCTGGCTCTAAAGTAAGTGTTGCATACAAAGGAATCAATCCGACCAAAGACCGGACAGGTAGTTGTTGAATGTACGGCCCACCCCAGGAAATTGCATCATAATAGAAACCATCTTCGTCGTTCCATAGGGATTTTTCGTCCTTATCTCCATGTTTGAAAGTCATAGCATCGCTGATGAATATGAAATGTTCAAAGAACTTCGAGGCGATATCCTCGTAAATTCGTCGATGCTTGGCTAGCTCGAGAGCAATATTTAACATGCATAAGCAATAGAACGCCATCCATCCTGTGCTGTCAGCTTGTTCAAGAACCCCCCCTGTTGGTAAGGGCTCGGAGCGATTGAAGAGGCCGATGTTGTCAAGTCCGAGGAAACCCCCTTCGAAGACGTTTTTGCCGTCCTTGTCCTTTCGGTTGACCCACCAGGTGAAGTTCAATAGCAACTTTTGAAACACTCTCTCTAGAAAGTCAAGGTCTTGTCTTCCATATAGCTTTCGCTCGATCTTGAAGACCCGGAAAGTAGCCCAGGCATGGACGGGAGGGTTCACATCGCCAAAGTTCCATTCGTATCTGTGATATAGTTAGCCTTTTTATTGATTATACGGTTCAATAACAAGAACGTACGCAGGGAGCTGGCCATTCGGATGGCAATACCATTCCCTAGTGAACAGATCAATCTGCTTCTTCGCAAATTCCGGATCAATCATAGCAAGCGGTATGCAGTGGAATGCGGAATCCCAGGCCGCGAAGAAGGGATACTCCCATGAATCCGGCATAGATAAGATGTCATCGATGTATAGGTGCCTCCATTCAGAGTTTCTAATTTCCTTCCTCTCAGGTGGCGGCGGTGGTTGAGCAGGGTCACCGTTGGCCCACTGGTCCCATATGAACTGGTAGTATTGCTTGCACCACATCATACCCGAAAAGGCCTGGCGTTGGATATTGCGAAGATCTTCGGACATCGGCAATGGACTTATCCTGTAGTAGAATTCATCTGCTTCCTCTCGTCTTTTTTCAACAATGTCATCAAAGATTTCTTCGTCTAGGTAGGTCTCATTCTTTCTTGAAAATCGGAAACGGACGACTAATGAAGGGGGTTAGTATGGTATATCATGTTGGTAGTCTTCTGTCCTCTGTAACATACCAGCGCATTCACCAGGAGCAACACCCCCTGATTCGTTGAACTGGAACCATGCAGCGCACTTTGTGCCTGTCCTAGCTGGGTTCACAGCTTCCTTCTTGCCATCGACAATGTAGTTATGGAATGCGTCCTTGACATACGGAACCTTGTTCTCTCCTCCGTATAGAAGCTCATAATTGGTGTCATTGTCAGTGTAAATGATATCGGGCTGCACATCATCTCCACTGACCCCGACACCTGGCGAGGGTGATAATAATAAGTATCGATTACCTAGCTTCCAATGCTTCGACCTGGCCATGTTCTCGGAATACCCTGAGATAGACGGTTTCTTATCTTCGGTTTCCCTTCCCCAGGCCCAAGTGTTTCGAAACCAGACATGAGGGATGATATGAAGAGGAGCAGGCTCCGGTCCTCGGTTCCATGCTGTAACCCGGAAGAGAATCTCATCAGGATCATCTGCCTCCTTCGCAGTCTCGATGATGATATCCCAGTATCTATCCTCATCAAATATGCCAGTGTCGATGAGCTGATACTCCTTATCGGTTTTGGTTCTTTTGGCGTTCGTATCTAAGAGATCTTGGTATGGAAATGCTCTTTGCGGGTACTTATAGAGGTATTTCATATAGGAATGCTAGACAGTCGTGAGTAAACGCGCAGGTGGAACGGGTTGTGCTATATCTTACTGTCTATTATTAAATTGTTAGTGATGACAAAGCTTAAGGTGATATTCAATGCTTACAGGTGTATTATCAAGGTGGAAATGAGCCTCTTTGATACTCTCACCATGATTGCCTTGGGGGTTTGCTAGACCAAAAAGTCGTTCTTTGAGGAAGGGGCTAATTATAGTCAGTAAATTACACTCGTACTATGGCATTTTCTAATACGGACTCTTGCTCGTTCCAGAAAGCAAAGGCAATGTTCTGCAACCCGTGAGTATCTGACACTCCAGCTATACCATCTTCACCCCAGCGAAAAGCTCGAGATCGTGCGTGGTCGTGAGTGAAATCTGTTTGTTATTGAATGTTAGTGTGGATATGTACTATAATGTCTAGAATCATAGACTCACGGCTCCAAGCATCACCATCTGCACTGTAGTCCTCTCGCACTGCACACCACTCGTTAGTTTGCGAGATCGAAAAGGAGGGGCTCCTTCGCTATGCTTGCCTGTGGCCCATTGTCGTTCAGCAACATAGGGCCCCCATTTCTTCCAGTATTTGATCCGATTTCCATCCTCCTTGAGACGCTTCTCTTCCTCGGTGAGGTATTCGTAGTTGTCGACTACAACCATGTTTGAAGATTGCTCAGGTACTTAGTGCAAGCTCATTAGTCGGGGTAACGCCTGGCACGTGCGTAAGCTAGTAAGGTAAGACAATGAGTTCCAACTTTAGGATAACTATGGGAAAATATAAGTCGGAAATAAGTTTCGACTGCACAAGATAAGAAGAAGAAGAAACACCTGTATAGATTCTATTAAAGAAAAGAGGAAAGATGTGATAACGCAAGACACGACAAGCGCTGGAGCTGCAGATCAGATCAAATCAAATCAGGTACGCGAGTAGAGCTTGACCACGACTATCTCATTCAGGTAAGCCGTTGGGTTTGTAGTCCGTTAGTCGTCGGTAGCTATGTGGGATGTGTATGAAATGTATGGGATAGGATGTACGGGATAGGACGGACGGAGTTTACAGGATGCACAGGATGTATAGAATGTAGCGAGCTAGCCGGGTTCAGTGTTTGGGTTCAATCGTTCTAGCCACGGCGAATGTATGAAAACCTTACTAGCTTATTAGTTCTTATCTTGTCCGATGCTTAAAATCTGTTAAAGAAATACTTGCACTGTACATAGAGCTCCTAATGAGGGGAAATAAAAGCATGTGCGGGGTGTATTGGGCATATTGGGTGTGATGACATCATTAGGCAGGTATACATCCCTGAGCAAGCACATACATGTAAGCACATGCTTAGGTATATGTACTGCTACCTTACACCCTCTCTATACCTCGTATGTATATCAATAGTGTATCGAACGCCAACGAGATGAGATCCGTACATTACTTGCCGTGGTTGGAATCGTTTCCACCAAAACAGAATGGACGCCAAATAAATCGCGGCAACGGAGCTAATTCTACGAAAATAAAAAGAATAGCCCAGAAGCCCTAAGCCCCTGCCAACTGGCTCTTCGTTGATAAACATAGCTGCAAAGCTGGAAAATCGGAAATCGCCAAAATGAAAACCAAAGTCATCCGTCGTATACCATCCGGTCGAATCTACCTTTGCCCTCCAAAAAGTCATATTCGGAAACAGGGGTCGGAGTTTAACTGTCGCCCGCCTAACACCAACTCCGGCGTTGATCCGATAAGCATTCCTCCTTAGTATTGGCTGTTAAATTTATCCCTTATCGAACGTAAGTGAAAATGAACGTGGTCGTTATGACTTCGCAAACCAGGGGAATTTCTTTTTCCCAGTATCTATAGGGCCACCGCTAGGAGATTCTACCTGAATGCTGCGTTGATAGATATCCTAAAATGCGAAGTTAGCGAGTATGCTCCTAAACGGACTGTAAAATAAGTGAAATCCGTCTTACCTCTTCGTCCGTAGGCATCAAACAGTCTAGAATAAGTTCCCTCGCCGTGTCGTGCTTGGATAGGTTTGGATATGGGGTGCCCTGGCTCTTCATGATAGGCAGGAGAATTTCTCCAAGAATCTCGAATTTCTTCCAGTTTATTCGATCCCCTTGGGGCCCCACCAGCGTCATGCTACCTTCTTCGGCAGAGACGAGATCTCTACGATGTAACGGGATGAAAGGGATGCGCGGCAATGGCGAGTTTTCCCAGGCGAGTCGATAGGCGAAGTGGCTCTTCTGCGTGCCCATTAGAAGTACTAACCTCGCAAACCGCTTTTGAACATCTGCTGGCACAAGCGCTCTAGTCTGGCCGAGACGATGGATGGCCGTTCCGTTGATGCCGGCAAGCACGGCTGCGAGACCGTTGTAGTTGTTTAGCTGTCTTAGCTTCAGGGCGATATTCATGAACTTCTCCAGCATCTGGGCGCGATGCTTGGCTTTGTCTCGCATGAGGACTAGATTGGAAACCCAGACAGCGATGTGGTTGAAATGGGCGATCATGCGGTTTACATTCTTCATAGCCCTACATTTTTCCTTCTGTTCGGTAGATAAGCTAACGTGCCGAACCAAGTCACGTATCCTAATCGAAGAAAACATGACCCAGTCGATGCGCGTCATCTCATCCGCGATATCGTCATTTTGCGTGTCCATGAATATGTGATATCGGAATTTGGTTAGGGGCAATGTATATGTGGGCACCATCGTCGCCGCCTCTCGTTCATAATCCTCGTACGAATGGAATTGGAATGAATGGATCTTTCCAGCAGTCCCAGAATCCGTCTGCAAAGATGAGCTAGCCGAAGGTCGTCGCTCGATCGGCTCATCAACACCGAGAGAGCTCATGCTTTCCGATAGGTCGCCAAAACGCCTTGAAGCATCTTTCGCAGCCAGCTCACTTTCGTCTGCTATGATATCCTCGGCGCTGTCGGATTTTTCCCAGCCCGTGTCGTCGGCCTCAATCACGGCATACTCTAGCGTTCTGCGCATTTGTTGCGCAGCTATAGAAAATATTGGTTCTGTAGATAAGTGTCTCACAAAATCCTCTAACTTTCTTTTTGTCCCAGGCCGCGCAAAGTCTCCAGGATAAGTCGCGACCCACTTCGCAATCACTTCAATAATTCGAAGTTGCGTAGCCGTCTTAGTAAGATAATGGACAGACTTATCGTCCTTGATACGGTCCAGCCGGGATAGGAGTGACGAAAAGAGGTATCCAGGTGTTGAGAATTTGCGATATAAACATAGGAATATATCTAAGAAATTGTTGTCTGCTCTAGACATCTTAGGGGCAACAAGGCGTTCTACTAATTCGTCGAAAGTAACACCGAGCTTCTTTGCCGGCCTCTCAAATACCGATTCATCGCTTCGCTGTAGTAAAGGTATATCGTCAGAATATCTCATCGAATCCGCATCTGAATCCTCGATGTCCAAGAACGAAGCAGCATTCTGGGAACGATCTAGCCTGATTCCCGTTGTGCGGAGCATGCTAGAAACGGTTTGGTTTGGATCATCTTCCGAATTGTCTGGAAACTGGCCGGTGACATGGCTTCCCGTATAATCAACACGAGGTGATCTTGCAGTGCGATAATCCGTTCCTGGCTGGCTTGGAAAACCTCGAAGCAATGACATATCCGAACTAGCGCGGCTGTGCTTGCTATGTTGGCTTAAGGGCCGGGCGTTTGATGATTCTAGTTGGGTATCAAGATGCGCAGCCGAAGCTGCTCTGCGTCTTGAACCTATCCCGTCCGTACCCTCCGCCTCTGTATTCATGATTAGCAAAAATTAGGAAAAGCGAAAGCTACATAAACTTCTATCATATTATGAATGAATGTATTTCGCAATATTTTTTTTAATTAAGGGGGGACGGCCTCGAGCTAAAACTTACCTAGGCTCCGCAACACTAATGCCTTTAGAAGCGTAGATAAAGCTATCCTCGCGCTCTCTGGTTTATTTGCAGACGTTTTAAAAGTTGCAAGACACGATTGACATGCCGCAGCAACTGCCTCTGTGTCAATGTGTCTTGAATTGTCCGGGTTATCGCACTTCGTCGCGACCAGGACTGCTGGCAATGACGAATTCACGAGTGCATCTATTTAATTTAGTCTTTGCTCGTATTAAAGTATCTCGTTGACATTCAAGGTATAGAATGGCATCTACAATGACTTACTTAGGGTTTGAGGTAACTCTATGATGCTCTCTCTATTCATCACGTCGTATAAGAGTAGAACACCATTTACTCGAGGTACAATTGCACCGCCCATCTGTTTCGGCCACTTAATTTGCCGATCAGGATCTACGTCGAAGTACTCGAGATCCAACTCAAATAGAGTAACGGCGTAAGGAACATTATCGATATTAATGCGTGCGGTTGTGGGATTGGGACCCGGAACGCGTGGTAAGGACATCGCCCTTTGTATGAAGTGGGACTTGCCGACTCCGTTGGCCCCTATAACACAAATGTTGATGCTCTCCATTTTGTCGATCGCATGTAGCCAACTCTTAAGTTAATCCTCGGCTATATAAATCGCACGGTCTAAGTCTCAACGAAAGGAGCTCGATAAGCGCATCCAAGCATTGAGATCACATATAATTAGTAACCTAAGGTGTCGAGCCGGCATGGAGCTTCACCGGAGAGCTCTCATGACTATAGTTGTATGTGTATTATTGCCATAAGGGGTGGGTTTATTTCGTTTATGATATCTATGCGGAAATAAAATCGAGTTGTGAACCGGCGACAAGGAATCTAAATAAATTCTTAGGGAGGGGTGGGGAATCAAGGGATATATTTCCGATCGGAATGGTCAGCAGTCGAGGTAGGGGTCCGTGATCGAAGAAGCCGTGCTCGGGAAGTATGGAGATATCAATGATACAGAGAGTGCTATAGAATCGTCTATTATGAGCCGCTCACGTAGTTTGGAGTGTCCTGGTCGATTTTACCGTCCTCGAGTTACCTAGGTCTAACGGGGTCTAAGAGGGTTTAACATCTGCTTCGCTGAAAGCCGTTACGAATTATCGTGCAATGTAACACGCCCGTTGTAGTTTAGGCGACCTGATAGACTGGTGTGACAATGCACTGGAGATGCTTGGGGAAGGTCGGGCAAGTGACGAAACGAAATGCGCGAGACGGCTTCACCGATATTATTGCGGCGGGAGTATATCGACCAGGTGAAGGGTTGTGTGATCGTTGCGCGGTCTAACCTAGAGCGCGGGTGTCAATTCTTGAAGTGCAGCACAGCCATGAGGGGCAAGTTCATACGAACACGACAGTCCTTCGTACTTGTACGTAGGTCAACTGTGGGTGTAATTGAGCTTTAGGCCCAGTGCGGGAAGCTTGAGACGAAATACGGTATCCGCTCGCTAGATCTCGGCCAGCCACCGTCTCGACGGGTAGATAAGAGTCTGAATAAGGTAGAAGAAGGAGATGATGTTTAGAGGTGGATGATGCTAGGTTGCGGTCATCATGACACGAAGACCTACTAAATTCGGTCGTCTTCAGATTGCGACGTCGAATGGTCGACGGGTCAAGGTGAGGTGAGTTCAATTATCCGGTTGCGGGATGAACATCATTGAATTGAATCCCCCCTCAGCTGAAGCACTTAGGGAGTGACCCTGTAATAAATATATGGACCCTCGGATACGGCCAATGATCCCACATCCTCGAGTCGGAAGTGACTTAAGCTATACTTTTAACGTGTCGTTATCCCACCAATTTGCAACGGATAACAGCAGTTGTTTAAGGTACCTTAAGGTATCTATTCAATAAAAATATTTAACCCCTTCCCCAGTTTGACGATAGGAGCTTCCCTACCGTAGGTACATACCCCTGCATTCAAGCTGAGCAAGTGCAGACTTAGGTTAAGATTTCACGTGGGCATTGGCCGCACTTACTCAATTCCATACATGGATATGTGTATTTCTTGTCATTTTCATGATACTTTAAACCGGAGTCTAGCCTAACTAAACCCAATCTCAGATCTTCAAATGCTCCGAATTTGAACGGATGAGCTTCTTGATTGGATCCGAACTTCCTGCCTCATAATGGGAGGAAATAGGAGAAACGCGTCAAACACAAACGAACAGCGGCTCCGGCCTACTTCTTGGGCTATCTTGATTGACAACCAAGGCCAATCATATATCTTCGAGCTACGTATGTTAGCATACCTACATATACGTGTATCAGGTACCTGTCTCTCATCCTTTTAAGAAAGCTCCTCGTACGCACGTGGGTTGGTTGACCAATAGGCGACGCGCCTTGGTGTGTTCCAATTCCTACGTACCTACGCCAAACGCCAACGCCAACGCCAACGGACATATACCTCTCATCGAACCCGAGCTATAGAATACCAGGCGGGGATCCTGCGGAAATAGTTATTATGTATCACGCCATTGAGATGCCTAGATCAACCCATTAAGCGAACTTGTTAGCTTCGTCCCGAGTTCTGGATCATCGGCTTGTGGTCGGGTTCGGGGGAAGTCCGTGCTTAACTAAATATACATAAGTTGCTCTAGCCACCCCTAGCGTTTGATACCGATGGCTTCCCGAATGGACCCCGACAACGTCGGTTATAGACGGACATCTGGTGCTAATCGGTCTATCCTCGTGGCTATTCACCTACTAGGTGGTAATATGCTATACGCTGCAGAAACCCCTGATCACTTGTGTCGGTTAGATCCTTTTGATAAGATCTACTTGATGTGGGCACGTGAGAATTCTTGGTCTCTAGAGAATCGTTGAGTGTATTCAATAACGAGATCCTGACCTAACTATACCCAAAAAAATATCAGTTATCAATACCGGAGAATGGAGCCATACTGTTTTGTGAGGTACCCTACCGGTATCTGAAGAATCCCAAGTTTTTTTCTAACTTAAGATAGATGCCAACTTGTCGGATATTGTAGCGGAGCTGACGATTTTGGGGCACGGTTATAACGAATTGTAGCGTGCTATTGGTAGGGTACCACGACACGCCGCCACAAGGAATTGTTATCGCGCTGCAGACTACCGACAAGTCTCATACCCTCAATTTCTCCTAACATATGAAGGTTGTCTTCGTATGACGAGTAGAACAGGAGCTTAAATAGCAAACTAGGAGTAACGAAAGCGATCATCTCTTGGATACGTATATGAATTGAGTTCATGATTTTCTCATCTCGTAATCTAGTAATCTCGAAATAATAATCGCTATTCCACACATTAAGGGGAACCATATTTTCACTAAAATATCGAACCAGTAGCCAGACATGATGGTCATAGTTCTTCCTGGTATTACGTTGAGGATTTTAACTTGGGTATTTGGGTGTAATACCTAGAGTACCCCGAAATTTTGGAAGGTTACTAAGGGTCTCGATCAGTCATCTAAACGGATATTGCGATATGTCATGGGTTTCGTCGCCCTATTCCTATTTTCTCATGGGCCTCTTAGCTACTGGGCTTTCTTTCGTGTTGTCTCAATATATTTGTTTGTAAGGATAGCTAGAGTGAACGTTAGAAAAAGGCGTATGGATCATTGTGTTGAAAGTATATACAGCTGGTTTCGACAGGAAGAACTCGAAGAGAACAGTAGTGCGAAGCGTGAGCTTTCGAGAATGCTAAGGACTACCAGAAGGGCATGGTTTAGGTATCCAATATCGAGCATGTAGGGATCGTATGGCATCCTAAACCTGATGAATTCCTAAAGAACCGCCCACTAGTGTTGGATAATAGGAATTCGCGGATTAAAACAAGTCGTAGGCGTGGTTAATTTGAAGTGGCAGAGTGGTCCCGAGTTTGTGGATCACGGGTGGTAGCATATACCCGAGCAGTCATAGCGATGTTATCTACCTAGTCGGTATATGAAGTTACCTATCAAAGGAGAACAGTGCTCATAAATGGCTTTTCATTCTTGTCTACCTTTTTAATGCCATGTGTTCAAGTACATACCTAGGTACATAGTATATTTAAGTATGTAAGTAACTTTCTAACTTATACCTACTGTGTAGTTAGCTGTCTAGATATGTTTAGTCATAAACCGCAACGACCCAGCAGCCTGGAGACGGGATCCTAGGTACCTAGGTACTTTACCTGCATAATGTATGTACCTACTAGGTAGGTAGTCTTAATATCGAGTGTCATCTACATCGATATATAAGATCTTTAAAAGCTGTTAAGCACCAAAACTGCCCGGGTTAATATGTAAGAACCAGGTTGAGTCAGAGGTTGAAGGTAAGTTTGCTACTAGATAGATGATAGTCTGGTGTTTCGGATACTGGGTACTGTAGCCAAGATGAATATTTCGAGTAGAACTTAAGTTCAATTTAGGTGGCTGATTCTACTGTCCTAAGGTTGGTTTGGGCACAGACAAATCTTGCCCCTTTTTATCTAGTCATCGCATGGGAAACTAGTAGGTGATTACCACTATAAAAACATAGAATAATTAACAGATTGAAACGATTAACGAGTAAATGGAAATATCTATTCATACTGCAGTATTCGGCCGTCAAACCAGGGAACTCGGATAGCTGCAGTGGCTAGATGACAAAGGCTAGTATCTGATATCTGCGCGTTCATGCATCTGATATGCGATGTGCGCACAGTCGAGGCTGTTTGTTATTGTATTTCAATCTGTAGCACAGATCTCCCTGGAGATGTAATGCATATTTAACCCCGCGATTCCCTTTTTTAATAGTGGCTTGCCCTTGTATCGCGATTGCGACTTCGTGGTAGTTCAATAGCGCGGTGGGTGACGACCGATTCTTGTAGATTCCCAAAGTTCCCACCGTTCCTTCATGTTATTCACTTCCATCCCGTACCTTCACTTTCTGTCTTGTGTACCTTCCTTCCTTCCGTTTTTATTTCCCACACATTTTCCTACTGAGGTGCATGCGCCCATACCTTTCGTTAACGTTTTCCTACCTTCTTCTACCTTTCCTTCTTGTACCTACCTTTTTATCCACCAAGCTTGCACTTACATACTTGCCTTGCAACCAAGTATCTCGCAGCACATTTTATTTATTACCTGGCAGCAACGACTTTACTTCATCTTCCTAGGCATTAAATTTCTTTTACCCAAGAAGTAGCAACGTCAATATCGCGCTTTCCCATTCATTCTCGACCAAATTCTTTTCATGTACTCCCCTCATTAACTCTCTTCCACTGAACTTCTTACGATGGATTTACCACGTCCATCAATTTCGTCTTCCTCTGACGACGGAAACATGCCGCGAAACAACGCCCCTCGAGGCCGTCCGGCCAAACGTTTCGAGCTCGATCTCAGTGACGTTTTTGATGAGGAGCAGAAGGCCCAGTTCGTAAAACTTGCCAACGACATTATGGAGGATATGCATAAGCGGACGCTGGAGAACTTCGAGTCTTTGGATCCCGTTAAAGTTCCTGCCAACCAAGGAATTAATCCCCCCGGTGCACAGTGTCACATTATCCCAAATCAGGATAACGAGAATGATCGTCGTGTATTTGAACGCCCAGGCCCCAAATTCGGCTTTGTCCCCAAAAGCAGATGGACGTACCCCAAGGACGCTGCTGAGCTTCAAGCGGTCCTAGGAAAGTCGGATAAACAAGTGCTAGTCGAGAGTGTTAGTGAGCAGCAGAAAGATGCCCTTTCTCATTTTAACAAGTGGCGTCTGAGCACAGTAAAGCGATTTAACGACATCGTTGTCAAGACTGACAGGAACAAGAATGGTTCTCGCAATGGATTTGGTGGTCAGGGTAACCAGAGCAATCAGAGCAATCAGGGCAACCAGGGCAACCAAAACAGCCAGGGCAGCCAGGGCAACCAAAACAACCAGGGTAGCCAGGGCGGCTACGGTGGCCACGGTGGCCGTGGTGGTTATGGTGGTTATGGTGGTCGTGGCGGCGGCCATAATGGACAGCCTAATAATCGAGGTAATGCCGGACAGCTAGGCTTCCAACAACGCAATCAGCCCAACACCCAGTCCGGCTATCATACGAGAGGAAAACCAAAAGCGCCGAGTGGTAAGTCATTCCTCAGGAGCCGGTCCATGAGTGAAGAGCAAATCTAGTAATTTGCTTGTCTTTTAACGTTCATTGCCTTGCTTATACCCCAAAGGTATCTGGCCAGAGCTAACTTCACGTCTTAGTTTTCAACCTCCCACCTCCTAACCCCGCTCATATTGAAGACATGCTCCATAAAGCGTACCCGGCAATCGATACCCCTCTTAGGTACTGCTCTAAGGAAAAACGTATGCTTATTATGCATTGCACACTGTTGATCTTCCTTGGGCTGGACCAATATGGTTTATACTCAAGAATCCTACTCGTGCGACTAGCTTCATCATTGGATATTCCGCTACCTATTGTCTTGGACGACGAGAAAAGAGTTTCCGGTGCTCTTTCGAATATCATAATGGGTATCCCTGTCGAGGAGATCGTCCAGAGACGGGCAGAAGAGGCCAAGACTTCTCGACGCTGGAAGCCGGGCATGGCCATGGCAAACATAAGTGGGAGCACTGGCACGCTCTCACCTCCCCTGGTCGCTGCCGGAATTGGTACTGTTTTTAACAAGGTCAGCATTAAACCGTCTGCTACAGCAGGACTTCTGGGACCCATGAATGAAAGTACTGTGGTCGTTGGCACCTTGTTCGGTCTGTATGGAGCCCGTCAAGGAAGCAAAACGATCGAGGCTCATAGAAAGGATGTACTTGATTTCGGCATGGTGTCTATACACGGAGCAAACACGCCTGAACTTATCGACCCCAAAGATGTGCCCACAGGAGACCGCAGAATGCGAGTCACTATCGGAATTGGTGGTATGATCACTGGCGAAGACAGCTTTCTTGATCCCTGGAAAGCCCTGGGCAACAAGAATGAAGCATACGTCATGAGATACGAATTGGAGGCACTGAAGAATACGGGCGATTCCATTATGGCGGCTCTGCAGACTTCGCCTGGTTATGATTTTAGAAAGGAGATGTCTTCAGTTAACGGTAAGAAGCTCTCTCCAATTTAACTAGAACACTGGCTAATGTTGATATTAGTCTTTGAAAGGTTGCGAAAGACCTTATGGCCGGTTGGCATCGTGAGGATTAGCAAAGTCGTCGACAATCATTGGTGTATCGGAATGGTTCGTGCAGAAAAGGCTGGCAATGTGCTAGCCGATATCCTGATGAATCGACTTTATGGAGAGAGACCTGTTACCTTGGTGGGATTCGGTCTCGGAGCCCGCTCCATCTATGCTTGCCTGATGTGTCTGGCCGAGAAGCGAGCGTTCGGATTGGTAGAGAACGTGATAATGATGGGCGCACCATGCCCAACTGAAGTTCGAGCCTGTTCAGCCTTGAGGAGCGTTGTGGCCGGAAGATTCGTCAATGTCTATTCCAAGAATGATTATATCCTTGGCTTCCTATACCGCAGCTGTCATTGGCCGATGGGTATCGCGGGCTTGCAGCCTATCCAAGGCGTACCGAATGTTCAGAACCTCGACATGAGTGATATCGTCACTAGCAATCTTCAATGGGGTTACCTCGTCGGCTACACCCTTTCTCGAGTTGGTTGGGAGGATATTGATACCTCTATTATCCCCCAGCGTCAGGCCAATCTGCTTAGCTTGACTAACGAATTGGAGAAATTCGATAAAGAAAACGAGCAGAGGTGGAAAGACAAGAACGGCGTGAGTGCCAACCTCAAAAAGCAAGCCACCAAGGTAGAGAACGGCGTGAGTACCAACCGCAAAAAGGAAGCCACCAAGGTAGGACTCGTTCGAGCGATTGCCGACGTCCCTACTGGTACTGGTACCGGTGCTGGTGCCGGCCCGGGTGCAGGCAGTGGCGGAGGCGGAAGCGGTGGTGTAGGTAAGGGCGGAAGCGGAAGCGGAAACGGAGGCGGAGGCGGAGGCGGAGGTGCTGGCGGAGGTGGAGGTGAGCATAGAGGCGGAGACAACCGACGAGGTAGTGATAAGAAGAAGAAGAACAACAAAAAGTAACGTTGACGTCTGGCAAGGCGGCAATTTCTCTTCTAGGATTCTCCGCAACGGATACGATACCCGGTATTTCTTGTTTGAGGCGGCGGTTATGGGGAGTTGGTTCTATATCATAGGGTTTTTTTCTATGGTTTAGGAACGAGGAGTTTGCAGGCTATGGAATTCTCTTCTGGAACATATCCACCCCCTGGAAGCTCGCGATAGCATTCCTGGTTAGGGAGCATACGAATGGATGAAGTTAGTATAGCTTGGACGTTTGTACTTACTTGATTCACATACCCGATTCACATACCAGAATGCATACTGTTACGTATATTACTTTTTAAGTCTTTTTTCGTGTTTCCAGCCGTGACTTCACTATCCTGCTTGGGTTGGATCCGTCGATCCCGTCCGCACGACAAAGTATCGTCCTACCGTTTCACTAGCACCACCAAGAACATCCCAACCCTCTACCGAAGAATCAGTATTTTCTTCCACCTTTTGTCCATTTCCTTTAGTTTTCCCCGCCCGCCGTCGTCGGGGGCGCCGTGCATGCCCAACGACGTCCTCCCCCGCAAGGGCTTCCTTGAGTTGGTCTAGGCCGATGGTTTGTTCACGCATACCCTGTGCCGTTTCGTCGCGGATGGCGCGCAATGGTTCTATACCGGTAGTGTCGACTTTGCGAATTGCACGTACGAATTGGAGTTGTGATTCGAGGGTTGCGAGCATTCTTGATTCCTCTCCGGTGGATTTAGGGGGCGGGAGAGCGGAGAGCCGGAGTAGATGTTGTAGGGTCTGTGGGGTGATCGTTGGGGAGCCAGTCGTAGATTCCGACGAGGCCGAAGAGGGCAAGAGGGAGCGGACGGACCAACTTGGTTTTGAGAGGATGTTCTCGAGGTCTTGGGTCGTATTGGGAGCTGAGCTTGAGCTCTTCCTAACGCTGCCGGTTGATGTTGTGCGTGGTTGGAGCATTCGTAGAGCTCGACGTGATTGGCGAAGTGCCGTGCGGCAATGACTGCATATTGTTGAATTCATTATCGTTTAGGTATTTCTATATAAACCTATGGATTTATTGTTCTAGGAGACATCAGGGGATGGTCAAGATGTAAAAGTCTCTTCGATTTATCACTTGAAGCGTGAATGATTTAGTATGAAGGGAAGATCCTTGTTAGAGATGAAGTCCTTGAGGCTGAACGGAGCCTTTTGCCTACGGTGTACTTGGGACGAACTTTACCACAATATAATATTTCCATTAATTCAGATATCTTATTAAAACGTATATAAAAAATATTAAAAATTTACTATAAACGAAACGACGGCGGACCATAAAAATAAATCCGTTAACCCGTTAATTTAATTAATGTATTAAAAAATATATTATATAAATATAATATATAACGAAAATATATTATATTTTATAATTTAAAAATTAAAAAACTTATAAATTATAATACGTATAAGTAAATATTTATTAAATAAATATAATAAATTTTTTTATTTTTATAAAAATATTAAAAAAATAAATATTTATTTAATAATGTTATAATAATTATTAATTAAATTAAATTTTATTATATTTAAATATTTAATAAATAAATAAATATATAATCGTTATTTATTATAATATTAAAAATTATAATAATAAAAATAAATTAATTTAATTATTTTATTATATTATTTAAGTTTTTAATTATATTAAAATAAACGAAAATTTTTATATTTAAACGTAAAAAAAAATAACTTAATATATTATTAATTTAAATTTTAAATTATTATTAATTTAATAATTAATTAAATAACTTTTCGAAAATAAATAAATAAATAAAAAATATATTAAATATAAAAATAAAAAATTTTAATAATAATTTTTTAATAATAAAAAAAATAATTTTACAATTAACGAATAAAATATTAATCGTTTAATATTTTTTTTAAAAAATAAAACTTTATTTAATAAAGTTTTTTTAAATTTAATTTTAATATTTTTTTTTATTAACGTAATTTTTATTTATTTTTATTTTTATTTTTTATAATTATATTTTTATTTTTAATTTAATTTTTTAATAATTATAATTTTTTATTTTATTTCGTATTTATTTAAATAATAAATAATCGTTCGTATATTTTTAATTTTTTTATTATTCGTTTTACGTAAATAATAATATAATTTCGATTTATTTCGATTTAAAATATTTATATATTTTTATATATTATTAAAAACCTTTTAAACGTTATTAAATATAATTTAAATACGTTTTTAATAAAAAATATAATTTTTTTTCATTTTTATAATTTAAAATAATAATTAAAAAATTAAATCGTAATATATTTTTAACGTTAATAAAAATTTATTAAATAAAATTAATATTATTATTATTATTATTATCGTAATATAAAAAAAACGCGTTTAAATTAAAACATATAAAATTTAAAAAATAATTATTATAATTAATTAAATTTTTTTAAAATTTAAAATATATAAAATAATATATATAATTTTATATTAAATTAAAAAACATCGTTTTTAATTAATTATATTTAATTAATTTTTAAAGTTAAATTTATATAAAAAAAATTATAACTTAATATATTATTATATTTAAATAAATTTTAATTTTTTCATTTTATATTATTTATAATTAAAAATATTAATATTTTATAAAAAATATAATTAAATAATATAATTTATATTAAATTTCATTAAAACTTAATAATATTACGTAATAATATATTATTAAAAAAAATACTTTAAATATATTATATAAAATTATAAATAAACGAATTTATAAAAATTAATATATTTATATAATTTTAATATTTAAAATATTAATTAATATAATATTAATATTATAAAAAATTTTTAAAAATAAAATACTTATTTATATAATATTTATTACTTTTTAAAATAATTAAAATAATATATTAAACTTATTTATTTATATAATGTTTTATTATTTATTAATAAACTTTTCATAATATTTAAACTTTAATAATTTTAATTATTTACGAATATTATATTTAAAAATTAATAATTTTTTACCGATTTAAAAATTTAAAACATTACGGTTTTTACGTAACTCGTTATTTTAATTTTTTTTTTACGTTTATTAATTAAACGATTTTATTTTTTTAACGCGTTATTAAATCGTTTTTTTCGTTTTTAAAATTAATAATATTAATAAAAAATTAATTAACTTTTTATTTTTTAATATTTACTTTAAGTTTTAACGAATGGTTTTTATAAAAAAATGTAAGAAAATTTTTAATAAATACGTAATTATAATTATTATTATATTTTAAAACGATAATTATAATAATAAAATTTATATTAATAATTAAATTTTAATTATTTAAAAAAGTTTTATTTTAAATAATTAAACTTTATTATAATTTTAATAAAATAATATTTTAAAAAAATTAAAATTAACGGGTAATTTTATTAAAAATATTCCGCGTTTCGTAAAAAACGGATAATATTTTTACATTAACGATTCGTATTACATTTATAAAAATAAATAAATTTTTTTTATCGAACGTAACCGGTTTTTTTCGTATAAATTTTTTTAAACTTTTTTCGTTTATATTATTTATTTTTAATTTTAAAAAAAAATTAAATTATTTTTATCGTAAATTAAAAATATAAAAACTTAAAAACTCGTAATTTATAACGAATAATTTATTAATAAAATTAATTTATTAACGTATCGTATAAATTACAAAACGCTTAGTTAATATAAATTTTTTTTAAAAAACGTTAACGATAAATTAATAATAAAAATAATTTAATAAAATTTATAATTTTAAAACGTTTTAAAATAAAACTTTTTAAATTTTATTATTACGTTATTTTAAAAATCGATAATAATAAATTAAATTAATTTAAAATTTTTTTTTATAATATTTAATTTTTTATTAATAATAAAATAAAATTAAAATTTACATATAAATATATTAATTAACGCCGTATAAATTAATTTTTTTTATCGTTTTCGAAAAATAAATTATTTAAATTTTTCACCCGTTTTATAAATAAAAATATAATAAAAACCGAAATACAAAAAATATAAAAATTATAAAAATTTACCGTAAATTACACATATAAAAATACATTAATTCGTTTTTTATATATAATTACGAAAACTTTAAAAATATTACTTTTAATATAAAGTTTTAATTTATTTTAAAAATTTTTATTTTTTTTAAATAAATTATTAATAATTATTTATTTATATTTAATAATATTTATTAATAAAATAATAATATAATATTTTTTTACCGATTAAAATTTTTTAATAAATTTAACGTAATAATTATATTTAAAAATTTTTCGTTAATTAATTTAAAATTAATTTATAATATTAATATTAAATTAAACTTATAAAATTAAATATTATTTTAAAAAAAAAATTAAAATATCGTTTTTTTTTAAATAACATTTATAAAAATAATTTTAATTAAATAAACTTAAATTTAACTTACATATTTTAAAATATTTAATTATTATAAATATTATTTTTATTTTATATTCGTAAATATAATATTTATAAACGTATAAAATAATTTTTAAAATTATTTTATTTTCTTTTTTATTATACGTTAATTTATTTATTATAATATTTTTAATATATTTTTTTTTTAATAACGTACCATTTATTTAATATTTACGTATAAATATTATTTATATAAATTAAAACGTTATTACTTTATTTATTTAATTTATATTCGTTTCGTTCGTTATCGATAAAATTAATTTAAAATTATATATATTAAAAAAAATTAACCGATTTATATTTCACCGTAAAAAATATACCGAAATTATAATACGTAATAAATTAAATAATATATAATAAATTCAATAAAAAAGAAATAAATTACGGGATTAATAAATTAATAAACCCATTACATTTTTTTTCGTTTTTACATTTATTTTTAATAAAAAAATAATAAAAATAATAATAAAAAAATAAATCGAACGGTTTTATTTTAATAATTATAAATAAAAAATATCGTATAATAAATTAAAATTATTTTTATAAACCTTTAATAATATATATTAATAATTTTTTTTATATACGTTTAAAAAATTTATAATAAATAATATTATTTTTATAATTAATTATATTATTTAAATAATATTTAAATAAATAAATAAATTATTTATAATATAAAATAAATTTATATAAATAATTAATATTATATATAAAAATATTTTATAAACATTAAAAAACGAGAAAAATTCGATTTTTATATTAAAATTATCGATTTAAATTTTATTATAAAAAAAATAAATCGTTTCGTATTACATTCGTCCCGTTTTATAACCATATTAATATTATTATATAATTATTTATCGCGCGTTATTATATAACGAATAAAATTATTTATTACCGATTTAATTATATAACGATTCGCATTTAATATAAAAATATACATTTTTAATTAAATTCGATTTAAATAAATTAATAAAAATAATTATATTATATTAACATATAAAATAAATATAAAAAATATATATAATAAAAAAAAATTATAATTAATTATAATATAAAAAAAAGTAAATTTAATTAAAAAATTTAACTTTTTATAAACGATAATTAAAATCGGCCGGGAAATTTTATTAATAATTATAATTATAATTAATATATTTTTATATATTTTATAATAATTTAAAACTTAATTTAATTAAATCGTAATAAAAAAAAAAAAAAGTAAATAAGTTAAAAAAATTCGCCGTATATATTAAAAAAAAAACTTAAAAAAAAAAAAATAAAAAAAAATTAAAAAAAAAAGTAATATTAAAAGCCCGAAACCACGGAATAATAACTTAAAAATTCCGGAAGTTTTAATTAAATAATATCGTATTTATATTACGCGGAAACTTTATATTTATAAATTAATATTAATAATTAATTCGAATAATAAAAAGAAATTAATAATTATTATTCCTCGTTAAAATTAATATATTATAAATTCGAATTAATTTTCGAGTTTTTAAAAATTAAATTTTTTAATTATAATTAAAAAAAAACAATTTATAAAAAAAAATCTTATATTTTTTTTAAAATAAATATAATTTTAATGTTAATTTACGTATTTTTTAACGATAATTTTAACGATAAAACTTTTATAAAAATAAATTAAATATCGATTTTATTAAAACGAAAATCCGTTAATTTTTCGAAATAAAATTATTATATATTTTTATTATTAATTATTTAAATAA